CCTTGTCATACGTGCCAGAAGCCGCACCCGCCTGGCCCTTGCCCTCCTCACGTCAACACGACCACGACAATTTGTGTGCGCTGCCAACACCCTCACCCCCCGCATGAAGCCTGCCCCACCCCCATCCATTGCTATTCATGCCAGAAACCGCACCCGCCTGGCCCTTGTCCTTGTCATACGTGCCAGAAGCCGCATCCTCCCGGCCCTTGCCCTCCTCACAGCGACACAGTCGTCATAATCTGCACTCGCTGTCGTGAATACCACCCCCCACACCAGGCCTGTCCCACGGTGATCCTTTGCAGACATTGTCACCAAAACCATCCTCCCGGCCATTGCCCCCAAATACATGGAGGGCACCCTGGAGGTCAACATGGCCACGGAGGTGGCTCTTCTCACGGTCCAATCCCTACGGACAACTATGGTGCGCCTATCCGCTATCCTCCGGGTATTTGCCCGCACTGTACGCAGTACCACTCTTACTGGCACGAACCTTGTCCCGCTGGGCACGGAGTCCACCATGGGCCCGAGCGCTTCCAGTGTGTATCATGCTCGTGCTGGCACGAACCTGGCACTTGTCCGCATACCGGATCTCGCAATCTGTTCACGGATGTCGTGGGCGTCGCCCAAGGGATCAGCACCGCGGCCGGGCTCTTCGCGAACATCGGAGAAGGAGGAGGCGATCGCTCCCTCTCCCATCCTCAGCACTACACCCCTCATCCATCCCATGGAGGCAACAGCCACCCCATCAACTTTGTTACGTCCGTTGAAGGCGCTCTGGAGCGTTGCATCAAAGACCAGCATCTTGAGGCTTTTTACCCTCCTCACGCATACCAACAGCGTATCCGCGAAGTTGCTTCCCGCGCCGCCCACCGTCTCCCAGAGTTGATCGCCAAATGGAAGCTTCCTTCCGAGATAGCTGTTGACATCTGCAAGTTGGCACTCTTCGACGTCATCTTGTTCATCGACGATTCGGGCTCCATGGTCTTCGAGGAAAAGGGCGAGAGGTTGGATGATATGAAGATGATCTTAAGCCACGTCGCTTTCGCCGCGAGTCTTTTTGACGACGACGGGATTCAAGTCCGTTTCTTCAACTCCGACATCAAGGGAGACAATATCCGCAGCGAAGCCGATGCCGACAAGGTTATCTCTCAAGTCAAGTTCGGCGGATTGACCCCGATCGGGACGCAGTTGAAAGCGAAAATCCTCGAGCCCTTGGTTCTCTCTAGGGCAAGAGCAAACCAGCTCCACAAACCCGTCCTCATCATTACCATCACCGACGGCCAACCCCAAGGCGAGGACTCCAACACCATCTTCAACGTCATTCGGGATGCAAACCACTTCTTCCAAGGCAACCAGTACGGTGTGGGTGCTCTCAACCTCATGTTTGGCCAAGTTGGTACCGACATGAAAGCCCGCCAGTTCCTCCAAGAGCTCGACGAGCATCACGAAGTTGGTGCCAGGGTCGATGTGACTTCGAACTACGAGATGGAGGCGGATCAGATGAGGAAGGAGAGTGGGTGCGAGTTGAGTCCGGAGGTTTGGTTGGTGAAGCTGTTCCTTGGTGCCATCGACTCGAGCTATGACACCAGTGATGAGAAGAGGTAGGAGTTAAGCTTCTCATGGCGGGCTTAGGGTTTTCTTTGTTTCATTGTTCGCTTTATTGATAGTGTTTGCCGTCGTTACTCGTTACTTTAATTGGAGCTGACATCGTTTACTGAATTGATTTCATTTTTTCTGAAAGACTTTGATCCGTGGTCTCCAACAACTTCTAACAGTGTAACAGTCAAATGTGATCGTGACATCGCCGAGGTCTTTTTCTGAGGTTATCTGCTCATGCAAAAGGCTGCAAAGGACTGTGGGAAGCCGCTCCAGAACCCGCTACACTTTTCTTCAAGGCCTGCCAAGGAAACGATGGCTGTCGGACATATCGCAATACACTGCTCTTTGAAGCCCTCGTGCGTAGAACCCCTTCTGGCGTTGTCCCAGCAGCGAGGGATGCCATGAATATTAATACAGCTGTGTGCAAAATTCTTGACGTAACTTTCACATTTGATTCTAACATTTTTTGTGATTTCTGGGCCCAGAGAGTGTTTTCGATGCTTTCATGCATGTTGCATGCACCTACGCCAAAACTCTTCACCATGTCACAGCTCTATGAGAAATAGTGCTACACGCGTTTCGAGGACATCAATCGGTTCCTAAGCCTCCGATCTATCGATTTCGCCCCTGAAACCGCCCTCCCAAGCCTTGTCTATGAAGATGGGCGTTTTCAGTAAACCATCCCCACACATATAGGCGGTAAAATGCGCGCCGTCAAGAATTGTGCACACAGCAGTACGCGTGCGGGCGGTTCGCGCTTTGCGAGGGTGAAAATCGTCCATTGCAAATTCAAGATCCTATATGCTCAATATGGTGTATACCAGGTATATCCATTTCCCTTCTTCGTTCTTTCGTCTACTCAACCAACGCCCGAACCCCCTCCCTCCCCACCAACTCTTCCAAGCCCTCTCCAACCAACCCCCAAATAACCCTCCTACACTCCTCCACCCCTCCCTCTGCTGCAACTTTCACAACCGTAGCCCCCCTCGTAGTCTTCGCAACTGTCCATAAACTTGTTTCCTGCACATTGACCTTTTCGTTTCGGAAGCGGGTGAGGAGGGAGGAGGAAAGTGCGTCGAAGGCGGGACCTTGGAGGATGAGGGTTGCGAGGGTTGTATACATCCGGTGAGGGGAGTGAGGTGATAGCATCCGTTGTTGGACTGATCCGTCGAGGCGGACGTTGTCTTTGATCACTAGTCGTCTTCGGGATCCTTTCGCTTTCTCGTCTGACTCTCCGTTTGTGGTCGCATCTCCGTTTGTGGTCGCATCTCCGTTTGTCGTGCCATCCCCATTGCTGGCTGGCTCTGGCTGCACCTCCCAAACCTCATTCCTCGACAAAAACCTCTCAAACTCCCAACTCTCTCCCGTTCGCCCATCACATACCCAATCCAACACGCACAAACTCCCTCCGACCTCTACCTCGAAGACCTGATCCTGAACGTAGCAACTCCCCCGGAAACACTGTACCGGATCAGGTAGTAAAGCACATATTCCGCCCTTCCCGACTTTGATTTCGAGGCTCTGTTTTGACCCACGGCCACCGACGAAGACTTTCGTGAATCCTTGGGTTGTGAGGACAACGGTGGAAGATGTCGAGACAGTTCCGCGCACTGTGACATTATCCCCTTGAACCAAGCCACCGCCGTACGAAAGAACATGAATAACGAGTGATTTGGCAGATGGTAGTGGAGATGGCGACATCAGTTTGACAGGGTATTGGGAGGAGAGGGTGTGTATTCTGCCGACGGTGCCTCGACCGGGAACGGTGAGGAATTGTGCCGCGCCGGTTTGTGAGGAGACCAAAGTCGGTGTCATTTTTTTCTTATCTTCAACGAGCAGGCGGATCGATAGTAATTGCAGTTGGAATTATTGCGGTCTCTTTGGGTGCGCTGCTGGACATTCGACGTCGTTGAACCCTGCAGTCGCATCTGCGCGGGGAAACCTTAATCGTCGGCAGAGATACGCAAAGTTCCGAAATCCTTCAAATTCATGATTGAGAAGCGAATGTATTGTCTTGAAGATATTAAGTAGTAGTGACGTAGATGTAGCCAAATGTCCTTGGCCTTAAGCATGCTGTTGATCTGAGAGCCTTCCCAATGATGATCGATGCCAAACTTTCAAGCGAATGAAAAACTCCTTTGCAAATTTCGTGTGCCAAAATATCCTCCCTCTCAGCTCTTAAACTCACTCGTACACGTTGTGTAATCTCCCGCCGTATCCACCGTTCCCATACCCAAGATCTCCTCCCACAATGTGCGAATGTCTGTTTCGCGAACGCCGGTCATCCCGCAGACTGGTAGGAACATGTAACCCTCCATGGTTCCGCGTATCATACTGCCCCTCAGCATACTGCTCCTGGCTGCTCTGACCATATCCTTCGTCATAATTCTGTACGAGGTCTGCAAGAGCATCCACATCCTCCATGAACACTCCCTCGAAATCACCCAGAAACAACGTCAGCACCCCCGCAGGAATATTCAACGTCGGCGAAAACACAATCCCGACATTCCTCGCCGTCATCTTATTCACATTTGAATTCTCCACAACCCTGATCAAATGCGCGCACAACACTCTCAACAACGAGAAATTCGCAGGCGGTAGTCGATGAACGAGTCGATTCACCTCTCTTGTTCGTGCCGGCAAGTCGTCCACCTCACCGATCACCTGCAAGAACTCGACATGCAGTTCGCGTGTCAACACACTCACCGGCAACTCCCTCAGATACAGCTTCAACAAGCCGGCGACGGCATGTACATCGTACATCTCCTTCGCACCAAACAACTCTGCATCCCCCTCCTTATCAAACTTCTCCTTCAGCATCTTCACGACTGAGGAACTCCCGGACAGGCGATAAATCCCTTCCTCCAGAACCGCGTTCTTGGCCTCGAGGTACTCGATGCACCGGTACACCACATTTGGCAACAGGACATCATCCCTCACCGGCCTTGACACGGCAATCGCCTCCTCTAGCGTCACCCCAAACACGGGACCATGCCCACCCCTCCTCTGCGCCGGCGGCGTCGAATTCGTGCTCGCGTCCGAGGAAGTCCGTTGTGGTGTCTTCGAATGTCCGAATCCCCAAAAGGACTTTTTCTTAATCCGTTTATCCGCGGCTTTCTTGTCATCATTGGTTTTGATGGAATCATCGTCGCGAACATGAATGTTCCCCCACTGCGATCCATCCGTGATGACCGTCCCATTCGTCGGTCCACTAATCCCCTGGACCTTGACTTCCGGCAAGATAGGCGGCATAATCGGTAGTGGCGGCACGGACTCAACGGACTTTGACCGTGAATGAGGCGAGGGACGCTGACCTTGTACCATCCGGTCATAGCTTATCCCGAGCACACTCTCCCTCGTAACCGGTCGCCCAAGCCCGACGCCAAACTCATCATCCCTCCTCGTCGACGTACTCGACATACTCCTCATACTCTCGCTCTCCACCATCCCTCCCACATGCGCGCCCTCATTGGCACTCACATGCCTCCCCTGCTTAGTCTTAGCGGCTTTCTTTCCCTTCTCCTTCTCCGCTTTCTCGGACATCAGAGGCAGGGGAGAATTCGCCAAATCAATATGCTGCAACAACATCCGGATCCACTCCTCTCTCTCTTCATCCGAGTTGGCACAGAGAATATGCCGTACCTTCTTACTCTCCAAGATCATAAAGGCGTGTTTATACCCCTCCTTCCCCTCTGTTTTCTTCTCATCTTGGGTATTCTCCTTCGATGCATCCTTCGTCGCCTGTCTCGCAATCTGTGCACTAGAAAGCCTGATGGCACTACCTGCAGTTCCACCAGGTTTATCATAGTACCTCATATCGCCGCCCTCGAGAACGAACCACCGGCTCTTCCACCCCCCGAACCCCTTACTCTTCTTACTTAACCACCCCTCCTTCCTCCCTACCTCTCCCCCTCTCACAGCCGCCTCGACTATCGTGGTTGCAGCAACCCCACCCCTCTCAATCACATCCGTACTCAAAAATTCACAAACGCCCATCAACGCCCCTCGTTCCCTCCTCAACAGACCCCTCAGGTACCCTTCAAGCATACTCTTCTGTACAGCCCACCCGCCGACACTCCGTACATCGACTTCCAAGCCTGTGATGTCGCATACATCGAGCATACTCTTTCTCACTACCCACTTCAAGCTCGAGTTAAACTTGTCCAAGATCCCGATATCGACCATCAATGAACTTGGGACAGGTGCGTCTGGGTCGGTAGTACTGATGGCTAACGCCGTCAGTGCGACTTCGGACATTGAGTCAGGCGTGAGCAACAGCGAATCCGGGTCGATGAACTGCGTACTCGGGTCCGGAGTCGAAGTAACACTGTTCGTCTGTGGGGACATCGTGTGTATTGAGTTCGTAGTGGTGAAGGAGTTCGGGCTAAGGTGTTCTCGTGCCGTGACGGGACTTAGCATGCCCTCCGTCACAGGCGGGCTCGAAGCCAGAATCGCGACCTCAGTCTTAGGGATTCCGTGGCCGGCAGCTGGTGAAGGCGGCGACATGGACATCGCGATTCCATCCCTCGGACTCCTTGGCAACCCAGGCGTCGAGATCCTCGCCGGTACATCCAACAAGACCCCTCCTCCGCCTCCCAGGACCCCTTCCTCGTTCTTCTTCTGTGCTTCCTCATCCCGTACGACATCGACAACAACGCTCCCTCCACCTAATCCCGACCCCAGTCCAAGCCCCAGGCCGATCGGCCCTTGCTCCCTCTCCATATCCCCCGACGCAACCATTTTCGTCACCCCACCCAAACTTGACGGCGACAACAACCCGTTCATCCCCATCATCCCATGTCCGAATCCAAACTTGCGGGCACTCAACAACGGCGAATGAAACGGATCCTCGTCCTCGTCCTCATCGTCTTCTTCATCATTACTCCGTCCACGGTCGCGTCTGGCGGCAAGGGGGGTGTCGTACCCCGTCGGTGGAGCAGCGAGTCGGGAAGAAGAGGTGGAGTCGGAGGAACCGGTGACAGTGGCTGAGCGGGTCCTGGTCCTCGGCGCTGGCGTTCTTTCTCCGTTCTTGGTGAAGCTGGATGCGACGACGGCTGAGAGGGGCGGTGCTGGAACAACGGCATGCAGGCTCGTCATCGAGATGGACGTCGTGGTTATCTTCGTAGTCGTAGGTGTGTCCGTTGTTGTATTTGTGAGTGGTAATGGCGTCGGACGGCGTTTATTGGATGCCGGAATCAACCCAGTCGCAGGACCAGCGCTGGTAGGTGTTGCTGTAGATGTAGGCGGTGAGGGAAGTGGAGGTGTCTGAGCTTCGATTGGCGCAGTGAAGTTCGTTGTCGGAATGGTCTCTTCCAGCGTCACCGTCTCTCCCCCCACATCCGCACTCTCCGCACCCCTCATCTTTCCACTTTCCAAAGCCGGCGACAATAACCCCTCAACTTCCTTCCCCCGTTCTCGTTCTTCCTTAATGAACCCCCTAACCCTCTCCCTCAACTTCTCCCTCTCACCCCCCACTCTCTCCAAATCCCCTCTCAGCGCCAAAATCATCGCCCGTTGTTTATCGACCAACTTCCATAATTGTTTATTCTGACTCGATAGAGAGGCGTTTTCTTTCTGGAGTGAAGTGAGGAGGTCAGACGTGGAGCCGCTGGAGGGTGTGTGCGAGGCGAGGGTAGGTGAAGGGACGAAGGAGGAAGGTGAGGTTGGTGATGGATGAGCGGACATCGCAAGTCTCGTCGAATGTGTCGCTGTATGTGCTCACTTGATTTTCACCCTGCTCAGGTCCCGAGGGCTTGCTCCCGTATCCCCGTCAAGAAACCCTCCTATATGCTTAACGAACGTCTTATACTGTACTTCCCTGGTATCGCAGAATACTCGCTCCCGAGCATTCAATAACAGTTATCAATCAATATCCAGAAGCTGAAGGCCAGCAGCCTCTTGCAATCGAAGACAAAGTCGAGGAGACTCTTTGGAGTTTTCGGGTCAACTTGCTCTACGCGCTTGTACGCGCAGCGCCGGCTGGGGACGCCAGGGCTGAAAGCTTCCGTGCGCCGTGCATACACCCCCGATTCAAAACGTGCACCGAAACGGTCGGTATTGAAGAGCCGTGTTTGGGGTATTTTTGGGATATATAGGGGTTAAGGAGACGGCTACGACGGTTCGGACGGGGCAATTGACCGGACGGGCATGAGGGGATCCGGATGTACTGTCTGAGTTGGCTGTACAGTCGGGCGTGGGCAATATGCCATGTACCAGAACAATATCGACAGTTCGGCCGTTGTCACAGCACATGTTTCTTAACTGACAAGTATGGACAAACAGCGCACGACTGTGTTCCCCATGTTCTGCGGTCTGACAATTGGTACATGCCACTTGGCCGGGCCCGAAACGTTGCCCCCATGGGCCAGGCTGCGACATTTGAAGATCGCCATAGGCACCTCCTTTATAGCTATGACCTCTACTAACTTCGTAATACCACCGAGAAACTCGGACACAACGTCGGGCGGCCGGTCAAACCACAACCTTGGCACATGGAAGCTTCACCAGGACCTGGACACCCGTGGGAACTTGAAGCAACGTAGCTGGATGTAGTGATGAAGGTTAGAGACGAGCGCGATATTAAGGGAGATGACGAGCGAGAACCTGGAAGGCAGGTGAACCAAGAAATAAGGTAAGATCATGTATTGACAGATAGCAAGAGTTTACAAGACACATACAGCGGGTAGAGAAATGTGAGGATGGACGGGGACAAGCTGAGACCTACAACACAGACATCATGTCAAGGCCAACAGCGGCACACAAGAAGACATCCCAACACACAGTCACCACGACTCAGCCCCGATCCTCTCCCTTGGTAGACGAACGGGTTCCACGCCGCAAGTTGCCAAAGAAGAGCATCAAAGCCAGGTCACTTGAAGAATGAGAGGCCGTTGCGATCCCGGGCCAGGCGAAGAGGGACTTGATCACTTAAGCTCAAACGACAATAGCAACACAAGTTGCCAGTAGGTTGAACCCACCATGTCGCGGATGATCCATGAAAGAATCACCACTCGCAAAACCCGCAACACAACAGATTGACCGGGTCGTGACCTTATCGCCCCATCTCTGCCTAACCACACAGAAGATCGGCTTGTCAAGTATTAGGAAAGAAGTTCCATTATTTTCATATGACCCAACCAAAACCCCAAAAAAGAAATATACCTTCCTTCATTCAGTCATGACCGGACACTCAGTAAACGCGCGCGTACGCAACGTTTACTTGTTGAGGACAATACCGTCGTAACGGGACTTGAACCAACGGATGGTCTCAGTGGGGTTGACCTTGTGGTTAACACCAATGCGACCCTTGCAGTGCTTCTTCTTGGCAACACGGGCTCCGGGACGGTCCATGACGACGTAGAAGTCCATACCGTAGATACCGATTCCAGGGTCGTACTTGATACCCAAGTCAATGTGCTCCTGGATACCGAAACCGAAGTTACCGGTCTCGGAGAAGTTGCGCTTCCTCAACTCGTACTCCTTGACCTTGAGACCACGCTCGAGGATCTCCTCGGCCTTGGGGCCACGGACGGTGACGTGAACGGAGATCTTCTCGTTACGGCGGATACCGAAGGTACGGACGGTGTAGCGGGCCTTGGAGTAGACGGGGGTCTGACCGGAAAGCTGCTCGAGGACCTTGGCGGCACGGGTGAGACGATCACCAGACTCACCGACACAGATGTTGAGGACGAGCTTGGCGACGCGGAGCTCGCGCATGGGGTTGGCGGACTTGGTCTCGGCGGACTGGTCATCTGGTCAGTCCTTGCTCAATCACCATCGAGATCGTCCGAGGTTCATTCAGAATGTAGAACAAACTAGATTGAACGACTGTAACGACTCTCTCCTTCCGGATCACTCACCATTTTGATGGATGGGTCGATGAAAACTGGTCGTACACACGGAGCAACAAAAAGTTCGAGCTGAGCTGAGGACGAAATTCACGGTGTTGCGCGTAGGGTGCTGTGGCTAGTTGTGGCTAAACCGCGTTGGTATGGCGATGGCTCATGCGGAGCGCGTAAACAACGACGACAACCTGTAACAGCAAGGGAAAGATACCAGGATATCAAAGAGTTTGACAGGTGCGATCCTCTTGGCAAACTCTCTATGATATCTTCTGAAAATTTTTGCACAGGAAGATATCGCTGTTACCACCGATCACCAATTCGCACTACTCGACATTGCACTCCGGCACCAACAACCTCTCAGTACAGAACACTATCGCAGTAAAAGGACATAACAAATTGAGCATACCTAGAGTGGGTTGTGCGCTATTTGTATGTGTCATAGCTTACTGATGAAGTTTATCACAGATCGTGAAGAAATCCCACGCGACCACCCGCTGAACATTATAGCCGCCAATAGAACGTGTCTACCGCAGGTATGGCCCCCCTTCATCCTCTTATCGACGAGCAGAAACTAACATCATCGACAGAAATGGACCCGCAAACCCCTCTCCCACACAACACTGCCTCCCACCTCTCCACCTCAACCCCCGCTCCCACCTCCTCCACCACCACAGCACCCCACCCACCCCTTTCCCCCCTCGAATCCGCTCTCCTCTCAGAATACACCTCCCTCTCACAAAACCTCACCCAACTAAACACAACAATTGCATCCCTTGCAAACACCCCCACGGCACAAATCCTCGACGAACTGCGGAGTTTGGAGAGGAAAACGGGGTTGGTGTTTACGTTGTTTAAGGCGAGTGTTTATGCAATTGTTATGCAGAATGAGGAGATGGCTGGGGCTGAGGGGGAGGAAGGCGAGGGAGAGGGGGAGGAGAGTCGGGTTTTGGGGGAAATGTGAGGAGATGGGATGGTAGGATATAAACGAAGATGAAACCACGCACGGTCCGAGTAAGGCGAAGGAAGTAGGAAAGTCTGATAATGATATACCCGAGCGATATACAATCTCACATAATAATACGCACTTCCACTCACGAACATCAGTATCCACTATACACACCACCGTCAGATCCCCTCCCGCCTCCTCGCTCCTGACCCCGACTACCCCCCTACAAGCGTAAATCCCCTCCGCACTCTCGTGTCTCCGCTGTCTTGGCTTCGGCCTGGACCATACCAAATCCTCGCAGATCTCAAGTTCTGAATATTACCCTCCGGAGCTAGCTCAGCCCGATCGAAGCGCTCCTTCAATCTCCCATCCCCCTCGACCACCGCTGCCATCACGGTGACCGTGTGATCGTATTCCTCACCGAACTGTGACACGTACAGGTAATACGTCCACGAGACAAACCTGATTGAGACGATAAGAGTGAATGCTAGGAGGACGTAGACTGCCCATGCCTTGAAGGCTATGCCAGCCACGTGCTCATGAACCACAGCCGGTACAATTCTAAGAACCATTAGTTGAACCGGGAAAGAACGCCATTGTAGTATACGCTGCTTTTCCAAGGTACTGCTTGAAATATTCGAGGTCAGGCGCCGTGGAAAGCTCCTTCTGAAGGAATTTGCCGCCGTATCCACCGTATATCTCTGCGTCGGCGGAAGAAAATATGTAAGTCAAATAATTATTAAAATAATAGTCTGACAATGTATCGAGACGAGAGCCGACAAGGGCGAAATTAGCGGTATACACATTAACCTTTTTTAACTGTTAGTACTACAACAAATATAAGCTATGTGGACCACGCACTATATCACGGGCATTAAGCTTGCCATTCTCGAAAGCTTCCGAGGAATAACCCACGATTGCCAGAGCCATGCCCGCCGTGAAGCGTGGAGAAACAGCCATTGTTTTCCCTGTGACTCGAAATCTCAGAAAGAAGATGAGCAAATCGACCAAGATCAGCTAAGACCGCAGACTCCCTAGTCGATAGAAGCACACCCAACAAACCGGCAGAAGAAGGCGACGGGCCGTTCCAATCATCGCAAAACCTGGCTAAGCCGTTCGACTAAGATTTCGAAATCAAACGGACGCGGAGGTAGCTTGGCGATCGTCATGGAAGCGAGGACAGTCGATCATGGACTACATGTGCGTGTCCCGGATAGTAAGACTGCGGTTAAGAACCGACACGGGTGATTAAGCGTGCCTCTTTTTCTTCAAAGATATGGTTGAGGTTGCATCCCATGTGATCCAAAACTGTTAGCCATGGCCGATATCATGATCAGTCAGGTTTGGGCGGGGCAACGAGTGGAGAACGTATTCCATTGCAATGCAGCCTTAATACATGAAGCAATGACGCCTGTCCCAAAAGAAATGATCATCTCACCGGGTATCATATGTGTCGCCCCCCACAAGGAATATCTTCACAAATCTGTCCTCCATTTCAGCCTTATGCAGCAGCATCCTTCTTCTCCTTGTCAAAGACCTCCTGGGCCTTCTTCTTGACCTCCTCCAACTGCTGCTGCCTCTTGAGCCTCTTCTCCTCCTCCTCCAACGCCAAAAACCACAACGCCCTCTTCTCCCTCTCCATATCCTCCTTCGTCTTCACTGGTGCCTTGTTCGCCCCCTCAGCCCCCTGCTCTCCTCGCTTTATATACCGTTCATAATTCGAATCCTTGTAATACAACGTTCCCAGCAGCATGGCAACGATCGTAAATCCCTGTGCTCCCACACGCAATCTAAACATAAAGTTTGTAAGAGATTTGTTGTTGTTGCGGATTCCACGAGTTGCGCCGATGAGGGCGAAACAGGTTACGAAGACACCGAGGGGGACGAGGGGTTGTTCTTTGGACTTTCGGATGACTTTTTGGAGGGAGGTTTCGGGGTCTTTGTGGGCGAGGGCGAGGTCTTCGAGGGTTGGAATGTCCATTTGGGGCGGGAGGGGAGGAGCCGGAGCTGGTTGGGTGGGGGTTGACATCTTAAGAAGCTCCGGATCAATTGCTATTGAGGGAGAGCTGGTGGTGGGTATGATCGGGATTTCGAGGTTCAATCAATCTCAGTATCGATATCGATGCCGGGTACAGGCCCGTGCGGGTGCGTACATGGCTGATCTTTTACGCCTGTTTAAGAGAACCTGAAAGAAGTTTGTTTCATCCATTTTCTAATATTGGCTTTCAATGTACACCTCCCTCCACCCCTTGTCACTCCTGCGACTTCTGCAGACCCCGACATCAAGGGTTCGCGACGCACGACGTCGAGATACTCCATAAACTGCCTCGAGCACAAAACGGATCAATTGATCCCTAAAGACCAATCTTTGGAACAAAACCCGGATTGCATATCGCGTCCTTACAATCCGTCAAAATGGTACGTGCTTTCTCTTTCCAGTGTCCACGTCGTACAATGTCGTGGCTACGTGACGAGAGGACAGTGGCTAACCGCGTCCCCAGGCTCCCGGTTCATCCTCAAAGATGTCCCAACATCTCAACCACCGCATGCGCATAACCCTCGTTGACACACGCCAACTAACCGGCCAACTCCTCGCCTTCGACGCACACATGAACATCGTCCTCGCCGACGCGGAAGAATTCCGAATTTCCAGAAAGTCTCAGCGCGCACCCAATCCCACGGAAGAAAAACGCACTCTCGGCCTCGTCATTCTAAGAGGTGAACAAATTGTGGCTATGTCAGTGGAGGGACCGCCGCCTGTCGAGGGACGCGGGCTCGGATCAATTCCTGCTGGTCCAGGAAGGGGTATTCCTGCGGGTCGAGGAATTCCGATTAATGCTCCTCCGACATTCGGTGCCCCGCCTGCGGGACTCACTGGTCCTCTTGGACGTGGCATGCCGCCCGTTGCATTCCCTGCGCCGGGAGCTGGTGCACCACCGGGGTTCGCTGCTCCTCCTCCTGGGTTTGCGCCGCCTCCAGGTTTCGGTGGAGTGGCTCCTCCACCTGGGTTCGGAGGTCCTCCGCCTGGATTTGGGGCTCCGCCGCCGGGGTTTAGGCCTCAGTAGATGTGAGGGTGGGAGGTGAAATCAGTTGATACAATGGAGAATGTGTTCTCGAGATCTGGAGTAGCGGAGAAGAAGAGAACGATAGCGGAGTAGACAATGGATCCCTCGAGTCGAAGATAGGGAATATATCATCTTGAGAATTTGTCTTTGGTTTAGTTATGGTTTTGAGTACTACATGATTCGCTTTCGAAAAGATACGTTATAATTGCAATGTTCCTTTGCTTTGACTCTCCGACTGCTGCTGCGTTCTTAAGATTCTTGAAGAACCAGTGCTTCGCTGAAGTCTGAACACATGCAACAGTCAGTATGATATCGAAGACGTCCACACGACTCGTCCGACTTAATCCTTAACTCGGATTTAACTCGTCGCGCTCACTGCCAGGCCCGAAAAATATGAGGCGCTCCTGCAGCAAGTCGCCTCGAGTCAACCGACGCAAGAAAAGTACAGCACCGGTATACGAAGCCCAATTCGATCAGACAACAATGACCTCTGTCGTACGTTCCATCTCCACGACATTCAGGTTCTCTCTCTAACTTCATGATCAGGACGTCACCAAGCTCAACCCCCTCTCCCCAGAGGTCATCGCCAAACAGGCAACAATCAACATCGGAACAATCGGCCACGTAGCCCACGGAAAATCCACCGTCGTAAAAGCCATCTCCGGCGTCCAAACCGTCCGTTTCAAGAACGAGCTCGAACGCAACATCACCATCAAACTCGGTTACGCAAACGCCAAGATCTACAAATGTCAAAATGAGGCCTGCCCGCGTCCTGGATGTTATCGTTCGTACCGCTCGGATAAGGAGGCGAATCCGTTGTGTGAGAGGAGGGGATGTGGTGGGAAGATGGAGTTGGTGAGACATGTTTCTTTCGTGGATTGTCCTGGTCACGATATTCTTATGGCTACTATGCTTTGTGGTGCTGCGGTCATGGATGCCGCGCTTCTTCTTATCGCTGGTAACGAATCTTGCCCGCAGCCGCAGACTTCGGAGCATTTGGCTGCTATTGAGATCATGAAGCTCCAACACATCATCGTGTTGCAGAACAAGGTGGACTTGATGAAGGAGGATGCAGCCCTCGCACACCACGAGTCAATCTTGAAGTTCATCAAGGGTACCGTCGCAGATAAAGCCCCCATCGTTCCTATCTCAGCCCAGCTCAAGTACAACATCGACGCTGTGAACGAGTACATCGTCAAACGCATCCCCGTCCCCATCCGCGACTTTGCCTCCGAGCCCCGTTTGATCGTCATCCGATCCTTCGACGTCAACAAGCCTGGTTGCGATGTCGATGATCTCAAGGGTGGTGTCGCTGGTGGTTCGATTTTGCAGGGTGTCTTCAAAGTCGGAGACGAGATCGAGGTTAGGCCTGGTATCGTCACCAAGGACGCTGAGGGCAAGATCAAGTGTACCCCGATCTTCTCCCGCGTCGTGTCTTTGTTCGCCGAACACAATGATCTCGAATTCGCCGTCCCCGGTGGTCTCATCGGTGTCGGAACCCGTGTTGACCCAACCCTCTGCAGAGCAGACCGTCTCGTCGGACAAGTATTGGGAGCAAAGGGCAAACTCCCCTCCATCTACACCGAAATCGAAATCAACTACTTCCTCCTCCGCCGTCTCCTCGGTGTCAAAACCACCGGCGACTCCTCCTCCAAGGCCGCAAAGGTCTCCAAGCTCGCCAAAAACGAGGTCCTCATGGTCAACATCGGTTCGACCTCGACTGGTGGCCGTGTTGTGAGTGTGAAGGGTGATTTGGCGAAGTTGATGTTGACGAGTCCGGCGTGTACGGAGATTGGAGAGAAGATTGCGTTGTCGAGACGTATTGACAAGCATTGGCGTTTGATTGGGTGGGGTAAGATTGTTGGTGGCAAGGAGTTGCAGTTGGATGAGAACTAGATTTAGGAGGTGGGAGCATTTGTTGTATTCTAAAAAGCAAATTTACTATACCCTTTGCCGCGTATGTTGAGTGCTTTAATCCCAGGGCCGTGCACGCGTCTCTTTTCCAGCCATATCCTTCAATCTTGGTCTTAAAGTTCCTGTTTGGTGATCCTGTCGCTACAGTAAGCCTGAGCACATTACTTTGATCCTTACCGGAGCTCGAGGTTGCAATTGGCTTCATCCTGATCTTCCCACGCCCATCGGCTGCTTCGCGCGCCAGGCTGGTCGGGTATGTATGTATGTCGCACCGTACCCGCGGCCGTTGATATAACTTCGCGAAAGTGGGCAATGATCTCAACGTGCGGTTGTCGGCTATGGGATTGGGGCTCCACTTCGTTGTGAGCAAATGAGTGGTGGGACAGGTGGACTGAGGTAACCGAAGGAAGGCGACAAGCGATTGCGATACGGACTACACCATGGGGCACCATGAAGACTCCGGAGTATCGTAGACCCTCTAGAGGGACCCGTCGATAGGCGAACATTCGTTGCCGATGCGATCCTAGATCACATAAGAAGACCTGATCCGCCTCCCTCCATGAGCAACCTCCAATCCTGGGCCGCACACGTACAATGGTCACAATCAAGCGCCCAACATTCTCCAAACCCCACTTCACAACCCAGCCCATCAAAGCTTGGTCCTCCCGCCTCCGCCATGCCTTCACCTCCAAACAAGCCTTCCTAACCTACCTCCGCACCCCCGGCTCCCCCTCCTCCCACTCCTGGACAAACGAAGACCTCGAACCGTCTCCTCCCCACATGATCAACTGGCACTGGTACAACTTCTGTATCTTCTGGTTCGGAATGGGTTTCGGTGGGTGGACGCTTGGTGCGTCCGTCGTTGCGCTTGGCATGAGTTGGTGGCAGAGTATTTTGGCGGTGATGTGTTCGGCGGTTATTTCGGGGTTGATGATGGCCTTTAATTCGAGGGCAGCGGCGACGTATCATATTGGGTATCCTGTTGTTGCCAGGAGTTCGTTCGGGATGTATGGACACTACTGGCCTGTCCTTGCCCGTGGGGTGTGCGCGATGCTCTGGGTCGCAGTGATCCTCTACCAAGGAGGAGCATACGTCTCTACGGCTCTAACCTGTATCGTCGGCCACTCCTGGCAAAACCTCCCCAACCAGTTCTCTCCCGGCGTGGGAACAACAATACAGCGCTTCGTCGGCTACTTCCTCTTCTGGTGTATCACCCTGCCATTCTGCTCCCTCCGCCCCTACCAGCTCAAATGGCTCTACAACTTCAAAGCCTGGGTCCTCCCCTTCAGCATGATCGGCCTCCTCATCTTCTGCCTAATCCAATCCGGGGGCAAACTCGGCGACGTCTCCTCCTCCGCCGGCGCAACCCGTCCCCATGGCTCTGCCCTCGCTTGGATCTTCGTGTCGGCCGTTAACTCCTCCATGGGCAATTGGTCAACCTTCATCGCGAACATGCCAGATTTCTCACGTTATGCGACTTCGCCTCGCGCAACGATGTGGACTCACATCCTTTTCGTCCCGATCCCCGCAACACTCGGTGGTCTCATTGGTGTCATCGGGACATCCGCTCTCCAGCACGCTTGGGGCAAGACGATCTGGAACCAGTGGGATTTGTTGGACGCAATCCTCGCAAACTCATGGGACGGCAAAACCCGCCTGGCTGTCTTCCTCTTGTCGTTCGCAATGGGCCTCTTCACCCTCGGTGCCCTCGTCGGAGCCAACCTCACGCCCTTCGGCTCCGACGTCACCGCCCTCTTCCCCCGGTACTTCAACATCCCCCGCGGTATGTTCTTCTGCTGTATCGTCGGCCTTGCTTTGAACCCCTGGAAAATTCTCGCATCCGCAAATGGCTTCCTGGCCTTCTTGGGAGGTTACGGAATCTTCATGGGGCCGACTGCGGCGATCATGATTGGTGATTACTGGATCGTGAGAAAAGGAAACATCGACCTCTCCCAACTTTACACCTCCGAGCCAGGGAGCAAGTATATGTACTACAAGGGCTTTAACCTCCACGCCGTGTTCGCCTACATCTGTGGAATGTCTCTCCCATTCACTGGGTTCATCGGGACATTCGGGGTCACCGTTCCACAAGGCGCGGTCAAGTTGAATAAGTTGGGATGGTTGGTTAGTACCGCCGTTACCTTCGTCGTGTATATCACGATTTGCAAGCTCATCCCGTTGAAGAATATCGATCCGAACATGCAGTGGGAGGAGATGGCTCAGGAGCAGTCCATCATTCTGGAAGGTGTTGAGGACGAGGAGAAGGCGAAGGAGTTCTCGAAGGAGCCGGCGGTGAAGGAGTTGAAGGAGTGATGGTTTCAGTGATAGATGTGTAGGGACTTCATATACGATAACGTGCTGTGATTAATAGAATTCAAGTAACGCTAACCATGCTTTCGTTCCACTAAGCATACTCAAACATAGCGGATATCTAAGATGCTATAACAAAATTCACGACCCTGAAACAAAACTCCTAGATCCATCTTAGATCTCCCAGACAAGTAAAGAAAGCCCACCTTATATGATATATGAAAACTCCCAAATGACCAGCTACAAATGCCATAAGACTTGCACCAACACTAATTGAGCGTTCCCTTGCAGTTCGCACTCCCACAGAAACAAGAAATCTTGACCTCTTCACGTGGAAACTTATAATCATACGTCAACTCCTCACCCTCCTCGATTCTCCTTTGTGCATAAATGACGATCTTCTTCTGCCCATTGACAGTGATGATCTTCGCCGTACAGCTGGGATCACAAGCATGATTGATGAAACGGGCAATGCCACCAATTTTAGTAGCGTCGACAACCGTCTCCTCGTCGATTCGGAAAAGGTAGGAACTACCGATACCTTGGCGTTCGTATCTCTTCTCCCTGGCATCCGCAACGGCTTGTCGAATGACTTCACCAACGTATTCGATAACCATGTCATTAGCCTCAATCCGCTCCATCGCAAACAATCCCCAATCGTGAATCGGCGATCTCGCAAACTTGAGCAGCTTCTTTCGACCCTTCAGCTGGTTGAAACGGAGGACATCACTTTCACCAACACCAGTAAACGCCATACCAATTCCAGCACGACGATTATTCGCACGGGCGGAACGCGAGTTGTTCTGCGACGTTGTCTTTGCGCTATGATCTTCATCGCCAGTGTGAACGATGGCACGGTTACGGTTGGGCAGGTACAGTGCTTTCTCGGCGTCAGGAATACGCTTGAAGGGCTCGGACCTGGCGCAGCCTGCTGGGTTCTCCTTGGAATACCCTTCTTCCTTCAGAGCTGGTAGAACACCCTTGGCACCGTCTTGGTTCATCCGCTTGATCTCCTTCTGGTACCATGCCCATTTGGGTGCAGACCCGATGTCGGCCGGTGTAACGTCAGCAAGCGCCTCCTTAAGGAGGTCGAAGTCTTCGGCATCACGGACGATACTCTGCACACCATCAAGATCAAGCAAGACGTTGTCATCAGCATACTGCTCATCGGGCGCCGGAAGCCCTTCCTTCTCGACCTCCTTCTCCGGCGCGGGTTCAGGTTCGGGTTCGGACTCAGGCTCCGGTTCACTCCTCATAGCAGCCTCAAAGTCCAAAGCAGGCGAAGGAGCACGCTTAGCGACCTTGCCACCCTTCTTCATGGCTTTCTTCGCCGGCGCAGCTTTCTTGGCTTTCTTTGCCTTCGGCTTCGCCTTTGGTGCTGCTTCAAAGTCCGAAGCTTCCTCATCGGCTGGTAGCGGAACTGAAGCAAGCGCCTCTTCAACCTCTTGTTCCTTAGATATCACCTCTTCATCGGACTCCTCCTCTTCACTGCTGGTGAAAGCAATATCCCTTCCGCGCTTAGTCGACACACCAACCGCTGCCTCGGGAATGATATCCTCCATCTTAACATCCTCGTCCTTCTCCGCGGGCGCAACGCTCGGCGCACGACTCGTCGCTGAAGACTCCTTCTCCTTGGTCTGCGACGCGGGCCTGGGGGTCTCCTCCTCCTCATCCTCATCCGAGGAAAACCCAACATCGACCTTCTCTTTCCTCTTCGTCAACACCTTCTTCTTCGGTTTCGGCGGCGGCGCCTGCACCGGCACCTCCTCATCTCGCTCACTCTCACTCTCGCTACTCTCGCTCGACCAGGCAGGCTTCGTGCGCGGCGTGGCGTCATCATCCTCATCAGAGTCATCAAGATTAAGCGCATGGTGCATCGGCATCGCCTCATGCTTCTGCAGCCTCCTCTTCGCGCTCAAGACCGGTTTCCCCTTCTTCGCCGCCGAAGCTTTCGCGCCGTCCTTCTTCCTGAAACTCGGCAGTGCCGGTAGCTTCGCACCCAAGGACGGCACGCTGAAATCAACACTAGGACTCTCCGAACCGCGGTCATCCTGCTTAACCCTCTCCACCCCCGAAGCCTTTGGTGCTGGCGTCCCATTCTGCGCATTTTTCCTCTCCTTCGCCTTCGCATCCTGCTTCATCCGGAGCGTCTCAAGCAACGCAGGCCCAACAACTCTACTCTTAATATCCCTCTGCAAATGGCCCACAAGCTCCTTCAAGACCGCCTCCGTCGCCTCCTTGACCGGATCCTTTTCGACCGGCTTCGGCTTCGGTTCCTCAACACGGATTCGATCACCATACTGATCATACAACTCCATCTTCATGGTATACTTGACACATACCGCACCGTTGAGCTTCTGCACACATTCCTTCGCCCACTGTAAGCCATCAAAGACGATGTAAAAGCCGTACCTGTCAACCATGACGTCCCGCCACTTACACGACGCCTTATTGAGAATCATGCGCATGTCAGTTTGATGGACCTTACCAGGGGGCAAGGAAGTATCAGGGATATACACGAAGGGACGACGATCAATCCGTCTCCGCATCTCCTCAAGCGCAGGAACTCGAACAGGAGCAGTCCGCCTAGGTGGACTTTCTCTTCGTCTAGGCGGAGAGCTCCTCCTATCCCGATCCCGATCCCGTGATGGACTCCTCCGCCGCCGACCATCCCAGCTAGGACTCCGTCTTCTCCTATCCCTATCCCAACTGGGACTTCTCCTCCTATAGTCTCTCGGATCCCGACGACGATCGCGATCTCGACTCCGACTCCGACTCCGACTTCGACTCCTCCCACCCCTCGCCGGACTTCGTCTCCTGTCTCTGTAACCATCCCTCCTCATATCCCTCGAATCCCTCGAGTCTCGCGGATATGGATCCCGACTCACACTACGGTCATCTCTGCTTCCCCTCCGATTATAGCCAGGGTCACGAGGGTACGGCTCTCGAGACATACTCCGCTCATCCCTTCTCCGATCATCTTCCCCTCGTCGCTCATCAGGCCGTCGACTGTCCTCCCGCCTATCCCTCTCCCGATCACGTGTACTCACAGTCGGCTTCGGGGGCGCAGCCATACTCTCCCTCCCCGACGGCGAAGCCTCACGCGTCGAGCTTCCCATCGTACGTGAACTATCCCTTGCCCCGACTCCAAGTGCAGCAGGCTTCGGTATCGCCTTCTCCTCCACCGTAGATGCCTTCTCAACCTTAACTGGAGGTTTCGGTACAGGGGCAGGTGCAGGGGCCGCAGCCGCCATCTTCGCCCTCCTCTTTTCCAGTATCTTCTCAGCCATCCTCTTAATCTTGCCCCCATCCCCATCAAACTCAACTCCAACCCTCCTCTTATCAACCACAATTCCCTCCTTCACCGCCGCATCCACAGCCTTCCTCGCGCTCTCATACCCTTCATTCGCCTTCTTTTCCTTAAACTTGACCCGACACAAACCGAGGGAGGCGCCTGTGGCGGGATCGACTTCGACTCGACAATCGCGGATATCGCCGAAAGTTTTGAAGAGGAGTCCGATGGTGGTGTCGACGGTTAACTCGTCCAGCCCCGAGACAACAACCTGACATGGTGGGGCTTTCGTTGTCGAGTTCGCGTCCCAGGCCCATACACATCTCCTCAGCTCACTCCTCCACGTCTTCCGTCCTTTACTCGCCTCCCTACCTTTCTTCCCCTCCAACCTCGGATCCTTCGCAACCATTCCTTTCGCATTCGGTGGTCCTATAACAGGCGTCCGCGCATAGTCCGCCTTCCGGCCTTTCTCGGGTTTCGTGGCTTTAGGGAGTGTTTCTGGGTCATAGGCGATCTTCTTGTTATTCCGACCAACCAATTTCGTCCAAGCAGCCTTGATACTTTCCTCCCGTTCCGCGATCACCTTATCGAAGTTATGTTGCGGCGCAGGCGCTGTAGGCGGCGGCGGCTGTCTCGCAGGCACACCGTTCGCCGCAGCCATCGAACTCGGCTGCCTCGGTGCTGTTGGTGCTCCATTCATCTGCTGCTGAGGTCTTATCGAGGATGAACTGCTAGTCTGAGGTGTTCTTGCACTGGGTGGTTTCGCCACCACGCTTGGTGATCTCCCGGACGCAGTCGCAGTCGCAGTCGCAGTCGGCGGTCTTTGCGCCTGCGGAAAGAACGTGTTAAACCCCGCGTTCCCACTCGATGAACTTTGCGGACGCTCGTCACGTCTACCTACTGGTGACCCTGGTGTTCGATGATCCCGCGGATCAGGTCGACCGTATGGGGGCCGTTGATGCCCGTAGTTGTAGCCATTTGATGCCATTGAACGAAGGGATGGACACTGACTCAACAGGGACTTATGCGCACATACACAATTCCAGTCGCCTATTCAAACAAATGAAGATACGAGTCTTGTCTTGTAGACTGCAAATAACGTGTCAGCATACCTCAATCTACACCCAACACCTTCCACCCCACACCCGCAGCCGTCGTCGCGCAACCGCGGGAGCCCAGAAAGGGAGAAACTTACATTGCGCTCGCAGCCTAGAACCCTCTACCACACGTTATAAACAATTGAAACGGTCGCCTAGATGGTATCGAGAGGGCGGGTCGTCTTCTTCTTTGTCGTGCTTGAGATTTCGCGGTTTCGAGGTTCGCGATACGCGTGCCGCTCATTAGGGTTGGAGCCACACCACCCGCCACACCGACACCTCCAGCGTGTACAGCCGGCTCCACCACGAAGGCCACCGTCAACTCAATCCCAGCACTCGCAATGGTCAACCTCACCCTCTACTCAACCCACGCAGTCCTCCTCCTCTCCTCCACCGACGGATCCCGCATCCTCGCCAAGTACTACAACCAACCACACCCATCAACAACAACCCCCTCCCCCGCATTCACCACCCCCGCATCCCAAAAATCGTTCGAAAAGACATTGTTTGAGAAGACGAAGAAGCAGGGTACGGATATCATCTTGATTGATAACAAGGTGGTGGTGTACAAGCAGGTTGTGGATGTGATTATTTATCTAGTTGGTGGGGATGAGGAGAATGAGGTTATGCTATGGGCTGCTTTGATGGGGTTGAAGGAGTCTCTTGATATTCTCATGAGGTACCGTTACTCTAGGGGCACGTGTGGTCTTCGCTCGGCTGGCTAATGTGCTCTACAGAAACCAAGTCGACAAACGCACAATCCTCGAGAACTACGACCTGGTAACTCTCGCCGTCGACGAAATCGTAGACGATGGAATCATTCTCGAGACGGATCCGCAGACAATTGCGTCACGGGTAACGCGCGCACCAACTTCTGACGGCGGTGCGATCAAGGTGGACTTGTCCGAGCAGGGATTGATGAACGCATGGGGAATGGCAAAGGAGAAGTTGGCAGACAGAATACTGAAGGGTGGTTTCTAGACGTACGAAAGGCGGATCTCGACTGGCAGCGGATCGCCATATGATACCCAAATTAATCTGATTAGAATGAACGAATTCCTAAAACACCAAAAACGCCCATCCTCATCGCCAAAATCCTCGCCGAATCCCCAAATGGAAGTGACAGACCCAACCACAACACCCCCATCAAACCCTCCTAGTATTCGGACCCATCCTCGTCCTCAACACCCCAATCTCGTCCTTATACCCCCTAATCATCCCCTCCATCGTCGCATTCCTCGCCTCCAAGTCCATAACCCTCTTCTCCGCCCCCTCCCTCTTCTCTCTCTCCTCCCCCAACGCCTTCCTCGCCGCATCACGCCCCCGCACCGCACCCTCCGCTAACCGCCGTTGTCGCTCTACGGCTGCAGTGAGCGAACTAGCAAGGTCTGGTACTCGTGTACGAAGTTGAGAGAGGAGTTGGGTGAGTTCATCCGTATGTGATTTCTGGGTTGCGGAGAGGAAGAGGGGTGGGGTCGCTGGTGGCGGAGGGAGTGCTTGGAACCGTGATGTCATGGGCGTTCGGTGGTGTTTTGATTCAGGCGGTGTTCGAGCTCCTCCATTATGATCAGCGATCCGTCTGCTAGGTGTTGTAGCAGCCGCGGCTCCAGCTAGACCCTCGTTCTTGACTTTAGGCATATCCAAATCGCTGTCCTCATCTGTGGTATTCGTATCGCTCACACTCAGCCGTTCTAGTGCTTTTCGTTTCGAAGGTGACAGGGAAGACAGCGTCTTGCGTTCTTTCCGTGGAGTCTGCAGGCCAGCGACGACCTTGCTACCCGTACCAGGCTTCGGCATCTGCAATGGGTTTCTTCGTGGTACGTCGACGTCTTCTGTGTCAGATGGACCCCAAGGTAGAGTATCCTCCTCATCATCAACCGTAAGCGCCGGCGCCGTCCCTCTCGCCGGACCATCACCCCGTAACTTCACCGGCGACGTCGCCCCAGCCTCAAGCACCTCACGAGCCGTACTTATCCCCTGTCCTCGTTTCACAACCAACGGACTCTGCTGCTGCTCCCTAACCCTCGCATCCGGCTCCGCCCACAAAAAAAACCCACACTGCTCCTCCCGCCCTTTCTGGCACGTGTAGAAAAAGCGGCGTTTGTTTGCGCCTTCTTTACCGACTTGGAGGTAGTTTGCGGGGAGAGGGCAGTTGCATAGCCAACCGCTCTCGGGTGAGTACGAGCCTTTTGCTGCGGCGAATGCAGTTTTTCCTTTTGTTGGGGATCTCGAGGTCATTGTTAGGGTCATGGACGGGGGTGTCTTGCGGTCCGTGGGGGCGGTGGAGATGAAGTGGATGGAGTCGGGTGATTGAATGAGGGTGGGTACAACTGGGTCTGTAGTGTGTGCGGTAGCGGTGTCGGCGATGTGAGAAGCAGGTGACAATGACTGATCCAGCAGCAGCGGAAGCAACGGAGTGAAGGTTTGGATGGTTCAAATGTTGTATGCGCCCGCGTACATCCTGCAATCACATCGACGAATGAGGCAACATCACAACAAAGCTCAACGTGCACGGTACCGTACCGGTGGGTACAAAAGTATTTGTGCTCACATTTGCAAATCTGTGTCTGCAATTGAATTGGATGATCTATGGGCCGGCGTATCTTTGTGAATTCAACGCGTGGTGGTATACGTGTTTTCGATGCTTTTTTGCTCTGGTCTATGCGCTCCTCTGGATATCATTGCTTTTCCGTCGCAATCTCCTTCATCCTACCCCAATGTCCATGTCTTCTGATAGATCATTATCATCATACCTCTTCGGTACCGTCACTCCCATACTTCGCTTCACACCTTGAGCAGCACGTATCATACACCCCACTCTCCCATCTCACTCATCGTACGTCCCCCATCACTGCGGTCCCTCCCCTCCCGGAATCAACATACAAATCTGATTCCCATTCAACAAAATCTGGTCATGCTTCTTCATCTGCTGCGCGGAGTCATACTCTGTCACGTCCTCGAGGACCATATTCACGAAATCGTCGAAACCTGACAGAGTCCCGCAGAACTCTATTCACCCAAAAACATCAGCAACAGTGGAAGAGGGGGGCGAGGAGGAAAAACGAACCCTTATCACCCTTCATAACGACCCAAATTTTCGAGCCGACACACTTGTCGACCAACTCTGTACCACCCCCAACAGTTAGCCCGTGTCCCGTGTATCCCGATCTGCTAGACGTGACGAACCTAATGGAAGAAGCTGTGATGCCATTGGTTATCGATCGAGGGATATCAAAATCAAAACGTCGTAGAATGCTGTGAGGTATGCTGTCCGGGTGTGGCGGGTGACCCAGGCGCTGTGGCCGTGCACGTACGTCCGCTGTTACGGTAGGGAACACCATGCGTGGGAATCCAATACCTAGCGAGTCGTTTCAATCACAAGATCGATGATCACTAAGGTTTCAGTTATACCAGATCTTCATTGGTGTGCATGACTCAAATACGGCACGCTTCTCCCTAGGCCTCATGATCACTCCCTCACTTCCACCTTATTCTTATAAAAGGCAACCCACCCCTCAATGTACTTTGCCCCCTCCTTCGCCTCCGGATAATACCACGCAATATTCTCCAACTTCACACTCCTCGCATCATCCTTACCCGGAATTTCGACGGTGTAATAGCTGGCGTCGCCTTTCCAGGGACAGTGGGTATGGAGTTCCGTAGGGCCATGGAAATATTGCTTTTGGATGGTGCCGGGGGGGAACTGCGGGGGGGGGGTAGGGTGTTAGTAGGTAGAGTGAAGGGAAGGGGGGCGGAGTGGTGCACGGACGTAAAGATTTCCTTCGACGCGTTCGACGCGTTCGGATTGGGCGAGGAGGGTGTCACCGACGTATACGGAAGGCATGATGCTAACGGGTTACGATGGCAATGGCGGTTGTCGTACAATTACATCGGTATATATGCGGAGTCGGGCCGATGCAGATCCGACGGAGTCCGGGAACATTGGCTGTCCAGTTGCTCGATCAGTAACTCAGCAGGTCACATGATCTCGCGATCGGGACATGCAAGTCTTGTATATTCCCACGCCCCACCCCAAATTCCACGCGCACCGTGACTCCACCTTCCAAATCGAGCCATGTGACGTGACGACTTGATCCCTCACAAAACATGACGAGCGACTCCCGAGGCATCTCGTGACGCCGTCCTGACGACGCGGCTCTTGTCACGGGGGGGGAGGGAAGGGGGGTATATAACCGGCTCGTGCTGTTGAGGAAGGGTTAGCCATATGTGAACGATAGCCATCGACAGAGAGCAATCATATACGAACTCTTTGATAACTACGATATGTTGACACAAGGCTTTGACGTATGTCCCTCTCCCTTCCCTCACAGTCCCTCCCCTCCACTCGCACATTCCCACTCCCTCATCGTACCTCGGCCAAGTGACTGACATACTCGTCCTCGCGCAGCCCTCCGGCATGTCCGGCGACGCAGCCGCTTCCCTCCCCCCAACCTCCTCCCCCACCGACATCCCCTCCACAACCCGCGGCCCCTCCGTCACCCCCACCGGCACCGCAATCCCCACTCTCCCCCTCTCCACTTCCCCCACGGCCACCTCCTCTTCCCCTACTGACACCTACGGCGTCACCCCTCCTAACGCGAACCGCTGGTCCAACTTCGCACCCAACAGATGGTCCTTCGGCGGTAATGACGGACAAGGCACCCCGGCGTTCCAGTCGTTGTTGGAACAGAGGAGGGGAAGCCAGGATAAGGCGAAAGAGCATGCGGAGATTGGGATTAGGAGGGGGAGTTTGGGGGAGACGATGAATCAGTTTTGGAAGAATTTGGGGAGGGGGGAGTGAGGCAGTATTATTAGGGAATGGTGTACGATAGTTGATGGGAGTTTGGGTTCTTAAATGAACGTGTATCATATTTGGTGAGCATATCGCAACCAAACGTTAAATGTCATATAAACTCACATACACCAAATGCTCCCAAAATCCAGAAAAAAACAAAAAAAACGCCTTCCACATCCAATATCGTGCACCTTCATCTCTCCTCCAGCATATATCGCACAAGTACATCCCCTCCCCTCGCTCTTCCGCCCTTCAACCTCGAGCACACACACACTCACACCATCATCAACGCAATAAACACACTCACAACCGCAACAACAACCATCACAACCCCCTCACTCGTCGCCGCACTAGCCGGGGTAGCTGTCGCTTCCGATATCCCGAGGGTCGACGAACTTGAGGTTGAGCCTATGCTCGACATGTCAGGACTCGGTGGTCTGAGAGGAGGAGAGGGGATGTACCTGATGACTGTGCAACGACAGAAGACAACGCGAAGAGGGAAATAACTAGGATGAGGTAGGACAGCTGGTAAAGGTGTGTAGTCGGCCGGCGGCGGTGGTGGTGGTGGTGAGTCATGACGTCGTCGTCCGTCGTCGTATATGCCCAAAGTTCCTCTCCCCTTCTCTGCCTGCTTCTCTTTTCGATACGGCCTTTGAATGAATAGAAAGGATGAACCGTTCGATATATGCCGCGTTTCGTTCAGGAGGTCAACCCATAATTCTCATTGTTGTTCTGCCGGCCGGCGACGGAAGCGGAAACGGAAGCGGGAACAACGGGACACGTGAATGCATTCGATATAGGGATCGGGGCTAAGTACATTTTAGAAGGTGTAGCAGGGACGTCGCGGCGCAGCATGATGTAAGTAGGAAGGGTTGACGACGTTACAGTTGGATGCCGATATCACTTTCGGAGGGACTTTGTATATCTGGCATTTTGAATCCCTTGCGCGCGACGTCATCCCACGGCCTCGCGGCCCGAGCACCTGCCTCCCGAGCCGGACATGGACTTCCCGAATCATATCCAGATCGTACCGTTTGTTTGCTCGAGCATATATACCGACGCTTTTACCATCGTTGGCAACCACCATGGAGAATTACGTAATGCAACACACCTCTACGTCCACAACAGCACAAGCACAAGCACAAGCACAATCCAGCGCCAAACAGGAAATCTACGAAATCATAACAGGGAGTGCCTCTCCACTCTCCGGCTCTGCCCCCGCTTCCCCCTTCCTCTCCGCCAGTGACACCCCCATCCCAGATCCAGCTGCAGCTGCAGCTGTAACGAGTCCACTCCGCAAGGATTCCCTCGCAAACCGTTCCTTCGAGAAAATCACCCCCTTCAGCGACGGACACCGCTCACCCCTCTCCTCACCCACCACAGAAAACGACGACGACGGAAGACAGCTAGCCACAATCGTGGAAGCGAGTGCGTTCCAGAGATACGTACTTGCGCCGTTGACGTTCATCTCGTTTTTGTTGGGGTTGTTGTTGGTGGATAAGAAGGAACAACGGCTGCGTGCGCGGGAACGGAGTTTGCGTGGGTCTGTCTCGTCCACGACGAGTCCCGGGTTGGGTCGCGCAGCATCTGATCCCATCAATGCGAGGAGGGTTAGGCGTGAGAGGACGGAGGATCCGGAGGATTATGGGGGGACGTGGTGGTATAGACAAGGCGCGCTCCTGAAATTCGAGGTGGGCAAGGCCTTTGAGGTTGAGGCGCAGATTGAGAGGGTTATTGTGGGGTTGGTGGGGATGGTCTTGTTGGTGGGAGGGTGTGTTTGGTTGTGGTGGAGGTGAGGGTAGGAAGGGAGAGGAGAGGAGTGTACGATATGACGAGGTGGAAGAGATACGGAGAATGTGAGGCGAGATGAGCTGATTGTATGCTAGGGAACGGGAGTTTCATCGCTTGGTTTTGGTGTGGTTATGGATGGTATCGATACCCTTGATATGGATTGCGCTCTTGGTATATCCCCCAAATCAGTATTACCAAACTTATCTTCGCATTACATCGCATTTCAACCTGTCTTACAGTATGTGCAAGGAACCCTTCTTGTTTCCATAGCCACAGGACATGTTACCGGTACGACGTTCGGGACAGGTCATCGACGAGGGATCGCACGTAGTTATGGGTAATTTGCATATTCAGTATTCGTGAAATGCTCTGTTTCAATGATACTCGTACACCAAATGCTCCACGCCAGCACCTCCTCCGTTTTCCTTCTGAGCGGTCCTGATCAAGTCAGGCCTGACTTGAACAGCAAAAGGCTCAACAGCAACAACCTCCACTCCTAACCCAATGCACTCCCCGCTCGCACTTTCGCTACCTCTCATACCCCGTTTCCCCACTTCATCTGCTTAACGCCTCCTGTCAACCCTGTTGAGCTTCTTCGCGGTCTTAATGTTATTATTCGTCCTCTGACCCCTAACAGGCAACCCAGCCGCATGTCGTTTTCCTCTATACGTCCCAATCGTCCTCAACCTCATAATCGACGCCTGCATCTTTCTGATCAAATCGGATTCAATGGTCATGTCCGTCAACACCTTCGAGAGGTCGTTGATTTTGTATTCGGAGAGGTCTTGGACTTTGCAGGTTCTGTGGATCATGAGCTTTGCGCAGATTTGGGCGGCGGTGTGGTGGCCGATGCCGTAGAAGGAGGTGAGGGCGATTGGGACGGTTTTGTGGTCGAGAAGGTGGGTACCCAACAAGTGGAGGGAGCGGTGCTGGGGTTGGGTCGCAGCAGCAGCGGTGGTGGCGGTGAGCGTTGGTCGCAGTGATGGGAGTAGTGATCGGAACATGGTGGCCCTGGAGCTTGAGAGGGTTTGATCCGTTCGGCTTTTCAGTGTTCGTTTCTCGGTGGAGTGTCGGTTGGTGTGGCTGAGGCACAATTTTGGTACGCATCAGCCACGATATACGATACGAGAAGGTAGAATCCTCGACGTTTACGACTGATTATCTGACGACTATAGGTTCTTTGATCTTGTTCGCAAGGTATTCTTTCTTGTCATAGCCTGAGCGCATATCCTACACCATGTCCAGGCCCGAACATATCGCTCCTCCGGAGATTGTACGTTCACCTACCCTCGATCAATTTCTTGAGCAGGCTCTAACAGTCTATTGTAGTTCTACAACGACGATGAAGCGCAAAAGTACACCCAGAACTCCCGTGTCCAGTCAATTCAGGCAGAGATGACCCTTCGCGCCATCGACCTTCTCTCCCTCCCCGACTCACCATCCTTTCTCCTCGATATCGGTTGCGGATCCTGCCTATCTGGCGAAATCCTCTCAGAAGAGGGACACATCTGGTGCGGTCTCGATATCGCTCCATCCATGCTGCAGGTAGCGCTGGAGAGAGATGTCGAGGGTGACTTGTTCCTCCAAGATATTGGTGACGGGATCCCGTTCAGAGCCGGTACCTTCGATGGTGCGATTTCCATTTCGGTGATTCAGTGGTTGTGTAATGCGGATAAAGCCGCCAATGCCCCTGGTGTGCGTCTACGAAGGTTCTTCGAGACGTTGTACGCGAGTCTGAGAAGAGGTGGCCGAGCAGTTTGCCAATTCTACCCCGAGTCAGAGCAACAAACGGCGCTCATCATGCAGATCGCCACGAAGTGTGGTTTCGGAGGAGGTTTGGTCGTCGACTACCCCGACTCCAAGAAGGCGCGGAAGTACTACCTTTGCTTGGTTGCTGGTCAACCGGATGCACCAGTAGCTTTGCCGCAAGCGTTGACTGGGGAGGAGGAGAGTGGTGTCAAGTATGAGGGTAGAAGAGGTGCTGGAGGAGCTATTCGGAATAGGGATAAGAAGAAGAAGGGGAAGGCGGAGCAGGGATCGCGGGAGTGGGTGTTGCAGAAGAAGGAGCTCTACAGAAAACGTGGTAAGGCCGATGTGCCTCGCGATTCCAAGTACTCTACCAGGAAGAGAAAGGTTAGGTTTTGAGGAGTTATCTATGCATATTATTATTTGGGATTTCACAGGCTACATTTCAAGCTCAGCGGGCGCAGCAGGCACAATCGCCGTAATGTGCGGCGCAACCCAAATTTCGACGCAGGCGAAACTCTACACCAAGAAGTAACAGTAACGACGAACAGCCATCCCGTCCAGACCTCCACCCGATCCATTGACCTCTAACAACCTCAAAACTAGTCAGTACAAGGTCTACACTCGCCCCACTATGTCCTCCCTCCGCAACGCCGTCTCCAGGCGCAACCACAAAGAACGTTCCCAACCCCTCGAACGCCAAAAATTCGGCCTCCTCGAAAAGAAAAAAGACTACATCCTCCGTGCCCGAGACTTCCACCGCAAACAAGACTACCTCAAGAAACTCCGCGAAAAAGCAACCGACCGCAACCCCGATGAGTTCTATTTCGGTATGATGACGGAGAAGACGCGGAAGGGTGTCGTGGTCAAGGATCGGGGTAATACGACGTTGAGTGAGGATGCGCTTAAGGTGTTGAGGACGCAGGATGCGGGGTATGTGAGGACGATGAGGCAGATTGAGAGTAAGAAGATTGAGAGGTTGGAGGCGGAGCTGCATGTTTTGGATGATGAGACTCCGGACGCGCATAAAGGCAAGAAACGGAAACATACTGTTTTCGTCAACGACGAGTCCCATGCGAAAACCTTCGATGCAGCTTCTCACTTCGACACTCACCCCTCCCTCGTCTCCCGTTCATCCAACCGCCCACGCCTAGACCAACTCGAATCTGTCTCATTCGCCCCATCAAATGTCGAGATGGATGAGAGGAAGATCCAGAAAGAGAGGGAGGCACGGCTGAGAGAGTTGGATGCCAGGACCCAGAGGGGTGATATGTTGAGGAAGTTGGAGAAGGAGACCGTGTTGCAGAGGAATTTGCAGGGAAAGGGGGCGAGGAAGAAGACTGGTGTGGATAAGGACGGGACGGCGGTGTACAAGTGGAAGCAGGAGAGGAAGCGGTAGACACACCGTAAAGGTATGGAGTCGGAAGGAACAGAATGAAGTTAAAGAGCATTTCATTCACAAGGATATCATACTATCGTACTCAAACCAATACCAAGACAGGGGTGCATAACAAACCTCATAACGTACACTTTTCCATACTTTGACCATCCTCAAATCTTCGCCTTCCCAACCCTTCCCATACTCTCCCTCAACCTCTCCACCTCACCCTCCCCCCTGACAACCTCCGCATCCCTATAATTCACATTAAAAGTAACTCCGTTCAACGGCTCCATCCCCGCCCTCTTCACCATATCCTCATAAACCCTCCCATCCCCCCTCCCCAACGAACTCTGCAACAAATAATCGGGGAAATCGAAGGCGTCAACGAGGGGGACAGCGTTCGGTCGGAGCGAGATGAGGAGTGACATCTGCGATGTGCGGAGGAGGGAGAATTGGTGAGGGGAGAGGTATCCTGACGCGAGGAATTCCGAAGCTTCGCGGAGCATGGTGTCCACGCCGAAGAGGTAACAGCATTCACGCATAACAGCCCCCATGCCTTTGCGGCCGTTGCTCTCCAGATCACCTGCCTCGAGTGCGTCTGCAAAAGTCTTGATGAGGATGAACTGACAGTGCGCGACACTCGCGCGGTAGAAATCCACAAGAAGCGAGTTCCAGGACATATTCAGCTCATCTCTCTTATGCAAGATATCCTCCACCAAATACGCCGCACGGTGTCCAAACGCCCTCACCAACATCTCCGCATCCCTCCAATCACCCTCACTCTCCACTGGACACTTCGCATTCTTGTCCTGCTGATACGCGAGCAAATACTCGATCGTGGGGTTCTTGTTCGCATACTTGATCTTCCCACCTTTCTCCTTGACTTCACGTGCGATTTTGAGGAGGTAGCGGGCGACTTGTTGCGTGAGCATGTAGTTGTCGCCTTCGTAGGTGACGTTGGGGAGGTAGTCTTGGTAGAAAGTTCCGAGTCCGGAGAACATACTGAATCCGTGGCCTCCACAAGCGCGACGGCAGACTTCGATAGATTCGGCGGCCATGGTCGTGCAGAGGGATTTGAGACCGGAGGAGGACGCGTGGAGGTCGGCAAGGAGTGCGAAATCGCCTCCAGCGGCGCGTTTGGCATTCAACTCATACAACCTCATCATCGCAGTCCCGGTAAAGTGGAGAGCGTACGCCTGAGCAATAACGGGAAGAAGTCGGACCTGAACAGTAGTGTAATCCAACACCGCCGTTTCCACCGCCCGTCCCCTCTCGAACTTTGGCGCATCCCGATCCGCAAACTGCCTCCGAATCGCACAATACCTCACCGCGACCGTCGCCGCCCTCGCAGTAACGAGTCTCGCATTCAACACGATCCCGGAACGGACCCAGGTCATTGTTCCGTACGACAACTTGTCGTTCGGTGGTTTCTCGTAGGCACCCGTGGCGGGGTCGATCCGGGCGAAATTGGCGAGCATGTTGAAGTGTGGGATCTTCACGTGCTCGAACAGCAAAAACCCGTTATCGATCGCGTTGTACCCGAACTTGGGCCCGATATCGCCAACAAGGACGCCGGGGAGGGGTTGGTGAGTTTTCAGGTCGCGGATGGGTACGACAAAAGGGTGGGGCCCGTAGGTTTTTCCATTCGAGATGAGTTGAGCCATGACGACCGCCGTATTCGCCGTACGTCCGAGGGAGCCGATCCACCATTTTGAGGAAGTGAGGGTGGGGGAGTGGAGATCGAAGGTCTGTGTCTTAGGGTCGTAGGTCGCGGTGGTTTCGAGGCCTTGGACGTTTGAGCCGTGGCCGAGTTCGGTTTGTGCGTAGCAGCCGATCAATTCGTAGTTCTCGGAGGGATTGAGGAACTTCTCGTGTTGTTCGGGGGTACCTTGCCCGCGGAGGGTCATTAGGTACATGGACTTGTGAAGGTGGTACTGCGTTTGCACATGTCAGTAGATGTATGCAGGATGAGGAAGGAGGGAACATACCGGGTGAGCCTCATCAACAAGCCAATCAGCCATCTGAACCTCCTCATCCGTCCAGTCCAAATCCTTCGCCAACTGCGTCGCCCTCTTCGCCCTCGCCAACGCTAACCGAATCCTCTCCCCCCTCCCCAAGTAGTAATTCGGTGTCTTGTCCATAATCGGATCAGCCTCCAAAATGGCCAAGATCTTATCCCGACGAGCAAGCCATTCGTGACCGTAAATGTATTCGGTAAGTTTGGGGATGGAGAAGGTCGCTTTTGAGCGTTCGCGGGCGAGGACGTCGGGGCCTTGAGGGTCTGCGGGTTTTAGGTGGGAGGGGAAGGGGATGTGGGCCACTGCCTTGAAGGGTTCTGATTTATTGCTCATGGGCATGGTTGTTTGTTGTTTGTATGGGTGGTAGAGAGGAAGGGAAGGGGAGGGATGAGATCGAGGAGAGCCTTTTATGGGTGTTGCTTCGCCTTCGGGGCCGGGAGTTGGAGGAGAGGAGACGGGTGCACCCCAGATTTGGGTGCCGCCGACATGGGAGGGGCGCCGGCGCGCGTGTGGGGGGGGAGACTCCGAGTCCCGAGAGGACATCTGAAGAATGCGAAAGTTGCCTCATATGAGAAGTGGATGGTTCTCAAAAAGGGTATACTATTACGACGGCTGTAAAGACTGGAAACGCCATCCTATCCCATATGCACCACGCAGTCCTCTCGCTTCCCTCTTCGGCCTACTTCTTCTTCACCACAATTCCAAGCGCAGCCCCCAAGTCCTTCTTCTTCCTCTTCACAACCCCCGTCTTGAAAGTAGGGATTGCCGGCTTAGCCACCACAGGCACCGGCGTCTCCTTCAATGCCCCATCACCCTCAACAACTCTCCGCACCTTATCTCCATCTGCGTCCAGAAAAGCTTTCCGTGCAATTTCAGCATCTTCTCGCGCGAGTCGCTCTTCCTCCGTTTCCACCTTAGCAGCGGCTTCGCGCTCAGCATCGATGAGGTCAAGCGCGGCATCAACCCCCGTTCTCTCATGCCGTGAATTCCTGGTCCGGATCTCGTCCAATGCATCCATGATCTCCATCTCCATCTTCGCATCCAACGTCTTACTCTCCAACCTCTCCATCGCATTCTCCCCCTCCTCCTCTCCACCCTCCCCCTCCCCGCCCTCCTCCTCGTCCCCGTCCTTCTTCTTCCACGGCTCGAAATTCCTGGAAGCACCACTCTCCATAAGATAATCCCCATTCTTCGGATCCGTCATAAAGGTAATCTCAGCCGAACATCGCGTACACCGAATATAAAACCGGAACCGCTCGATACTGAGGTAAAACTCCCCGCTATTCTCTTTACGTGCGTTGAATTTTTTGCCCTTGTAGATGTATTCGCCGCAGGTGTTGCATTTCATGGAGAAAGGTGTCATGAGACGTACTGTTTGAACTTTTGGGCCGGCTTTTTGGGGTTTTTTGCGTTTGGTGAGGAGGGAGGGGTCGAAGTCTGGGGGGAAGTACTGTTTGCATAAACGTCAGCTACGGATGGTCCATGCATTGCGACCGCTACACACCTTGTTCAACACCTTACGTTCGGCCATGTTACCGTTTGGGTGTCCTTGTCAACCATTACGTCGCCTTCGTCAACCGCCGTTATCGACTGTCCCGGCCGCGCCACACACCATCCCTGCTGAGCCCCTTCCAAAAGTACCTCGGGAAACAGAAAAATACGTACGAGCCCAAACACCCTCAGCACCCAATTATGTCCAAAAGACCCGCTTCCGAGACCTCAGGGACCACCACAAAGAAGGCCAAGCTCGCGCCTTTGCTCCCATCCGTGCCGTCCAGCACCTCGACTGCGGCATTCCGTGTCATTGCGGGATCATATGAACATGTGCTCTATGGACTCGACGCCATGTTTGATTCAGCAGCTGGGAAGGGTAGTAATGCACACATGGAACCAGTCTTTATCTTCCCGGCACACATGGCCGCAATGAAGACCCTCGCTGTCGGAGGACGGTATCTCGCCTCGGGTGGTTCAGATGAAATTATCAAACTCTACGACCTCAAACTCCGGAAAGATCTCGGTACACTACATGCCCACAACGGCTCCATCACACACCTCTCCTTCCCCACGAAACAGCATTTACTGTCGAGTGATTCGACTGGAACGATCGTGGTGTGGAGAACGAAGGATTGGGAGAATATGGCGACGATGAAACAGAAATCTTCGGTACAAGGCGGGAAGAAGGGGATTACGTCTTTCGCTGCACACCCATCGGGGAAGATCGCGCTCTCGGTTGGTGAGGATCGTCGTGTTACGCTGTGGAATCTCATGACCGCCCGCCGTGCCGCAGTCAACAAACTCCCCCTCCAACCAACCAAACTCGGAGACCCACTCAGTGTCGCGTGGAGTCTGAGTGGAGAGAGATATGCAGTGATGTTTGATAGACATCTTGTGGTGTATGGGACTGCGACACAGACGGTTGTTGGTGGGGTACAGTGTGTTAGTAAGATGCATTGCTTTGCGTGGTTGGATGAGGAGCGTGTGGTTGTGGGTCATGAAGATACCAAGATCCGGGTATGGAATCCTATCGCGCCTCCCGACACGGAAACCGAAGACGTCGAGCGATACCGCGGTACTGAGGTGGAAGTGTGGTCCGGACACCGCGCACGCGTAAAGTGCATCGAACGTGCACCCTCGCCTCACACCAATATCTTCGTCACAGCTTCTTCCGATGGTGAGCTCAAGCTCTGGCGAGTCGGGTCCAAGATCGTCGCAGGAGAAGCGGAGGGGGAGACGAAGGAGATTGGAAGTTTTGAGTGTGGGAATAGGATTACGTGTTTGACGGTTGCGGATGTTGGGCATGTGGAGAAGTTGAAGGAGGAGGTTGAGGAGGAGGAGGTTAAGACCGAGGTGGAAAGTGAGGGGGAGGAGGAGGAGGAGGAGTAGGGTAACAGGAAGCCTTAGTTGAGGAATGACGGAACCATCATACAAGAAATACATTCTGTCCTCATTGTTCATCTTGTCCAGGTCCAACAAGGTGTGCGTAATCTAAGATTATCGATAGACGACGGATCAGGTGCAGTGCATGCGCAGCCCATTGGTACCAAACTCGTGATTTTCCATTATTCTTTTCGCTACCCAATCCCGAAGGGGAACGAGATCAGGTCAGTACATGCCACGTGCAATTTCTCCCACGGTATGTCGCAGAACACTATACTCTCGATCTCGATGAAGTGACGACGGTACCGGTGCGGGCCGCCTGCTACAACTGGCAGAATCCGTAGTTGCAGTCTGTCAGCTAATATACTTTGATAGGGTTGGAATTGGGTGACGGAGTCGGCTGACGCATCCCCAGTTGACGTAACCGGCAGGTTTCACAGTTGTTGCAGAACGCTGCGAAGCTTCGCCTACACCACCCTTCCATCTCCCTATTTGTCAAACTGACGACACCTCTTCGAAAGTTGGCCAGCTTTTGCTAATAACTACATAAAAAAGGTTTGACGAACTCATTTGCAAGTTCTGCCACCGCCTGTTTGCAAAGGCCGAATACCGAGGCGCAGTACGACCATGCCATACCTGAGCGTCGTTAACGTTGTTAGTCCTATTTGACACAGCGGGAACTTGATAAAGGATTTCTGCTTGTCATGTGCCATATTCTAGAGGTTATTCTACTTCACCTTTCGGTTGAGTGTGTTCCACGGTGAATTTGGGTCCACATGTACACTCACGTCGCTATCGGACACCGACGCTCGGCAATTGAAAGACGGATGCAGCTATAGCTAGCGCTCGGGAGAACCGCAGCTAGATCGACGTTACAAGTCGGCCAGGATAAAGCGAATGAATGTGGAGCTGTCGACCGAATCCAGCTACCAACTGTCAGGCAGGACTTCCTTAGCGATCGATCGATATCGGTTTTTAAAATTTCCCACGCGCGATGATTGGCCAGAAATGGCGACGTGCGAACTAACCTCACTTGACGTTGCAAGGCTGCATTAGAGCCCCCAGCTGGCCCGCAGAAGGTTCCCCAACATCCGTCCTCCCCAGAAGATTCAGAGGTCCAGCTGCGAATGCCGTCTTCACAGCTTTACCATCCCAATGAAAGCCATTACAAATCTTATTTCATCACGGATCACCTCTGACGTTTTTCCTCTTCATCTGTCCTGTCTAAGATAGTAGATCTTCATATGACTGTTCTGGCTGCTCAGCCATCGCGCACCGCCCGCTTCCCAGCGCTGCGCGCTTATCTCCCTCCAGATTTCCCAGATTTTGCTACCGGCTGGACGTCACTCAAGAAACCGCAGAACCAAAAAGCTCTCTGTCGCCGTCCTCACCTCTTCAATCCTTTCAAACCCCCGCCACTTTTTATCTCCGTTTCTCATTGATACACGACGATGGCAGACCTCGCTGCCCCGAAGGACATCAAGAATGATCCCGAGCAGGCTGTGATTGATGAGGTTGAGGAGATCTCGGCTCCTGGCCACATTGACCATGTTAGGAGGAACTCTTTGGTCTTGAGCTCTAAGGACAACAAGATTCTTGGTAAGTGGCATTGAATTTATCCTGGTTATGGGCGAAGAGGTTGGTGTTGAGTCATTTGCGACATTTCGATTGGAGCGGAGTGAATGCGATCAATGGGCCGACAGAACGGAGGGAATGCGATGAAATGATTTCAAAAAGCGAAAGAAACATTTCTACGAGGATACATGCTGGATGAATGCTGGGAGATCTTGTTGCGATAATGATATCAACACCACAACCAAAACAAGCCGTCCAGGACGAACCCTCGGAATGAATGCTAATAATTCTGTGTTACAGTTGCCAATCGTGGTGAAATTCCCATTCGTATCTTCCGTACCGCTCACGAGCTCTCCATGACCACCGTCGGTATCTACTCCTACGAGGACAGACTTTCCGCCCACAGGTACAAGGCCGACGAGTCTTACCAGATCGGTGAGCGCGGTCAGTTCTCCCCCGTCGGTGCCTACCTCGCCCAGGACGAGATTGTCAGGATCGCCAAGGAGAAGGGTGTCTCCATGATCCACCCCGGATACGGTTTCCTCTCCGAGAACGCCTCTTTCGCCAGGAAGGTCGAGGCTGCTGGTATCAAGTTCGTTGGCCCCCGCCCTGAGGTCATCGATGCTCTCGGTGACAAGACCAAGGCTAGGACTGTCGCTATTGAGTGTCAGGTTCCTGTTGTCCCTGGTACTGACGGACCTGTCTCCAACGCTGAGGACGCCGAGGCCTTCGTCGAGAAGCACGGTTTCCCCATCATTATCAAGGCTGCTATGGGTGGTGGTGGTCGTGGTATGCGTGTCGTGCGCGACATGGAGTCTTTGAAGGACTCTTTCCTCCGTGCCGTTTCCGAGGCCAAGTCCGCTTTCGGTGACGGTACCGTCTTCATCGAGCGTTTCCTCGACAAACCCAAGCACATCGAGGTCCAGATCTTGGCTGACTCCTACGGTAACGTCGTTCACTTGTTCGAGCGTGACTGTTCCGTTCAGCGTCGTCACCAGAAGGTCGTTGAGGTCGCTCCTGCCAAGGACTTGCCTCGCGAAGTCCGTGACCAGATCTTGGCTGATGCTGTCAAGTTGGCTCGTCACGTTAATTACCGTAACGCTGGTACCGCTGAGTTCTTGGTCGACCAGCAGAACCGCCACTACTTCATCGAGATCAACCCCCGTATCCAGGTTGAGCACACCATCACGGAGGAGATTACTGGTATCGACATTGTCGCTGCTCAGATCCAGATTGCTGCTGGTGCTTCCCTCGAGCAGCTCGGTTTGACCCAGGACCAGATTTCCATCCGCGGTTTCGCAATTCAGTGCCGTGTCACCACTGAGGACCCCGAGAAGGGTTTCCAGCCTGACACCGGTAAGATCGAGGTCTACCGTTCCGCCGGTGGTAACGGTGTCCGTCTCGACGGTGGTAACGGTTTCTCCGGTGCTATCATCACCCCTCACTACGACTCTATGTTGGTCAAGTGTACCTGCTCTGGTCACACCTACGAGATTGCCCGCCGCAAGATCCTCCGTGCCCTCGTTGAGTTCCGTATCCGTGGTGTCAAGACCAACATTCCTTTCTTGACCCGTCTCTTGACTCACGAGACCTTCATTGCTGGTTCCTGCTGGACTACCTTCATTGACGACACTCCTGAGCTCTTCCAGCTTATGAAGTCCCAGAACCGTGCCCAGAAGTTGTTGGCGTACATGGGTGACGTCGTTGTTAACGGCTCTTCCATCAAGGGACAGAACGGTGAGCCCCAGCTCAAGACTGAGGTTATTATCCCCAAGTTGCCTGAGGTTGACACCACCAAGCCCTGCACCAAGGGTTGGAGGAACATCCTTGTTGAGCAGGGACCTGAGGCTTTCGCCAAGGCTGTCCGTGCCAACAAGGGATGTTTGGTCATGGACACTACCTGGCGTGACGCCCACCAGTCTCTCTTGGCTACCCGTGTCCGTACCATTGACTTGGTTAACGTCGCTCCTGTCACCTCTCACGCTTTGAGCGGTGCTTACGCCCTCGAGATGTGGGGTGGTGCCACCTTCGATGTCGCCATGCGCTTCTTGTACGAAGACCCCTGGGACCGTCTCCGCAAGCTCCGCAAGTTGGTCCCCAACATCCCCTTCCAGATGTTGTTGCGTGGTGCCAACGGTGTTGCTTACTCCTCCCTTCCCGACAACGCCATCTACCACTTCGTCGACCAGGCCAAGAAGAACGGTGTCGATATCTTCCGTGTCTTCGATGCTTTGAACGATGTTGAGCAGCTCCGTGTCGGTGTTGAGGCCGTCAAGAAGGCCGGTGGTGTTGTTGAGGCTACCATGTGTTACTCTGGTGACATGTTGCGCCCTGGCAAGAAGTACAACTTGGAGTACTACCTGGCTCTCGTTGACCAGATCGTCGAGATGGGTACTCACGTCCTTGGTATCAAGGATATGGCTGGTGTTCTCAAGCCCACCGCTGCCCGCAAGTTGATTGGTGCTATCCGTGCCAAGTACCCTGATTTGCCCATCCACGTCCACACCCACGACTCTGCCGGCACTGGTGTTGCCTCCATGGTTGCCTGTGCCGAGGCTGGTGCTGACGCCATCGACGTCGCTACCGACTCCATGTCTGGTATGACCTCCCAGCCTTCCATCGGTTCCTTCTTGGCTGCCATCGACGGCTCCGAGATCGACGCTGGTTTGAACGCTGCCCACGTCCGTGAGCTCGACGCCTACTGGACTCAGATGCGTGCCCTCTACCACCCCTTCGAGGCTAATCTTACCGGCCCCGACCCCGATGTGTACGTCCACGAGATTCCTGGAGGTCAGTTGACCAACTTGAAGTTCCAGGCTTCTTCGCTTGGATTGGCTGCTCAGTGGGCTGAGACCAAGCAGGCTTACGTCCTCGCTAACACTCTCCTCGGCGATGTCATCAAGGTCACTCCTACCTCTAAGGTTGTTGGTGACTTGGCCCAGTTCATGGTCCAGAACAAGTTGACCATGGAGGACGTTAACGAGCGTGCTGACCAGCTTGACTTCCCTGCTTCCGTCTTGGACTTCTTCGAGGGTTTGATGGGTCAGCCTTACGGTGGATTCCCTGAGGCCCTTCGTGAGAAGATCCTTGCTGGTAAGCGTAAGGCCTTGTCTGAGCGCCCCGGCAAGTCTCTTCCTCCCGCTGACTTGGAGAAGATCAAGAAGGACCTCCAGGCCAAGTTCGGCTCTGCCACTGACTGCGATGTCGCCTCTTACACCATGTACCCCAAGGTCTACGAGGACTTCCGTGCTTTCCAGGAGAAGTACGGTGACGTTTCCGTCTTGCCCACTCGTTACTTCTTGGCTGCTCCCGCTCTCGGTGAGGAGATCAACGTCAAGATCGAGGAGGGTAAGTCCTTGGTCGTCAAGCTCCTTGCTGTCGGTCCCGTCTCCGAGGCCACTGGTCAGCGTGAGGTCTTCTTCGAGTTGAACGGTGAGGTTCGTCCTATCGCCATTGATGACAAGAAAGCTACTGTTGAGGATATCCGCCGTCCTAAGGCTGACCCCTCCAACCCCGGAGATGTCGGTGCCCCCATGGCTGGTGTCATCATCGAGTTGAGGGTCAAGGATGGCCAGCAGGTCAAGAAGGGTGACCCTGTTGCCGTCATGTCCGCCATGAAGATGGAGATGGTCATCTCTGCTCCTGTTGGTGGTAAGGTTGAGAGCATCCAGATCAAGGAGGGTGACTCTTTGCAGGGAAGCGACTTGGTTTGCAAGGTTGTTAAGGCTTAAACAAACAGATATTTTTCTTTGGAGGGACAAGGCCGGGCCTTGAAAGTTGTGTGGGTCTGAGAATAGCGTATAGACATGAAATTGAAATTGAAAGTGCAAGGATAGGAAGGTGCAGTGCTGTATACGAGTAGCGCAGGACGTGTATTATAAGTTTTGAATTTAACCTTATTCTATAATTAACCCCAATTCAATGTCCGTTCATTGCCCAAATCCAAAGTCCCCTTGCAACCGCTTACTAATTCGTATCAGTGTACTGCCTCAACAACACCTCATCCTCATCCTCCGAATCCTCCCTCAACGGCACAACTCTCTCCTTCTCCCTCTTCCTCTGCTTCGCTCCCCATTTTCTCGGTGCCTCGTCTTCGCTGTCCTCGCCACGTAGGTGCGGGTTGTCCACCGCTGCGATCGAGTTTGCTTCGTCGGCGGCCACGGCGCGTTCGTGGTCTTTTTCTTGGATTTTGGCGCCGATTTTGAGGAGGTAGGGACGGAGGAGGCAGTATGCGCCGATGATTGTGATGATGCGGATGTAATCTATTGTCGTAGGATTAGAAATGTACCTTCAGGGTGATGGGAGAGGGGATAGGAAGGGAGAGGGAAGGGCGTACCGTAGACGGTGTAGTCCTCGAGGAAGTGCTGGTAGTTACGCTTGATACCCTCCATGGGCTTTGGGATCAACTTTTGAATCTGGTCCATCTTAAAATGATAGTCGAAGCTTCGAGGGGAGAAGGGGTCCGAGGGGGTGTTACTTCTTATATGGGAGTTGTTCGTCAGCTGCAGGTGCACCAGCTTTTTTGTGGAGGTTAGCCTCGATACGCCGACAACCCGAACGACGAAGGAAAAAAAAAAGTCGACGACTCAATCTCGGGCTTCCCGTTCAACGCGCGATCTATATAACATAACCAGAATCAGGATGTTCGCTTCATTACGGCCGTCGTCGCAGTCCTTCCGCCTCTTGGCTCGTTCCTTCTCGGCCACGCCCGCAACATGCTCTCACATCGGCTCAGCTCCAATCCCCCTCCCCCCCGCCGTCACCGTTACCCCAACCCCCACCGATGACATTCCAGAACTCCATACAATCCAGGGTCCCCTCGGCTCCATGAAACTCCCCATCCCCGCCTACCTGCAGCTTCACCACGACGAAGCGACACAGAAGCTAAAGTTGACGTGTGACGATACCACGGTGAAGAAGCACCGAGCGATGTACGGCACCACGCGGGCTCTATTGTTTAACCACATCACCGGCGTCTCCGAAGGCCACTCCATCACGATCCGCTTCGTCGGTGTCGGATACCGTGGTTCGCTCGAGACCTCTTCCGCGGGAAAACCCTTCGTTTCTTTGAGGATCGGATTCGCGAACCCGGTGGAGATGCCGGTGCCGGAGGGGATTAAGGTTACGTTTCAGGTGCCGACGAAGTGTGTTTTGGAGGGGGTTGATAAACAGTTGATTACGCAGTTTGCGGCGAAGATCAGGGCGTGGAGGAAGCCGGAGCCTTATAATCAGAAGGGTATCTTTGTTGGGGATGAGACGATTGAGAAGAAGGAGATTAAGAGGGGTTAAACTGGTGTTAAGTGATGGGTGGTTTGCGGTTGTGGGTTGGGAAAGTGATGCATATGATGGTGACGGGGAGGAAGATCGTTACGAAGATCTTGCAAAAGCTATTGGTGGAGGAGGAAAGCATACGTCGGGCGTTAATATCTTGGTCCTTTGTGTTGTGTATATGGATGTTTTTGGCATAGACTAGCAAAAGCAGACAGCTCATCTGGACAGTGAATGGCGCGATGTCAAACGATATCGAACGGCGTTCTCTTAATAACGTTATCTCATGGCCAACGACGGTCTGAGCGCCCGAATATTCCTGACTGTATGTGTATTCCCGGGTATCCTCATCCCAGAAACAAAAGAACGCCAAAACAAACTCACCACACATGATCCAGTTCATCCCACCCCACCTCCATCATCGCCCAGTCACCGCCCGTCTGACTCTGTTTTCGAATCCAGGACCGATCTTCCCCCCCTCCTCCCAAAACGGATTACACACCAAACCCACCCACGCATCCCCAACCCCCCTAAACACCCCTTTAATTTCTACATCCCTAACGACCTCCTCCTCGCCCACAACAACCGTCAACACGAATTTGACCCCGGTGTTTGTGGTGTACCCATAAACCGATAAATCCTCGATGGAGTATAGTAGCCCGAGATATGCGTCGAGTTGGACACCGGAGGAGGAGTGGGAAGAGGATGTGGGGGGTGAGAGACGTTCGGTGAAGATGTCGAGGGCGGTGTGCGAGAGGTAGTGGTATTTTAGGTCGGGGTGGTGGGAGCCTGCGGGGAAGGTGCGGAGGTAAATAGGTTGGTTCTGGTGTGATTGAAGGTTAGCCAGTGGATGGAGAGATGGGGGAAGAGGAGGGAGCGTACGCGCTTGCCAATGACTGCGACTGAGGCGATTCGTAGTGACGACATTGTCAGTTGTGCTTGGTTGGTTGGTTGGTTGGCGGAGGTGAGCGATCCCAGCGGTGTTATCGCTAAGGGGCACTCCGCCAAACACGACTCACCCCGAAACGCGTCGACGCTCTCCCTAACTTCTCTTCTGCTTCTGCTTGTCTGCTGGTGATAACTTCCTGAATTGCACAACAATGCCAACACAAAACCTCTCAGACGCATACATCCAACAACAAGCCGCCGCAATGCACCTCGACTCACCCCCACCCCCCGTCTCACCCCTCGCTCGACCCATCCTCCACGGTACATTCCCTTCCCTCCTCCTCCTGTCCTCCTCTTACTCACAATTGACGCACATAGTCGAATGTGCCCTCCACCCCCACTCAACCTGCCGTTTCGACACCGCCCTCCGTCACGTCCACACCTTCCTCACCGATAACTTTGCCACACTGACACTCGATACCGAACTACGTGCCCAAGACGGGGATTTTGAGGAGGGTGGGTTCGTGAGGGAACATGTTGAGAAGATACGTGTTGTCGAGGTAACAGGACTGGGGGAAGGTGATGGAGAGGATGGGGGTACGGAGATTGTGGGGTTGGAGGGGGTCGAGTTGGATATTCATGTTTACCAGCTCAACGACGACACAACCACCTCATCCTCAACCCAATCAACCTCTGACCCATTCGGGCTATCTGACGACAACGATGACGGGGACGAGGATGAATGCGCAAGTGCGACGGTGGTGGAGTTACCGAGTAGGAGTCTGGAAGGGTTGTGGGATAGTTTGGTGTATGAGGGTGATGTGAAGGGAAAGTTGTTGAGGTTTGTTAGTACGTTGATGTTGTTTTCGGACTGTGGGGTTGATTTTAATGTCTGTTCGTGGAATCGGTATGCTCCCTCCAAAGAGACCGTGGTCGTGGGAGGGAAGTGGAAGCTAATGGGGTGGTGGTGTAGGTTGGTGTTGTTGCATGGGCCGCCGGGGACGGGTAAAACCAGGTAAGACGGATTGATTGGGTTTAATTGGATGACCTCGCTGATATGTTCTCTTACAGTTTATGCCGTGCCCTCGCACAGAAACTCTCCATCCGCCTCTCGAAACGCTTTTCACACGGTAAATTGATCGAGATAAACTCTCACTCACTCTTCTCAAAATACTTCTCCGAATCCGGGAAACTCGTCGGGAAACTCTTCTCGCAAATCACTTCCATGGTGGAAGACGAGGATTCCTTCGTGTGTGTGCTTATTGACGAGGTTGAGTCGCTCACCAGCGCTCGGAAAGCTGGGTTGGGGAATAATGAGCCGAGTGATGCGTTGAGGGTTGTTAATGCCTTGCTTACGCAGTTGGATAGGTTGAGGAGGAGGAGGAACGTGCTTGTCCTCACGACGAGTAATTTGTTGGAGGCGATGGATCCGGCGTTTGTTGATCGGGCGGATATTAAGGTATGTGCTTGACGACACATCTGCATTTTCGTTGCTGAGAATCGTCATCACATAGCAATACGTCGGAGCGCCGAGTACGAATGCCATTTATACGATTCTGAGGAGTTGTGTTAATGAGATGATCAGGGTTGGGATAGTGTCGTCTCCGGTACGACATGTTGAAAAGTTCGAAGGCAAGGCTCACACGTGTCTTACAGACGCCTATACCCTCCTACGCCGAAGCCTCGATCGGGTTATACTCCCAACCTAATGCCCCAGCCTCGGTTCTCTACAATGTCGCGAGTGAATGTCAGGGGATAGGAATGTCGGGAAGGGCATTGAGACGATTACCGGTGTTGGCGCATGCGAGGTATTTGCAGGGGATGGGGAGTAGGGTTGAGCATTGTTTGGAGGCTTTGGGGAGGGTTGTCAGGGAGGAGAGGGAGGTTATGGCGAGTATTGAGGCGGCGAGTGGGAGCAAGTGAACGGCGTAAAGCGGAAGAAACAGGAGGATAGGACGCAATTGTTGCCACGAGAACAATATAAGATAGAAATGTAGGACGGTATATGCATTTCTGAATGGTATGGCTTCACGGTCACGTTCGGTGTGCAGTAGCCGGGGCCCTGCCGAACGCGTACACTTGCAGGCGGTACGACAAGCTGCAGCAACACCAACAATCCTCGATCAATAATACCTGAACGATGGTATGCTATCCTTTGAATGCTCCTATCCGCGATCAATGCTGATGTCTGAATGTTAGTCTCTTGCGCCAGTTCAGATTTTCGGTGAGCAGGCCACTGAGGAGAGGGGAGAGTCCGCTCGTCTCGTAAGTAGTTTGACGGGTGTTGGTGTCGTGGTTCGTGAGGCTGACGTGTTTGTGGTGTAGTCTTCCTTCGTTGGTGCGATTGCTATTGGTGATTTGGTCAAGAGTACTTTGGGTCCTAAGGGAATGGTACGTTAGTAGTTCTGGTTACAACGCGTGATCAATGCTGACAAGGCATTGTACAGGACAAAATCCTCCAATCAGCATCAGATGGTTCAGTTTTGGTTACCAACGACGGTGCGACTATCTTGAAGTCCGTCGCTCTCGACAACGCCGCCGCCAAGGTTCTCGTCAACATTTCCAAGGTTCAGGATGACGAGGTCGGTGATGGTACCACCTCCGTCTGTGTCCTCGCAGCAGAGCTCTTGAAGGAGGCAGAACGTCTCGTTGCGCAGAAGATCCACCCACAGACCATTATTGAGGGATACCGCATTGCCAGCACCGCGGCTTTGCAGGCCCTCGAGAAGGCTGCTGTCGATAATGGCAAGAACAACGAGGCTTTCAGGAAAGATTTGATTAATATCGCAAAGACTACGCTGTCTTCGAAGGTTTTGAGTCAGGATAAGGTGTACTTCTCGGAGTTGGCTGTGGATGCCGTGTTGAGGTTGAAGGGAAGCACGAACTTGGACAATATTCAGGTTATCAAGAAGGTTGGAGGACGCATGATTGACTCTTACCTTGACGAGGGTTTCATTTTGGACAAGCGTATTGGTGTTAACCAGCCCAAGCGTATGGAGAACGTCAAGATTTTGGTTGCCAACACACCTATGGACACGGACAAGATCAAGGTTTTCGGTGCGAGAGTACGAGTGGACGCGACCGGTAAGCTCGCGGATTTGGAGAGGGCAGAGAAGGACAAGATGAAGGCAAAGGTCGAGAAGATCAAGGCGCACGGCATCAACTGTTTCATCAACCGTCAGCTCATCTACAACTGGCCAGAACAGCTCTTCGCTGATGCTGGTATCATGTCGATTGAGCATGCCGATTTCGAGGGTATTGAGCGTCTTGCTCTCGTTACTGGTGGTGAGATCGCTTCTACTTTCGAGCACCCTGAGCTTGTCAAGTTGGGTCACTGTGACCTTATCGAGGAAGTCATCGTCGGCGAGGACAAGATGATCAAGTTCTCCGGTGTCGCCGCCGGTGAAGCCTGTACCATCGTTCTCCGCGGTGCTACCAACCAACTCCTCGACGAGGCCGAGCGTTCGTTGCACGATGCCCTCGCCGTTCTCTCCCAGACTGTCAAGGAGACCCGAACAGTCCTCGGAGGTGGATGTTCCGAGATGCTCATGTCCAAATCCGTCGACGCCGCCGCCGCAAAAGAAGCCGGAAAACGCGCTATCGCAATCGAGGCCTTTGCCCGCGCTCTCCGCCAAATGCCCACCATCCTCGCCGATAACGCCGGTTTCGACTCCTCTGACCTCGTTGCAAGATTACGTGCTGCGCATTATAATGGTATGTCTTCGTATGGATTGGACATGGAGAATGGTGATATTGCGGATGTGAGGGAGTTGGGGATTGTGGAGAGTTATAAGTTGAAGAAGCAGGTTGTTGTTTCGGCTAGTGAGGCGAGTGAGATGTTGTTGAGGGTTGATAATATCTTGAGGGCAGCGCCTAGGAGGAGGGACCGCCATTAGACGTGAAGCCATGTGGGTGTAAATATGAGGGCCGATGGAAGATAAAAGCATCAAGGAGAATATAGAGACTTGGATTTCTTCCCTATTTGAGTACACGAGCCTCGTAATTATGCCTGTTGGCGGGTTCGGTTCACGTATAGCCCATGTTCAAGGGCCCGTAACCTCTATGAATCTGTATGGACATAGCATTTTAAAGACCGGATCATAGAATCAAAAGGCCGCTATTCCCAATAAACGAATGGCGTCTCTCCGGATTGAGCGATCAATATCCTCACTGCCTCCTTCGCCCACCAACCTCCCGTCCCTCAACTCTCCACCCTCTCAACTCCCCCGTAAAGTCCTCGACCCCAGCATCGACCAACTTCCCCACCCCTTCAGGCCACCCTTGTAGCCGTACCACCATACAAGTCGAATTATCATCCGTACCCAACTGTTCCGCAAACTTAACGATCGCCTCCGCGGCTTTCGAGGGTGTTGTGTGATGCTTCACGATATCGATGATTTCCTGGTCGGATGCGACGGAGGTAACGCCGTCTGATACGAGTACCATATACGCGTAGACTGAATCCTCGTTCGGACCATGTTCAACGTCTGAGTCTTTAGGTGATGGTGCGTATAGGTCGAGTTTCTGGAGGAACGGTTCGGCTGACACGCCCATGCGTTTCCATCTCACGTCGCCGAATGCACGCGTATTCGCGACTGCACCGAAGCGTTCTTCGCCGAATGAATCCGTGACGAAGCCTGATGCGAACTTGCGGAGTCGGGCGGATTCGAGGGGGTTATCGGGGTGGTGGTTTACTGTGACCGCTCGTGCCTTACCACTGTTTGCATGGCAGAGGAGAACGCGGGTGTCTCCGACATGAGCGATGTGTAGTTCTGCATGATTTGCCGTCCAGAAGGGTTGGTCTGGATCAGACGAGGTAACGAGAGCGCAACTCGCCACAGCTCCACTCAAATCCCTCTTCCTTTCCGCGTTTTGCAAGGTAGCTCCATTCATGAACACCTGATCCGCCTTCAAAAAAGCCAGCTCCAGTCTCTCCTCCATACTCATCTGTACCCCACCATTCCCGCGTCCGAAACGCGCCAGCATTCGCTGCAATGATAACTCGACGTAGGATTGCTTATTGGCTGCGTCTAAGCGGCGTTGAAGATCCACGAGGGACTTGGGCTCGAAGCGACGGAAGTACCCACCTCGATCACGGTAGTTTTGTAGGAGGTCTGATATTTGAGAGGGGTCGGCTCGTTCGATGTAGGAGTGGAGGGTATTTCGGATGAAGTCCGCGCAGCCATGGCCACCGTGTCTGTATGTTAAATTCGTCAGCATTCGAAGAGAAAGCGAGCTCATTTTTCATACCCGTCCACCACGCTGAAGTAGAATATGTCTCCTAGCCATGCACCCCTTCTCCTCCCTCGTGGCATCTCCAGAATGCCAACTTGACTCCGATCCTCGTTCTCTAAGCGATTGCCTCGGCTGGTGGCGACTCCAAGATGCGTCTTTGCGGTTAGAATGGGAATACGGACGTTAGATCCTGGTGGATGAAAATAGTCTCTGAGGTATCGCCTCTGCCTCTGGGTGTTCCATGGCGGTTTGAGGCGATTGGACATGTGGAGCTGTGGGATTGAGCGGGTTGCTGTTCGAAGGTGCGCCAGCGTGATTGATGAGAGCTTCCTCGAGCTCGGTTATAGAGGGTATATGATGATGCTTGCTTGATGCTCCTGGAGGTCGATTGGTGGTTATCGCGGTGTTTATGGTTAAAGTTTGTACATGCCCGACCTTCCCCGGCTACTTGCACGGGTAACTTCAGGCACCATGTGACGTCGGTGAGCATATTGGGAGGATACAGCGGACAAGTGAATTGGAGCCTGGAAATAGGATGAAAATTGTCTATTTTCTTCTGCAAAACTATGCCTGGCCTGCTGCAGCTAGGGCGTGCTTCGCAGTGGTAGGAAACCCATGCTTGCTTCGGGTATATTGGGATAACATATCGCCACATGCTTCTGACGCCCATCTCGCTTGACATCACCTGTTCTCTCACTTGTGCCAGGCATCTCTCTTCCGCCCTGCTGCAGAACCGTCAATGCCTCCAATTCGCGTGAGCATCATTGTCACCCGTCTGTTCAGCCGAGCGTAACCATCGTCATCTCGCAGCACCCCTCAACATCGCCGTAACCCGATCCCCTCCAGGCTCGGCCCTCGCCGTTGGATGCAACTCCACCGGCGGCACAATCCCAGCATTCGTACTCCCTGCTGTCGTCCCCGCCCCACCCACACTTGCAAACAAACTCCCCACATCAATCGTCTTCCCTCTCTCAGGCCCCGTCGTCCCCAACCTCGACAACTTACTCATCTGCTCCGCGATCCGTGCGCGATGACCAGGCTCGAAAATCCAGATTCCGGTGATTGTGTCCTCCGCTTCTTCGCCTTCTGGTCCCTCCTCCGCGTCGGCGCGGTGAATGATGTATTCTGGCGTTACTTGTAGATCATCTGGGCTAGCCAGCACCCCGCCGAAATTCTGTGTCGTATTTCGGTTGAGGACGATGAATGCGTGGTGTGGGGGTTCGTTGCGGTGGTAGATAAAGAGAGTTCCTTCTACGCCTTTCTTTGTCCATGACTGAGTTTCGAGGGAGAAGTCGTAGAGGACGACGTAGGATGCGACGTCGATGATGTGCGTTATGTGGGGGTCGTAGCGGGAGAGGACACGGAGGTTGAGGGTTGAGAGGGTTTGTGGGTCCATTGCGGTACGAGCACAATGCTATATTATTGTAACTGTACGAAAAGTTCCGCGAACGGGATCGAGTTGAAGGAGTCCGTCGTCGGTGGATCGCGACGTCAGTCAGGTCAGGCACCCCCCGTACGTCGCAAGCGATCAGAAAATCGGAGCGCATCTCGAGGCCAACGTCAGCAAGATCACTTGGAAAAATGGCTGCTGAGAAGTAAGTAATGCTCTTGATCTGCTTGGGAATTGCCATTGACCATGACCCAGGAACATCCTTTTGCTCGGTTCTGGTTTCGTCGCCAAACCCACTCTTGACTACCTCTTGAGGCGTCTTGAGAACAAGGTTACCGTTGCTTGCCGCACCAAGGCTACTGCTGAGGCTTTCATTGCCGGTGCTGAGCGCTCCACAGCTATCTCTCTCGATGTCTCCGACGATGCTGCCCTCGACGCTGCTGTTGCTAAGCACGACGTCGTGATCTCTTTGATCCCTTACACCCACCACGCCCAGGTCATCAATTCTGCTATCCGCAACAAGAAGCACGTTGTCACCACTTCCTATGTTTCCCCCGCCATGATGGAACTCGACGAGGAGGCCAAGAAGGCTGGTATCACTGTCATGAACGAGATCGGTCTCGACCCTGGAATCGACCACTTGTACGCCGTCAAAACCATCGATGAAGTCCATGAGGAGGGTGGCAAGATTCTCTCTTTCTTGTCCTACTGTGGTGGTCTTCCCGCTCCTGAGAACTCCAACAACCCTCTCGGTTACAAGTTCTCCTGGTCTTCCCGCGGTGTCCTCTTGGCTCTCCGTAATGCTGCCAAGTTCTGGAAAGATGGCAAGGTTGTCGAGATTGAGGGCCCTGAGCTCATGAAGGCCGCTCAGCCTTACTTCATCTACCCTGGTTACGCTTTCGTTGCTTACCCCAACCGTGACTCTACCCCTTACAAGGAGCGCTACAACATCCCCGAGTGCCAGACCATCATTCGTGGTACCCTCCGTTACCAGGGTTTCCCTGAGTTCATCAAGGTTCTCGTTGATGTCGGTTTCCTCTCCGACGAGTCCGTCGACATCATGGCCAAGGGCTCCTCTGCTACCTGGAAGGAGGCTACCGCTACAGTGCTCGGTGTTTCTTCCACCAAGGAGGAGGACCTCATCGCTGCTATCCGCTCCAAAACTCAGTTCAAGAACGCCGAAGAGGAGGCTCGCATCATTGCTGGTTTCCGCTGGTTGGGTCTCTTCTCCGACGATGTCATTACTCCCCGTGAGAACCCTCTTGACACTCTTTGTGCTACTCTTGAGCCCAAGTGCCAGTACGGTCCTGAGGAGCGTGACTTTGTCATGCTCCAGCACAGATTCGAGATCGAGCACGCCGATGGCCGCCTCGAGACCCGCACCTCCACTTTGTGCGACTATGGTGTCCCTGGAGGTTACACCTCCATGGCTAAGTTGGTTGGTGTTCCTTGTGGTGTTGCTACCCAACAGGTGCTTGACGGTATCATCAAGACCCCTGGTGTCCTCGCTCCCATGAGCAAGGAACTTAACCAGCCCTTGATCGACGAGTTGTTGAAGGAGGGTATCTTCTGCAAGGAGGAGACTGTTGCTTAGATTATTCTAAACCAAAAACTGTAGGATATACGAGACGATATGCTAAAAGAGTTCACATAACTGCCATATTCCTCAACGCGAATGTGAACGCCGCTGAACGCCGGGAACCATACCAAAATGACTTGAGCTTGCCACGTAGTGCAGGCCGTGCGGGAAGCAGACGGAAGTTATACGAAGTATAAGCTCAAACATCGATCCTTGAATGGTCAAAGTTTCAGATCCATCCGACTTAATTTGATTGATTCTCATGAGGTCCTGATCACCTACCTCCGTGTGCGCGCGCTTCCGGATCTCGGCGTCACACGACAGTTGTCTACGTTACCGGCACATCACGACGTCAACGAAACCTTATTTCCCCACCGACCACGATTCCTTCTAACATTGTCGACAATGTCACTCGACAAAGTGAAAGCGCCTGCTTATGACCTTTTGTCTACTATTCTGTATGATCCGTCACTAGCCGCAGGTGTTGGACCTTTCTTCCTCCTCGGGCATCACCTTGATAGACTAGAGAGGTCTGTCCGTGAACTAGGATGGGAAGAGTCTGTGTTTGATAGGGACAATGTTGTCCAGGAGCTGCATGAAGCCGTGAGAGACATTAATCAAAGTTTGAGGGTATGTCGCCTTCGCCTTGCGGTCCACGCTTACCTTGAATGCTCACGTTGTTTAGATCCGCCTCCTCCTCTCTCGCACGAACGGCGTTACTGCCGAGACCTTCCCCTTCAAACCCCTCTCCGACCCTACTTCCCCATATGACAATGCGACTCCTCCAACATGGGATGTCTACCTCGATACCGCACCAACTACCCCTTCAGCCTTCACCTCCCACAAAACCACGTACCGCCCGCACTACTCTGCCTCTCGGACGCGCTGCTTGCCTCCCAACTCCACTACATCCGAAGTCCTCCTCTACAACCCAAATGGAGAAGTAATGGAGGGGAGTATTACCAATGTCGCATTCTGGCGGGACGGCAAGTGGATCACGCCCAAGTTGAGATGCGGTGGCTTAGGGGGTGTTATGAGGGGGGAGTTGATTGAGAAGGGGGTTTTGGAGGAAAGAGTTGTCAAGTTGAATAGCGTGAGTGTTGGAGAGGTGGTTATGTTGATGAACGGGGTTAGAGGGAGTTGGGGTGGGGTTGTTAGGGGGTGAAGGGAGGATTGTAGACAGTTGTTAGCAGCAGCTGTTTGAGGTAAAAAGGAACAAGCGAACAGAACAAGTGTTCCAAGGGTTTCGCTCGCTCGTACGCCGAGAGCCCTGCAAGTTCCCACGGGGCTCCCCGTTCACGTGCCTGCGCGACGTCACACACCGTATGTACAAATCCCAACACCAACACCAAACACCAAACACCACAAACAACGACAGCAACCATGTCTTCAGAAATCCTCTCCCTCCTCGACGACCTCGACACCAACGACTCCTCCCCCGCAACAACCCCCTCAACCTCCAACAAACCCTCCCGTTCCTCCCGCCCCGCCTCCGGCGAAGACAACGAAAATGAAGAAGAAATCATGGACTTCCTAGACGAAATAACCGCCGGTCGGCCAGGGTCGACGAAACCGCATAACGCACCTCGTGATCCAGCGGTGAAGAGGGATGTTACGCCGCCGCCAAGAGCGAGTAGTGATGAGGCACGGGAGTTTATTGAGAGGGCGAGGAAGAGTGCGGAACAGAGACGGTCGGCGAGAGCGACGCCGGCGCCTGTGGATGTTGATGTGGATGCGGCGGCGGCGACGGATAAACCGAATTCGGCGATAGTACAGGAAGCTGTCGATGCACTCGAAGAAGTCGCGCTCGAATCCCGCTCTCACGACTCGGTGGTGCCCAAACAGTCTTCCACCGGCGGCTGGGGTTGGTCCTCCCTTGGCGGCATCGCAGCCCTCGGCGGCGGTTTACTAAATACCGCCCAAAAAACCGTCAAACAACTCCAAGAATCCGAACAAGCCCGACAATGGGAAGAGCGTATCCGACACGAAGTAGCATCCCGCGTCGACGTCGACCGCATCTCCCAACTCTCCGACGAAATCCGACAAAAAGCGACAGCGATGCCAACTTTGGGTGAGGCGTTTAGTACCGTTCTTAATGTCGTTGCGCCTCCGATTAGTGAGCATGAGGTTTTGAAGGTTGTTGTGTGGCATCGGATGAGTGGGTATCCGAGGTTGGATACGAAGGTTTATGAGGCGTTTGATAGGGTATGTGAGAAAGGGGAATGTGTTTTTGTGGGGTACTGATGGTGTGTGCGTATAGGTTATGCAACAAGTCGAAGGCGGGGATCTCATCACGAAACCCGGCAACCCAACACCAACAACCGAGTCTCGCAACCTGAACATCATCTCAGGCCTCGACGCCGCATTCGAGGCCGCCAAATCCTCCATCCCCTCCTCCACCGCCGAACAGGATGCAGATAACGGTAATGGGGAGGGACCACATATCTCGACGATTCATTTAGCGCTGATACCGACATCTTTCACACCTACACCCGCGTTTCTGGGAGAGGATAAACAGCTGGCGTTCCTGATCTACCTCCACGACCCGACGCACTCCTTAACATTCACCACAACCTCTCAACCCCTCCCCCTGTCCTGGGTCAAATACCTCGAGGCCGAGGCCAAAGACGCAGAAGAAGAAGTAGAAAAGGTGCATCCGGACGAATGGGTCGAGGATTGGGTTGAGGATAGTGTTGGGTTGGGGGTCGGTGTCGTGGCGGAGCGCTATGTCATGGCGAGGATGGGTGTTGATTTTAGGGAGAAGGTTAGGGAGGGGTTGGGGGAGGAGAGGGCGTTGGGTGTTTAGGGGGAGGTGTATGATTAGAGAGCTCATGTGGAGGGTTGCGAAATGATGATGAATTATATCCCTAACGCCGTGATCATGCTCTTTCGTACATATGCCGGGTATAGTATTTTGCTTAGGTCTAAGCCTTGACAACAACGAGTTTGTCACCCTCCTTTCTCAACGCGATCTTCTTCAAGAACTTTTCGTCGTCCTTTTCCTCCTTGCCCTCCTTCTTTCTCAATTTCTTCAAGAGCTTGTGGAGGGACAACGATTCGTCACCGACGAGGTCTGAGAGCGTTGCGACGATGTCGGACTCAGACTTCTTCTCCTTCTTGTCCTTCTTAGACTCCTTGGACTTCTTCTCAGCGGGTGCGGACTCAGTCTCCATCTCGTCGTGAGACCTCTTCTTCGACTCCTCCTTCTCCTCAACGACCTTCTTCGCCTCCACCGCCGGCGCACTCACAACCTCCTGTTGCTGCTTCTTCAACTCCTTCTTCGTAGGCTTATACAACGCCTTCTGATACCTCTGCGCCTCACTCACACACGACGTATGAGATTTGTATGCGGCGGGACCGTTGAAGGTCGTGTTGCAGTCTACGCAGGTGAAGTAGGCGCCGTGGCAGCGGGAGCGGTGTTGGTCGAGCTTGGGCTTTTTGACGGTGTCTGAGCGGATGTGAGTGAGCTTGAACGAAAGGAGAGGAGGGGAGGGGGATGTACCTTGACAGACTTCGCAAACGAATGAAACCATGATGATGAATGAGAGTAATGGGAGTACCTTGGTGTTGTCTTTGCAATCTTATCGGTGGAACTTTTTTGTCGCGGTGCGTGGGACCCTGCATCGGCCGAGAACCGCCAAAGTCTACGTTACACCTCCTCCTCGACACCTCCAACAATCACCGGCATGCCCTCCCTCCCCCCACCAACACCCTCCTACATCTTTCGCGGCCACGCCTCCCAAATAAACACTCTCGCAGTTCTCCCGGCCTCCGAGGACCTCATATCCGGCGACGCAGATGGCTTCGTCGTTATCTGGTCACTGAGCACACGTCGCCCACGCGCAGTATGGCGCGCACACAAAGAGGGACTGCTAAAAGTTGAGGGATGGCCAGGGGAAGAGGGGAAGGGGAGGGTTGTGACGCATGGGAGGGATAATACGATACATGTGTGGGAGGTTCCTCCTGCGCCCGCGAGGGGATCTGCGTCGCTATTCTTGCCGGCGACGTCGAGGTCCATGGAGTCTTCGATGAGGATAAGTGAAGATGAGGGTTGGGATGGTGAGGTGAAGGGACCACCAGCACAGCCGTTATCGACCGTCCTGCCCGTCGACGGACTCGACCTCCCCCGCCCACAACCATGGAAACTCTGCACCCTCCACATCAACGCACTAAACTTTTGCCAATTTGCAGCCCTTCCCATCCACCCTCCGACCTCCTCCACCCTCGACGAGGACAAGGACCAGCCTCAACCACAACTCATGATCGCCACACCCGCCGTCCAAGATTCCGACGGCATCGACATAAACACCCTACCCACCTGCACCCGTCTTCACACAAACGTCACCCCCACCCTTTCCTCCAATGAGAAACCGGGGATGGTCATGGCCGTCGCACTCCTCGCCCCCACTACCCTCCTAGCAGGCTACGAATCCGGGTACACGGTCGTCATGAAACTTACAGCGAATGGGACGTGGGAGACGGTCTATGATTCGAAGGTGCATTCACAGCCGGTATTGAGTTTGGGTGTACATCCGTCGAGGGAGTGGTTCGTTACTACGGCTGCGGACGCGATGATCGCGTTCCACCCTCTCTTCCCCTCCTCCTCACCCAGTACCGGCAGTCCTACGTCGGAGCCGGCGGTGTATAATACGACACATTCCGGGCTACAGGCCCTGGATATCCGTGACGATGGGGAGATATTCGCGACGGGGGGGTGGGACGGCAAAATTCGAATATGGCGACGTAAGGGGAAAGAGCCAAAACAGCTCGCGGTGTTGAAATGGCACAAAGAAAGCATTTACGCAGTCGCGTTTGGGAGGGGGGGACAAGGGAAGAATTGGGTTGGGGTGGGGAGTAAGGATGGGAAGATTAGTTTGTGGGAGGTGTATTGAGCGTTGCGTGCGACTGTCTTCAAGGGATGTTGAAGCCTGACTGATCCATCAGACCCTAGTCTAGATTTGTGCGAGTCATTCACGTATGCGAGTCGTACACCTGCAAATCTGCGACCAATCATCGGGATCTCGGGGTCAGCTGAGCAATACGGACTCTGACCGTGCGAACGCGTCGGTCGAACATGGCACGTCCCAGCCACCGATCGAGGGTAACTCAAGACTGGACCAATTGGAATCGCAATGGAGGTAGTCATGGTAATGATTGTGATATATCTCTATTCAAACTTGGCTTAGACAGTCTCTGTTTGTTACTGAAGCCCTCGACTCTTTTCCTCTGTGAAACTCAATCATATATAGCTGTAGCAAACGCCCGTCCAACCCAAAAAAAATCCCATCACAAACTGCTCATATATGTATGTATCTGTATGTAAAAAACCATGTATCGTCTATATCCCATCCCACATCGCACATCTCACAAACTATTCGCCCTCTTCCTCCCATCAGCATACGTATCCAGCACCTCCCCCTCCTCCGGCGTCACAGGCCCCGTAACCATAATCTTCGGCGTCCCCCTCCCACTATTCACCGGCGTCCTCCCATACGGCGACATCATCCCACTCGGCCCAGCACCAGGAACCATCCCTAAACTCAAAAAGGCACTTTCACCGACGACTTCCTTCACGCACACCACCAACTCCTCAATCGCCGCACATGCCGTCCGTAGGGCTTCAGCTTCGGCAAAGAAGTAGAGATACTGGAAATCGAATCGGTTGAATTGTTGTCGTAGGTGTGTCTTGATCGTCTGTAACAGCCTCTCTTGCGCCTGTAACGGGCTCGGCAGGAACTGGGGCATAGGCGAACGTGACTGTAACGCCTTCGAACATGCGAAGAGGTTGAGCAAGACCGAGGAGACCAGATCTTTTCTCTGTTCGAGGACGAGGGAAACGACTTCTTTGCGGACTTCACCGACGAGGTGTTCCCTAATTCGCCGAATGCTGGTGAAGGAATCAAAGATGATCTGCAGCTTCGGGATAATCTCCTTATACGTCGCGATCGGCAACGGCAACAACCGTAACTCCAACTGCACGAGTCCCAGAAGCGCGCGGGTATGCGTGATTCCCTCCTGACACCACTCCTCGACCCTCTGGAAACTCTTCAACTTCTCCGCGGTCGGTGCGGTAGGTGCCACGCCGTGCTTCAGGTTTTGACGGGAGATAGAGAGGTAGTACCGTGACATATCCTCAATACTTTGACTCAATGTCGAGATCAAGTGACTTCTCGCATGGTACGGCCAGAAGAACAGGTTAATCGTCAACGAAGCCATGATACCCAACGCGATTTGGTACCCACGATACAACGCCACCAATGCGACTTGACCGGGCGTGAATTCAACCACCCCAAGATATGGCAGAAACAGAATTGGAGGAAGGGTGATAGCGGAAACGACACCGATACCTTGGTACGCCGTCCGCATGATGAACCAGCTCATCGGTATCGCTGCCAAGGCAACGAAAAACGCCAAGGCCTCGGGATGATTCTGCGATATCATTACCGCGATCCAAGCATAAATCGCACCCGCCGTCGTTCCAATCATGCGGAGTGTACACACACGTACCGTAGCCCCAGTCGATCCCTCCAACGTATAGAAGAAAGAGATGATCATCCATGTCCCGCGGTGATGGATATACCATGACTGCGAAGAGGGTAACCATGCGGAAAGACCTAGTAGACCGAGTCCAAACGCCATCTTGAACGCGAATTTGGCGTGGTGGGAGTGTCGTGCGTAAAGTGCCTTTGCCAACCAAAGCCGGAACTTGACCCATCTCTGATTTCTCTTTTTCACGTACGCATGTCCTGGAGTGGGTGGTCGTACTTCGTTATCATCTTCCTGGTCGTCGTGATCGGGGTGATCACCCGCCGCCTCCTCCTCATCCTTCCTCTCCCTCTTCTTTCTCGAACTCGCATACCACCACGGCTGAGGTTCATGCTCATCCGCCAAATCCCCATCCCGTCCCGTACCACCACCATTTACGCCCGGCACTCCCATTCCTCCATACGCATCATCGTTTCTCCCACTTCCACTCCTCCACCACTCGCCTCCAATCCTGGGTAGGAAAATCTTCTTGCGATTGGTGTTGGAGCGGAGGTCAAGGAGATGGTGGCATAGACCGACCATCTTGTCGACTTCAACAGCGACCTGGAGAAGTCCGACCATAAATCCACTCACCAAATACATCTCACTCATGAATACATCCATACTCATACCTGCAATTTCCAACCCCTTCCTGTACTCCTTCCGAAACTCATCGATACTCGTATTCAACCTCAGCCTATACCCAGAAATGAGCGCATGAGGAGGCGGAGGCGAGGTCGCAGATGTCGTACCGAGGGCGTATGCCGTAATGGAAGAAATCAAAGCGAAACCCTGATCAAGCGTCTCAGACAACGAGAGGGAAGATGCACGAAAATGCGTCAACAATCCCAGGAGCTGGTTCGGTTTCGGTAACTCCTTATCAATAGGTGGCCTCAACATGCTCGTGGCCGCCGAATGGCCATGTCGTGGACACCCCGACCCAGAAGCTCTCGGCGTCGCGACGCCGGAAAGGGAGCGGAGTGATACAGTCTTGGACGGTGGCCGGCCTCCTGATGTTAGTGTCTGTAGTGACGGACGTTGATGGACGATAGTGAACGGGTTGTTAGCCGTGTAATCAAACGTCCCAATCCTCTCCAACCCAAAACCCTCATCTCCATCCTCCTCATCCTCTTCCTCTGCCTCTTTACCCTCATGCTCCTCAGGGATCGGTGATGTCGGAGCCGGAGTATGTGATTGGAATGCTTCGAGTTCTTCGAAGATCGCACCACTCATCTCTCCGCTCATACTTGCCCTGACCAACCTCATACCCTCCGCGAATGGGCGGAACTGTTCGAGTGGGATATAGCCAACACCGATCTCGTGTCGTGCCTCTGTGTACGCCGCGCTCATCGCATCGATGTCACTTCTCAGCTTTGCCTGTAGGTCGGTAAGACTCTGCGTATCAGCATGCTCCGCACTTGACGGGTAGAAAAACTGCTTGGTCGCGACAGACAACAGAGTACGCGACGTCGATATTGTCGATAACAACCGCGCTTCGTAGGCCCCCGTCGCTGTCTTAGGAAGAATCAAGACAGAGACCAGCAGCGTCGACAGCGCCGCAAAGAGTGTCGGCCAGAAAAGGTCGAGGAAGTCGCGCGATGTAAGGTGTGTAGTCTCAACTTCGTTCGTTAAACCCCAGATGGAAATGAACAGGAACATCATACTGAACGCCGTTAAACGCGGGAACAAGCTCTTGACGAGGGCCATCCCAAAGCCGCCCATAACGAGCCAGACACCCATGACTGCCCGACCAACGCCTCCCTCCGAGTTAATCTTCGCACCGACTCCACGTCCGAAGAGTGACCATGCTAACCCTAATAGCATCCCGCCAAGTCCGAGAATCGTAGCTTGAAGTTGCGCCCCGATGGTAGGTTTGGGGAAGAAGAATAGATAGAGAATCGTGATGGGGAGAAATGAATATTGTCCCATGAAGGCGGCGACGGGGCGAATTAAAGGAAAGATTCCACAGATGAGGGTCGCGAGAAGGGGCTTGATGAGGGGGAGAGCGGCGGCTACGGGTGCGCGGAGCCGTGCTGGTATTGAATTTGGTATTGGCCATCGCGCTGGCCGTGGCCATGGTATTCGTCGAGGCATCCTCCTTTGGATCCCCTGGTATCGGCTTGCCGTTGCCTTACGGACTTTGTGTTTGGTGGTTTGCCGCCTGATTACGTGCTCAGTTTATTTTTAATGCCCGTCTCGGCTATTCGAGCTCTGACGTTGGAGTTAGACCATGCTTCCTTGTTCGCGCGACGTTCCGGAATGAACTGTCAACGCACGACGGCCTGAATCCCATCGCCGGCGATTGAAACCTCACGATTACGAAAGGACAGTGGGCGTGAGTTTGAGTATAGGGTATATACAGTATAGAAAGATTGCCAAAACCCGGCACAGATCTCTAAATCATAAGCAAAAAGCGTACACAAGGACATAAAAACACCCCATTACACTTCACCACTCCCTATCTTCACACCTGTTATTTTCATCCGGCAACCGGGCGTCTAGAACTGACGGAACCCAGTTCCCTGCGGCGCCATTCCGTTCTGGAAACCACCGTACCCAGTAGGCTGTGCGCCCATCATTCCCGGACCACCAGTAATCATCAAAGGCTGTCCAATGCCCATCATAGGAGTCTCAGCCTCAATCTTCTCGCCCTCGACCTCCTTCTTCTTTCTCTCCTCGTTATCCTTCTCCAGCGCAGTAAGTCGCGTGGTTTGCTCCCGCATCTTCTGGATTTGGTATGGCATGGAGTAATCAGACAATCCATGTCTCCAGCTAAGCTCCATAACAAGGTCGAGGTCAAGAAGGTCGTAACACGTGTACAACATAGCCGCGAAACACTCCTTGTTACCAACATCAACGAAGTACGACAACAACTCCTCCGCAACCTCCTTCTTCCCGGAATCCCGTGCTGTCTCCATCGCGTCCTTGAAGAGCTTGTCCTCCTTGGACAAAGCGATAGATTGTGGCCATCGCTTGTTCTTGCGGTAGAGGTAGGCGGCAATTCGTCGGAACTCGAGAAGTTCGTGCTTCTCCAGGCGCTTGGCGAGGGCGATGGGGTCGTAGCGGTTGAAGTTGTCGATTGAGTCGCGGAGAGATTTGTAGTCTTCCTCCTCGATCAACAAGTCATGGTAGGCGTTGTTGACAGCCTCGACGTTCCTGTCCTGGACAGAGACCAGGTAAGAGCGGATGAGAGGGATGTTGTCGCTCTTCAAGAACATGTTAACCACACGGGTGTGGTCAAGACGAGCAGCGAGAGCAGCAAGAAGATCAGTCAAGAGCGTAGGCTGCTGCTGAAGGTAGAAGTTAATCGCCTTGTAGTAGATCTCGATGTTGTGACACTTAATCAAAATATCCCTGAACGAAGAGTGCTCCCAAGCATCAGCGGCATGCTCCATCATGACCAGAGCAGCATTATCGAACTCATCGTAATGAACGGTAAGGAAGATAAGCTCAGGCCACAAATGAGCAGCCTCGCATCCACGGATCGCCTTAGGAATGTTAATCCTAGACCAGAACAACTTCAAGTGCTCCATCAACTGCTCAGGGTGGTACTTGCTGTAAGCAATCGCCAACTCGGTAAAGATACCCATATGAGCACGCTCAAGACCAGTACCAGCCTCCAATAAAGCGATGAGCTCGTCGAAGAATCCATTGTACTCGTATTGCTTAACGAGGTCGGACAACTCCTCGGCGTGAACGATCAAGTTCAAACCACAGATCTGAGCGAGACGGAACTCACGCTTGTCAACACATGCTTGGTTAACCTGCTTCCAGATCTTGGTGCTGTTGGCCTTACGGGCGCAGTCCACGGCGTTCTGGTATTCCTCGAGGTAAACCAAAGTAGAAGCGAGCTTGCCCCAGTTGGAGACGCTGTTGAACAAAATCTTGGCAGCCTGATAGAGACCATCCTCGTAAGCACGGTCACCGACGGCGTTCACGTCAGCAACGTTGGTGGCCTGGAGGAAGTCCTCCATCTCGTGAACCTTGTCGATCTTGGCTAGAGCAAAGAGCAACTCGCTGTCGACCAAGGGCTCACGAACGGTGTTGCGGGCCATCTGCAAGTAGCGGATGAGGTCCTCGTACTTACCAGCACGGGAGGCAATCTCGATCAACTCAGCGTAATTGCTGGGGTCGTTGGCACGGACGTAAGAGTCGATGGAATCCTTGATCCTTAATCCGTCCAACTGAGCCTTAGCGAGGCGGCTCCAGACATCAGGGGTGTCGATGCTCTCAGCAAAGTCGGCAGCACGGTCAAGAGAGACAATGTGCTCGATGAGGACATTGATAGCGGCGCCCTGGTCTCCGATCTTCTTGTAGATCTCGAAAGCCTCCTCGTGCAAACCAGCATCGATGGCGATACCGGCAATATCAGCAGCATCGTACGCATCCAACTTGTGAACGTAGTCCATGACACGGGTCTTGTCGGCCTTGATGGCAGTGAGGATAAGCAGGTTCTGCAAGTTGGCATTGTCGTTGAACGGCGAAGGCTCAAGAATGATCTTCTCCAACAACTCAATCAACTCGTGCGGCAGGTCAGCAGCCATGAAGGACTTGACAGCAACAGAGACCTTCTCGGGGTCAGTAGACTCGGGAACAGCAGTAACAACAACCTGGTCGACCAACTGGCGACGGTGCATGTTGTTCTCGTCCAAGACAGTGGCCCAAAGGTCAGAGTCACCGCGGTTAACGAGGTAACGAGCTTGGTGCTTGTACATAGAGTTCTCGTTGGTGATGTGAACGAGCTCCATGTCATTCTGTCCCTTCTGGTAGGCAATGAACGCGAGGTAAGGATCACGCTTCTCGCAGTACTTTCCGACAACAAGGGAGTCGTATAAGTCGTTCTCCTTCAAGAACTTCTCAGGGTTGTTGTTGCTGTCGATGTAAATCTTGGCAAGAGCGTTGTACACAGCCGGCTCCTGGGATCCAGCGTTGAGAGTAGCCTCCAAGAAAGGCAAGAGCAACTTGAGCCTGTTACGGCGCTCAAGCTCAGCAACGAGCTCATCGATAGGAACCTGTCCCAGGACAGAAGACAAAAGTCCCTCAACAATGCTCTCATCACAGTCGACATCCAAAAGACCACCAACAACAGCGGGAGTGCGGGAGGGGTTAACACGCTGCACGTAAACCTCAATGAACTTGAACAACTGGTTCTGGTAGAGGTACAAGACTAAGTCATGGACAAAGTTGAACCTGTCGCAGACGATGATCAAAGGCAACTGATCCGCCAACTTGGCCTCCTTCAAAAAGTTCTTGACCTTCTCAGGGTTGTAGTGGTTCGAATCACGACAAATTCTCTCAACCTCCTTGAACTGTCCGATGGCACAAGCAGCCTGAATGTACTTAAACTGCACCTCGGAATCCTCAGACAAGTTGACAATGGAGCCGAGGTAGTAGTACAATCCTTCACTCGTCTTGAACTGCTCGAACAAGTCGATCAAACGCTGCGCACCGAGGAGGTCAGAGTACTTCGTCGCGATCTGCACAACAATTTGCAAGTTCTGCCTCATGTTGACCTTGAGCATCTCCTTCAAGCAGTCAAAGCTCTGCTCAACATTCAACTTTCCGAAGTACTGCACGATCCACTCAGGGTTAAGAACCTGGGTGTTGACAACAACGCGCTTGATATCCTTGATATCATCATAATGCTCAAGCGCCCTCTGGAACAACCCAGCCTTCTCACAGAGAGAAGCAATGCGGGGACGGTCGTAGTGGGTGAACATTTCATTACCCAAGATGGCGTCCGCAACCTGAGGTGCGTTCAACAAGTTCATCTCCAACAACCTCGTCTGTTGATCAGCCTGCTCAGGACGGTTATCCTTCAACGCGTCCAACAAGAAGGCAGTCGCCTGCTGGATCATGTTCTGGCTCATGAACACGTCCACAACGCGGTCAACATCAACCAATGATCCACCCTCCTGGTTCGCGAGCTGAGTAGCGAACTCGGCACCCTTCTCCGGGTTAATCCTGACGATGTGCTGCAACAAACCAGCGTAGTCGGGTTGGTAGCCAGCCTGTGCCGCATAAGGAACAATCTTCTCAAACTGTCCAGTCTCGGCGAAACAAGCAATAACCTTCCCAGGGACATTGGCTTTCAAGTAGATCGTCAAAGCAATGTTCAAGTCGGCCGGACGAACAATATCACCCAGCTCCTCCGAACACTCCAACTTGTTCTCACCCAACCACTTCTCCAACAAATTGGTACGGTTGGAGTTCAACACAGGTCGCGCAAGCTCAATTGACTCATGCTTGTTCAACCCAGACTTGTCGAGGAGAATGGAGAAGTACTGCAAAAGTGGCGAAAGCTGTCCAGGCGGCAGCGGAACGTTCTTGAATTTCTCAATCGTCTGCGGCGTCCTCAGAATACCTCTCGGCGAGTTAGCAGCGACCTTCGCCGCTTCACCCCAGTTTCCACTTCCGAACAACTGGTTGAACTGCTGGACGTACAAATCATCGGCGCCGGGGAGGTCACCACGCGAAGCCAACTTGACGGCCAAGGTGGTGTTGTTGAGGTTGTTGAGGACGTAAGGGATGATCTTCTCCGTATCGACCGTAACGAGTAAAACCTGTCCCTTGCGGTTGACACCAATGATACCAGCACTCTGCTCATGCGGTGCAGTGACGAAGATGGTCTCGCCAGAAACGCGGTTCATGTAGATACATGCTCCAGTCTCCAAATCGTACAAGTGGATGAAACCATACTTGGTGACCATGTAGATAATTCCAAACTTCTTCGAGATCTGCATGGCGACCGGGAAGTCGTTCACAGCCTCAGGCGGGAAGAAGACCTCAACAGTCTTCTTCTCAAAAGTAGGGTTAGAAGCCTGGTGATCGATCTCGATGATGTGGAGCCTAGCACCAGCAGCAGTTCGAACCGCGAAAGTGAAAAGCTGAGTATCCGTCGGCGCGCCATCCAACCTCAACGTCGCAAAAGCCGCCGCATGTCCCTCAATTGGCTGCGAAACTCCTCGCTCAGTCGAGTAGAGCTGCATGCTTCCCACAACCCTTCCCTCCTTCTGCGAAATTCCAACAAGCACCATCCACTTTCCGGCCGAGTTAACTCTGTAGTTGATAATCTGGCATCCGCTCAAACTGGCGTGTCTGTCGAAAACCTTGGTGGGGGCGTCGCCGCTTGCCTCGATGTTCCAGTGGTAGACGGCGGAGTCGGTCACGAGACCGACGATGGTGTTGGAGATCCATTTCCAGAAGACGACATCGGAGTCCATAACGTAGGCCTTGACCTTGGCTTTGGTGTCGAGATTGAAAATCTGGAGTTGTCTGCCGGCCTTGAGTGCGATGATCTTTTGGGCTGGGTGCATGATTGCGCTGTCGGCGGTAATGGGACGGCGCATCAGAGCCGAAGGGTTCTGAAGGTCGACAATGACGACAGAATTCTGGTTGTTGACATTTTCTCTGATACTGCGACACAGTTAGAAGGTGCCGGGAACGTCAATTGAGGTAAGACGGGCGTACCAGATGAAACGGTCAGACTCAAGTGTAGTACTTGCAAACCCAATGCTGGCTTGTTGAACACCCAGATTGGTGAGCTACATACCCAATTAGCCCGTTATTCCACAACCACAACGACTAATGCGCACCTGAAGCTCCTCCTTGAAGGTGATCGGAAGATCGGCCATGGTAGGTGTCTCTTATCCACAGACGCGTACGCTCAATTGATAACGAAACTCCGTGACCTCCTTAAGATAAACGACGCGAAGGAATGAATTGAATTGTTCGCTCGGCGAATCGAACGTTGATAGACCGAGACTTTAGGAGTAGAGGCAGGAGATGTTGTTTGGTGTACGTGTACTGTCGGGCTCGAGGCTCCGTCGTGTGGAGTTCCCTATGACGCTCAGGACATGGGTGCACCGCCACATTACCCTGAGGAGAATCAACCTCGACCATTTGCGACGAGTGTCAACGAAGAGAATGGTGAGGCTGCGGGCACGTCGACTATGATTCTTTGCTAACAGTCGACAGGCTGACAAACTTCGCGTCCAATCCCAGCTCGAGCTCCTCCAATCCCGATACATCGGTACCGGTCACGCCGACACATCCAAACACCAATGGCTGGTCAACCAACACCGTGATTCGCTGTCTAGCTTTGTTGGACATGCCCCCATGCTGGATTATATGTCTGTGGGTTTGGGAGAGACTATGGAGAGGACGAGGTTGAATATGATTGAGGTGCGTTGAAATTGGGGATTTGGTGACGTCGGCTGATTTCAAATGCACAGAAAATGGTACAGCCTTGTGGACCTCCTCCGCCTAGAGATGATGATTGATCAGGGATACGATATGGCGCGTCCAAGATTGGTTATGGGTGAACAAGAGGAGCTGAGGGACAGGCAGGACCGCCTCGGCAAAGGATAGAGAGTGAAAAGGGAGTGGAAAAGACTCGTCGAGCATGCGGAAGCATGTTCTTTCGAAGAGCATCGAAGGGCTATGGGGTCGCGACGGTACCGGAACACAGAATAGAAATGAGAGAGCATACTCCCTGAAAGTTATTCTCAGGGTCTTCCATGTCCACGTGATCAGTGATTTTGACCAAACACTTTCAAGGACCGGATATTTATCTTTAAATAAAGAAAAGAAGTATATTCTTCGAACTTACTTGGTACCATTTTCGTATCCTGTCTGATGACGAACTTTGGAGGTGCGCGTACGTACGTCGAGGTCGAAGCTCACCAGCAGTTGTTACGACACAGACGAGAAGCAATCGCGCCAGATACCCCCAGTGAGACGGCCAATTAGACAAAGGAGACGCTTCTGCATTCTTACTTTCACCAGCAAGCAAGTCCCTATAACTCCTCATAGCCACCATGTCCTCAATCGGTACCGGCTACGACCTCTCAAACTCCACCTTCTCCCCCGACGGCCGCGTTTTCCAAGTCGAATACGCTTCAAAAGCAATCGAAAACGCCCCTACCGCCATCGGCCTCCGCACATCTACCTACACTCTCCTCGCCTTAGCCAAACTCCGCCCCTCCGCCCTTCTAACCCCTAACACCGACCGCCGAATCTCTCACGTCGACCGCCATGCCGGTGTCGCTTTCTCAGGGTTGGTGCCTGATGGTATGCACTTTGTGAAGAGGGCACGGGAGGAAGCAGGTGGTTGGAGAAAGAACTATAAGGAGAGGATCTCTGGGAAGGTTCTGGCGGAGAGGATGGGTGGATATTTGCAGGCGTATACGATGTACAGCAGTGTTAGACCTTTTGGTATTGCGGGTATCATTGGAGCGGTTGATGAGGATGGACCACAGCTGTATATGGTTGAGCCGAGTGGGTTGTATTGGGTACGTATTCACCACCCCGCCACTCGAACCCGCGAGCTTGCGAGCGGGTGTGAGGCTTGCGAGCCTGCCTGTTCGAGAGCTGGAGAGGCGTTGAATGAAAAGCGTGTACTGACGACTATCCTAGGGCTACCACGCAACTGCAGCCGGAAAGGGCCGCCAACTCGCCCGCACCGAACTCGAAAAACTCGACCTCTCCTCCCTCTCCCCCGCTGACGCCGTCAAGCACGCCGCCCGCATCATCCTCCTCACCCACGACGACGCAAAAGAAAAGGATATTGAGCTGGAGATGTCGTGGGTTGCGGTCAAGGGAGCTGGAGAGGGAGAGGTGGGACCGAGGGAGGCGGGGATCCATGAGTTTGTGCCCAGGGAGTTGATTGAGGAGGCGGTTAGAGCGGCTAGGGAGGAGGCTGAGGGGGAGATGGAGGAGTAAGAATAGATTTGTGGGAAGGGCATGAGAAGAGGAGGAGATTTGCATAACAATACCACTTTGATTCACCTTTGCTAATCATGTCACGGTCTCCCGGCGTTGAACAGGAATGATCGCTTAATGTTCGTGCACTATCACTGCTTCTCGCGTCTAGGTCTACTACCACCCCGATTCGTAATCGACAAGCCTGGAGAACAAGTGTAAGAGCCGCGTCGACACGGGGCCTGACATGCTGACATCGCTAGAAGTGGGTGGGTATCGCCTTCACAGAACCGAGATCTACCACTATAGGTATAAAGCGACGCTCTGTTCGCCGGTCGTGTCGTGGAAGATCTGTATCGAAGCACAAGGCCCGTGGGAAATCACTGAAGGTATACATTGGGCACGCTGAACGATGGACTATATGCGTTGCATTAGCAGAACATGCTATTTTTTAATTCTTTGCATTCAGTCTTCAAATGACCGTGAAAGACATGCCATAACACGAGGCTCCATCGACGCCGTATATTGGCCAGGGCTGACCGCATTGGAAGTTGTCGATGGCATTTACCAGCTCCTGGAAAGATGCGCGGGTTAGTTCAAGAGTGAGAGTCCTTTCGTGGGCTACAGCTCAGGCTGAGCTTGGAGCAAGTCTTTGACTATAAGTCAGCATTGATAGAAGGGAGACATGCCTCGTGGGAAATTCAATTGGATTTTGGGACGGCAGAATGAGCTTGAAAAGGACATGGACGGCAGCCAAAGACCGATTCTTGCTAGCTGGGCTTTTGTGCGCCTCGCCTATATCCAGGATACCCAAGTAATGTGAACCGTGGGTGCAATATTCGTCTCTGCCGTCTTTGTTATATTTCCGCTTCGAACATCCGCAACAACCCCCATGCCCCATCCTTCAACGCTTTCCCCGTGAGCGAACTACACCACAACATCTTCCAACTCCATATGCAGCCTAATCCAGGTCTCTCTCGGTTTCAAACGCCCCTCGGCATCGGCCTTGTTCGTAGACACCATTAACGTCACGCCACATAGCTGTTCTTCCTAAGATAGGTTCTGGAGGTCGTCACGGCAGTTGGGCATACGTACGCAATCTGTCGCGTCGACGACCCGGATGACATTGTCTGTACCTCCCATCTCCCGTCATGATCACCCAACCTTACCAGGCTCGGCCTCGGTCTCACCCACCTCCACCACTCCCCTCAAAACCAGCCCCCTCTCCACCGTCTCCCCCCAAACCTCCAACCTCTCCTTCTTCTCACTCTCTTTCTTACCCTTCCACCTCCCCCTCACAGTCAATCCCTCCCCCACAAAAAGCGGCTGTAGACACCGATACTCAAACCCCTTCACCTTCAACCCCTCCTTCCCCAACCCACCTTCGCTACCGCTCAGGTGGCGTCCAACAACTTCGAGCAGCAGCAGCGCCTGCAACGGCCCGTGCACCAACGGCCTCCCCCACCCCTCTGATCCGCTCCCGTGGTGGACGTGGTGTGCGTTCATCGTGAGCGCAGAGAAACGGAATAGGAGGGTTTGTGTTGTTGGTGGGATGTGGTGCTCGAAATCGAACTGCGAGGAGGGGGAGCGGAGGGTGCGGGGTGGGGGAAGGGGTGGGGTTGAGCGGATGTAGGTGATGGAGCGGAGTTCGGTTATGGCGGGGGTTAGGACGGAGGTGGAGGCGGAGGCGGAGGTAGGGGTTGAGTAGATTGAGCGTTCGACGTGGACGGTGAGTTTGCTTATTGAGTTTTCTTCGTGTGCGGTTCCGGATCCCGTCCTGGTGTCGATTGTCACATCCTTAATCATCTCCTCCATCCTCATCGGCATTGGAGAATTAGCGCTGAGGTGGAGGGACTGGTCGAAGCTCATCTTCCCACCCGTCCAGAGACGATGTCGCCATGGCTCGGGAGGGGCAGTGATGAGGTCGTATCCGTCCCTCGCTAACTCCCGCTCGGGAACACAGAGGGGGAAGTATACCAAATGATGACCCGGTGGCAGCGCACTCGTTCCCCGACGTAACTCTTCTTTGAGAGGAGGGAGGTAGCCGTCGAGTGTCGCGTTGAGTATATCGTGCGGGGTTGAGGTTAGGAGGTCGTGGTAGGTCCGTGATGGGCGGTTGAGGAGGTCGGTTTTATCGGTTTCGGTGAAGGGGGTGAAGGAGACGAGTGAGGTTTCACTGAACGCTCTATGGCTACATTTCAGAGGTGATTGACGTATGAGAGCCCGAGCTATAACTAGAGGATGGCGGAGAAGCATCGTGGACCGAGGTTGCAATTGCATTCATCCGGGAGCTCCTATAGTGAATAGGATGGTTTATCGATGGGCCTCTACCAAAAACTCTGGACTAATTGCTGGATGAATGCTGGATGAAAGCTGTCGGCTACGATTTCTGGTGTTCACCTCTCCTGCACCCCGTGCACCAACCCACATACACCTGACAGCACCTCGAAACAAGGCCCAAACACCAAACACAACACCACCGCTTCGCTGCGATCACCATGATCCGCCCCTCAAAAATAACCCTCTCAATCGCAGCCGCAGTCATGATCGTTGTATTCATGCTGTTCGCATCCTACGACTCCCTACGGAATTCGCCGAGTGGGTTGATTTCTCCATATAAATCGCCCGCCTCTGTTTCAGCTGATCCCGTGGTCGCGCCGGTAATAGGCGGTGCTGGGGTGGGGGTGGGTGTGAGGCCGCCGGAGGGGATGTTGGAGGCGCCGGTGGTGAAGTTGAGTCAGAAAGAGAAAGAGGAAGTGGAGGAGGATGGGGTTGTGAATGGTGGGGTCATCATGCCCAAACTTGGGAACGAGACCATAAAAGCCGAACTCGGTCGCGCATCATGGAAGGTCCGTCCCAAACCCGAACCTCATACCCCTAACCCCCATCCGTACTAATCCAGATATCCGAGTAGCTCTTCCACACAATGCTCGCCCGCTTCCCCGAATCCCCAACCCTCGACGAACGCACAGCCCTGTCAACCTACCTCCACCTCTTCTCCCGCCTCTACCCTTGCGGCGACTGCGCAACCCACTTCCAATCCATCCTCGCCCTCTACCCACCCCAAACCTCGAGTAGAGAGACAGCGAGTCAGTGGGGGTGTTTTGTGCATAATCTGGTGAATGAGAGGTTAGGGAAGGATATGTTTGATTGTTTGAGTATTGCGGAGAGGTACAAGTGTGGGTGTGATGAGGAGGAGGGGGGTGAAGCCGAGCGGAAAGGCGAGGCTTTGACGGGTGGGACGGCTACGGTGAAGCAGGAGGAGACGGGGGAGGCGGTGAAGGACACGGAGACGGAGACGGAGAAGGAAGAGGTGAAGGAGGTTCAGACAGAGGAGCCAGTTGTCAAGAGTGAGCAACAAGAAGCCAAGGAGCACCTGGAAAACATGGAGGTTGAGACGGAGGGGTTAACGGCGGGAGGATAGTCCGTGATCACGTCCAGGTCCGGCGTTATGCATGCATTGTCACGAACACTAAACATCAGCGAGCATCAATACTCTTGGTTGAGGGAAGCAGCGATAGCTCTCGCGTTTGTGTTCCCACGGGTCTGGTGCCTGGATCCAAATCTCTCACGCCACGTCCAGCTGCCTCTCACCGCGCACACACCCCTGAACCCCCCTATCCTGCTATTCTGCTATTCTGCTATTCTGCTACTTGACCGAACAACTACTCGTATGCCGACGTCAGATACCTCGCCTCTTGCATCCTTGCTTGCGCATTTAGAGAAGTCACCGGGACGTGGACGGGGGAAACGGGGCGCCGCTCCCGCTGCTGTGTAAGGATAACCCAACCTCCTTTTTGCAGTAGCTAATTTGGTTGTGGAGCCGTACAGTCCGGACGTATTGGTTGACGGCGTCTTTGAGTACCTCGATGATGTCGAGACCTTGACCGACGCGGACCGCACCGCCGCGCAGCATTTATTCCAGGTACTGGGGAAGGAAGAAAGGGGATATGATTTGGAGGCGATTGTTGTCGAAGTGGTGATAAAGACGTGTTTGAAGATGGAGAATGCGATGGCTGGGTGGGAGATTGTACTGGTAAAGCAAAAGCCAATATGCGAAGGACAGAGTTGCCTGGATGTATGCTGACATGACGCTTTACAGAGATGGGCAGACTTGAACTTCGACAACGGCAATCGCAAGTTAAGCATCGATGACACCACCCTCCTCGCCCTCTTCCCTCCTCTCACGGCCGCAATTCCTATCCAAACTCCACGCGTCATCGTTCACATCCTAAACTCCCTCATGCGCTCCTCCGCAAAGATGAAAGAACGCGTTCTTCGCCTCACGCTTCGCACACACTGCCCTAGAATTGGCTCTATCGTCGCCGTAGGCGCCGACTATATGCTTCAAGAAGCGTGTCTCCGCTTCGTGATAAGCGTGATTCCATCGAACCGTGCACAAGCAGAGAAGATTGTGCGGTGTTTCTGGCCGAACCCCGTATTAGCGGATGACTTGGAACAAGCCTTGATCGAGGAGAGGGCTGGTTTGCACGTCTTGGACTGGCTTGCTTGTCTTAATCAGACGCGTGGGGAGGAGGCACCATTGAGCGTTGAGGTTACTTATGTTCAGCTGGACGGTGAGACGGCGCAGCCTGAACCTACTCAGAGCGGACAGTGGATACATTTGAGTCATGATGGTATCTGCACGCATATGTTCGAGGAGGGGAGACTCGTTATCTTGGACGTTGCATACGACCAGGTTGATGAGATTTCTGCATTCAATCGTGCATCTTCGACCTTCAACCTGAAGCTTTCTGGTGCTACCATCGACTTCGTTCTTGAGCCCGTCGAGACTCTCTCCTTTCAGCTCGGCATTTCTGACTCGCAAGGAGAGGATGTCGGTCCTAAAGTCTTGCAACGCATCGAACTCGGTCGTGCTCGCTTCTCCAAGGAGAAGAAGAGGTCAAAGACAAGTATGCCTACCAAAGCCATCCCCTCCGGCATCGCCTTGGAGGAAGCAAAGACGATGGAGCAGAAAGCTGTGGAAGCCTCACAACGTCTCAAAGTTGTCGAGGAAGGCGTTCGTTCGTCTCCGTCGTACTCCTCGCAGAAAAGTCTTCATTCTAAGGAAGACGCGGAGAAGGAGTATGATAGTGATGCGATGAGTGACCTCACTGAGCTTCCGTCACAGACGCCGATCAGAGATATGACTCCCGCACAACCTGAGCCCGTCACTGCTCCCGTTCAGGGAGCTCAGGGTCCGAAGCAAGTTCCCCGGATGTCCTCTCAAGTCGCCCGTGCCTTCTCCGATATTTGGAACTCACCCAAGGATGCTCCACAGCTTCCCAAAAAGGCACCTGCTGCAGTTCCGATGGTGAGGGACGGTGATATGATGAAGCCTCCCGTCGGAAAACCTGGTGCGAAGAAGAAGTTCGAGCCGCTGAGGCCGAAGGAGAAGGCACAGAAGCCGGAGATTGCTCAAGGGAAGGACATTTTTGACTTTCCTGAGGACGACGACGCTGAGGAGGAACCCGTCAAGAAGCCCTCGGCGAAGAAAGAAGTTCCTGCGAAGAAGGCGGTGACGAAGGCGAAAGCTGTGCAGAAGGCTGCTGAGGACGAAGACCTGTATGACCTCCCGCCCGGGGCTGAAGCGGAGGCGATCAAGAAGACAACTAGAAGACCGGACCAACTACAGTCGAAGGCTGCAGCCAAACCTGCTCCAAAAAAACCTGTAGCGACCCAGAAAGATGTTTACGATCTCCCTGACGACAATGGCTCAGAAGTCGGCGACGAAGAGGCTGTCGTCACCACCTGGTCCAAATCGAAGTCCAAGACCCCTGGTTCTCGCGCTCCGGTCAAGACTTTCGCATCGTCCAAGAAGGAGGCGCAGTTAGCTCGACGTTTGTCTATGGAAGATGAACAGGAAGATGAGGGCTCGCTGACGGATTACGATGACATGCCCGGTCTCCCGAAAGCTAAGGCGAAGGGAAAGGCGTCGCTGAAGGAAGCCAGGAAGCCTGCTGCAGCGACCAAGAAGCCCACAGCCAAAGGAAAGAAAGTCGTGGATGAGTCGGAGGCGGAGATCTCAGAGCCTGTCCCGGCCCCGAAGAAGACCGCAATGAAGCCAGCCAAGGGTAACACAAGAAAGAGTGCGCCGGCTGACCTCGAACGCGTGGTCGCAGAGAGTCGCAAAGCCCGTGCCACGAAGGCCGCTGCACATGCTGACGCTTCCGAAGCTGAAAATGAAGTCGAAGCAGAGCTCGAGGAGAAGAGAGTGTTACCTCGTCGTGGCGCGAAGGCTGTTACTGAGAAGAAGATGAAGGAGCAACTGAAGCCGACGCAGGAAGATGGCACGTCTGCGGACACGATGGTCGCCGACGAAGGCCTTATTGTCTTGGAGGCGGCGCAGAAGGTAACAGGGCGTGGGATAATCCTTGAGGACGAATCGGACATGAGCATGTCCGAGGCTGAGGGGCCGGTGAAGGCCGCCAAGAAAGCGCCAGTAAAACCAACAGCTGCCAACAAATCAGCCCGTAAAGGTCGTCTCGTGGTGGATTCATCTGACGATGACTCCATGTCAGAAGACAACGGCACCCCCAGCCCTCAACCCAAGAAACCCGTACGCGTTCAGGCAGCCAGTCATCCGTCAGCCCACCTCATCGACGAACGTCTCTTCCGCAAACCGAACGTCATCGCCTGGGGTAAAGAAGGCCCTCTAAACTCTGGGCCCGCTACAGCGAAGAAGAGGGGATTGCAGGAGGAGAAGCGTGAGCGTGATGTGAAGAAGAGTAAGTTCGTGGAGGATGTGGAGGAGGATGGGGCGCCGGAGGTTATGGAGTATGAAGAGGCGGAGCACAATATGACGAAGATGAGTCAGATGACTGCGGTATGTCCTGTTTCCCATTGTATAGGACCTGATGCTGACTGGAGAGAACAGATTCGAAGCAACGGCTCCCCCGTCCCACTTGCCGATGCTGGTCGCATGATGGGTGGTCGCGAGGACTTGGGCAGTACGGACGTGATCCTAGGCTCGAACAGGACCGACGAGATGTTCGCCATGAGCAACATCAATCTCGCCAGGGACGAGCCCGCGTTCCGAAAGCCCTTGGCTGCTGCTGCCGTAGCGGCGGCTGCTAAGTTCAAGCCTGCGGAAGCGAAGAAAGATGCTGTGGGAAAGAAGACGAAGGAGAACAATGCGGCGAGGGCGTGGGATGGCAAGGAAATTTCTGCTTTCCATGCAGGTGAGCGTGTGAAACAACTGTTCTGGATGATATGTTGACACCTTTCACAGTTCCACAAAAACCCCCAACCAAGAGGAAAGCCCAGGAAAGCTCTTTTTACCACCTCCTTCAACGACAAGGAATCCTCAACACCTCTTCAGGCGACCAAACCCTCGTTGGACCTTCATCGTCTATCTCGTCCGCGAGCAGTGTTGATGAAGATGACTCTATGGACGATGCTAGTGAAGTGATGAGCGAGAGTGAAGACGAAGTCGAGGTTAGCTGGAGGAAAAGTCTGCCGGAGCATCATAAAACGACGCTCGCGTTATTGGGGGAGATAAACAAGGTTCGATCACCACCCAAAGGGGTTGTTGAAGTGTACTGATGACTCTTTCGAACAGGCTCTCGTCAAACGCATGCAAGAACAAGAAGTCACTCTCCATTCCACCATCACCTCTTTCGACACTGAAGCAGCACAATTCACGACCGTCATGGACAGCGCGCGTCAGTCCGACTACGCCAACCTCCACAACACCCTCCGCACCGGCAAGAACAAGATCAGCAAACATATGGATGGAGTTAGGGAAGTCGCTGGCGAGGGAATCGGGTATGACGTCGCTGCTCGGTTGAAGGAGTTGAGGGAGAGGAATGCGGAGAGGGGAAGGATTGTTTCGGGCAGGTTGAAGGATGCGCCGTTTGGGATGCCGACGATGAGGAAGAGGGTCAAGTGAGCGATTTCGGGGAGGGGGTTGTTTGTGTGTGTTTATGTATACCTTTTATATCTGTTATACTGATTTAATTGAGGCGTGTCGTCTGCTTCTCGTGGAGACTTGATCTGCTTTCCCACGTTGGCAGATGGTATCACTATCCAACCATTGCCTGCAATTCTTCCGTGACTCTTCCCTCCTGTGCTTCCTCAAAGTCCCACCTCTGCCCCTATGCTTGTTTCCACACCTCATTCCTCTCAACCTTCTCCCTAATCCCCTCCCTCATGCGCTCATAAACCTCCTCACACCCCTCCCTCGCAGCCTCCAAACACCCAAAAAACTCCTCATCGGAAAAATCACCAAGACTCTCACACAGCACCAACTGTTTGTGGACATTTTCGTAGCAGATGACGTGGGTTGATCGTGCGCTCTAAATCCCACAATTGTCAGCGTTGTGGTAGGTGGGATGTTGCGGGGGGGACTTACGTTTACGTCCTCTATTCTCGAGATCGCACCTGTTTGTTCGTCTACGCCGATCGCGACGGCGGAGATTGTGGATGACATGGGTATGCCTGCGTCCATCAGGGCCATACAAGCTGCATTAATCCCCGCCGCCAAAACGTGTACACTTCCATCTGGTGATGGGGGTGCTGAGATGATTTGGATGGTGATTTGGATATGGGTTCGTGGATGCAGCTGCGCACGGATTATCGGCGAAATCGCAGACAGGAGTTTCCGTTCGAGTGATTTCTCGTGTGTTCCTATCAACCCTCCCATCAGCACAATCCCCAACCCATACTTTCAAAGGGAGACAAGACAAACCTGGTGCACCAACCGCCGGCCGTACGATAACCTCAATCGTCGCTTTATCGACTTGCTCGTCGCGTAACCTGACCTCCATCGGACCGTTCACGGAACAGAGGAGTTTTGTGGGGCCGTGGGACCATGTCGAGGAGCCGTCTGCGCGGTGGAGGAGGGCGGTGGTGGTTGTTGTTGGTGACATTTTGGCAGTGATAACTTTGCTGGGTTGATTAAGGAATAAGGTGGTGCCCGTGATTTACGTATACGTTCACGTGCGCCACAGGAGGCCAGATTTATATCGTTTCGTATTAAGCGGAATCCAACACCCGACACTTGGTCCCCGCACTTCGGCAGCTTCGGCGATGAAGCTACTTCCTCGAGGTGGGGCACCGGGCTCGTCTCGAGATGTGTCAAAAGGTTGATCCTCGATCACACTTGACAACGTTACCTCAAATCACTTAACATCGATCAATGCCTCTCAAATCGTATGTCGATGGACCATACGGCATTGTTGTTGGATGTGTCGGCTAATCATGATCTGTCCACAGACCTCGTCCAGACGTTCATATCCCTGACCAGGATATCATCTCATTCCTCTTCGACAGGAAACCCGCCTGTGATCCAAATGCGCCGCTTTTCGTAAATGGCATGACCGGAGTCGGATGCTCCTGGAACCAACTCAAGGACCTCTCGCGTCGATTCGGTGCTGGTCTCGTCGAGAAGTTACAGTGGAAGAAAGGCGATGTCTTGGCTATCATGACCCAAAACGCTGTATGTGCCACCTCTTTCTCGTGATCAAATTCGAATTCATGGACTGACGAAAAGGGTTGGGATAGGTCGAATACCCCATCGTCGCATTCGGAACGCATATCGCTTCTGGTATCGTGACGCCCGTTAATCCATCCTACACCGCCCCCGAACTCACCCATCAACTCCGTAACTCCGGTGCCCGGATCCTCGTGATCCAACCTTCTCTCCTCCCCATCGGTATCGAAGCGTGCAAGACGCTCAATATCCCGCGTGAGAGGATTTACGTGATTGCGGAGGAGAGCGTACAGGGATTCCAGCCGTGGTCGAGTATTATGTCGAAGAACCAGTTGACGAAGGCTGAGCATATCAAGAATCCGAGTAAGGACTTGGCGTACCTCGTCTACTCTAGTGGAACGACTGGGTTGGCGAAGGGCGTTATGCTCAGTCATACTAACTTGATTGCGAATATGTGTCAGTTGTATGGGGCTGAGGGAAAGTACTTTACCGTGGGAAAGAGCAAGTACATCGGAGTGCTGCCGTATGTTGTTTGAGGTTTCATTGTCAGAAAACAAAGCTAACCAAGACATACAGATTCTACCATATCTACGGGTTGACGTGTCTCGTCCACCTTCCCGTTCTCCAGGGTATCCCAGTGATCATCCTTCCTCAATTCACGCTCAAGGACTTTTGCAACATCGTCCAGAAATACAAAAGTGATGATTTCCTCTCGTGCTCTGTTGCATCTTAGCTGACAGGAGTCCTCACAGTCACATACGTCTACGCCGTGCCCCCCATCATCCTCCAACTCGCTAAAGACCCCATCGTCGACAATTACGACCTCACAAGCCTCGAAATGTTCAACTGCGGCGCCGCCCCCCTAACGAAAGAACTCACCATCGAAGCCACCGAACGCCTTCGAGTCCCTATCAAACAAGGCTACGGCATGACCGAATCCTCTCCCGTCTCTATCGTCCAAGATTGGAATAAGTGGCGCGTGTATGGTTCGACTGGCCACCTCCTCCCCAATATGTCCCTCAAATTCGTATCACCTGGGCCTGAGCACGACGAACTCCCGGTGAATACGGAGGGAGAGCTTTGGGTTCGGGGCCCAAATGTTATGCAGGGGTATCATGGGAATGAGGAGGCGACGCGGGAGACGATTACGGAGGATGGGTGGTTGAGGACGGGGGATGTTGGGTATGTAGATGAGGAGGGGAACGTGTTCATCACGGACCGCGTGAAGGAGTTGATCAAGTACAAGGGATTCCAAGTCCCCCCGGCCGAACTCGAAGGCGTCATCATCTCTCATCCTGCGGTCAAGGACGTCGCTGTCATCGGTGTCTATGACGCGACGCAGGCGACTGAGCTCCCCCGCGCGTATGTCGTTCTCAAAGATAGTGTCAAGGGAAGGGAGATGGAGATGGAGAAAGATATTGTTGCCTTTGTGAAGGGGAGAGTTGCGAGGCATAAGAGGTTGAGAGGGGGGGTTAGGTTTGTGGAGGAGGTGCCGAAGAGTCCTTCGGGGAAGATTTTGAGGAGGAAGTTGAGGGATGAGGTTAAGGCGCAGGGAGAGACTGCCGGGGCGTTTCAGGCTGTTGCGAAGCTCTAGATTGCTAGAGAATGTTGTAGGATATTGCAGTTGTATGATTATCTTGATTCTTTGCATGCTCCTACGCTTTTAATCTATGGCGAAACGACCATGCTTGTTGTGCCTAAGAAGGACTGATTTAGTGATCCATCTTGACCATCTTCCCAGGCTCCCACTCGTCCACCGCCGACTTGATCCCATTCCAATACCTCAACCGATACGCCGCTCGCGTCGCCTCCTCAATATCCCCTCCCTCCAACGCCCTCCCAATCTCCTCAACAGTCTCCTCAATCCTCTCCTCATTCTCCCTCTTAATCTCCTCGATTTCCTCTTCCGTCCGCGCTTCCTCAATCGCCTCCCGGACTTCGAGGACGGTCATCAGAATTGCTGGGTCGGGGGTGTGCGTCTCGGGAGGGGGAGTATCGGCGTCGGTGTGGATGTCGTGGTATGTTGATAAAAGGTATGTTGCGCGAGGTAGTGGGGTGAGGAGGGTTCGGTAGGCGTTGTTTAAGTGCGAGGATAAGGTGTCGGCTAACCTCCTCTGTCCCTCCTCTTTGTTAACGAAAGAGTCTGGGTGGACGAGTTGCTGCATCTTTAGGAACTTTTGTCTAAGCGCCCGGCCATCGACATCGAAGGGTCCTTCCGGTGGAGGACTCAATCCGAATAAGTCATAATGCGTTGTCGAGGAAGGAAGAGGGGTTAGGGAGGAGCAGGAGGTGCAGAGCAGGGTTGAGGGTGGGAGGGGGGTGGAGCAGGTTGGGCATTGTTTTCGCGGTGTTTGTGACGTACGGGTTGTGGAATAAGGCCGCAGTGGTGCAGCAGCTTGTATGGGAGGGAGAGCTGATCTGGCAATCGTAGCCCGCGAAACGGTTGATCTGCTGGAGGCGAGGGCGAAAGATCCTCGTCTGAGGACGCTTGATAGATTGTTGATGACGGATCGCCTCATTGACAATTTCTTTATTTGCTTGGCCGAGAGGATGGTGGGGGATGGGCGTGGCTGGTTGGGATTGAATCGATTCTCGCCACCGACGTCCGGGGCAACGAAACGACAGCCAAGTGGACCCTTCGCCAATAACCTTAAATCAGACGAGGCCGTCTATAAGAACCACGATCCTCCCTGCTGTTGTAGGCAACGATCGATCCACCATTGTTGTTGGCAGGAAACACAAGCGTCAACGCATCTACACATCTAATCATTTACGCTGGGTCGCTTTCGGAGTGCCATTAGGGGGTTGCGGGTACGTCTCCCCACCTTTCCTTCTCTCTTGCTTGCTATGAGGATGGAGGCTGATGGTGGAGCGGGAAGCAGTCAGCGATGTCCTCCTCACCAAGACCACTGCTAGAATACTACGACGTGTGTCTCTACGATGAAGACATGGATAACCTCCAAGGTCTAGGCTGGTTATCCGACAATAACCTCTCATTTTGGTGTACGTCTTTACCGGCTTGCAAGCTGAACACTCGGCTGATCAAGACGTACAGATGAATATCTCGAACGCGAAGTCATTCCAAACTTTACCGACACTTCCGTCCTCCTCATCCGTCCTTCCTTGGCGTTTTTGATCGCACAAACTCCGGACCCATCTATGATCGCCGACGCCCTTCCTCCGAATTTGATGGATGCCTCGCATCTTTTCCTGCCTATAAACGACAACACAGACACCACCTCCGTCGGCGGCTCACATTGGTCGCTCCTCATTGTCTCGCTCCGGGATAACGTATCAATGTCCTATGACTCCCTCCACAACGCGAACGAAGAACCAGCCCGCCACATGTCCTCCGCCTTCTCCAAACTCTTCAACAGCAAGCGAGCGGGAGCGGGCTCAGGAGGAGCAGGGGCGGGGCAAGAGTTCGAGTTCGTGTCTATGCAAACCCCCCAACAAGAAAACGGCAGCGATTGCGGCGTCAGCGTCTGCCTCCTCACCCGCCTCCTCGTCGGCCGTCTTCTCGACACAAACCGCGAAGCGAGCGTGGATATGTCCGTTCGCGAGGGCGACGCGGGGGCTGCTGTCGATTGCCGACAAGGCCGGGAAGAGATGATCTCGATTATCAAGAAGATCGTCAAAGAACAGGGACGGAAAGTTGGGGGAGCCAAAGACGTTGAAATTACGACTACTACGACAAACTCGTCGGTTGATAGGGAGGTGGATGGGGAGGGGGTGGGAGAGTTGGGGGCAAGTATGGTCCCGCCTGAGAACCGACGGACATCAATGTCGAGTCCGCGCTCTTCCGTTAATGTCTCGAGATCACCGTCCCGGAGCCGACAACGACCGTCCAGCGCAGCTCCACCTTCGTATCCGCCAATCTCGGGACAAATGGGATTATCACCCACCTCGTCCAACCTGTCCAACACATCTCAACCTATGATCGGTGGTCTGGGCACGAGTCCAGCGGCGAGTGTGGCTTCGGTGCCCAGCGCGTACCCTGGCTCCGGCGTTGCGGGACGCCGTGGGAGCGTACCGTCTGCCGTCATGGGGATGGGTGGTCCAACGGCTGGACGTCGTGGGAGCTTACCCGTCGCTGCTGATGGAGGACCAGGGGTGCCGCCACAAGCGTATGTGAGGGATTCGAGGGTGAGCTATAATGAGGCGAGGGGACGGGTGCCAGTGCCAGTGCCAGTGCCGGGGCCGGGGCCGGGGCAGGTTCCGGGGCAGCAGGTTCCGCAGGGTGGAATATACTGACGGGATTCGAGGCCGCTGTGATCCTAACGGAGGCCAATGGAGAGGTGCGCCCACGTAAGAGAGGAGAATGACGAGATAATTTACTTGGGAGGAGATGAGCCGGCTAGCCGTGGGAACGCGAGCGCGACGTGTATCATTACGGGATGTAATATTGGGTTCAGGATGGACCATTTTTTCAGCATGAGAGCTATAGCTACTATCATATTTCTGATCGATATTTGAAAATTTTGTCCACCGTAGCATGATGTATAAGGTAACGAGAGGAACTCGGAGTACCCGTATGAGTCGGGGCGCGTGCGCGTGCGGTGCCTTGCAGCGGAATTCATGAGCGAGGTGTACGAAGGTGAAATACTTGAATCAGGATTTGAGAGATATGGAGACTCTATCACCTGAAGGACTTCGATTGGGTATGTTTCCTTCATATTACAGTCAGCTGGATTTGATTGGAAGTGCTGACCATGGTACGCAGACGGCCGCCGCTGGAACGAACTCCGCTGCTTCACATCCCGTATATCCCTCCTCCCAGATGCCGACGGATCCTCCTACATTGAACACGGCAATACAAAGATCCTCTGCGCAGTCCGCGGCCCCCGGGAACCGCTTCAACGGGGTACTGCACACCCGGAGAAAACAATCATCACCGTCGACCTTTCTGTCCCCGCCTTCTCTACCACTGACAGAAAAAAGCGGTCAAGAACAGACAAGCGGTTACAAGAGTGGTCGACGTTGATTGAAGATGTGTTTTCAGATGCAGTGTTGGTGAGTTTGACACCGAGAAGTGAGATTAGTGTCAGTTTGCAGGTGTTGAGTCAGGATGGGGGCATGCTTGCGGATTGTGTGAATGCGGTCACATTAGCGATTGTGGATGCGGGGATCCCGATAAGCAATTATATCTGTGCCTGCACGGCCGGATTGTATGACAATGAGCCATTATTAGGTGTGTGCAGTTGTGACTATTGCCTGCTGGACTTCACTAATTCTTCTCCACAGATCTGAATAACATGGAGGAGAACGACATGGCGTACTGCACAGTTGCAACACAAGGAGCGACAGAAGATGTTGCGTTACTACAGATGGAGACGAGACTACACCTGGACAAGTTTGAGAGTATGTTGAGTGTTGCTATTGCTGGATGTGGGCAAATCAAGGAGATGATGGACGAGACTGTGAGGAAAACCAGCAAGGCATACCTGGATAGGTTGGAGGAGCAGAAGCAGTGAATGCCCAGTTGATGATGTTGGGAGTTATAGGAGGCGAATTACATATCCGGGCCCTCGCTTGAAGAATCGATATAAGAGGAAAATAGCTCAGGATAGAACTTGAGAATCCCAACGAGCTCAAACAAAGCCCACAGTTTGTTACGAGGACTAGTTGAATACGATGATATACCCTAGGCCTTCGTCTATCTTCCTTCAATTCCATCTCCCGATTCAGCTGGCAGTCGTTATCGATACGCAACAGACTCTTGCTTCCCCTCCCACTCGAAATGCTCGAAGAAGTCGCATCTTATCTTGACCACGTCACAACTCTCCGTCTCACTCTCTCCTCCAGAAGCCTCTACACCTGCCGTAATATCCTAATCAAGTCCATACTGTACCGACCCAAACAATTCTACCTTCCCGCTACATCTCTCGAACTCGACAACCGGTGCAAAAGAGAAGAAGAGGTTCGCAGGATGGATTGGTTAGTGTATTGGAAGGCGTGCGTGGCAAGTCTCTCGATGCGGATGAGGAAGTATCTGTGGTATGTTGGAAAGAAAATTCGGTGTGTTCTCTACTTATCAAAGGGGAACGTGATGGTGACGAGGGGAAGTGCGGAGCAGGTAGGGAATGCGTGAGTCATTAAGAGAAGCTTCAACGGTATGGAACGATAATATGGTTATGCTCGCCGTAGAGATCGCATTTGGTACTGCACAGGATGGAGGCGAGGCAAATACATACAGAGTACTGATATGTGTTCGCGTCACCACCCCTCCTTACAATTGCCAGATGACATGATTGAGTACACACCAATGTGTGTACAGCGTGAATAGTCCATGCCTCGGTTTCACGTCTGCGTGCATCGTCCGAAGTGCCGACCTCGTTCATAGAAATACCTGCTCATGTATAGAACTCCACCGTGAGATTCCCAACCTCACAGTGCAGCACTCGCCCATGACGCCTCCCGCCTTACAGCGGGTTCTTCCAAATCCCCAACCTCTCCATCGTCTCCCTCACCCCCGCCGTCCCCCGATCCCAATAGATAACCCCAATAATAGCCTCCAAAGTCGTCATAATCATCGAATCCACCGCCTTCCCCTGATATCCCGGCCCAACTTGAATCAACTTGTCCAACTCCAACTTCCGTCCAATACCAGCAAGATGCGCGTTATTCAACGTTTGGCTCAAGTTAACCGTGACGAGCCCTGTTTGGTTTGCGTGCTTTAGGGCCATGATCTCGACGATTGCTAGGCGCATTGCTGATTCGCCGATCATTGCTAGCCCTTTGTTACCGCTTAGACCACCGTAGTAGGAAGCGTGTCGAATTGCCTGCAGGGCCATGGGCCGGGTTATGACCTGGAATTGGTGGTTGAAGAGGGATTCGATGCGAGATATTCTGAGGTCGTCATCGTTCATTGTGGAAGGTGATGGTGGATGGGGTGGTGGTGGTGCTGCGTAGGTTTGTTTCTGTTTCTGCTGTTGATTGAGTTGTTCTTGAGATGATGGGAAGAATTGCGATTGAGATTGTGATGCTTGTTGTGACGATGCTGGGATTACGTACGCGTTCCAAGCTTTTTGTTGTGAAGACCCCGCTGTTCCTTGGGATGATTGAGACCAGTCGGCTGGGCCGGGTTCTTTACCGGAAGCTGACGAACCACCAAGTGGATCATTAGGCCACTGTTGCCAGCCTGATCCGCCGTGTCCTTGTGACATAGGTTTGAGGTGGCGAATAGGAATAAGGTTGCGCTAACTGTGTCGACAGTTTCTCTTGACCGCTACCGTATGACTCGAGATTTAATCGGTTTGGCGCTCACAGACTCTTGCGACAGGAGTGATCAAGGCGGCGCGTTTGTAAGCACCGATCAACGTGTCGCACACAAACAAAGCGACGATCTTCCTTTGCGCAGGTGATCCGCACACGCAATGACTATTCCTTCGAAGGCGAGAAGAGCAATTCGAGTTTCGCTGTCCTTCTCGACTCGAAGGGAAAGTCAGCCGCGTATGGAGAGCAGTGTCAAAGTCTTCAATGAAGACGTCGTTCAAGCGAGCTGGATTGCTTGGTGGATTGTTGAACTTGGATGGTGTACGTGTACTGGAATTGCCGGTTCGTATGTGGGGTTGCAACTGCCTGCCGGCCGATGCGACAGATGCAGCGTCGTGCAGAGAAGCTTTCACGAGTGAGAACGAAAGAGAAAGGACACTCGCAATACTATTGAAAGCATGTATTATCATATCTTGTCTATCGTAAACTCCCCGGGTATCATTATTGCTCCTTCTATATCCTGATGCCTTTTTGGATCGATCCTCCTGGGATGATCTCACGCTCTACTTCCTCTCCAAAACGAAACGGTAACGAACGTCACCCTTGTGCAAACGATCAGCAGCGTCGTTGATGTTGTCGGCAGTCATCTCCATGATCTCGTTCTGGGGCTTAATACCGTGACGAGCAGCGAACTCCAGCATGAGGTTCTGAACATGACGAGAAGCGACCAAAGATCCAGAGACCTTGAGCTCGTGAACAATGATGTCAGAGTAAGGTGTGATCATGTCAGGGTCGGAGGAGAGACCGAGAGGAATCATAGTTCCAGTGGGCTTCAAGCAGCGCATGTACTTAGCCCAAGGAATCTGTCCAGCGACGGTGGAGAGGATAAAGTCGAACTTCTCCTCAATCTGGAACTCCTCGTCCTCAGCAACGCGGGTAACAACGAACTCGCGAGCACCAAAGTGCTCAGCCTCGGCCTTCTTGGCGTCAGAGCCGGAGAAAGCAGCGACGTGACATCCCCAAGCCTTCAAGAACTGGAGGGCCAAGTGTCCGAGACCACCGATACCGACGACGCCGACACGGTCGGTAGGCTTGATGTTGTTGTTGTAGATAGCAGCGAAAACGGTGGCACCAGCACACATCAACGGGGCAGCATCCGCAGGGGCAAGACCCTTAGGGATCTTGAAGACGTACTTCTCCTTTCCGATGTAGCCAGATCCCATACCACCCATATCCAAATCAGCGTATGCATACATCTTCCTCTCCGCGCACAGAATCTCCCTTCCGGTCATGCACATCTCACACTCCATACAGGAGTCGTGGAGGTATCCCCATCCAACGACATCGCCCTTCTTGAGACGCTTACACTCGGAACCGACCTCCTCGACGATACCGACGGGCTCGTGACCGAGGACGTTACCGGCCTTGAGGTAGTGGATGTCGGTGTAGCAGAAACCACAGTGGGTGACCTTAATGAAGACCTCGTCGGGCTTGATGTCACGGATGGTGTGGGTGGCCTCGATGACCTTTCCCTCGGGGGTTCCCTTGAAAACTTGGATCTCAGGCATATCGACGAATGTGACTGTTGTAGGTGTAGGAGGTTGTTCCTCACATCTCGAGGAGCCCACACCCTTTTAAACGCACCAGACTCCGTACCTAGGTACTACGCGTATCATCGTGGCTAACTTGGATTTGTCAGATTTCATCACTAAGAAACAAGTACGTTTTCGGTTTAGTCAGCTCGCACTTTTTTTTTTGCGACGCCGCATCATCCGACGCGTTGGTTTGCTTCGGCGGCGCATGTGGGTGCTATAGTGCGAGATAGCCGAGACTCGGTCCAGATGCACAAACTATAGTGCATGTGAGAGTATGAAGGCATGATCCGCCGTGAAGCAGATCAAGGCAGACCGTGCTTATCCTCGCTACTGCTGTGCTCGTCGAGGTGAAGCTTGCGGTTCCCACGTTGCGGTTGGAAGAGCGCTCGGCTGTACGTCCGCGGTGTGGGCCGCCTATTTCGTAAAGGCTTAGCCCAGGCACCATGCATATATATAAGGGTATACGAGGCTCGTCCTCTTAGTTGCTAGTTACCAATACTACTGTTCTGGCTTATACCTGTTCTAGCCTACTCACCCTCAGCAGACCGTTGTCCAAGCACATGGTTAGTCCGACTGTGAGTTTATCCCTCATGGCTCGCGACCGATCCAAACATGGGAATACCGAGCTTGCCGAGGATGGGTGAGAGTGAATGTATATATTAAGGATGGTTAACCACCAAGGTGTGGTTGTGATAACAATACGCATATGGGTGATAGCTACTGTTGATAACCGTATCCCTGACCCCATTGGTTCCATCCGTTGTTGTAGGCTTGTTGGTTCATATAGTGCTGGTATTGTAGTTGTTGTCGTTGCTGCTGTTGGTATTGCATCTGCATTTGAGCAGCCATTTGTGGTGTCATAGGCATGGGCTGCATCGGCATTCCCATTCCCATCATATGCGGTTGTACCATGTTTGGCATCGCATACTGACTCGGCATTGCCATGGGCATTTGCATCCCGTTGCCTGGTATCGCCACTTGTCCACCCATGTACATACCTTGCTGAGGTTGCATCATCCCCGCTCCCATGCCCATTTGCTGCGACTGCTGACCCCCCATCCCGTGCCTCATGTGCTGCTGCCCCTTCGGCACCGGACTCTTCGGCCTCAACATCTCAATCTCCCCATCAAACCCCACCACACTGCCCGTACCCCCCTCCACCAATCCTTCCAACCATCGTTCAACGTCCCACGTCGTCCGTGTCATCTCCCGTCCCACACTAACCCACCCCCTCCTCAAGCTTGCATCCGTCGCAAAGATCTCGAGACGTCGACGCCCGAGACAGAAGTTCTCGATGATGTGGTACAGTTCGGTGGGTTTGGCGTGTGGTGTCGAAGGTGGTGGCGATGGGGCGAGGATAGTGTCTGTGTCGACGTTGCAGTGGATTAGGTGGGTGTCTGTGCTGCGGCGGACTGTGCCTTTTATGCCCATGAGGCAGTGGACTTTTGAGCTTACGAAGGGGCCGGATTCCCAGGGTTGGCTGTCGGAGGTGGGGTCTGGGGTGGTTTTGCACCAAACGACATCCTCGGCACGACGGAAGCCCCAGTGAGTTAGGAGTTGGCGCCCTGTTTCCAGACACGGTGTGTTGACCCATATGTAGAGGAAGGACGGAGTTGAGATGAGGTCCGGGACCGGGAGGTGGAACAGCTGTTCCGGGTGGTGTTCAGGACTGTAAACCAGTCAGCGAAACTTATGGTAATGTCACGTTTTGGGCTACCTCGTTGCATCAATAACCACAACATCAAATCTAACTCCCCTCCTAACCCCTAATACATCCCTCAAGTCCTCACCCTGCTCATCCCACCGTAAACTCATAGGCGGATGTGCACGCTCTTCCACCAATTTCTGCTTCAGCCGTGCCAGACGAGCTAGTTTCGGGTATCCTTCGAAACGGGATTCGAGAGTTGCGTTACGGATGTAGGATTGGGGGCGGTGGGACGTTTGAACGAAGTGGAGGGAGTAGTCATTGATGATTGAGCCGTCTTTGATGAGGATTTGGGGCTGCTGTACTTGGGCTTGCGAGGGAGGAGGTGGTTGAGGTGTGAATTTCGGAGCTGGTGGAGGAGATGGAAGGTCAAGTTTTGCTCGACGGCGCTCGGAACGCTTCTTGAGAAGTTGGATCAGGCGGTCGTGGTCGGCACCATTATTGTTCTCACGCTTCGTCATCCCCGGGGTACTCATGTCTGCCCAACACAGTCAATACAACGCGTTGAAGTGCTATTATCCTGCTCCAAAACAATCTCATGGTTGAGTGAGGTTGCCGTAATGAGATTAAACTCTATCCCGGTCCGAGACCGCTGCCGGTATGGGCCACGCACGTGCACGTGTTCCAGATGTCACATCGTCAAAATGCTTGTCTGAACTGTAATCTATTGAAAAAGCTACCTCCGTCCAACAAGTTTTCGTACAGGTAACCGGTATACCGGTACCGAGTATCTTCTCGGCTCTCTATTATTCTCAATTGACTCCGACGTCAAAGGCTGCGCGCGTAGTCCAGCCGTCGCTGCAACCTCAAACTCTAAACCTCAAAACCTCCCTTCAGACCCAGACATCCTCCCTGTCGATCTTCATCATGGACAACCTCGAAAAGATCATCGGCCTCGCAACCGACCCAATCCTAACTCCCTCTCAAGCCTCCCTCCTCTCCGCCCTTCATACCGCCCTCTACGTTGGCATTCTCTACATCCACCCCCGCTCGCGTCCAACCCCGACCCTCTCAAAAGACTCTCCACAAATCATCAAACTCCGCGCACTTTCCGTTACAGTTGCATGTCTGATTTCCACCTCCTTGACCGCGATATACGCGAAGAGCCGGTATGAGGATCTTTGGCATGGCGGACTCCGTGTTCTTGGGTTTGGTGAGGGCACGTGTGGGGATGTCAACCGTGCGCTGGGATTAGTTTGTGTATTGTATATCGGACCGCTCGTTAAGTGGTTGATCTGGGAGAACGGATTGCGGTTCTTTCCCGGGAACGTCAAGGAGAATCTTACCTCCTGGATTGGATGGAGAAACTACATCATCGTATGTCGCCCTCCACACACAGACAAGCGATGCGAAAACTAACAAGAATGCCACAGGGTCCTTTCACCGAAGAACTTGTCTTCCGCGCTTGTGTTATCCCCCTCCATCTCCTCGCCCACGAATCCCGCACAAAGATCATCTTCTATACCCCCCTCTTCTTCGGCCTCGCCCACATCCACCACTTCTACGAATTCCGCCTCACGCACTCAGAGGTGCTCCTCTCTGTCGCCTTGTTTAGGACGTTGTTCCAGTTCACGTACACGACCTTGTTTGGGTGGTTTGCGAGTTTCGTGTGGTTGAGGACGGGGAGTACGTGGGCTTGTGTTGCAGTGCATACGTTGTGTAATGTTATGGGGTTGCCGGAGACTGGAAGTGAGTTGAGGGGGTGGAAGAAGTATGCGTATAGAGCGGCGTTGGTTGGTGGGATGGTTGGGTTTGGCATGCTTCTCGGTCCTTGGACCAATGGGAACCGGTATGAACTATAGAAATTCAAGTAAGGTAGGAAAGGACACGGACGCATAGCGTATGAGCATATTATAAAGTCTTCGTATTTTTTATGTTCTGCCTCCACCCGCGACACATGATAAATCAGATATAGGCAATACCATCTGTCCACCTCCTTCTCCTTCTTCCTCACACCCCCACTTCACTCAGTCCATCGCTTAAGCAGTCTTCTCGAGCTGGTCAAGAATAGCCTTGGTGAACTCCTGGGTAGTAGAGTTACCACCCATATCGCGCGTCCTCGAAGCACCATTAGAGATGACAGAGTAAGTGGCATCAGTGATACGGTTAGCGTAGTCATCCAAACCGAGGTGACGGAGCATCATAGCGGAAGACAACAACAAAGCAGAGGGGTTAGCCTGGTTCTTGTTCATGATGTCAAGACCGACGTGTCTGCATCCGGGCTCGAAAACGGCGAACTCGCGGCCGACGTTGCATCCGGGGACGACACCGGGTCCACCGACGAGGGCGGCACCGATGTTGGAAATGATGGAACCGTAAAGGTTGGGCATGACCAAAACATCGAACTGTTGGGGCTTGGAGACTGCCTGCATAGAGGCGTTGTCGACAATGAGGTCGGAGGTCTGGATGGTGGGGTAGTCTTGAGCGACCTCGTTGAAAACTTGACGGAAGAGACCATCCGCGAGCTTCATGATGTTGGCCTTGTGGACGACAGTGACCTTCTTGCGGTTGTTCTTGAGGGCAAAGTCGAATGCGAAACGAGCAATGCGCTCAGACTTAGCACGGGTGATGATCTTGAGGGACTCAACGACACCAGGGACGGAAGAGTGCTCAAGACCAGAATACTCACCCTCAGTGTTCTCACGAATGATAGCAAAGTCGACATCCTTGTGACGGGTCTCGTAGCCGGGGATGTTCTTGATCAAGACAAGGGAAGCGTAGGTGTCGAGTTCCTGACGGAGGGCGACGTTGAAGGATTGGTGACCACCACGCTCGAGGGGGGTGAACAAAATACCCTTAAGACCGACCTTGTTGCGCTTCAGAGACTCGATACATTCCCGGAACTTGACGTTGGCCTTGCCGGTGGAGTTGATACCGGTGACGTCGACCTGATCCCACTCGACGGGAACACCCTCTGCCTTGAAGACCTGCTTCACAGACTCGGCAACCTCGAGACCGATACCATCACCAGGGATAAGAGTAACTGTAACCACATCTCAGTCAGCCAACCGCACTTCATCAAACTAGACAGACACCGGAAATGAACAAGACCGGACAACTGGAACCTCCCGGCGCGGGGCTCGCATCCCCCGCCAGCGAGATCACCAATTGTCCTCAAGTGTTATCACCATCCAGCATCAAACCTCATGAACATACCAGTGTACTTTCCCCCAATCTTCTTAGGCAAAGCCGGAGCGACCGTGGCGAGTCCACGGGAAGGGATCTGGGTGAAGCGTGAGGTAGCCGATCTGAGCATCTTCGGGTTCTATTTTTTTGTTCGGAGGGTGGAGTTGGTACGTCGGAGAGCCCGGGACGCGGTGATGCGGATTTGCTTGAGGGCAAGCCACAGGTCCCGGTGCTCCGGGGAGACGGGAGCGAGAGGGAATGGGACGATAAATTGGAGGGTAAAGAGGAGAAATGTTTGTTATTTTTTGTTTAAAATGTCATATTGGGTGTGGTTACCCGAGTTTGGGATGCTCATGGTGAAAGATCAAACGCCTCGCTAGAAATGTCATGTCTCGGCCCCCGACCCCTCCTCCTACGTGATCCGGGGCTTTCACCGCTTCTTCTTTCTTCCGTATTCACTCTCCGTTGTCTCCGTCCATTCAGGTAGTCCGTAGTGTCCTACACACCCTCCTCGAACTCCACCTTCTCCTCAAAGATCGGATTCAACTCCTCCTCCAACAACCCCCTCAACGAACTCCCATCCCGTCCATAAACCCATCTCTTACTCCCGCCATCCCAATCATATCTCTTCGGCCCACTCGTCGGACTACTCAACCAAATCTGCTGATTCGGTGGTTGCTTGTTGATAACATACGTCCCGTGCTCCCTTCCCAATTTGAGTGTCAACACCCCACTAGTGCACTCGACGTCCATTTCTTCGGAATCAGTGGTTTCGAGGAGTTCTTCGAGGGTGCGGGTTAGGGAATCCATTGTGTTGTCGGCGATGGCATGGTAGGATCCGGGGGAGAGGGAGGAGGAGAAGCGGACAGAGAAGCAGTGGGGTCGTGAGGGAAGGGGAGCGAGGGCTGGTCTTGAGATGATGGATCTTGAGGGTTGCTGGCGAGACAAGGCTCGGAGAGGAAGTCGCAAAAGAGCTCGGTGCATCGTGGGCTATGAAGATGTGGCACTGTGGAATACAATCAGCACCGTCGCATAGCGAACTCCGTGGTTCTGGCTTCCACCTATTTGAAGATGTACGGACTCGATCAAGGTCGATGACAGCAGTTGCAGGAGGGATAACCGTTGAGGTGTTCGTAGGCGAACGTCTTGCTTGGATTTCACCATGCACCCCGCGTCTCGCGCAATGCAGCCGACGCAGCTGGCAGACCTGTCAGCTTTTGATGATCTGATAATGGATGGGTGAAAATGGACTGGATGCTTGCAGTGTGCAATCTCCTCGGTCACCTTATACTCAGTAGCACTTATTTGGCGTCGTGAGTATCGTATTACACGGTGCGGTTGTGACATGAACGGTATGCACATAACTCAAATCCTCAAACTCTCACGGCATGTTTTCATCCAAAACTCATGTAAATCCACATCTACTTCTTACCACCCCTCCTCTTCCTCGCTCCAACAACCCTCCCACTCTCCAAAACCTTTGTCTCCTTCGGCGTACTGGTCCCACTGCCATTCTTCTCAGCCTCAATCTGCTTCACAACGACAACCTCCCCATCCTCCGTCTCACTCTCCCCAAATGCCGGCTCGCCCTCTTCGTCAGGACGTCTAATCCACCCACCAATCGTCTTTCTCCAGATCAACTTCGGGAGCTGCACGAGCATTGTGCGTTTGAAGGATGGTCCCTCGACCTCATTAACGTCGACAAAGTGTTCCTCCCCAAAGTCATCGACATAAAACACATCACCACTCTTGCCATCTACAACGAACGCATGTCCAGTCTCCGGGTTCGTGACCTTCATCTTGCGGCCATTTGGTAAGCCTCCAGAACTCGCCCACGCCATCCCCCGTGCCTCACGGACATGTCTCTCCAGCCGTCCACGATTCTGCTTAGCGACAAGCACATGAACCCCATACTGCGCCGCACTCCCAGCAACCAAAAGTCCTAACAAGACACTCCCCAACCCCGGCCTAAACCTCGAATAATAATAACCCGTACCTCTCCACCTCGGGAAGCCATTATTCAAAAAATGGTCGTATCTTGCCCTTTTCTCACCATCACGGAGGATTTGGGTGACGACACCAAGACGTGCGAAACGCTCGTGAGCACCCTTCTTGCCGCGGTTCTTGTCGGGGTGGAGGGCGAGGGAGCGTTTTCGGTAGGCCTTGGTGATGGCTTCTAGGTCTGCGGACTTGGGGACTTTGAGGAAGGAGTAAAAGGTTGTGCCGGGGCCTTCATGGGTCTCGAGGGAGGCAGCGAGGTCGAAGATCTGTATAAACGGCATTAGGATGAGATCAAAGTAAGAGTGAAGACGAGAAGAATAGGCATACCTCGTAGTCAGCCTCAGTCCAGGCAGCAACTAATGTCGCGAATACGACTGCGAAAACGCAGAAGATGGAGGTCAACCGCATTGCAATTGCAATTGGGTAGTTCGTTGGTGTTCAGGAATAAAGTTGGTGAAACGAGCAGCTGCAGGGTAACGCTGTGAAGGTGCCCCGAGGAACGCGTGACGGCACTCGGACGCCCACAACTTTTTCCGCCCAGGAAAGAGCGAGATAAGGCGTAAATTGTGTTTTCGTTTTTGTTCAATGTCTTTCCCTTGCACATCCCATCTTCAGGGTCCTTCCCACGCGACCCCTTCCTCGCGTCCCCCGTTCAATTAACCTCAATTGCAGGTCGCGTCTCCTCCCATCTCTCCCTCCCTGCACACCACAGCTTCTACATGTCCCAAGAACCCACCCCCAAGAAACTCAAGATGACCACCGAATCCACCACTGCTCAAGCTGCTCCCTTCACGCAAACCTCCCTTCTCATCCAAAAACTCGGGCCAGGAGCTCGTGCGCCTACGCGTGGATCCGCGTTGGCTGCTGGGTATGATTTGTACGCGTATGTTTCCCCTCTCCACCCGTGTTCCCTTCTGCTCCAAGAATAGAAGACTTACTGAGAGTGAGGCAGATCCGGCCCAGTGACTATTGCAGCAAAAGGCAAAGGTCTCGTCCCAACCTCCCTCGCAATCGCCGTCCCTCCCGGAACCTACGGCCGCATCGCCCCCCGCTCCGGCCTCGCCGCGAAGAACTTCATCGACGTCGGTGCTGGTGTCATCGACGCCGATTACCGTGGTGAGGTGAAGGTTTTGTTGTTTAACTTTGGTGACGTCGATTTCGAGATTAAGGAGGGTGATCGCGTGGCACAGTTGGTTTTGGAGAGGATTTGGACGCCGGAGGTAGTTGAGGTTGAGAGTTTGGAGGAAACGATGAGGGGTGCTGGGGGTTTTGGATCGACGGGTGTTGCGTTGGCCAATTAAGATCTTACGAGCGCATTGAGGGGATTGAGCATTTGCATTTAGACAGAGAAGGGACTTATGAGTCAATATACCCGCAATACACAATCAATGGAACACTTGCAATTATTGAAGCATGAACGAACCCCGGTTCCCTTTATAAGCAATAAACCCACGCAGCAATAACAGCACACAACAATACCCACGTCTCACTCTTCCCCGCAACCTTCACAACCCCCCTCCTCACCTCCAATAACCTCTCCTCAACCATCGCAAGTCCATTCGTATTCTTCCTTCTTCTGACATTACGCGCATTCATCCACTTCACACTCCTCTCAGCAGTCGGGGGCGTAGAAAGTCAGAGATCTTCCAACTGCTTGTTGACCTCATCCAACTCGTTCTTGGCGGCGGTGTACTTCTCGACCATCTCCTCGTACTTCTTCTCGAGGGCGTCGCGCTCGGCCTCAAGAGTGGAGACTTTACGCTCAAAGTGCTCGGCCTTGACATCGACCTGACGAAGCCTATCCACTTACCAATCAGCATACATCCCCGTAAAAACTTCATCCCAGGTTTATGACTTACTTCTCCGTCGTCTCCCTCAAGCTCTTATCATTTCCCTCCAACTCCTCCTCAAGCAACTGCACCTTCCTCTGCAACCCCTCCACGAGCGTCCGCTGCCCACTCTCATCATCCGCGTTCGCCTTGTGGTCCGCGACGACACCCTCAAGCTTCTCGACTTCGGATTCGAGGAGTTGGAGTTTGTGTTGGAGGGATTGGATTTCTTGGTCTTTTTGAAGGGATTCGAGTTCGAGGGATTTGGCTTTGGAAGTGGCTTCGTCGGCGCGGGCGTTTGCAGCGTCGGCTTCGGCGCGGATGGCATTGATTTTCTGTTAAAACTTAGTCAGTGACCTTCTTTCTCGTGATTGCTGGCTGTATGCTGGTGCCCTGTCTCTCCCGGGTGCTGGAGGTGGTGGAAGAGGGCATGTATGCTTCCCCCCCCCCCTTTACAGCCCACACCCCAGGAAGCAACAACAGCACCAAACATCACTTCCAGTGAAGAAAAAGGATAACATACCTCCTTGATCTTGTCCATTGTTATTGTAATTGAGGTATAGGAGTCGTTGGAGTTATTTGGTTGGACTGAATGCTGTTGAGTGACGGCCGCGGCGGACACTGCAGCTCTGGGGGACTAGCTATAGAGGGAAGGTGCACAACATGTGAAAGGTGATGCTAAGCGGTAGTGAATTGGAGTAATCTTTGCGCTTAAAACCATTCGAAATGTTGTTAACGATTTTGGGCCCCTTCCCATGTATAAATCTTGAAGTTTGTCAAGGTGAGACGCTCTTTATGCACCCCCTCCTCTCCCCGTATCTTCGTTACGAAATAACCCAGAAATCTCCAAAACAGCGGCCAAATCACCTTCAACTCTCCCATCATGTTCTCCCTCGCCCGCTCATCAAGAACACTCATCACCCGCTCCCTCGCTACTCCCTCCGCACTACCAAGATTCAGAGCCTATAGCTCCGAGGTCCCAGATCACATGTCAGAGGGCGAGCGTGCAATTCACGTCAAGTTAGCGGAACAGTTGGAGCCGAGTAGGTTGTATGTGCGGGATACGTCTGGTATGTGCTACTCCGAGCCTTGCGAGGGGCCTCATTCCCCACCCTCAGAGTCCGAGCTCCGAGCTGTAAGGCTTGGTGCAAGTGAAGTTGAAGGACAGGGGCTAATGGGTGAATATAGGTGGCTGCGGCTCCATGTACACAATCGAAATCGCGTCAAAGAAGTTCAAGGGGATCAATGTTGTTAAGCAGCATCGGATGGTGAATGAGATTTTGAAGGAGGAGATTAAGGTGAGTCCAGCTTTGAGAAGAGGAAGAGCTATTGGATAAGGTTGCTAATGTAGTGGATGTTTAGGGTTGGCACGGGTTGCAGTTGGTGACGAAGGTTGAGTAAATGCAAGTTTGATGAGACGGTGGATGACAGTGGGAGAGGAAATACAGCGAAGACGCAAGATATTATACCCTGTGGTGGTGGAGATGGACGCTGGAGTGCGAACGCGAAGGATATGGCGGGTCTCTTGTGCCCGCGGTGAACTCGAAGCGGAGCAACGCACGATGGAGAGGAACAAGCGCACTCCTATCTACTAATTGAGCCCGAGAACTCCTACCTTGGCACATCCAGACTGCCCCCGGTCTTCCAATCGTTATGGCCCAATCAGCACGAGCGTATTCCACTTCACTTCAATGCCCAAGAGCATAACACGAAGAACGACCCGCCCGATTCACAGAGTGTACGCACGTCACATTTCAGCAACGTCAACTTACAAACCTTCACATTCGAAATTTGAAACGTGACTTCGGGCCGTTGCCATGCTCATACATACACCCCGGCCCGGCCCGTCCGCAGTGCATGAGATGCCATGACATGAAACGGTTCAAAATGCCCAGAAGTCGTAGTCCAATCTCAATAATCATTTTAAACTCCCCAAACGCAATCTACCATCATCCCTCTCTCTACCATGGATGGTCTATTTATAGTAACCTCCATCTATTGTGGTGCATGCCAACGACGCCAGGAGCGCCTCCTAACACAAACAGTGCAGCCGCAGACAGCGAAGGGGAAACTGACCGCCAAACCTCCATCCTCAACCATTTGGCAGCATACAGTCGAGTGGAAGACAAGACCACGATGAGAATACCGTACGCAACAGTCTTGGTGCCGCTCCTCTTGCAGGCAGCGGTAGTATATGCTCAGGATACGACCACGGTCACGAATCGGAACACCGCAACCACAGCCACAACAGCTGCAACGACGAACACGAGCCCGACGACGACGGACACGCCTACAACTACGAGTACTCCCACTACGACGAGTACCACGAGCACGAGTAGTGAGGAGACTACGACGTCTACGCCGACGACAACAAGTAGTACGAGCACGACTAGTTCTAGTTCGGAGGAGACAACGAGTACGCCGACGACTACCTCCACGACGAGTACTTCTACCTCTTCTACGTCTTCTTCGTCTACCTCGACTGAGACTACGAGCACATCATCTACTGATTTGCCCTCGATCTCTACCACCACCGAGTCCTCATCTTCCTCATCTTTCACCTCAAGCGGAAGCGGAACGACAACATCGACTTCTTCCAGCACCAACACCCTTCCGAAGCTCGACCTCCCAACCCTCACCGACGGTATCCCAATCTACGCCGCCGCAACCGTCCCCGTCACGCGTGACAACCCCTGGACTCAAGACTCCACCGCCCCCGAAGGCACCGTCTTCATCATCTTCGGCGTCGTCCTCCTCGCTCTCTTCCTCTGCGTCGTGGGCTGGCGCTTCTGGGTCGCGTATAGTCTCAACAAGAGCACGCACAAGCATACCCCGGTTCCTGGGGCGGATGAGATGGATGGTGGTGTTGGGGGAGGGTTTTATGGGCAGGGAGCGGCGAGTGCGATGTCTTTGGACGCGTTGTCGAGTGGAAGGGCGAAGAATGTCGGTACACCGAACGGATCCGTGTTTTTCTCTCCTGCTACGAGTGCGGCGGGAATGCGGTCTTCCGCATACGTCCCTAACACCTCGGGCGTGTATCTCCCCACACCTGCACCATTTACCCCAGCTCAACCCCGCTACTCCTCTTTCTCGGCAAGTCTTGATCCGGAGAGTCCGGTGTTGAGTCCGCAGGGTGCCAGTGGGAGGAGTGGACATTCGAGTCCGGGGGCGGCTGCAGAGGGGTTGTTGCCGCCGCAGCCTACTTTTAGGGAGGATGGGCAGGGTGGGAGGAGGCCGACGCCGAGTGCGTACTTGGAGGATTTGTTGGGTAAATAAAGTGAGTGTCAGTGTTTGGTGAGGGATGCGGGTGAAGATGGAGTGGAAAGGGAAGCGACAGAAAGTATTGTTATTGCGGGTATAATGGTTACACAAGATTGCGAGAGGCCTTATTGGAGAAAGATGTTGAGCGTATGGACTCGAAGACTCTTTGATTGTTCATTAGAATAAGCTTTCGCACATACGTTTCGAGTTAATTGAGCAATAATATAATACAAATACCGATCGAGGCATATGTTTATTCCCACCCCTGACCATCGCGTTGACGCGCTACCTACCGAGCCGAAATCTCGGCGTGACATTGGCTGGCTCCCGGATTCACGCTCATCTCGACACTCAATTGCGATGGCCGCTATCAACAGGTGAGGTCAATCGTCGAGGAAGTGGGTGATTGAATGCTAATTGATACGTCGTAGCGACCTCTTCATCGAGACTCCGGCTGCTAAGGCGCCGGCGCCGATTAATGCCGAGTATGGTGTTCCGACTACGGGTTCGCCTACTATCCCCAATGCGCCTTTGCCCGCTGAGGTATGCACATGCCTTCATCGCTGTATGGAAATGGATGCTGATGGTGCTTTTGCTTAGGGTCCTGGAACGCACACGTTCAGCAACAAGCTCCTTTTCGGGTTGATTGCCGGTGTCCCGGCTTACTTCACGTACAAGGTTGGCGGTGGAAAGTTCACTTACATTTTCTTCTTGATTGCAACTTTTATCCCTGTCTTGGTATGTCCCTCGCCGTCCGTGTACGCGACGCAATTGCAATTGGATGATGGTGCTGACACGTGTGGTGTGTAGGTGACATTCTGGTACATCGCTTCCTGCACCGGTGGTCGCTTGAACGAGAAGGCTCGCTTCCCTAACCGTGGTGTCGAGCACTACCTCACCTTCAAGAACCCCTCCGATGCCGCCCGTTACCGTGGTAACCGTAAGATCCCCATGGAGACCTTCCACGAGATGTACTTTGACGAGCTCGTTGACTTCCGTATCGACCCCCATGAGGCCATGGAGTACCGCCACGACTGGGCTTCCTTCCGTTTCACCCTTTCTTTGTTCAAGTTTTTCTTGACCGGCATGATCCCCGAGGTCCTCATCCACTCTCGTTCCCAGGATGAGGAGCAGGTTCGCGGACACTACGACCGTGGAGATGACTTTTACGCGTGGTTTTTGGGACCGAGGATGATCTACACCTCTGGTATTATCTCTGACACCGAGCGTGAGGAGTCTTTGGAGGAGTTGCAGGATAACAAGCTTCGTGTCGTTTGTGAGAAGATTGAGTTGAAGAAGGGAGAGCTTTTGCTCGACATTGGGTGTGGATGGGGAACTCTCACCGCGTACGCTTCTTCTCAGTATGGTGCCGATGTTACTGGTATTACTCTCGGTCGTAACCAGACCAAGTGGGGTACGGAGCAGATCGCCAAGGTTGGCGTTGACCCCTCTCAGGCTCGTATCTTGTGCATGGACTACCGTGACATTCCCGTTCCTGAGGGCAAGTACAACAAGATCACATGTCTCGAGATGGCTGAGCACGTCGGTGTCCGTCACTTCCACTCTTTCCTCCGTCAGGTCTACGACATGCTCGACGACGACGGTATTTTCTACCTCCAGATCGCTGGTCTCCGTAAGTCTTGGCAGTACGAGGACTTGATCTGGGGATTGTTCATGAACAAGTACATTTTCCCTGGTGCCGATGCCTCTACTCCTCTCGGATGGTTCATCGACTCTCTTGAGGGTGCTGGATTTGAGGTTAAGGGTGTTGACACCATTGGTGTTCACTACTCTGCTACCCTCTGGCGCTGGCTCCGTAACTGGCAGGGTAACGAGGAGAAGATCAAGGCCAAGTACGGAGAGCGCTGGTACCGTATTTGGGTATACTTCTTGTCCTACTCTACCATCATCTCTAGGCAGGGAAGTGCTACTTGCTACCAGATTGTGTTGCACAAGAACTTGAACGGCTTCCACCGTGTTAACGGTGTTTCTACTCAGTGGAGCTTGAAGACCCCTCTTCAGGGATTGAAGAAGTGGTTCTGGATGTAAGCGGGGAAGAAAGGCGTGACCGAAAAGAAGGACGTTGCATTGCTTGATTTGCCAGCATTTGCATAAGATTTGTGAAATATCTAGGTTGGTTATAGAATACAAAAACTGAAGTTGCGAAGTTTCTTCATACACGTTGCATTTCTCACGATGCGTACCATAGCCAAGATCTTCCCACGACGTCGCGGCTTCGAATTCGGGCCCGAGCCGCCGCCCGTCTGCCAATGCAAGCAAATTTACGTCGCGCTCCCAAAACACGACGCCCTTCTGGGCCTTGCTTCGGTTGGCACATTCCACTGAAGGGAAATATTGTATCTGTATCGTCGGGCCGGTATGTGACCAGAGGACAGAGGCCCAGTCTGCACTCTGCACTCTGCAATCTATTTGGAAGTCCTGATGACGGCCCAAGCGTCGTGTATTCATATCGGAGGAGGACCGTGGTTTCACTGACGCGCAAAGTCTGGATCAGAACCTTAAATGGAACAAATGTCAAGACCAACCGGCTGTGGCCCGCTCAGCTGCTGTGGTTACGTACGCAAGCAACTTATCATTTCACCCTCCATCTCCTCTTGTTCTCAAGCTTGTTGATCCGGATGGTTCAGACTATAGACACCAGTGGCAAATTTTCCTTACGGTCAGAGGAAGAAAAGAAGGAGGTTTCTGAGAAGTTGATAGCAAGTCATCGGCGAGCGTTTGGAGCCACTGAGCCAACACCTATGGGCGACAACATACATCTGTACAAAGAGTACCTACACAACACTACGCAACCACAGGATGAGATGACTGATCCTTTCCGTCGCCAAGAGCGCGATGAAGGACGGTCGCCTTCCGTAAATTCGAGTAATCGTGGCACCGGTGCCAGTGGTTTCGATTTGTTGGTGGAGGCAATCGATCAGCGGAAGCATATGGAGGAGCCAGAAGACAGGTTCTCTGAACGGGGCGGTCTCCAATCATCTGCGTCCATCCATACACCACCAGAGGAGGAATATCCAATTGCGTTTGAGAATATCAGGCCTCAGCAGGAAATCAGTGCAGGGCCAATGCCTCCGCTCATCTTGGAGCCTGCCCCTATCTCGCCAGTCAGTCCGATCAACCCGTTGATACCCGCCGGAAAATCGGCTGTTCCGTCTTTCGCAGGGCTCATGTCTGCGCTCGAGCATGGTCGTGGCCCAAAGCAAGCTCTAGTCTGGCCTGAGCTTGTACAGCCTTCGCAGAGGAAACGCAGCGACTCGATGGTTATCCCCGTTCAGGCCGCGCCATTGGCTCCGCAATTGGTACAGTATGATGATCATACCTTCGCTCAGCAAATGGTACGAGCGGATAGCATGCGCTGGGCTCCATACAGGCACAGCTACAACAACGAGCATCTCTTTCAACAGTACGCTGAAAAAGCTCAGATAAACGGAGGTCGGTTTCCTTTCTTCTCCCGTCTTAAGTTTGAGTTCAGCACCCTGGAGGTTACTGGAATCTCTCCCTCCGCCGAACTCCTCCATCAACCTCCAAAGCAACTACACCTATTCATCGATGCCGAGAGTTGCTTCGGAATCTCTGGTGCTATCATGGTGACCCCCATGCTGATTCAGGGACTGGCAAAGACCTGGTTGTCGAAGGGCACGTATTCCGGGGTGTTGGTGAGAAGTATCAACATACATGCAAAGAGGGCGAACGCTGCGAGAGCACATACGCATCCATATGTTGCAGAAGCACTAAAGATGAACAACATATTCCTCAATCTGGTCTACGATGGCCCGCCTGGATCACACCCGGCCAATAAGGTCCTGATTGGTAAGTATTAGCACTCAATTTGTTTGACTTGGGCTAACCCAAATGATGCAGATGATGTTCATCAGTTGACGACTGAGCTCCTTCCCGATCTCAGAGGTCGGGTTACTATCGCTGTCGTCTCGAACGAGACTGAAGTTAGACAGCCGCTTTCTGTTGCTGCTGCTGTTCGAGGGTACGATGTCTGCATAATCTGCGACAGTGATTTCTGGCGTCATCCAACCTCCGTAAACGATCAGTTGAGGCAGCCCGTTGTGGTGTATGACATTCCAAAGCTGCTGAGGCCATTTGAAGTGAGTGGGATTTGGCAAGCCTTACTTTTTCTGCTTAACTGATACGTTCCCTGTTTAGACTAGCCCCAGCACCGGACCTAAAACGAACTTTCCGAGAAAAGCTATAGGCGAAGCTGCAGTCTCCGAAACACCGGCACTTGTGGGACTGCGCAATGTGGGCCAACCTTCGAAGCCCACACGTCCATCGAATAATGGCAGTAAGAGGCGCTATCAACCCTACGGTACACCTCCTACCCCGCAAGTAAAGCAGATGTCAGGTCATTATCCGTCACGCACGCCTCCCGGAAACGTGAAGGTGGGTCCATACATGACAGTTGGATATAATGGACTGATGTCGCAACCGCAATCAAGCCGTGCATCAGATACACTTGGTCTTCCGGACAATGTGTCATCGTCATCTGAAGTGATCCTACCCGTGATGTGGGTTCGCTTTGGTGATGGTCCTGTTATAAACGCACACGGTTACGGCCTCAAGTTTACTGACCAGGTGATAGCTCTGAAGAAGCTTGATACGATGCACCCTCAAACTCTGAAGGAAGACGAGTACACCGTGCAATCGGGGCAAATCGCCAGCATCGACTTTTCGATAGTTCCTGACCAGATGTTCCTGCACATTACTCAGCACAGACCTGAAGCTTCTTGGTATTCCACATTCGTCACGTGGGGCATCCTTCCTGGGGAAGCTGCCGCATCGGATATGACCAAGGGGTTGCGGATGGTCGGCGTTAAAGTGAGAGGCGAACACATACAGAGCAAGACGGCGAGAAGGGGCACTGTGAAGGTGGGGATGTATAATCCTGAATCGCAACTAGCGGTAGAAACACTTGGGACAGAAAGGAAGGTTACCGATTCTGGTAGCAAGGAAGACACGGCAGGGTCCTTTAAGAGGGCCACGAGAACCAAGAAGTCGTCAGGTTGTAGCAAAGGAGGAACGGTGAAGGATGCGATCGTTCTTGAAGACTGAAAAGATTTGAATATGTATCATTACGAATGACTGAGAGGCATAAGAGATCGGGTTAATTGACCTTGACTCTGGCTGTCTGTGAACGCTGTATCACTCGCATGTGATATTTCCCACGCCGTTCAGACCTCTTTGTGGTGATGAAAAACAAAAAGGGCAGCAATCTCACCCATACACCCCGAAGAGCCTACCAGAGTCGTAGTAATAGAGCCGCAAAGATCGTGAGGTTCTACAAGTAAAGGAACATCCATGATGACAATTGTAAGCGAGAAGTATGAGCGGTAAATATCGAATTAAGCAAGGAGCTCGTCCGCAAGCTTTCCCTCGAAGTCTATATAATGTATCAACTATATCCTCCTCATGCACATCGACATGACAATCTTTGTCTAAATATGCCTTTGGAGGACCATCTCATGACCACCAATCTTCCACTGAAGACCTCACAGAAAAGTTGACCCGCGAAAGCCCAGCTCCTAGGATAAGAAAAACCAAATAACAAATAACGATAACGCCAATGCACACGAAAAGAAAAGACACATCAGGCAACTCAGAAACTTTTTGTCCATGACCCTTAGAAGCTAAGGAGTCAAGTGTTGGGTATCACAGCGTCAACGTATGCAACTTCATCTCCACCTTTTTCGTTTTCCGCTCCAAATCTTCTTCATGAATGCAAGTGAGAACCCCGCGTGTGGGGTGAAAGGCATCCCTGAAAACGACCATAGGAACCTGAAAAACAAAAACGCCGTAGTAACCCTAATTCCCAAAATGCCCCATGACCTGTCTTTTTGATATGCGCGTTGCAGAACGAAACAAATGCAGAAACAATCAATATGTACACACGTTACCTCACAGCCTCAACGTAGGCAGTAAGGACTGGTTTACCACCAGGAGTTGTTACCGCCGGAGGAACCACCGTAGCCTCCGCCGTAACCTCCACCGTAACCGCCACCGGAGGGGGCTCCGTAAGCGGGGGCACCGTAGCCAGCACCACCACTACCACCGCCGTAGGCAGGAGCAGGGGCAGAACCGTATCCACCAGAGGATCCTCCGCCGGATCCTCCGCCGAAGCCACCGCCGAACTTACGGACATCACGGGTAGGACCACCACGGCTTCCACCACGGCCACGGCCACGAGAAGAGAAGCCAGATCCACCCTCACGAGCAATAGCCTCGAGGAAAGCAGGGACCTCCTGCTTAGCTTCAGACAAGAGGTCGATCAACTCACGGGTGATGTTGCGGTTACCGCGGTTGAAGAAAGAGGTGGCGAGACCGGTGTTACCGGCACGACCGGTACGACCGATACGGTGGACGTAGTCATCAATGTCGGAGGGGAGGTCGTAGTTGATGACGTGAGTAACGTTGGAGATATCGAGACCACGGGCAGCAACAGCGGTGGCGACGAGGATAGGGCAACGGCCGGAACGGAACATGTCCAAGGCACGCTCACGCTCGCGCTGGGTACGGTCACCGTGAATGGAGGTGGCGGGGAAGTTGGAGTTGATCAACCAGTCGGACAAAGAGTCAGCAAGACGCTTGGTCTCGACGAAGATGAGGGTCAAACCACCTCCGGGGAGAGTGTGGAGGATGTCAAGAAGAACGGAACGCTTGTCCATGTCCTCGACGTACTCGACCTTCTGGGTAATGTTCTCAGAGGTGGATCCAACACGACCGACGGACAAGAAAACGTAGTCCTTCAAGAAGTCGCGAGCGAGAGCCTGAATCTCACGAGGGAAGGTAGCGGAGAACATGAGAGTCTGGCGCTCAGTGACGCCAGGCATCTCGGATCCCTCGACGATACGACGGATTTGGGGCTCGAAACCCATGTCCAACATGCGGTCAGCCTCGTCAAGAACCAAGAACTTGATGTTGGCAAGGGAGATACGGCCACGCTCGAGGAGGTCAACGAGACGACCGGGGGTGGCGGTGAGAAGGTCACAGCCGCGCTCGATCTGGCGGAGCTGGGAGCCAATGTCGGCACCACCGTAAACGACGGCGGGCTTGACCCAAGAACGGTAGGTGAACTTGCGAGCCTCCTCGTGGATCTGGAGGACCAACTCACGGGTGGGAGCAAGAATAAGGGTGGTAGGGTAAGCCTTGCGGGAACGGCCGTAGGTAGCGCCAGCGCCAGCAGGGACGGCGATAGGTCCAGACTTGAACGCATTGGACACAATGGGGAAAAGGAAACCACCAGTCTTTCCGGAACCGGTCTGGGCACAGGCCATCAAGTCACGGCCGTTGGCGACAATGGGGATAGAGTACTTCTGGACGGGAGTGGGCGAAGCGTAGCGAGCCAACGCAATGTTCTCGAGAAGGTGCTCATCCAAGTGGTCCTTGGTGAAGGTGTTGACGGGCTCAGGGACGTCCTCACCGGAAGCCTCAACGGGAATGTCCTCGTAGTTGCCGAAGTTGATACCGGTGTGCTGCTTGGTCGGGTCGTCGGCGGTACCGAAGAGCTCGAGCTCGACACGCTGGTTGGGCTGTCCGGGGACGTGCTTGCCTTCACGCCACTCACCCTCACCAGCGACGCGGCCCATACCACCACCACCACCGTAAGCGCGGGCACCACCACCGTAGGAGCCACGCTCACCACCGCCGTAGCCGCCGGTGCGCTCAGAGTTCCAGCCACCAGCGCGAGGGGCGTAAGTGCGAGGAGGACCAGGAGCAGCAGAGTCCCAGTTGTCGTGAGGAGGAGCAGCAGCGGCAGCAGCAGGAGCAGAAGGCGCGTACCCGGAACCAGCCTGGGACTGCGCAGCAACCTTTCCACGCATGTGAGGAGGGATGTATGCAGAACGAGTAGAACCGGAATTGCCACCGTTGACGTTCATGTTGTTAAATTGGTTAGAAAGACCGTCAGCCATGATTGCTAGACTTTTTCAATTTTTGTTGAAGGAGTCGAGGTGGTGGGGGGTGTTGACCTTTATAAAGGGAAGGGGGCGAATTCCGCGTCGCCCGCCAAAAATTGAGTTTGGCCAATTTCAGTGGCGATGCAGGGGGAACAACGTCAGAGATACATGACGGGTTGGGAAGGGGTGGCGAGTTTCAGGTCGAGAAGGCTCAATTGAACAAGGTTATATCCGGTATTCGTCGGCATTGTCCGTCCGAGCCTCGGAACATCATACGCTTTGTGGGAACTTTCTGGATGGGACTCGTGCGAGGCGAGGCAAGGCGAGCTTAAGCATCGTTACATCGTCGATGGGGTCATACTGCAGGATTGTTGAGACTGTCCCAATTGTGACCGAGGGGTAACTGAGTCATGGAACCGGACGCGTCCGGGCCGTGCTTCAGCCGCGTTACGGCACACACGTACCCGCACATGTGCAGCCTTGGCAAGGGATGTACGTTTCGCGAAACACCTGAACAATCATGATGTAGGTCAAACACACTCCATTCTATCAGTTTTGTAAAGATTCTCCTTCACCTCCCAACTCCTACATGAAATCGTAATCATCCCCAAATCTCGAGTAGTTCGTCCTATCCGGCGCCCCACTCTGACTCAACTTCATCGCCCCACCCCCAAGCGCCGGCTTCTTACTCACCTTCTTCTTCCCCTGCGCAGCCTTCTCCTCCCTCTGCTTCTCATTACCAGCCGTAGTAAGCTTCGACGCACACTTCTTAATCTCCTCCGAGTCGAGAGGCCAGGTAATGTCTCTCAAGAACTGGTGCAAGAAAGTGGTGTAAAACGGCGTACGCGCGACCTCGGTGAAAAGAGGTACGAGGGCTTCAGAGAGCTTGGTGAAGTCATCCTTGTCCTTGAGGGAGATGGTCTTGAGAGCTTCCAATGGGTCTCCGCCCGCAGCGACGGCGGCGACTTTGTCGGCGGGGGTGATACGGACATCACCCAACAAATCCGCAGCATTCCTCAAATCACTCTCAATCTCCTCCTGTCTCAACCTCTCCGCCCGTTCCCGGGGATCCTCCTCCTCGTCTTCCTCATCACTGTACTCGCCCGCAGCCTGACGCGCAGCCTTCTCCTCCTCGGCTTGCTTACGTGCAGCCTCCTTCTCCGCGATTTTCTGTTTCAAGGTTCCCTTCTTCTTTGGTGGTGGGGCAAAGGCGAGTTCGTTGCTCTTGGGCTTCTCGGATTCGGAGTCAGATGCGGCGTCCCAGGCGTCGGCAACGTCATCGTCGGAGGCGTCTTCATCGTCCCACTTGGACTTGGTGGGGACGGCGGCGGTGTCTTGCTCGACCTCTTCGTTTTCCCAGTCGGACATTTTTGTCTATGGTCTTTTGTCTGTGTCTTTGTAGTTTTGGTGTTTTCGTTCAAATTTGTGCCTGAATCCCAGATTTCTGAGCGTGGCGCAAGAAAAGTCGTCCTCGATCCTCGCCAGGTAACGTCGACAACCTCCATCCTCCATTCTCCATCAGACAAAATGAGAGAACTCAAACACCACGAACACAAGCTCCTCCGCAAAGTCGACTTCCTCCAATGGAAACAAGACCAATCCCACCGCGACGTAGCCGTCATGCGCCGCTACCACATCCAAAACCGCGAAGACTACCACAAATACAACCGTCTCTGCGGTTCCCTCCGACACCTAGCCCATCGACTCGCGCTCCTTCCGCCCCAAGACCCATACAGACAAAAACACGAATCCCTCCTCCTGGAAAAACTGTACCAAATGGGGATTCTTACGACAAAGACTAAGATGAGTGATGTGGAGAATAAGGTTACGGTATCGGCGTTTGCGAGGAGGAGGTTGCCGATCGTGATGTGTAGGCTTAAGATGTGCGAGACTGTCAAGGCCGCCGTGACGTATGTCGAACAAGGACACGTCAGGGTTGGGCCGGAGGTTGTGACGGATCCGGCGTATCTTGTTACGAGGAATTTGGAGGATTATGTTAGTTGGGTGGATACGTCGAAGATTAAGGCGAATATTATGAAGTATCATGATAAGTTGGATGATTATGATTTGCTTTGAGTGAGGAGCGGGATGGAGTGTGGCGGGCGACGGGGAGGAGAGAAGACTTTTGCATTGATTTTGGGTTTACGGCGTTCTTTTTCTAGTTCTTGCTTTTTGCATCAATCGGTTACCACGGCTTCAATTGTCGAGTCGAAAAAGAAGTATATCATTTTACCTACTCCCCCCGATCGCGAAGGTCTTCTCGTTACGCCAGTATATCCTCTATTTAGCAATGGGCGCCCCTCTCTTCTTCAACCCCTCCTCAAGCCTCGTCCTAACCTGCCCATAAACCGCCTCAACACTCTCCTCACAACTAACCTTCAACACCTTCCCCTTCCCCTCAAAATACTGCACAACAGGCATACTCGTCTCCACGAACGTCCTGAACCTCTTCTTGATCGACTCCACGTTATCGTCGTCACGGCCCGATGTCTCACCGCGGTGGAGGAGGCGAGAGAGCATCGTGCTTTCGGAGCACGTAAAGAAAAGTGTGAATTTCGACGGGCAAACACTCTTTTCGAACGCGACGGCTTGGTCCATCTTGCGGGGGAACCCGTCGATGAGAAAGCGTGTTGATCCCCTCACCACAGCCTCGCCCATAGCTTTTTCGAGGAGCTTGATCGTGACTTCCATAGGTACGATCTTACCTTCCTTGATATGCGTACGGATGAGCTCACCATACTGTGATCCCTCGCGTTCTTGTTCAGCGCGGAGGAGGTCTCCGGCAGAGAGGTGTTTAAACCCATAATCCCGAACCAAATTCGCGCACTGGGTTCCCTTCCCAGCGCCAGGTCCACCAAGGACGAAAATAACCGTAACATGCTCCGGATCAAACGTAGACGTCAACTTCTCCTCCTCCTTCTTAATCGGCTGCGCAGTCGCGAACGCCTGAGGACCTGCGGTCATCCCAGCTGGCTTTGGTTTGAGCTTCAATTTTTCCTTCTCGGCTCTGAGTTTTTCGTTTTCGGCGGATTGGAGGTGGAGAAGGATCGTGAAGACTCCGAAACCTGCGACACCGATTGCGAGGAATCCTTTGATGGAGGGGTATTCTTTCTTTTTGTGGGTTGATTTCCTGTGTGTGCCGGAGGAGGGTTTGGCGGGGTCGATACGGGGGATGTCGGCGTAGGATCGCCGTGCGAGGTTGAGGGTTGGTTGAGCGCGGAGGCGGAGGGCTGGACGGAGGACGCGGAGGGAGGCCATGATCAGAGAGCGGAGCGGCCCCGACGGGTTGGATGAGAATTCGAGGGTGACGCTGGCTATGTGCGCCCCTGCATGGCCAAACCTCTCCCTAACAACCCACCCAACCATGCCAGAATACCTCTTCCCGCACATGACATCCCCCGTCATCTCCGCCCCAATGGCCTTCGTGTCCGGTGCCGCCCTCGCCGTCGCCGTGACCAAAGCCGGTGGCTTGGGATTCATCGCGGCAGGGTACGACATCCCTGCCGTCGAGAACGAGCTCCGGGAGGCGCGGCGGATGCTTGGAGTACAGGATACAAGGACATTGGGTGTCGGAGTGGGAGTGGGATTCATTGCTTGGGGTGCGGATCCGGATAAAGTCCTTCCACCCATCCTGGCATTGAGACCGTGCGCGATATGGGTCTTCTCAACGGTACCGGAGGATGACTACACACCCTGGGTGAACGCAGTCCACACCCTAACACCACCTGGGACTACACCTCCGAAAGTGTTTGCACAAGTCGGCTCAGTCACCAGCGCACGCAAAGCAGCCGAACAAGGCGTCGACGTGATCGTCGCGCAATCATCCGATGCGGGGGGACATGGCGGGACGAGGGGGTGTGGACTCACCTCACTCGTCCCCGAGATCATCGATGCGGTTCACACCACCCACTCCCACATCCCAGTCTACGCAGCCGGCGGACTGGTGGATGGACGTGGCCTTGCGTCTGTTTTGGCACTTGGTGCTGATGGTGGGGTATTTGGTACCCGCTTCGTCGCGACACCCGAGGCGCTTCCACCACGGGAGTTGAAGGAGGTTTTGGTTAGGGCGAGTGACGGGGGACAATGCACCACCCGTACCCGCGTATTCGACGATATGCGTGGCACTACGGGCTGGCCCATGAGTTTTGATGGTCGTGCACTGAGAAACAAGACAACCATCGACGGGGTGACCGAAGCGGAAAACAAGAAACTCTACAAAGAAGCGCTGCATAAGAAGGATTATGAGAGGTTGGTGGTGTGGGCTGGAACCGGGGTTGGGTTAGTCAAGGAAATTAAGCCGGCGGGGGAGGTGGTAAGGGAGATTTGGACGGATTGTGGGAAGACAATCAAGGGGTTGAAGGCGAGGATTTGAGCATGGGTTGGATGTGTGGATGTTATGTATTATGTAAATGTAGCCGGCTGTACCGATAATGATACCCCTTATCTCATTCCCCAAGAAACCAAAGTCACAGACCAAACGCTCTTCACCCTTTCCCAAAGTCATCCCATCATTTCACCCTTCCCTTAATCACCGGATAGATAGTCACTAATAGGTGTCAATAGCCCCCACCGTCATGTCCTTCCGAATAATCAACTCCTCCATATTCCCAACCCCCTCATTCTGAATAATAAGCCCCTTCTCATTCGCCAGATGCAGCAAACAGATGAAACAGAAACTTGTCGACACGTCTTCCATCTCCTTCTGCGGGTAGACTTTCTGCAGGTCCTGGATGACTTGGGTGAATTTCTTTTCTTCTCCCTGCGATAGAGAGGGTTCGGGGGTAGGCGTGGGGTCGTCGTTGTCGGGGATCGTGATGGCGAGGTTGGACCAGATGTTGTCTTTGAGCTTCTTGACGTCGACTTTCTTTGCGACGCGGGCATAGTTGACATACTCTGGTCTCATTTTCCGTCCTTGACTAACGAGCTGAGAGCCGAAATCCATCTCTTCCTTGAGTTCGGCAGCTTGGCTCAGAGTCTCAGCAGCATCAGCGAAACCATCATCGTCATCATCCATCTCAGGTCCGAACCCAGCGTCTGCATTTCCGTCATCAAAGAATGCGGCGTCGTACGATGGACCGGATGGGACGTCGTCTTCGGCATTCTGTGCTGCTCGCTCCGCCCAGAATTTTTCGTCCATGTCGTGCTCGTTGACTTCCTTCTCTCCACCAGCAACGAGCTTCTTCTTCCGGTTTTGTAGCGTGGCTTTAGGTTTCAGGAATAATCTCAGCAAGTCCTTTGATGAAAATCCCATATCATCTGGTAGCAGGTGTCGACTTCGCTGCATCTGCTGGGCCTTGCTCATATTGATATTCGCTCCACCCGGGGCGAAAAGGACGTCCTCATCAACATCATCACCGTAGAAGTCAATCGAGAACACCTCCTTCTCCTTCTTCTTCTTGGGTTCGGTACCAGTCGACGTTGACGCCTTCTTCAACCGTGAAATCCTCCAGTGTTCAGGACCAGCCCAGTTCTTCCGCAGTGCTTCGTCAAAGTACGCGAAAATACCTTCTTCGGAACCTTCACTGTTCAGAGACATCACGAAACCATCCTTTTGCTCGAGATCCTTGAGTGGTTCTGCACCCTCCTCCAGGAGGAGCTGCTCGTTCTCTCCACCATCGTAGTTTGGTGGCAACTCAGTCTGAGCCCACGCGTCTCCTCCCTCACCGAACGCGACATCATCGTCATTGTCGAAGCCCTCAAGCGGTTCGCCAAAGCCGTGGGCGTCGTCGTCGCCCATAACATTGCCATCAATTTCTGATGCAGCATCATCGGTAAGATCAGGGAGCTTCAGGTCAGGAAGGTCGAAAGTAATTGTGCTGCCATCCACAGGGAACTCAAAGTTCTTCAAGGAAGGGCAGACGTCCATATCATCCAATGCATCCATATCAGCAAAGAATTTGGCGCCGAGGGCAGCGATGTCAATAGTGTTTCCACCCTCATCCTCTTCCTTTACTTCCGGGAGGACATCATCAGCGTCGGCTGGGACGGCATCTGAGGCGTCGAAGATGATCTTGCCTTCCTCATTGATACCGAGGTGGTTTAGGAGGAGTCCCTTCGCTCCTCCCTCGTCGAAGTCGGCCGAGGTCTTCTTGAAGAGTGGATCGACGGAGAACTCGAGATCGAACTTCTTGAGTTGGATAGAGGAGAAGTCCTTGACGAGTGTTGCCTCAGCACGGGCCGCACGTCGCTTAGGGTTCTTCTCACGATCCTCGTCATCCTCATCGCCCTCACCTTCTCCGCGGTCTTCCTCGTCGCGTGACTGTTTCGATGTTGCCAAACCAGACAAGAGTTTTGTAGTATCCGTCGCAACCGAGTCCACACGCGAGGTGTAAATCTTGACACAACCATCCAGAGTACAACTGGCCTTCTGGAAGTTGATAGAATCACCCTCGCGCAAAAGCGACATCTCGTGGAAGTAATCAATCAGCGCAAAGTTCCACGAGTTCGCCGCGTTGATCTTGTTGTCTGTCGCCATCTTCATCCATTCTTCAAAGTTGGCCAACACCGGTACCTTCGGAACCGGACTTCTTCCCACTCCAGCTGGGTCAACACTGTTCACCTTCCGTGCGGGGGTCGAAGGGCCACCGACAGCCATAGATTGTTTTCTCGGAGACGCAGCAGCGACAATCGTAGAACGACGGAGGTCATCCTGAGCGACTCGTACTGCGCGACGAGCGGCCTTTTCGTTCTCGTCGTCGTTTGTTGGGATGCATGCGTGCTTTAGCGGAGAGCCGCGAGCGGGCGTAGAGGGTGTTGAAGGTGCTGCGCGGATGCGAGGCATGATTGCGATGCTTTCCGCCTGGTTGATGGAGGTTTATGCCTGGGTGTATGCTGATGGTCCTCGAGGTTATCGGTCTACGAGTGTTGTACGCGCTTTTGTTTTGATGAGCGTTAATGTTGTGCCTGTGGTTGCTACGCGGTTACCCCAGTTATGAAGCCAAAGCAACATGACCAAAACATCATTCTAGGGAACACATAAACCAAGTGCTTTGAAAAAGACTCTTGTACAAGCCAACTTCATATGGTTTGACCGAGACCTTCGTCAGCGGCTCATGCAACCTTCCCGCCTGCATGTTACTTGAGCCAGGCAGCTGCGCCCCGCCGTTGACGATCTACACGAAGCCATGCCCTGCAAGCGACGTGAGCCAGCGTAACCGACATCATCCATCCTAATTGCACCCTGCATCCTGATCAGGTATAACCAGCATACATCCCCAGCACCTCCACCAGCATATATCCGCAAGGATAACGGAGCAGCTAGGTAAATTCTCATGAAACCGCAATGCCAGCGTAAATCAAGGAGAAGCTGTGCTTTCGTCGTGTTTCTTGTCGCTACGATTGCGGTGATCTATATCCTGGGGTTGGTTGGTGGGTATGGATTGCCGGCTGACACGACAAGGCACAATGGGGTTGAGAAGAGGGATTTGATTGCAGAGTTGGTTGGACATAAGGGAAAGGCTCATGTACGTTCAGTTGATATTCTGACAGTGGTGCTGCTGCTGATTGACAGATACAGGAGTGCGCCGATGTCTTCACACGCACAGATAAATGCGCATACGTCCGAAAACATTGTCACTCTGACTCCCTCCTCAACTACCTTGAACTCTACTTCTGTGCACCCAAGGGCGTGCGAATGTCTCTTCTTATTGGAATGGTGCGGATCTTTCTGCAGTACCAACGTGGATATTCACATTGCTAACGATGGTCCCTCACAGGTCGTACTCCTTGCATCCCTTTTCTCTACTGTCGGTCTTGCTTCCTCTGACTTCTTCTGTCCGAACCTCGCGACGATATCACATACCCTCTCGCTCCCGGAATCAGTCGCAGGTGTTACCCTTCTCGCTTTTGGTAATGGGTCTCCCGACCTGTTCTCGACTTTCGCCTCTTTCTCTCAGCACTCATCTTCCCTCGCAATCGGCGAACTCGTCGGTGCGGCGAGCTTTATTTGTGCGGTCGTGGCGGGGAGTATGGCGATCGTACGACCATTCGGAGTTGTGAGGAGGGCTTTTCTGAGGGATGTTGGGTTCTTTTTGGTTGCAGTATGTTTTACGACGGGATTTTTGGCGGATGGACGATTATATCTTTGGGAGTCTGTGGTGATGGTTGTGTACTATGTCGTGTACGCGGGCATGGTCGTGGGAACTACTTACGTTGAACGCAAACGGCACCGTCGACGAATGGAACGAGCACTCATTCGGCATCAATTTGAGCCGCCTGGCACAGATGCGGAATTCCTGGATGGTAATGAGGAAGCTGAAGAATCGGCTGCAGACGAAAACACCAGCCTCCTCGGCCACTCGGCAGACGACGTCCGCGCCCTCACCGACATCACCGAAGAAGACGAAGAAGCAGGCCCCTCCACCCCCTCCGACGACCACAGCGAATTGGAGTCCGAATACCGCGAACTCAATTCTTCTATGGCTCTCGTCCGGACAGCAGACTATGGTCCATCACGGATCCGTCCCTCGTTGTTTGGTGCGTTGGAGTTTCGGTCGATTGTTAACTCACTACAGCAGAGTTCGGCGGTTGCGCATCAGTTGCAGTTGAGTCCTGGGACGGGCCCGAGGATTAGGGGAAGGAGTGTTAGTCCGAGGCAGGGGATGGTTGCGAATGCGTACGCGAGAGGACACGGGTTGAGGAGACATACGGTCGGTATGGGCGCAGTGCCGGATCCTGACGCATTACAGCCAGTGGTTCCTAGCTCTGGACCCCGGAAGTATCCGGTCCTCGGCCGTTCATCGACGGATACCGATATCGGCGTCACCGTGGGACGCGCACAGAGCGTGACTGGTGCGGGGTTGGATTACTTCTCGATAGGGCGGTTGAGTGCTGCCGAAGAGCAAGAGCCCGTAATGCCCGCCGCTCCGGTCAACTCACCCAATTTCATGCTGAAACCAAGGGATGATGTGCCACAACTGAGGATTTATACCGGTACACCTGTTTCGACCGCGCCTAATTCTGGCGATACTAAGAAGAAGCAGGATGAGCATGTTGTGCCTGTTGTGCCGAGTGTCACAGTTACAGCGAGTGAAGACGAGTATGAGTCTGGTGGTGAAATCGCTGCGCACAGAGTCAGAAAACTCCGAGCCGAGGAGAGAGGTGGTGGGGTGAATCGGATGTTGAGTCCGACTGCGCACTTCTCACATTCTCCGATTGCTATGTCGCCTTCGCAGCGCTACGCCAGTCCACGGAGTACCCCTCCCCTCTCCCCCGCCGCCGAAGTCCGCGAAGTCCACGACCATCTCAACACCCCGCTCATCTCCCAATCAACCGTTCCCCGATGGTGGCCGAAACCACTCTTACCCGATCCGATCGTCTTACGCGCAACGCTCTTTCCCACGACGTTGAACTTTTGGGAGAAACCGTTTAGCGGAAAGGTTGTCAGTTTATTGGCTATTGTGCCTGTGTTTGCCTTGACGATCACCTTGCCCGTCGTCGAGACGTATCCAGAACAAGGAGAGAAGCCGAAGACGAGCGGTGCGTCAACGCCGGCGGGGTCAATGATTCTTGACCATGACCTTCCAGTGTTGGAGGCATTAGATGATGCTGTTGGCGAGCATATGTTGAAGGGATGGAATAGGTGGTTGACAGGGGTTCAATGCATCATGGCGCCCGTGTTCTTGACATTCATCATGTTCTTTGATGAACCGTTGCTTCACCCCATGCTCTACGCGCTTGTCGCTGGGTTAGCGCCGTTGGGGCTATTGATCACGTTCACGGAACCGGGTGAGGTACCTTTAGGACACAGCTTCTTGAGTTACGTGGGGTTCATCGTGGCCGTGGGATGGATCTCTACGATTGCAAATGAAGTCGTTGGGGTTCTGCGTGCGTTGGGCTTGATTCTCGGCATCTCAGAGGCTATCTTAGGTTTGACGGTATTCGCTGTCGGCAACTCGCTTGGTGATTTGATTGCAGACATCACGATTGCGAAAATGGGATTTTCCATGATGGCGTTCTCTGCCTGTATTGGTGGACCGATGATGAACATTTTGTTAGGTATTGGCATCAGTGGAATCATTGCGACGCTGAAGGAGCCTGATCACACGTATCCCATCAGCCTCAGTCCTACGTTGGTGACCACGACAAGTGCTTTGATCGTCACACTTATTGGCCTGCTGGTGAGCGTACCGCGGAGCGGATATAAGATGACGCGGGAGATTGGAATATGTCTCCTGGCCCTTTGGGGTGTTGCAACGATTACAAACGTTGCGGTTGAGGTTATCATGTTGGAATGAAGGAAGATATGGACATGACATTATTATGGGGCACGGCCGGCTGGTACGGTTTATTGGCGTTTCTTATGATATCCCAGGATTTAGTGTTCGATAACGCTTTTTGGTTTCAAGCTTCAATCATATTAGATTATCCTTCTTGAGAAGGCCTCGTTCGCGTCTTCAAGATTACGCATTAGATTCCAAGCCCAGAATTATGTAACGCCATCCATAAAACCCCCAAAACTCAAAAGTATATCGTCACCACCACGCCTTATTACCTAAATGTTCGATCATGGGCTCGCCAGTCTGGGCATTTTCCCACTCCCGGTCGGTATGCGCTGCAAAGCAGGATTCACCCCCTTCACTCCATTCGTGTTGTTGATATTCATCGCAGCTAAGCCGTTCGCCAGCGAACTCGTACTCCCGCCGCCCTGCATCAATCCCAAACCCACGGGCGGCTGCTGCCTGACGGAAGGTTGTCGTGTAGGCGTGCTTTGCGTCTGAGGCGCACCTGATCGCGATGCCTTTTGTGCGAGGTAGATCTTTGCGCTTAATGGAAGCTTCTTTACCAGCTCGTGCGTAAGAGTCGGTACCTCAGCACCGTTCTGCAGCAGCAATTCAGCGATAGGATAAGTCCCATGGTAATCCTCGTGCGCCTCAGCCGACGTGGCAAGCTTGTCCTCAGCAAGAGCGGTCTCGGGCACAGCCGCGAGGATAGCAATCAACACAGCCGACATCTCCGTACCAGGCTTCTTCACATTCGGCTCAGCGCCCGCAGCGAGCGCCGACATAGCCACAAACACGTCCCTCCTCTGAATAGCCTCAAGCAACAATGCATTCGCAGAAGCTGTATCCGTCGTGCGGACATACGCCCTGTGCACATACTTTGCCTGAACGAACTTAACCTTCACCTCTCTCGCACTACTCGGGCTCGGTTTCGGTGCAGCGATGGGTCCGGGCATTTCAGCCAACGTCGCCTCCCAAATGGTGTTATGCTTCCGATTTCCGAGCGCAACGAGCAGATCCACAAGGTCAGGCGTCATAGCCTTCGTATCCAGCGTAAGTGATCGCATCTTCGAGATATGCGTACCAAGCGAGCGGTGAACACCCGAACACTCGATACACACAACAGCACCAAAGTTGATAGCGACCCACTCCGCCTTATTCTGACTCCCACAATCCGCACAGCTGGTGTTTGTCGGATCCGCTTCCCTAACCTTCTTCAAGAGATTCAATGCCTCGGCTTCCTCCGCCGCGTGCTTCAACGCCGGATCATCAAAATACCCCGTCTGCTGCGGCGGAGGTCTATTACTCGAACTCGGTCGAATCTGAGGCGGCATCGGACTCTTCTTACTCGAGCTCCTCAATACCTCACCAACATTCACGCCAAGCCCAGTATCGATACTCCCCCTAAACTTCGTCTTCTCGAAATGCCTGATCGAACTCGAGCCTTCAAGCACCGACCCAATCGCATTCGAGATAACCGAGATCCAGCTCTGCATATCCTCCTGACTCGTCGCCTGGTAAACCCTCTTGAACTGCGGTGTAATGACTTCGAAACAGAATCGCCGATCCGCGCTCCGAGCTTCCCTGACCGTCGCCATTCGGAGGTTAATGGCGTTATGCAACTCAGGCTGCTGCTTCCAGTTCGAGTACTCACACAACTGTCCACCAGCAAGCACAACCCAATACTTATGCCAATTCATCTTCGGAACGACCTTTGGATCAGTATGTCCAGCAGGTCTCGACAACGCCCACAACAGCCCCTCCTTCCGTCTCGCAGCATCGATAGCATTAAATTCCGTCTCCGGCAAACTCTTAAACTGCGGTTTCGACATGCTCGGCGGGCTGGGGCTGAGCATAGCTGCCGTCGTATTCGTCACAGTCGGAATCGGCACGCCCTCACTCTCACTCGAGCTATACTGCCCATGCTGACCCAATAAAGGTGCCGTACTCCCCGCAACGCTTCCAACGACGCTATACGTATCATACGCCGCCTCCTTCTCTGACTTCTCCGCCGGTACCTCCCCCGTCTCCAACTGTCTCCTCCTCTCCTCCCTCTCCGTCCGTAACACTCGGAAATCTTTCTTCGACTGCTGTACAGCACTCCGACACATCTCCAACGCACCCCTCAACTCCCCGATCGTCCGTGCGGTCTGCTGAACGTGCTCAAACTGATTCCACGCATACTCCGTGACATTCTCCACGATCTCCGCCTCTTTTCTTCCACCATGGATATCCTGCATATACGAGTAATAGTCGAATCGGTGCAGTTCGAAATCCTTCCGCTTTTTCTGATATTTTGTATCGGACTGCATTTGTTTCTTTTCCTTTGCATCGGATTTTTGGGAGAGGTAACGTGAAAGAAATCCGTAGTACTCCTTCGACTCATCCTCGAAATCGCGTTTCTTTGTTTCCATGGTTTTGATGTCAGCGTCATACTGCCGTCTCAGCGGTTCAATGATGCGATGCTGAAGTTGATACGCGTTGTTTTCGGCAAAGTACCTCAATTCTCGGTACGCAGGTTCCATATACACATCAAGCAACGGCTTCAAACTGGTGCTCGACGTAGCAGCAACCTGAAGTGCCTCAACAAACCGCTCATCCGCCTTCGTGGCCACCCTGTGCGCATCAACCGCCTCCTGAGCACGCTTCATAACCTTCTTAATCTTCTGCTTCAACTCCACAGTCTGCTTCTCCATACTCGAGATGGTAGCCCTAAACAACGGTCCATCCTCCGGCTCGGTATTTGAGTTCGCGATAGCCGTGGTATTCGTCGGAACCGTACTCAGCGACGGCATATTCATCTGCGTACTCGTCGGCGGAGATCCAAAGACCGTCATCTCCCGTTCCGCAACAGGCGTCCTCATCTCCGGCGAATCACTCCCAACCTTCGTCTCACTCCCCTCACTCGTAAACGAAGTCGTCTGAATATGCAGTCTTGGCGGTACATGTTGCTTCCCCATCACCGGACTTGAGGGAACAGACATCGGATCATTGGAATTCGGAAGAAGCGGAATCGGGAAGTGCAACGGCGGCATAAACGTCGTCAACACCGGCGACGTATTCGACACCCAAAACGCGAACGATGCGATAATGGCGAACGTATCGGCAGTCTTGTCATACTCCACGAAACAACACGTATTTCTCCACCCACGATGCCGTTCATCCTCCTCACCGGGCGGATTCCAATCCCAACTCCACTGGATCTCCTTCTCTTCCATCCCATCCGTCGATAAACTCTGCGCAACGAGGCGTGCATTGGGATGTTTTTGCAGATTCGAGTCCATCACGAACTCTTTGGTGAGGAGCGACTCGAGTTCTTGTCGATGTGGCGCATTCATGAACGTTAACCCCTCCACACACGTATCCCGCTCCTTACCCAAGGGTCGTCGCAGGACGAAGTTGAACGTTAATCTCAGATCATCGTCATAGGGAACCTTAAGCAACAGCGGTGCAAGCTGAGTCTGAAAAGCCGTATCCGGATCCTGTACGCGAAAGTCGTTAGTTTCATGCACGAGAAGTCTTCGACTGCCGCATACCTGAACAAACTCAATCAGAGCATCCCCATGACTCCTCGCACTAACAAACGTACTCTCCACATTCGGCGTGATCGTGAACATAGTCTCCCTTGGCGCATCCCCCTTCGACACGGTAATACTCTTCAGCGCAACTATCCCCAACACCAGTCAGCATACATCATCATAACTCTCAAGCACACGTGTACGTACTCGTTGCGGAATCCCGGAGATACAGAGCAGGCGCATCCTCAGATCTTGAGCTGACAGCGCCCATCCCGTATCCTCACAGACCTGATCGTGATATAGGGGTATATGCTGCTGCTTTGACGGAGAAAGCCTTGGTGTTTTGTTTTGGTGTTTGCTTGGCTCAGCCGGACTACCTCATTGATCACGGCGGGTGCGTCCCTTGCGACCCCTGACTACGAGTGCGGACTAGGGAACCCAGAGAACGCAGCCGTGTGAAGAAAGCTTCCTGTCTAAACCATATGCCATTACTCGTTCTATCTTACCCTGATTATCCCCTATTGTCCATAACGATGTGTCTACGACAAAACACCCTTGGTAGAAGGAATGTCGTTACCTCCCGTCCTCGAAATCGCCTCCTTAATCGCAACCGCCAACGCCTTGAATGCACTCTCAATCCTGTGATGATCATTCTCTCCCCTCAAGCAGTCAACATGCATCGTGACTCCCGCCGCAAGCGCAAAACTCTCCAAGACGTGAGGAACCATCTCACATGACAGCGCGCCAACCTTCTCGCGACGGAGGTTGAGGTCGGTGACACAGTAGGGACGGTTAGAGAGGTCGACGACGGCGCGGGACAATGCCTCGTCGAGGGGTGCGAAACCGGATCCGAAACGGCGGACACCCTTGATGGGACCAAGGGCTTTCTTGAATGCGGCACCGAGTGCGAGGGCAGTGTCTTCGGCGGTGTGGTGGTCATCGATGTGGATATCTCCGTGAGCCTCGATGAAGAGGGACCAGCCTCCGTGCTTGGCGAGGGCGTGGTACATGTGGTCGAGGAATCCGATACCGGTGTTGACGGAGATGGATTGGGCGCCGGTGACTTGGGTGGCGTGTTCGGTGTTGGCGGCGCCGTCGAAGGAGGGGAGGGAGCCACCGTCGAGGGAGAGGGCGACCTTGATCTTCGTCTCGTTGGTGTCGCGGGTCAAGGTGCATTCTCTTTTCACGAATCCCTCAGCCTGTGCGGGTGCAGGTGCAGGTGTGGGAGCGGGAGCAGCAGCAGCAGCAACCTGCCGCGCATCCGCCTTCTTCGTATGGTCCCGAATCTCCATCGCCTCCCACGGATAACAGATCCACGCATCCCCAACATGCTCTCCGGCGAAATACCTCTCCCTCATCAACTCCTCCGGCAATTCCGCCCTCTTCTCCTTATTCTTGTTATGCACGACGAAGATTCCGAACTTTGTCTCATCAGCCACGCCGAGTTTCTTAGCTTGCTCGGTGACGTCTTTTTGGAGTTCGCGGACGGCGTAGTGGAGGGTCGTTCGGGTGTCATCGACTTCATCGACGATGAGGACGCGTTTGCCGACGAGGTTTGTGCCGTGGAGAGAGGAGAAGTCGAGCCATTGCGTGCGAACGACTTCCTTGCCGATCATGTCCTCCTCATGTCCCGCAACATTCATATCCTCATACAAGCTCAACCCAATCGCCTGAATCGGGATATTCTTGCTCCCCTCTCGCTTCAAGAAAGTCCTCAACATCCGTGCGGGGATGAATCCTCCACCGCCGATGGCGACCATGAGGTCAGGGCGGAACTTCTCGAGGATGTCCTTCGCGGTTTGTTGACACAGCTCATGGATCTGGTCATAGGAAACGTAGGTCTTGGTGTCGGCCATTGTGAATGAGAGAAGGAAGCCGGGGTTGACTTTTTTCTCGGGGTTATGATTCGACGGCGACGGCGCAAGGCACAGGGCGTTGCCTCATACCGCGCACCGACGTACAGGGCATAGAAGAAGCCCGAGTGCGATGGTCGTGGTCAGTTGTAGGCCTTTTTCTATTCCCTCGTCGTTGTTTTTTCCCGTCTTTTGCCTTGGAACAGTTGCTCCAACCACCCTGACAACGCGGTCAACGGCCAGACGCCCAGAAATAAGGTTTGGCGCGTGAACCCTTCGAATTCCAAAAGTCCCGAGACTCCCGCTTCCACACCACAATACACCCTCACCACCAACCAAAACTATCGCAATGTGGATCCTAACACCAATATCATACCTCGGTGGAGTTCTTGGCTTCATCTTCCTCACCCTCTCCGTAGGTCCGTTCTCTTTCGGCCTGATCCGTGAGTGAATGCTGACACGTACGAAACAGCCTCGGGGTTGTATTACATGAGCGAGTTCGTAGAAGAACACTCACAATTCTCAAAACGCATTATTCGACGAATAATCTACGCTATCCTCGCTACGCACGTCCTACTCCTCCTCCTGGACGGTTTCCCGTTCTTCCTCACCATCGTTGGAATTGTTTGTCATGTCGTCTACTTGACGAACCTCGCTTCATTCCCTTACATCAACCTGTCTTCTCCTCAATTCATCGCATCAGGCGGTCCGTATCGATTTCCTCTCACTTATGTAATGGAGCGCTAATCGTGCAAACAGTCCTCGTCTTCCTCGACCACTTCCTCTGGTTCCGCCATTTCTCCACCTCACAATCCATCCCCAACCTCTCCCCCGGCTCCCGCTTCTCCTCCAGTAACCCCCTCCCCTCAGCCCCCTCCTTCGCCGAGATTGCCTCCTTCTTCGGCCTTTGCGTCTGGCTCGTCCCCGTCACTCTCTTCGTCTCCCTCTCTGCCGGCGAGATGGTACTCCCAACGATCGGCGCAGATGGTGTGCGAGGAACAGAGATGAGAAATGAGAAGAGGACGGGTTTGGTTAAGACTTTGTATAGGAAGGTCGGGGAGGGGTTGGCGCAGGTTATGGAGACTTTTGGCTGGGGGAGGGAGGGGGAATTGCCTCGGTCTGGGAGGTTTGTGTAATTTACTGCAGCAAAAGGGACAAAAGACGGGAGGAAGTTAAATTGCATGTCAAGCATAGATATCGAGCACTAATACCCTCAACGCACGTTGCATCACATACATCGTGCACCTCGTCCGTTCCTTCAGATCTGTGTCTTCCTAAACTCCACGGTCCATAGGACACGTTTGTCTGTCTCAACTTCCACCACGTCCCCATCCACAAGATTACTCGTGCTAACCAACCCCCCAAACCTCATCTCCTCCCCCTCCAGATTCCACCTTAATCCGCTCGTCGTACACCTCACCGGCTCTCCCACCGGCATAACTCCACACGCAGGTCCCAACAATTGCTTATCCAATACAATTTTGTTGGGGCCAGGTTCGAGGAGGAATGTAACGTTCTCGCTGGAGAGGAGGTAGAGACGGATGCCTTGCTGCGCACATTCGTAGAGGGTCTGGATTGCGTGGATGGATTGGTCGACACGGCCCCCGAAGGCGGGGAGGGCGACAATGCTTTGCGGTCGTTCCTTTTCCGGGAGCTTTTGTATCAGTTTGATGCTCTTCCCGAAATCTGTGGCGTATTGGTCGCCGTCCTCCACGACCGGGATGTTGTGATTTTGTTGATAGTGCTGCCGTACTTCGGGACGGATGGAGTCAAGGTCGCCAGTGATGTAGTCTGGCACGTAATTGGAGTCATGGTCATACAACCGGTTGGAACCACCATCTGCACACACCCTAACAGCCGCTTTATTCCTCAGTTAGCCTTGCACGAGAGGAGAACGTCGAGAGTGTACCGTTCCGCCATATCCGACCAAATAGTTCAGCATCATCTCCAATAGGTTGATTCAGGATCACCACACCGAACGTCTCCTCACTTTTTCCATCTCCTAACGCCAGTAGGGTGCTCGGATTCCACAAAGTCGCCGTCATGGTCAATCCGACGTTGTATGAAGTGCGGGTGTAACGTAGACTTGAAGATCATCCAAATCCGGGGGAAAAGTCGCGTACTTCACCAAAACAACCCCTGGGAACCCGCAACCCATACCCGCCATGCCACAAGCACCAGTATACCCAGACGCTGTCTACGATACCTCATACTCCCTTTTCCGTCTATCCCCTCTCTATGGCTTCGGACTCATCTCTCTTCCGACTCATGGCCGCGAATTAACCAAGCTGGTTCGGCAATCCCTAACATCATCCGCCGCCGCTGTAGTAGCAGACGAGAATGCCGGAAAGGAGTTGGACCATGTAAAGGCTACAAAGGACGACGTGTCAGGCGTGGTCGATTTCGTCGTTTCGTTTGATGGTGGAAAGAAAGGCTACCACGCCCTCTTACTACCCCCAACAACGAACGCGGAGGTATTGGAAGGAAGTCGAAAGAGGAAGCGAGATTACACGACAAGGGAAACAGCGACTGCTTTTGATCACTTCCCATTATTGTTGCTGAGGGTACCGGCGGCTGTGACAGCGGTGTTTACGCATTATCTTACGACACGGTTCGATGCGCGCTGTACAGCGCTACGGATCCCGTCGAGCGCGTTACAGTCGACATTCCTCGATCCATACTTATCTAGAGCGACAGAGCTCACCGGGCCATTACAGCTCACGTACTCACTACCTTCAGTCGGCTGCAAACGCTTCACCATCTCCATCCCTGGTGGTGACCTCGCATCCATCCGCGAACACGCTGCTGACATGTCCTCTACAACCATGCCTGTACTACAGAAGCATCTCGAATGCGCGACAGGGATGTCTCTCGACGAGGATGGTGTAGAGATTGTCAAGGTTGCTTGTGCGACGTTTGTGGTGAGCGGGGAGGGAAAGGTTAAGGTCTTTGGGAAGAATCGGGAAGGTGTTGATGTTGGGTGGGTTGTGGAGAGGATCATTGGTGCGGCTATGAACGGCGTTGAACCCTAAAGAAGGTTCGGCATTCTGGTGGCGGAAGATGGGACAAATTAGAACGAGTGTGGGGATCTGGGCGGAGCGTGGTTATTGGGAAGGGTGGGTCGGGCAGGCGTTTTGGGTATGTTTGGGAGTCATTAAGGGGATACCTTTGTGATCTAATATTACGTATGTTGTCATACCCATGATGGCAATCAATGCGAGGCTGTAGCCAAAACTGCCAAGCAGAGTTGGGATCTCGAAGGCCATTACAGCCAACGACGATGGCGAACGCGTGCTCCTGCCCAAATTCCGAACTGAGAATAGAACTTGTCGATAACCCAAGGCTCCTGCTTGTTCTTTCAAGCGTCTGTAGGAAGTACACTCGGGAAGAGTGTTATCAAATTTACCAATCCTTACAAGATGTTCTGGGCTACATGTACACTTGGTTGCAGTGACCAAACTCAACGTTTCGGGTGTGTGGTTCGGGAGAAGATTACAAACAGGTAGTCGTGGTGGTGCAAATCTATCGAAAAGCGCTATTGTCTATGGGTACTAATGATTGGACAACAGCGTTGGTAGTCGGTGCAATTTGGCACCGCGACAGCTCAAGGCCATAAGCGAACGCGTAAGCGACGACGAAGAATGACATCATGTAACAACACCGTTCGCAAAGAACAAAGACCATCACTCAAAGCATCATCGACCACAAGGCTCGTATGCGTCACGTACAAACGAACCCGACAGCAGAAGATCCTTCCGGAGAAAGTATGTTTCCAAAGATTCCCTACCCGAGCGAACCCAGGTAGGAGCGGTCTTAAATTAGTTTTCAACTAGCAAAAACAAGAGCTCAGACAAAGTCTTCACTGCTGCTCGTAATGCCCGTGCATAAGAGATGGGGAGCGCTGAGGGACGTGGGGGCGAGGAGGTTATATAGTACGTGGCGTGGCGCAGCAGCTGGAGTCAACCGCACGGAGTGGCGGGTGTGGGAACCGTCGAGACGCCTGAGAAGTAATACATAGAGGACGGTCAGAAAATTCAAGCAGATGTATTTTCGCCGTATAGGTGTGGCATATGTTTCCTCCTTGCTGGAGTCGTTCTATCTTGCTCGGCACATCTATCGAAACAATCATTTATTGCATCCTAAACTCTGCTAAATCCACCTGCCGCTCCCTTCCCAGTCGTATCTCGTATCCCTCTCCCTTTCCTGTCCTCCACAAATCACTCTCTCGTCCTCTTCTCCGCTCTCTGAAGCGCCTTCACCATACTCCTTGCCTCCTCTCCTCCATCACTATCACTTTCCTCACCCCAATCACTCTCCTCTAATGGATCCTTATTCTGCGTCCTGCTGAACTCTGTCACATAGTCAGCTTGGCTCCTTCAACTCTATCTGAAAACATTGACTCACCTCTCCGAATCGCACCCTCCCTCAACCTCGCCTCCCTCCTCGCAATTGTTTGCTCCCTCCTCCTTGCCGCAATCTCATCCTCGATCTTGGCTCTCAACATATCACTCTCCCTCGAATCCGGCTGATCTTCCCGTTCAACTGGCTCGGCGCCAGCTTGCGCTTCGCCGTCGCCGAAGTCGTAGGGTTGCTTGCGTTTTCGGTTACGGGCTGAGGAGCGGACTGCATTCAATGCATTAGCAACCTCATTGAACGGTGAACTTCGAACAGGACATACGGGTGGGAGCGGAAGGCTCAGGATCAGCAAGGAGGCTTCCAACACTCATCGCACCTCCATGACTCGGTCTCGCATGTTCAACACCAAGCATCGGCGGCAACGGCGATGCAGCCCTCGAATCCGGCAATGGACTTCCGCGTAACAGAGCCGCCAACCCTTCAGCGGCAGCACGGTCCTCATCCGTAAGTTGGCTAAGGCCACTCGGTCGCGGTGTTCCGCCACCCGTCTTCGGTCGTCGTCCACCGGGAGTACGACTCTGTGGCCCAGGTGACGGACGAGGTGAGGCATTCGCGCTGATGGGTGCAGTCTCGAGGTATTCTATGGATCTAACGTTAGTTCCACCTTTGGTACATCGAAAATGGGCCACATACTTCTTCTCTCTTCCGCCATCCTCTGTGCGTACGCCAACTCTTCCTCCGTATCAACGTTCTCCAACGCGACCTGTTCCTCCGTCAAATGTACCATCTTTGGCAGCCTGACCGTCCCCTCAACATCTGGTGCCCCGAACGGATTACTCGCCGTATCCGCTGCAGCACCAGACGTTTCTAAGTAATGCCAACACAACCACAAAAACGCATTCGCACGACTCAAGCTACTCAGCCCAGTCCGCGTGAACAAGTCATAAAACTCACGTGGCGGGGCGAAGTGTTGTTCGGTGAGTTTCGGCGCATAGGTTGCGAACAGGAAGATCAGGTTGATGGGGTTCGTGGTTGGGCGTTGGGCGGTCTGCACCATGCGTTCGAGGAGAGCATCCCATGTTTGGGGTTCGCCGGCACGGTCTTCGGCGGCCCCTTTGAGAATATACTTGAGGCGGGGCGCATCTTGGAGTTGTTTTGCGTTCTGAGCCGAGGCTTGGGCCTGGAGGACAGGTACTGGGTGGTATGTACGGAGCTGGGCACGCATCTCCGGAAAGACTGGCATGAATGTGTTAGCGAGTTCAAACAGGCCGTAAATCAAGTGACGCACAGGTAAGGGTGGTGTTTATCCTGCCCACGTTCACCAGCAATGAGATCTGGGCGATAGCCACAGCCGACGTTCTCTCATTCGCAAACTTCTCGCGTAGCAGCTTAGAACACTTACTACTCTTCGCCATGGCTTCAATGTATCTGTGAAACCGTTAGCACAGTAGTCCGGAGCTTTTCAGTGCTCTACGTACAGGTCAGCGAAAGTGAGTTTCGGCCTCTCCTGCCCCGGAGGCAAAGGCGGATCAGCTTCATAAGCACTCGTGAATACAGCCCTGGTATCAGTGAAGATAGTGTTGAGCACTGGACATCGTATTAGCCCATTCAGAATGAACAGTTTCAAACTGGATCAGACGCACTATCGAACTGAATATCCTTCCTCGACAACATAACACCATCAGGACGTTTGATATGAACAATCTTCGATCCCGCAAATATCGACCTGTGAGCCATAGATCAGCGGTCATCATTACAATCGCCACTGATTCGGAACTCACTTCTCAACAGCCGGCCTTGAGCCTCCCGGCGTCAACATCCCAGCGGTCGACGCGTCGTCTGGGACATCCATATCGAAATAAGAAGTACCGTTCGAAGGAGCTGGCGATGGAACTGCTGGAGTTGGTGGTTCGACCGAGGGTATGGTCAGGTTTATTTTGGTCATGACTTGAGGATGATCTCTGGATGAAGCTTGTTGGGAGCGTTTTTGGGATGACGTCAAACATCTACATCTCAAGGCAAGGAAATCGATGCATGCAATGGTCGGCGCGCGCAACGGACAACGAGGGGCAAATCGATAAGACGGCTGTTTACGGGATACATGGAGATGTACGAAAGTCATCCACGGTGTTTCAATGGAAAGAATCGCATCCTGTGAACGGTCGAGGTACTGGGGCACGAGGCTCGGTGGCATCATGACATGAACAATATGAATCACTTATAGCCCGTCTCGGGTATCCCTGTTCCTTCATACAGCGCTTTCAATCAGCTGTTCTACCCTAGACCTATCATATCTTACTCCCATCTCATCTCCCCTTCACGAGCCAACATTCACGCTCACATGCAAACCTAGAAAAAGCGCCAGCCAGACCCTAAACCCAAAGAAAAAGAAAAGAGTAAACCCATCTGATGCATCTTCGAATTCTGTGCTCCTCCAAAAGAAAAAGAAATCAAACATCTTGTTATATCAATACACGTCTTCATTGTGCTGCTCATTGCGTTGGTGCGGCACCGTTCACCATTGGCTGCGGAGTCGGGGTACCATTGACCTGAGGCTGCACGACAGGTTGAGGAACAGGTTGAACCACTTGCTGCGGCACTGGTTGCGAAACTTGTTGAACTCCAGCCTGAGCTTGAGCCTGAGCCTGAGCCTGAGCCTGAGCCTGAGCCTGCTGTGCAGCTTGAGCTTGCGCAGCCTGTTGAGCCTGAGCTGCCTGCTGCTGTTGTCCCACATTCCTCTGCAAATATCTCGCCAACTGAGCTTGAGCCATCTTCGTCACCTGATCCGGAGGAATCGTCGGATATTGCTGCTGGATTTGAGCTGCAAGTGCGGCAATAGTTGCTTGCACCGTCGCCATGGGGCTCGAAGCATCGGCAGGGATCTGCGGAACCGGAGTACCAGCGGCAACCTGAGCCGCGCGAGCCTGAACTTCTTGCAAGGCAGCCAACATAGCAGCCTGGTTTGGCGGTGAGCCGGCTGGTTGCGCTGGAGGCTGTTGTTGCTGAGGCGGAGGCTGCACTTGCGGTTGAGGCACTGCTTGCTGCGGAACCGGGGACGGCACAGCCTGTCCATTGGACTGAAGCTGCTGCTGAACCGCTGCTCTCTGTTGAGGCAAGTTCGGGTAACGTGCCATAACCATTGCATGCATCTGCTCCTGGTACGTAAGCGGTCTGCCGTTCGCACCAGTCGGCAATGCACCAGGCGCGCCGTTCGGAACTCCGATTGCTCCTTGACGTGCAGGCACCTGGGCTCCCACCTTGCCACCCTGAGGCATCTGTTGACCCGCAGCAGCGGCGGCGGCAGCGGCTTGTCTGGCATACTGCTGTTGCTGCTGTAAGGGAACACCAGGACGAGCTTGAGCCGCAGCAACCGCTGCTTGTCCAGCGGCACCTCGAGCGGCAGCAGCCTGCGCTGCAGCGGCTTGCTGAGCCTGGTAAACAGCGATCTGCTGAGGCGTAAGCTGCTGAGCCGGTCGAATGGGGCGTCCCTGATTTTGCAACGCAAACTGCGCAGCGGCATTCCTTTGCTCGATAAAAGCAGCAGCAATGGCCCGATCTCTGTCCGCCTTGAGCTTCGCCAAATCCATGGGTGTCGGACTCGGTGCAACGACCTTGTTCTGATGCGGCTCTGGCATGACCTTCTTGCTCTGTGCAGGCTTCGCAGCCAGCTCCCGCTTTTTCGCAATCTTCTTCATCGCTTCGAACATGCCGATATGTCTTGGACGACGTCTTGGCTGTATCAACATGCTGATAGCAGGATTACGTGCAGCGACATCGGCTAGTTTCTTGCTAGTCTTCATACCAGGCGAGTCCATCCTCGCACGATTAAGGGCATGGTCAAGGCGTTGCTGAACCAACTTGGCATGAGCACCAGTGAAAGCAACATTTGCAGCGATGGGGTCGATTTGGACCCAACGCTCGAAGCACTCCCAGCTCGTCCTCCTCTCGCTTGGCGCAGAGATCATCGTACTAGGTTGCAACAAGGTAGCAACAAGCTCGAAGTTATAGGAGTAGTCACGCAACAAGCTCAACAACAACGCATCGTCGTCCGAACTCCAGCTTGGTGGAATACGGTACTCGGTTGCATGAAGAGGTGGCAACGGCGGCCTGATCTGATGCGGCTTATCTCGCCGCACGGCCTCGGAATGCTTGCCAGCCAGAGCGAAATCAATCGGACCTTGCTCTCTTTCACCATCGCCGTCCTTATCCTCAACGCCCTCAAGCTTAAGTCTCTTCGCGCCAAGTGCGGGTGCAAATTTAGCCCTCTGCAAAACGTACTTGCTGATAGGCACAATTGGCAACTGTTCGAGCGGATCGAGGTAGGTGGTATCGTCGTATGGAGTCGGAGGGGCGTACATTTCCAGATCAAGCAACGCGGCATGTGGGTTGACGACAAATGCCAAGCACTCTTCCGGTAGCAGATCCCACAGCCTGTCTTCGTCGTCTCTGATTGAATACGCCGGCGACGGCAATCCATCCGAAATTTTATAAGAGCTTGGCGCAACAGGTGGTGGAACAATAGAGGCAATGCTCTCAACATCGGGCACTGATGAATCATCATCTCCGTCAATGTTGACAAACCTATCCTCCTTATGGTCATCAACCATGACTACGTCTTCCGTCTCACTCTCCTCCTCCACCTTCGCTTCGGTAAGATGGATGATTGGCTTTCTTGTGATGCATACAATGCCTTTGTCTTCGCCGGCCTCGTGCCATGCCATTACCCACTCCACAACTTGCTTAGCGATGGCGATCTTCCATTTTCGTTCTTGTCGAAAATCCGTTGCCAGCCATTGTGCTTCAGCGATGAGGTGATCCCAATGAGCTTTGCGTCGCAGGGCGACACGTTGGCGTTGCGGCTGTCTGAATGACCACTTGTGCTGGTTCTTCAGAGTGTCGATGCGCTCAAGGGAATGAAGCGTCTTCGTCTCATTCAAGGCCGTCTTCCAATCCGAGGTGTTGACAGTTTTGTGCGCCGATTGCATGACACGATACAAGGGCGCTTGCGAAGCCTCGACAAGCCATGGAGCCTTCTGTTCCCAGTAAACAGGCTCCCGGCCAGGCTCATGCTGACGTAACTGCGGAACCTCTGAGAACTTTGGCCGCGAACGCTTCTCCTTAGGCGTAGCTTGTGATAATCTCGATGGAGGATTGACTCTTCTCAATGTTGATTGAGGGACAGGCGAGTCGCGAACAGGTGTCGGCGTCTGCACTAATTGTGCCAACGGCGAGCTACCCCGACTCCGACGCGGAGTACCGAGATCAGGCGATCGTCCAGGAATTTCTCCCGCAACAAGATCCGTGACAGACTTGTGCCGAATAGCGTGCGATGAGCGGCGCGTCGTCATGCGACCTGGTCTTGCGAACTCGGCGGTGCCAGGACTTGCGGGTCCGTCAACACCGGGGGACATGACAGCAGGAGACTCCGCTACAGGTATGGAAGGAACGGCAGCGACTGTAGTAACCGCAAGAAGCTCTGTATGCGTGTCGACATCTACTGCGAGGTCGCGCACGCGGGGAAGGGTGCTCTCGTCGAAGGTCTTTCCACTATGTACACGTGTCAGCATGGATGTATGCAGAGCATGGTGGAGGTGCGACGACTTACGCTTCCAAGTCATTGGCCTCAAGGAAAGTCTTAAAGTCGGCGGAATCCGCGAGAGCCGTAGATGTGATGTCTGGCGGAATATCCGGATGTTTATGGAGAAAACATAGTTCTGTGAGTGCACGCTTGCGCTTGCCGATAACCTCCCTACACAACAACTCCGTCAGAACCTTCACACACAAAAATGGATGAATAGATGAATGACGAACCTTTTCGACGCGTCCCGCTCTCCTAAAGCCTTCTCGCGTAAAGCAGAGACGGATGGCTATGCAAACACGCGCACGGTCAGCGTACCGCCGAAAATGAGCGTAAAGAACCGGGGAAAAAACGTACAACATTCATCTCATTGCTCAAAAAGGCAAAATTCGACGAGAAAAAGGGTGATTTGAAGCGCGGATCCTCTGTCCGTCTTTGCTTACGTGTCGCTTCCTTGAGGTGAGGTTGCCCAGGGGTTGCAATTTTCAGCAGCTGCATTAGCGCGACCCAATCAGAATCGTCAGCCGATGACGAGGGGTGACGAACGGAGAAGGGAATCCTGCTGAGGAGGTTGGATATCAAGTGTAAGGCCAATCAAGGCATTCGTTCTAACATCTATTTTAATATGGTGCTGCTCCTGCCGTTAGCTGGGCCATGTGGTTTGGTGTCGATCTCATCAAGAATCATCGCGGTACAGAAGACTTGGCATGTTCGCCAAACTGTCTCCTGCTGCCTGTCTCTTTACTACAGCAAGCACATCCATAGAACCAATACTTGGAGACGAATTCTCGGAAACGTAGTTGCTTTTGTTGATAGCACGACAGCAATTCAGAACACGAATCGTTCATTTTCTCACGGTTCGACACTAAAGTTCTAATCGGTATCTTAAATAGTCATTCAGCTGTTCTTTGTGCTCTGAGAATGTCCTAGAGAGTTTCTGCTCCACCTTGCTCTTCTGCCTTCCATCAGCCGCCTGCCTCCGCAGTACCATTCGATCATTTCCCACGTATCAACTCTGCAGACACAACTCCATACTTCGCCTTCACGATATCCTCCACTGACACAAAATGATAACCTTCCCGAACCAGTTCATCAATCACATCAGACAAAGCATCCGGTGTGTTGTGGTAAATTGCATGAAAAAGAATGATACCCCACGAGCCGCCTTTGACTTGGTTCATGACATTGTCCTTGACACATTGCACGCCACCAGCGGCATCTTGATCATCCTTACACTTCCAGTCATTGGAATCGATTGACCATCCTATGTGAACACCATACTTAGCAGCAATGGGTGCGATTCGCGTGACATCGGATGCAAATGGTGCACCTGGCTCGTAAGGAATACCATATGGGGCACGAGAAAGTGTCGCTTTGAAATCTGGCTCATCCAAAATCGTCGCGATGGTAGTTTGCACCCCACTAATCTCTTGCTCCACGACGTCGTTTGATACCGCGCTAAAATTGACATGGTTGACCGTGTGACTTCCCATGGTGAAGTTGTTTTCGTAAATGTATTTGATTGCATCCTGGGCGCCGATACTGGCCATGACATCCGCCGTGTTGTTTGTATTGATAAAGAAAGTGGCTGGTACACCCTTCGATTTCAGAACATCTGCTATGCCTTTGGTGATGACACCATCGCTGTCAGGCCCATCGTCAAAGGTCAAAGCGATAGCTTTCGAGTCATTGAGAGGTTGGCTTGTGAACCCGATCTGAGGGTATGTTGGATCCGCTCGGGGCGCTAAAGGAAAGGTGTAAACGCCGCGTAAGCTGGATACTAGCGAAAAAACGCACAGAAGCGAGTGGAAGTTGCACATGAGCGCAACCGGTGGCAAAAAACCAGCTGACCTAGGCCTTCTTTTTAAGAAACATTGTACTGCGCCTCGATGCACATTTTTTGTCTGTGACATAATTGGAAACCATGCGGTATGAGAGCAACTGGGCCTGGGGTCGGACCGCATATTGGCACTGGCACGGTCACGCACGGGGCCCTTCCATCATCCAAGCCACCATAGCAGGGCAGCACTCAATCACGCAACAACAATATCACACCGGACCGTCCCGAGTTCACGACGTGTGATAGTTCCCAGAACGTTCTGTTGGATGGGTAAATGCGTAGTGGTACCGATCATGATGTACGTAAAGCGCGGATGTCGATTCCCGCGGGTTCTCGGCTCAAGGAAAGCGGGGCTTGCAATGTGGAGTGACGCCGGTCCGGCTCAGTCATATGAGTTCTATGTGTTTCAGTGAACCAACCCTGGTCAATACTAGGTATATCGGTAAAAGCTTATCCAGGCATATGGGTAGGAGTCTGACACGCACAAAGGGCAAGCTGAAGCTCTGACGGCACCCGTCAGCTTGACGATGCACACAACTACCAGCATCCGATGCCCTGGACATTCACGGGCTGGCTGAATCGAAGTTTTGGACATGGAAGTTCGATTTGGAAGGAAAGTTATTGCTCGCGCTCCTTGCTTATCCAGCTGCAGTAGGCTAATTGATGAAACTGCGCTAGTAACGCTGGCACGCTCAACACGCCGTGAACGTTCCAATATCGAAGGGTGTGCCACGCGCAGGAACTGTAGGGGTGTCTGCCGTGACTGCCAAGCGCCAATAGGATGAATCCGTGCCCCGGTGAGGGGTGCCAAGAAACGTCAGCCCGCAGTCATTTCACGAAGCTCCGCGTATAAGCACAGGGGTGTGGCGCGCTGCTGAGATATGGGGTGGGAGCCAAGGACCGGCGGTACGCATATCGTGGGACCTATTCATCACAAGGGGAGTTCTCCCAGAAATGCCCGTTACCCGAGCCGTCACGTGGGGGGTGTATATGTCAGGTTTCGTCCTGGCTAATAAGTAGCAACCATACAAAAGTACGAAGAAGTGGAAGAGGCTTGCGAGCGATGAGGGCGTCCCGATTAGGAGACTTTCGAAGGGTGCCTTGAGGCGGATGAGACTCGCGAGCAAGAAGAGGGATGTCGTAGTTTCCAAAGCGGCCAAGATCACATCTGTCCCAGCGCAATCAGATGTGGAGACGAGTCCTCTTATCCCCATCTCGCAGGAGCTTCAAATGCCTGAACTCCCCTTCGACCTGGTGGAGAATTTCATGGTTGCGTATGATGAATACGACATGTTGAAGCGTGCGTGGAAGCATACATCTGTTACTTACCCCTTGGTGAACGGGACATCAGCTTGACCGTTGGTTCTGATATTGGTCCTATTGGTCTGATAGTTGTTTTGGAGTTCTTGTTCTTTGTTTGGCATGGTCGTTTGGGTCTTTGGAAGTTACGGTTATGAATTTTGGGTATGTAGATGTACGAGTATTCGGGAGTTATGGCGTTTTATTTTCGGGGGAATTACGGATGAAGCACTCTGTACGATATGGTCTCCATAAGCGAGATAGTTAGACAATCATGTTACCAGGCCTGCTAAGATAACCATCGCTTACTCGTGCTGGAGCTGCGTAGCATGGAATCATATGTAAGGGTTTCGATTTCTGAGTTCCCACGCTTCTGTAGATGTTGTGCCGTTTACTGTGCGTCAGACTGAATTACAGCGAAGAACAACTTGCAATTAATGAAAAGCTAAGTACACAGAGATGCAAACGGGCTGTGAACTTAGACGTACGGTTTTGCTTAGAAAGGAATCAGATTCAATCTGAGCGGGTATCTCTCGCAAACAAAACATCATGTGTTGAACGAAAGAGAAGAAAAAAAGAACCTGATGTACCCGTCAACCGGTACGCTCGTCCACCTAGGTCTCCGCACTGCAGCTATCGAAGATATTCAAGCACCTGCATCATCCCAATATTACAGATTCTCCATCCCAATCCTTCCGCTCAGCTCCGCTGGTGAGTGACCATTTAAGCGGAAGCCTCGGCCTCGCGCTTCATGATGGGTTCACCGTAGTAAGGCTGCCACCTAGCATCGGCGTCGGCGTCGGCGTCAGCATCACGCTTCATGATGGGTTCGCCGTAATAAGGCTGCCACCTGGCGTCACGCTTCATGATCGGCTCACCGTAATAAGGCTGCCACTTGGCCTCGGCGTCAGCATCACGCTTCATGATGGGTTCGCCATAGTAAGGCTGCCACCTGGCATCGGCGTCGGCCTCAGCGTCGGCCTCAGCGTCACGCTTCATGATAGGCTCACCGTAGTAAGGCTGCCACTTGGCGTCACGCTTCATGATGGGTTCACCGTAGTAAGGCTGCCACCTAGCATCGGCGTCCCTCTTCATGATGGGCTCGCCGTAGTAAGGCTGCCACCTAGCATCGGCATCAGCCTCAGCCTCGCGCTTCATGATGGGTTCACCGTAGTAAGGCTGCCACTGTAGGGAACTGGTTAGTATGCGAGTCAAGACCAGAGAATGGAAGGAAAACAAACCTTGGCATCACGCTTCTCGACATCAACAGTCTCGACCTCGACAACAGGAACATCGCCAGCGACGTCCGTGGTGGAGGTAGGAGCCGCGGTAGCAGCGGAAAGGAGGAAAGGCGCAGCCGCGGCGATGAAGGCAACAGAGAACTTCATTGTGAGTTGTTGATGTAGTTGATAGTTGTTAGAAAGAGATGCGGGAACTAGGCAACCAGGCAACCAGGCCGTAGAGCTTGAAGTGTTTGTGAGAGATTGCAAGACCGAGTGTGGTGAGGATTGGAAGGACGAGGGATCAGGCCGGTCTTTATAGAATTGTCCTTCCTTCCTTCACGACCGGAATGGAGAGAAGCAGCTCGGAAGAACATGCAAGCTCCTTTGGCATCCTTTGTCGACTATGGTGTGCACCGCCAACGGCTGCTTGCAACGGCGTCGAGACAAAGACCCCACCATCACCCGTGTCTTCCTTTCCGCAAGCGCAACAAAAGGCCCACAGGCAATCTTGGATATGGTCCCAGACAAAGAGTGCACGCGATTAACTTCCTTGTTCCCCGTCTCCAACGGGTGAGCACGAGGCAGCCCGATTCCACGGGTTCGGGTGCATTCCACCGACTCGACGATCGCAGACATTGTCAAAAGCCATCATTGGGCTTCCTATGGCACCAACTCCTAAGACCTCAACTTAGGCACGTAAAGTGCACAATCACGTCCAACTTGCCATGTTGGGAGACCCATGTGCACGTGGAGTTCGTTCACGCTGACATAGAGGGCGGATAAACGCAGTATGGCTGCTGAACAAAGACAACACAATACCGCTGAAAAGCTATTTATGATATCAATCGCCTTTATCGCTGCCTTTCAAGACCCAGTTGGGTATAACATCCTCCAATAAGAAGACACGGTCCCTGAGCCGATGGAAAGGGAACCTGCTGCCGTATCCCGAGAGAGCGGGGGATAATGGATAACGTGTCTTAAACCACGGCTCTCTTAATTCCAATCCTGTTCCTTTGCCTTGATGAGACCTTCTTTGTGTCACCGCGAGTCCGGCTTTACTTATTGCCAACCCAATCGGGTAATAATCGAGCAAGCCATGATGTACACGTTCAAAAGACCTGAGAAAGACTTCATTGAGCAAGGCAAATTTGTGATACGCCATGGTAGTCGTATACCATCTTTGCACGTGGTGTAGCCAAAGCAATAGGGCAGCACGATACATGTGCACTGCGGAGTGAAGCTCAGGCGAATGTGTAAATTCGAACGGTACAACGACAGCGTGGAGCCGTTAACAGCTGGCAGGAACGGCTTTCCAGAGCCAATAAGGTGGAAGTAGACATCGCTGGTATAGGTGAGAGATCATCGTGGAGGACGGTGTTGTGTGGATGAGATGGTGTAGTGTAACGTTGATAGCCCGATCTGGCGGCGGCTGTGCCCATGCACACTATTTGCGGGCAGCCGCATTGCGCAGCTGAATGAGGACGCGTGGGAGCACACCGAAGACCCGGTGATATCCGCACCCTGAGCTCTACTTGGTTGGGATAAGCTTTGTGCGGATCAGGTGTTTGTAAAATATTTAAATTTCGATCGCCAACTCGAGTTCTATACTGAACAATAACCTACATCATCCAACATTACCAGAATAATCTCATGAAAAACGCCCATTCTGCAACCCCAGCCGTATTCTCCACCTTAGTGGTGGAACAAGCGAATCGGAAGATCCGCGTAGGTCATACCGTATCCATTAGCAGTGTCGAAAACGACCTTGTCCATCACAGATCCACTTGGTGCAGCAACGTACTTGACACCAGACTGCGACAATCTGTGCACGTTGTCGGGGAAGGGGAAGAAAGCATCAGAAGCACAGGTGACACCATCCAACTCCTGCAAGAAAGCCTTACGCTCCTCAGCAGTGATAGGCTCAGGCTTGGTGGCGAACGCCGACTCCCAAGCCTCACGCTCAGATCCAGACTCGGGCACCTTGTCGAGAACGTAGAGGTCGATGGCGTTAGACTTCTCCGCACGCTTGGTTCCAGGGGCGAACTGAAGGTTGAGGACCTTGGGGTGGTGACGGAGCCACCAGTTGTCGGTCTTGTCACCGGCGAGACGAGTGCAGTGAATACGGGACTGCTGACCAGCACCCAAACCGACAACCATGCCATTTTTAGTGTAGCAGACGGAGTTGGACTGAGTGTACTTCAACGCAATGGTAGCGACAATGAGGTCAGTAATAGCCTCCTGAGGCAACTCCTTCTTGGCGGAAACCAAGGTCTGGAAGGTGGAAGACTCGACCTGGTAGTCATTGCGGCGCTGCTGCAGGGAGATACCGTAGACCTGACGGGTCTCGAGGGAAGAAGGGTTGTACTCGGGGTCCATCTGGAGGACGGTGTACTTGCCACCCTTCTTCTTCTTCAAGATCTCCAAAGCAGCGGGCTCGTATCCAGGAGCGATAACACCGTCGGAAACCTCGCGGGAGATAATCTTGGCGGTAGGAACATCGACAACGTCGGACAAAGCAATCCAGTCACCGAAAGAAGACATGCGGTCAGCACCGCGAGCACGAGCGTAGGCGGAAGCAAGGGGAGTAAGCTCGATGTCCTCAACGAAGTAAACCTTCTTCTCAACGTCGGAGAGAGGGATACCGACGGCGGCACCAGCGGGGGAGACGTGCTTAAAGGAAGCAGCGGCGGGGAGGCCCAAAGCTTGCTTCAACTCTTTGACCAAGGGCCAGGAGTTGAGGGCATCCAACAAGTTGATGTATCCGGGGGATCCGGCAAGGACCTTGAAGGGGAGCTCGCCCTCCTTAACGAAAGCCTGAGCGGGCTTCTGGTGGGGGTTGGCACCGTAACGGAGAGTAAGCTGCTTCTCACCAGCGGTGTACTGCTTGCGGAAGTAGTCAGAGATGGCTTCGTCGTAGTCGGCAGTCTGGGTGAAGGCCTTGACGGCGTAACGGTTACGGGACTCAGCGGGGATAGTACCGTTCTGGGAGAGCTCCTCGAGGAAACGAGGGTAGTCCGCAGGGTCGGAAAGGATGGTCACACGAGCGTGGTTCTTGGCGGCAGCACGGAGAAGAGTAACACCACCTATTTCACTACGTCAGAAATTCAGTCCTCGCCATGAGCGAACTGTTGAAGACATTGCACCGTCACGAGCCGATATGTAAAAGTATGTGTGCTTCATCACTAAGAAAATCGGGACGAGTACGAGCAACATGTGCTCGCACCCAACCTTCAACTCAAAGAGAAGCAACTCCCAGGCCCTAGCGAGACGCTCCAAGACGGAGCGAACTCTAAAGCGGGCCCGATCTCAATCTCCCAATGTTGTAACAGGCTCGCCTCGATTGGACATCGCTTCACCTCGGAAGAAGATCTGCGACCGCAACAAGATCGTCGCGCGAGGGAGTCTTGACTTAACGATGGGAACCTCCGTAGAAGTTAAGGGTCTTGAGCGATGACCTCACATCGGGTAGAAACCACAGCAGGCTCATAGCCGCACATGTTCGTAGCTCATAACGGTGCAACACTTCCAGTAAAAAATTCATAACTTACCGATGTCGACCTCCTCAACAGCCTCGGCAATAGTGACATTGATCTTGGAGATGGTCTCGACGAAGGGGTACAAGTTGCAGACAACATAGTCAACCTTCTCGATCTGATTTGCAGCCAAGTCGGCGCGGTCGGATGCGATGTCACGGGCGAGGATACCACCGTGGACAGCAGGGTGGAGGGTCTTGACACGACCACCGAGCATCTCGGGAGCGTGGGTGATGGCGGAGACATCCCTATAGTCCGAAACGCATCAGTAAACAATTCTTGTCCGTTGCGCGACCTCCTCATCGAGGAGAAATGCGAGGATCAAATAGCACATACTCAATAGTCATACCGGCCTCACGGATCATCTTGGCCGTACCGCCAGAGCCCAAAAGACGAACACCATTGTTGATCAAGCCCTTAGCAAGATCCAACAAGCCAGTCTTGTCGTAGACGGAGAGGATGGCAGTCTTTTGTTCCGACATGTTTTCGAGATGTTGGTTGGCTACTGTAATACGCGTATCGATCGAAGGCCCAAACCTAAATTTCTGTGCGGATAAACTGCGTCACAGTAGCGCAAGGGTGCCACATCTTGATTGAAATCGTTTGGAGGAGAGGGATCAGAAACGTGATAAGTCCGGTAGTCATTTACGCATGGTTCAAGGGAATGTTCGGTACTTTGGGTAGGATCTGTCGTATCTACCCGGCCACGGCAGCGGCAGCTTGTGAATCAAGGTTTTGCGGAGCTTTCTGGCGGTGAACGTGAAGGACAGGCAACAAGATATCATTCTAAACTAATCACACAAAGAAAAAGGAAAGAGATGTATCTAACAGCATTGCAACCTCTCGCATGCCCGTCACACGAAGGCGACGAACGATGCCCCGTCCGAAGACACTCCCCGACCAAGGGGAAAGGGCCGAGACGCCGCACCCATACCGTTAGAATATCGTTTCTTCCATCATACTACGGCTATGTGACTCCTCGACAGAACCGACGCTCCGTAGAGCAGGCTCCGTCATCTCAATAGTGCTTTTATGATGATGGTATTTATAATGCGTTTGGTATGTGAGGTTCAACAGTTCGTCGAGCTGCGGGAAAAGATATAGGCGGGTGCACGTGATGCGCACCGCCACGTGCACCGCCACTGTATTTTGCAGCCGTGGGACCGGATTTTCGCAGCACAGTTATTGTGTGTGTCGTGAGTTCAAGTTGCATAGATTGTTGAAAACAGCGAGTTGCGATTGAGGCGAGACTGACCTTCCAATCCAGTTTTACCAAGTCCTCGGTTCATGCGGTCGACTGCGGCAGCCAAGAGCCCGCCAGGCACGCGAACCCCCAGCCGTTTCCCGCGTCTTGCTAGAGTTGGACCCTTGAAGGACTCACCACCAAGCTCAAGAGGGTTGATCCGTCCATCAACACCCGCAAAATGCGGCGGCTAAAGCCTTGCGATGCCATTTCTCTCGCCCTAATCGCATGGACTGTCAGTGTCTTCGCAGCCGCAGCCGCACCACCACAACCATCCCGTGCTTCCGATGCACTCGCCGTCATATCTCAGAGTCAAAACGCCGTTGCGACAACCACCCCGCCTTCAGCTTTCGATGTGATCGCGAGTTCGGCGTATACGACTCTTGGAGCTAGCGGTGTTGCGATCGCGCCTAGATCGATCGATGATTGGGAACTAGATGACATTGTGTTGATTTCGACAGTGGAGGGTGGACTATATGCATTGGATCGGCAGAGTGGGCGGACGAGGTGGATATTGGAGGGTGCCGGGGCTGCTGTGAGGAGTACGGATGTTGGGGAGATCATGGCTATGCCGACTGGTGTCAACACCAATACCTCACCCGACTCTGGTTCGGGAACATACGTCGATCCAGCAGATGGAACAGCATACATTGTCGAACCACAACGCGACGGTCATTTATATATCTTCACACCCAACTCAGGCCTCCAGAAACTTCCTCTCGGCATTAAGCAGCTCGTGGACGCATCACCCTTCCGCGTACCGGGCGACGATAAGGTCTATGTTGGTCGCAGGGAAACGACTCTTTACTCTATCGATGCCCGGACGGGTGTTCTGTTACAGGCTTTTGGACCGCAGGGGAGCATGGATGCAAGTGCTGCGAAATGCAAACCAAGGGATTTGTTGGACATGGATGAGCTCGATGACGAAGACGAGGAATGTGAAGCATATGATCTGAAGACGAAGGATGTCTTGAGTGTGGGTAGGACGGATTACTCCTTAACCATCCATTCCGGTCCACGAACCGTCTGGAACGTAACGTTCTCAGAGTGGGGTCCCAACACAGTCGACGTCGATTTAGGCTCCCAATACGAAAAAACTCCAGACGGAAAATACATCTCCCCCATGCACGACGGCCGAATCCTCGCACACGACACAAACTCCAATCGAGCATCCTGGTTCCGCATGCTTGACTCCCCGACAATTCGCATCTTCGACATCCTACGTCCCGCTCTAACTGACCGCCCTAGTCAGTTGGTGATGGTGCCGCAGCCGATTGATCCGGAGTTTCGGACGGGTACGAGGGAGGGCGTGCAGGTGACTGGTGCGACGTTCGTGAATACTACGGAGAGTGGGGGGTGGTATGCCATGAGTGAGGAGAATTACCCACTTGTTGGACAGGCACCCAGAGCTAAATGGTACTCTTTCGGACACTTTGGCGGGGTGGAATGGAAAGACAAGATCGTCGGCGTACACCTCCTCGCCTCATCCACCCACGGCTCACCCCTCAGCATCGGACAGGGTGCTGGCAACGGTGGAATCAAGACGATAGATGGCCGTAAAGAGGGGGAGAAAGAGATTATCTATGTGGAGAGGAAGGGAGTGCTCAATTGGAAGGTTGTGTGGGCGGCGTTTGGGGTTATGATGTTGGTGCTGCAGAGGAGGAGGAAGATTGATGTTAAGGCGTTGTTGGCGGTGAGGGATATGGTCCGGTATAGGGCGCAGCGGCACGGGATGATTGAGGATAAGCCGGCGGCTGTGGATACGGTGCCGGAGATGCTTAAGGTGAATGCAGCGGTGGAGGGTACTCTGGCGTTACTGGAAACTCAGGAAGCGGAGGTGGGTGATGCTGCTCCTTCGCCGGTGGTAACACCACCTGCTGCCGAAGAAGGCGAAGCGGCGACTCCTGCGACACCCAAGCCGAAGAGAAAGCGCGGTCAGAGGGGCGGGAAGAAGAAGAAGCAGGCTGGCGAGGATGGAGCTACTCTCGAAACGAATGGCGATAAAGTTGATGGTGCGCGTGAAGCGGAGAATGGCGGTGCTGGGGTTGTGTTGGCGGAAGAGATACCACTTAACGGTGCAGTGGGGTCGGTAGACAAAGTGACCATTGCCGACTCTGTATTCCCGTTGCAGATCAACTCCTTGGTTATTACTGACAAGATTCTGGGTTATGGAAGTCATGGTACGATCGTCTACGCCGGTACTTTTGAGAACCGAGATGTTGCTGTGAAGCGCATGTTACTCGATTTCTATGACGTTGCATCACATGAGGTGTCATTACTGCAGGAAAGCGATGACCACCCCAACGTCATTCGATATTTCTGTAAGCAGCAGAGTGAGCGGTTCTTGTACATCGCACTGGAACTATGTCCGGCTTCGTTGCAGGACGTTATTGATCGCTCGCCGGCGTTTCCGGAATTGGTTAGTATGATGAAGCCTCAGCAGGTGTTGAAGCAGATTGCGGCTGGTGTACAGTATCTTCATTCTCTGAAGATCGTACATCGCGATTTGAAGCCGCAGAATATCTTGGTGGCTCCGCCGAGGCGGTCAGTACGGGATAATCAGATGTCATCGAAATCGCATTTTAGTGTCGGACAAGCCCGTGTGCTCATTTCCGATTTCGGGCTGTGTAAGAAGCTCGAGGGTGATCAGAGTAGTTTCCGTGCGACGACGGCGAATGCGGCGGGGACTTCGGGATGGCGTGCACCGGAGCTACTTGTCGAGGATAGTGACAGTAACTCGATACCTGCTGTGAGTCAATATTCCCAGAATTCTGAGACTGTGGTGATGGATACGCTGTCAAATAGGCGAGTGACGAGATCGATCGATATCTTTTCTATGGGATGCGTGTTCTATTACGTGTTGTCGAATGGAGCACATCCTTTTGGTGACCGGTACATGCGAGAAGGGAACATCATCAAGGGCCAGTATCGGTTGGATCATCTGGATGGGATGGGTGAGGAGGGTATTGAGGCGAAGGATCTTATTTCGAGAATGATCTCTCCTGACCCCCGGAGAAGACCAGATGCCACCAACGTCCTTCTACATCCTTATTTCTGGGATGCTGAGCGACGGCTGGCATTCCTTCTAGAGGCTTCTGATCGGTTCGATATCGAGCAGCGTGATCCCCCATCGGAGTTGTTGGTTGACTTGGAGTCCGAGGCGCCTACAATCGTCGGACCAGACTGGCATAAGCGATTGGATAAGAACTTCATCGACAACCTTGGCAAATACCGTAAATACGACGGCGCCAAAATCATGGATCTACTCCGCGCATTACGAAACAAGAAGCACCACTACCAAGATCTGCCAGCGAACGTCCAATCTGCGCTCGGTGAAGTCCCAGACGGCTTCTTGGCATACTTCACGCACCGTTTCTCATTACTCTTTTTGCATGTTTATTATGTGATCAAGGCTTGTGAGGAGGTTAGGACTGAACCTGTTTTCAGGCGTTACTTTGAGGCATAAGGTTATTTTATGAGGATTTTTGGGATATACCACATTGTTTATGGCGTTACGATATGAATCTACTTTTCAGATAGAACGTGGATGCCCCCAAGTCTACTACCATAGACACGCGGGGAATGGTACAGACACTTGTGAAAGCATCAGTACCCACTTTTACTGCTTGGAGGAGATTGACCTGGTATTGGTTGACAGCATACAGTCTGCTGAGCGCTGACGAAGACTGGTTTGAAGAGCCCATGGAGAAGATAACACCAAGGAGAACTCTAAAAGTCGGGTTAGTATTGCAGACGCATACATCCAAATTTCCTGTGCTCACCTTTGGAGTCTATCACTCGTACCCTCCGACCCCGGTACCCATGTCAAGGCAGCGCTTGCTCCTGTCTTCACCCGCTTGTCCAGTGGCATCGGTTCCGCTCCATGTTGTATCCTCCACTCTGGAATCTGCGCTGGATGGGCGCCGGGATATGATATTGCTGCATATGCCTCAGCACGGTCAAAATGGCCATGGTCTGCAAAGTGTCTCATTGAAAGGTAGTATTATTCTGTTGTTCTTCGAGGTTTAACCAACGGGTGTTTGGATTGCATGAAGTCTTTAACTGTCGAACCGGCGTGGGAAAGCGTATGCATACACCTCCGATCGAGCGGTCCCTCGAGCTCAGCTGCAGCTGCAGTGGTGAACAATCATTGTGCTTTTTAGACCTTTATTCATACCAATATTGAATGAATCTTCTCAACACTCAAACACAAGACCTTCCTCGATTCGAGTGCCGCTGTGATAACTGATGTTATTCATAGAACCGCAATACTCAAGCTGAGCATGTCGCAAACTTCCCGTTTTCCCGCTCGTCTGCCTAATCATTCAAGTTGTTCACACCCAGCGCAACGCCATGTTCTTTTACACTCGCACCGAAGTTATCACCACCTCCTCCCTTCTCCCGCCTCATCGCTCCTCGAGCTCCAAATTCCTCCCACGTCCCCACCTACAACTGGTACTGTAACCCCGCAACCTGATTCAGGTCCTCAAACGCCGCATCCGCGACACCGCCATCATTCTTGGAACACTTCTTGTAACGTCCATCTGAATGCCCTATATGGTTATCCGCTTCAGTTATGTTGCTTTGACAATCGCGTTAGGTCTTCTCTCGGTTCAGTTTCTTCCTGGGGCAAAGCCTACTATAGTTACAGAGCCTGGTATACTTAATGGATCAATTCAAATCTAGATACATCATGGGTATGTCTATCGTAATATCTAGTGCTGCAAGAATACAGGTGCAGCGTTTTTGTTCCACTCTTCTTCCCAACGGGTTTTACCTTCCGCTTCTGCACCCTTCCGCAACCTTGCGAGCTCCGTCTCATCTCCAAACAGTCTTTCGAGTTGTCCTGCCAGCTCCTCACTCGTCTTGAATACCACTCCATTCTGCCCGTCTCTCACGAGCTCCGGCAACGCCTTGAAATCCATAGCGCATACAGGAACTCCACATCCAAACATATCCACTACCTTCATCGGCAAATCCAACCCACTTGAGCTCATATGCAGACATACTCCAAGATCTGCCGCTGCCAACAACTTCGGGTAGTCCTCTGCCTTCAACCACACTGTCTGAATCTTGACATATTTCAGATTCATCTCCATGATTTTCTGTTCGTACATTGCCTTCTGAGGTCCCTTTCCGGTGATAATCGCCAAGATTTGCGGAAGTTTCGGGTTTGGAGAGGCGTCGTACCGCTTCAGTGCTTCGAGGAGGATGGAGAAGTCCTCATCAGGAGTCCAAGAAGTTGACGAAATCAATAAGCGGGTATCACTGAAGTCGTAGTGCTTCGTCTTAGTATTCTGGCTCAAAAACTCATGACGTGCACTCTGAGATGGTAAAGGCTGAAAATGTGCGGCTGGTCTGTCGTGGAGAGGGTACATCGGGCCCTTGATGCCCCATGACTCTTTGAGGAAGATCGCCATGGCGTCTGTAACCGTAAAATGCGCATGTGCAAGCTTGCCGAAGAAGCGTTCGTACCTGTATGTCAATTAGCTGATGGTCATCTGACGACGCTTATCAGTTCGACACACCACTCTGAGATCCTCACAAGAGGATGGTTCTTGCCTAACTTCAGCCCCAGGATTGTATATCCAAAATTATGCCAGTCGATGACTAGCCGACTTCCCCTTAACCAACATGCGATCCTGGCAACCAACAAAGTCGGCAACGACGGCGGGTTTTGCACCAAGATGTGCGAGGGTGGGTCAATCACATAGCAAAGCATCGTGAAGATACTCCCAATCTGAATACCGACCTTAACCGGAGCAAGAATAGGAAACAGGAGCTTTGATCCTGTGTTAAGGAACGACGGAGCAGACGCAACGATGCGAATCTTGATCTTCGTCTCCGCCAACACATCCGGGTGAGGCTGTGACCCTCCAAAGCCGATCAGATCAACGTAATACCCAGCGTGGGCCAATGATAGCGCATGATTTGCCATCCGTGGACTATGTCCGACATCGCCGGCAACCAAGACAGCAACGCGTTTCGCGCCAAGCTTCCCGATGAGCTTCTTATACCGGGTGGGAACGAGCTTCATGGCCGCCGCTAGGAGAAGTAAACCTCCTCCGACGGCGATACACCACAGTGCCGGATGCATCTTTGCTGACGCTCGAGCTCCTCCCTTGCCCGTGCATCAGGCGTCGTACACCTGTGGCGCGGCTCCCGCGCCTTGCGAGATATGTAACGAAGACCCCGGGAAGGCCACCACCAAACAATCCCTTCGAAATGGTCGATAACATCACCAAACTCACAGCAGGAGATGCCGCATACGCCAAGAAACGTTCCAAGAAGCGGGAACGCGTCCAAGAAGTTCTCTTCGACAGGGAGGCAAGAAAAGAATACCTGACAGGATTCTCCAAGCGCAAGAAGCAGCGTCAAAAGCAAGCACAGGTCGAGATTGAGGAGCAGAACCGGAAGGATAGGCTTGAGGCTCGTGCGAGGATACGTCAGGAGCGGAAAGCGGAGTTGGAGGATGCTATTGAGCAGAATAAGATTGCGCTGGATTTGGAGGCGTCGGGCGATGAGGATGAGGAGGAGGAATGGAAGGGAATTCAGGACGGACCAGGCCATGAAGCGGGAAATGCCGCTCCCAAGAAGCCTACAAGTCTTTGGGAAGAGGATGTTTATGACGACGGCGAAAAAGTGACTACGGTCACCGTTACCGAAGAATTCGGAGAAGAATCCGAGGATGACCGACCACCACCACCAAAGAAGTCCATCACTGCCGACGACACCAAGGAGAAGGATGCTGCCAAGAAGAAGTGGCCAGACAAGAAGAAGAAGCCAAAGTTCAAGTACGAATCAAAGGAAGTCAGAAGAGCCGGACGAGTAAGGCAAGCAATGGACCGTAAGAAGCGGGTAGACGAACGCAAGGCTGGATCCGGGAAAGCTGGGTCCGGGAAAGCTGGATCCGGGAAAAGAAAATGAAAGATCCAATGAAGGTGTATCGCAACCCTTGGTGGTATATCTTAGTCAAAGAGTGCGTGATATCCAATGCAAAACAAGAAGTACACCTGTGTATCCTCCCACCCTGATCCAAAACCAAATAATAAAAAGAACTAGCTACTGAGCATGACCTTCATCTTCGTTGTCAAGATCATGATACGCGACCCTCCCTCTCGCAACCCACACGCCTTCAAGATCACCCCGTAGATGTGGGTGAACATACTCCTGCCCAGACTCACGCTCCTCATCCAGTGTCCTGCTACGCCGACGACGAAGGTGGTGTTCATGCTGAATATTTTCCTGAATAGATCGAAGAGCAATATAGTTCGTTTGCGGGTAAAACGTCTTATGGACATTATACGCCATAATCAGCGTCGCAACCGGTGCCGGGAGTAACAAGACCGAAATCGTAAACGCTCCTTGCAGCAGTAGAATACCTATAGGTCCCCAACATTAGTCCACGTTCAAAATAGTCGTGAATATCGAAGGCGACTTACCAATCATCGTCACCTGAAACAAAATCATCCCAATAACAACCCGACTAAAAATCAAACTAATCGCCTTTCCCGTCGAATGCTGCGGATGATCCATAGCATACAACAACTGGTACTTGTACACCATCAACCCAAGGATGAAATAAATCAACGCAAACACCAATACAAGTGGATTCATAATCGAATACACAAGCGAGATGACGAGGATTAGGATTGGTTGAGGGAGGAAGAAGCCGTAGTTGAAGGTGGGGGGTTGTTTGAGTTCGTTCAGGTCGCGGGGGGTTTTGCAGCCGATTTTGTAGATGGGGAAGAGGGCGACGGAGCCAAATTCGAGGAGGCGGAAAGGGAACATGCCGATGCCTGTGAAGAGCCGTGTCAGCTGTCGTTTTAGGAATGCTGTCACCTCATCCCCTCACCTTGTAGTACGATAAAGTTGACGTAGAAAGGCCCAAGATTCGGCAAGGATTGTGCGAGGAGGTATGCGAACTTTGTCGTATCCTTCGCAATGGCGTAAAAGTTCGAGGCAGTCCCCGCAACCGTAAATACCAAAAAGAAGTTGAAAAAGAGGAAGAAGTAGTGCCTATCGCCCACCATTAGCCTCTTGTCCCTACACCACAACGCATCTTCCCACGGCGCCGGGGCGGTACATACTTCGATATAACAGCCAACTCCACATCCCCAGCACTGATATATCCCTGCATGCCACTAACCCAATCAAAAAAGAACGGCACGAGTCCGTTAAATATTGTAAACGCCAACGTCGGCAAGAAACCCTGAACAAGCGCACTCCCAACCCGACTCCCATCCAACAAATCCGCCACCGCCGGAAAAAACTTCCGTAACGTCTTCTCATTCAACAACGTCGCAATACCCGACACAGGGAACACCCAGAAAACCACGAAAAACGCGATAAGTAGTGTAATGCTCCAATTCCGAACCAGGCGTTCGCGGCGAGAGAGGTAGGTGTTAGACCATGCTACGTCCCCCGGAGCGGGAGCGAGGGAGGCGTGGAGGCGGAGGGGGTTCCCGTCTAAAACAGATTGTGCGGCGACTTGGGCTGAGGAAACTTTTGTGAATGTGACAAAGGCGAGGGGTGTGGCGGGGTATGCTCGGGAGCGGGCAGCGGCGATGCGGGAGTCGAGGCGGTGGAGGTGGGCGGTGTAGTGGTCGATCGCGTCGACGGCTTTGCCGAAGAGGGACCACAAACCCAACTTTATTCTTGGTCGTTGGTTGGTGCGGCGCCGGTTGGTGTTGACGGATGCTTCGAGATCGGTGGCTGTTGTTGCGGAGTCGGCCGAGAGGAGGGGAGCGGTGGAGTCGGATCGTCGTCGAGGTATGACGGACGGGTCCGGTTGAACGAGTGGTAACGTCTCCAAATCCCTTCGTACGACCCGTCCTTTCTCACGTCCTTTCCATACACTGTAACATTCCTCCAATTTCCGCATAACTTTCATCCTCTCCTCCATCAACTGATCCACCTCCTTCCATTTCCTGCAGATGGTGACGCTCTCCACCGCACCCAGCTTCAAATCGTGGAACAACTTCGTTATCGCCTCCTCTGATCTCAGTTCCCGCGGGATACCAGACAGTTTGATGGTACGGTCGGTGACAGTTGATTGTGAACCGAGGTAGGATTGTCGAATGCTGATAAACCGCTTATTCTGGTCGATGAGAAAGTACGCCGCCAATGCCGAGAAAAGATACACAAACACAGCATACATCCACAAATACGCCTTTTCCTTCTCCAAGCTGACATCTTTATGCCCCTTAAACGACTGCGCACCGAGCGTCGTGGAGGTGTAGAATTGAAACATGTCCGAGTCGGAGCCGTCATCGGGAGAGGTGGAGTTTGGTTTATCGATGTTTTGCCAGGTTCCGGTAAAATGAGATTTCACGGGGGCTACGACGGCCATGCCGATGAATGCTGCCACGGCGAGGAATTTGACGGACATTTTGAAGAAGCCGAGGAACTGTAAGCACGATCCGTCAGCGTGTTCATGGTACAATAAGGAATATTTCTTACGACAAAAGCATCCAATCCTGCACTGTCGAGGATTTGCTCGTCGGTGATACGCCATAATGTCAGGATCCAGCTGAACAGGGTATCCGGTAACGCCGGGAGCTTCGCCGCAATCGCTACCCGTACACTGTCAGCCCCAATCCTTCATCTCCTGATGATCACACTTACTTGTCGACTTCACCCGCGCAGCGTATATACCACTCCACCTCGGCCTCAGGAAACAAAACAACAAAAAGGAAAGGGCACCAAGCGAGAACGAGATCACGACTTCTTGTCCCAGGTACATGGGGGAGAAGCGAAAGTTTCGTGGGTCGTTGGGGGGGATCATGTCTGTGCCATTGCCATCGTCACTGTCAAACAGGGAGGGTATCCAGGCTGAGCCGTCCATTGCCGGGGGATGCTTTGGTGGAGTGTCCGGCGATGACATCTGCGTCTTGGCGGATCCGGGGTCGCCCGAGCTAAGGAGTGTACATACCGAGCGACTTGCCGAGAGAGCTGAGCGCAACTCCTCGACAAACCACCAAGAAGAGGGTGGAAAACTCTGGAGATGTCGTTCAACATACCGAGGAACGTACCAACCTTCGACAATCTCTCCTCCAGAAAATACGAAGACTGGTCCTACCGCCAACGCCAAAAGAAGCGCCAATTGTCAGAGCCGTTCAGTGAATATGTCTACAAGGACAAACTCATCAAAAAGCCGTTTTGGGCGACGAAGAAGTTTTGGGTTGCAATACTCGTACTTTTTGGGTTGTCGGTGTGGTATCGGCGGACGATGGTTGTGAATGAGCCGGAGATGAAGTTGGACGAGTTGCTGGGATTCGACTCTGATATTCTACAAGCGCCTGGTTTGGACGGGGCTCTTACCCACCCAACAGACTCCGCGCACGCCGAGGATGTGCTAGCAGCCAATGGAGAGGTCGACTGGAAATCTCGCCGCAGCGCCGTCAAAGAAACCTTCCTCCACTCCTGGTCCGGCTACCGCGCCCACGCCTGGGGCATGGACGAATACTCCCCCATCTCCCGCCGTGGCCGGAACATGATCCCCAACGGCCTCGGCTGGCAAATCGTTGATGCTCTCGATACAGCGATGCTCATGGACTTGGGAGAGGTGGTGGGTGAGAGCCGGGATTGGATTAAAGCGAATTTGACGTGGGAACAGGATGCTGAGGTTAATGTTTTTGAGACTACGATTAGGATGTTGGGCGGGTTGTTGAGTGCGCATTTTTTGAGTGCGGGGAGTGGGGAGACGGTCTACCTCGAAAAGGCCATCGATTTGGGTGACAGATTACTTGGAGCATATGAGAGTCAGAGTGGGATTCCGTACGCGTCGGTTAATTTGAAGACGGGGAAGGGGGTGGTTAGCCATGCCGATGGCGGAGCAAGCAGTACGGCGGAAGTCGCGACACTCCAGTTGGAGATGAAATACCTCTCCCACCTGACCGGCAACGAAAAATACTGGGAAGCATCCCAAAAAGTCATTCAACGTATCGCCGCCAACAACGCACAAGACGGCCTCGTCCCCATCTTCATCCACCCCGAGACCGGCAATTTCCGCGGAAAGGAAATCAGGCTGGGGAGTCGTGGTGATTCTTATTATGAGTATTTGCTGAAGATGTATTTACAAACTGGAAAGAAAGAGGAGGTGTATAGGAGGATGTATGACGAAGCTGTCGACGGTGTCGTGGGGCATCTCGTTGAGAAATCATACCCAGGCAAATTAACCTACATCGCCGAACTCCCATCCGGAATCGGCGGCCCGACAAGCCCAAAAATGGATCATCTCGTCTGCTTCATGGGCGGAAACCTCGCTCTTGGCGCAACGAACGGATTAACGCTGGAGGAGGCACGCAAACTGGGATGGACAATAAAGCAACAACGTGACTTCGATTTAGCGGAGGAATTGACACGCACATGCTGGGAGATGTACGACCGAATGCCATCCGGCCTCGCCCCCGAAATCGCATACTTCAACACCGGCGCCGAAGGCGGGACGGAGGATCTCAATATTCATGTGCGTGATCGGCATAATCTCATGAGACCAGAGACTGTGGAAAGTTTGTTTATCATGTACCGCATTACAGGAGACGAAAAATACCGTGCGTGGGGCTGGAAGATCTTTGAATCATTCAACAAACACAGCATCGTACGCGACCCGGAGACTGGCGAGATAACCGGTTACACCTCTTTAGAAAATGTGATTGACGGTCCACCGTTTGTGCAGAGGGATAATATGGAGAGTTTCTGGTTGGCGGAGACGTTGAAGTATTTCTATCTATTGTTTGGGGGCGCGGAAGGGGGTGATGGGATGCCGTTGACGAAGGTTGTGTTTAATACGGAGGCGCATCCGTTACCGGTGTTGCCGGAGGTTGATGTGCAGAAGTTTGGGACGTGGACCATGTAGGGAGGGATGTGGTGCAGTGCATTTTCAGAAAGCCTGGTTGTCTATGGCGTTGGGTTAGATTGCTGTCGTTACCTATAGAATTACGGAGCTGTGTTTGACTCTTGCATCTTACTGTCATGTTGCAACTGCCGTTCGTTGTGCAATAGTATTTGTTAATCTATGAATGCCAATAACGCCGGTATATCCCAAAACCCCAGTAAACCCGCCTCACCTCCGATGTTGAGATCAATACTTATCCTCCTCATACCTCCCCTCCCTGTCAGCCTTATCCAACTTATAGATCTCCGCCATAGCCTCCAAACATACTCTCACATCACTCCTCAATTTCGCCCCCTTCTCCGTCAACCTATCAATCCTCTTCCTCAACATCGCCTCTTTCCTATCGATATACCCCAAAGCCTCGTCCAACGTCATGTCCGCATGATAATCTTGGACGCGGAGGTCGATGGTGATCATAGATGTGTCGGGGACTTTTGCCTGAGCGTAAAAGTCGGAGCCAAGGTCGACCAGGGTTTTCAGGGTTGTGAGGGAGGAGGATTGGATGAATTTTGTTTGGTCGCGGAGTTTGGAGCTGTAAGGAGTCTCATGTCAGTGCGTGCAAGATACACGAAATGAAAGTGAGTCTTACTATTCTGACACTTCTTCTAGGAGGACGTCTCGTGCGTCCATTGCTGCTTGGAGATCTGGTTGCAGGGTTTCTTTGACGAGGCGGTCGTATACCGCGAGCTGCGATATCACATCTCCTGTGCCGTCAACGTCAACGTCAGCTCTGGCCCTCGCCGTCAATTGCAATCTCTCCATGGATCAGCGGGATGATTTTCCAGCATCTCCAGCTCCTCGAGAAACCCAGCTGGCGGTGCCTCGCGGCATGCATGTGACGTTGCTCGAGACTGGACCGCGCGTACGTCGACAAGGAGACAAGGAGACAATCCATTGAACCCATACCACCATAACATGTCTGCTACTGAAGTCCCGGGATTGCACGTCGATATTGCTGCTCTGAAGGTTAGTTGGTCGCCTGCTTGAGCCTTCACGAGGCCGTTGCTGACACGACGAACAGGCTGGTGAGGTGGACTTGGGAACGACAATTATGGCCGTGAAGTTCAAGGAGGGTGTTATTATCGCAGCAGACAGTCGAACGGTATATACCACATGTTCAGCAAACTTGTGTTTCGTGGACTGACAGTATGTACAGACAACCGGCTCTTACATCGCCAACCGCGTAACCGACAAACTGACACAACTCCACGACACAATCTGGTGCTGCCGTTCCGGTTCAGCAGCAGATACCCAGGCAATTGCCGATATCGTACACTACTACCTCCAGATGTATGCCGTGACTGCTCAACGGCCGACCACGAAGGTTGCGGCGTCTATGTTGCAGGAGTTGTGTTATACGAACAAGGATGGGCTGAGTGCTGGGTTGATCGTGGCGGGATACGATCACAGGAGGGGTGGTGAGGTTTACAGCATTCCTCTGGGAGGCAGCATACATAAGCAGGACTTTGCTATTGGAGGGTCTGGGTCGACGGTGAGTCACTGCTCAACAAGATTCTGGACACCAACGCTGACAGCTCTGACAGTACATTTACGGTTTCTGTGATGCAAACTACAAGGAGGATATGTCCAAAGAGGAGGCTATGCAGTTTGTCAAGTCTGGTAAGTTATGCGAAGTCAATTTGTGAGATCAATGACTAACAAAGCATACAGCCGTCGCACTGGCTATGTCGAGAGATGGATCTTCAGGAGGTGTTATTCGTATGGCAGTGATTACGGAGACGGGAGTGGACAGGTCGTTCTACACGCAAGACGATCCAGTGAACACGATCCCAAGGTTCTGGGAGAAGTCGTGAAGCATAGAGGTTTTTGATGCCAGAATAGTTCCAGATATACCATTTCATTACCTTCTGTTATTGCCCGACTCGTGTATCGATCTTTCCTTGTCCTTTCATATTCCAAGGTTCGCTACCCCGGCCCTCGTACGCTGCAAGCCACGCGTGAATAATGCTTCGCAGCCCGACCGCAGCTGCGAAAACGAACGACACCGAGAGAAGCAGAAAACCAGTACAGGCCATCACAGCGATCGACAGGCAGTAAGAAGGCTGTTCAACCAGGTCCTTCACGAATCTCTTCATTCTGGACCAGCATACATCCCTCTTCCACGCTGTTCGGATGGTCCATTGCATCGCATGCAAGTAACGCATTCACCTGTGTTAACCGCAACGTCTACAAGACCGAATCTCAAGCGAGGGTCTTCTGCAATGAGTGTCGCGTGTAGCCCTCGTCACCATCCTCACCCCTCGCCTTCGTTGCGCTCGGCTTCATATACCTCGGCTTCCATGTCCCCAGCATTGGTGCCCGCCGCTACGACGCCCAAAACACGGACGGTACAAACTCCGGTATGTACGGGACAGGTACAATCAGACAAAGTAACGACAAACCGCCCAGAAGTGGAGCGATACGATTCAGATTCATTCAAGCACCCCGCCGATCCACGGCGAGTTGTTTCTACCGCTGCAGCAGAAATGCCTCAGTCAACAAATATACCCATGGGGCAAGAAAGTCAAGTCAGTACGACTGGGGAAGCATCCCAAACGACCGAATCGAACGTCGAGAGAACAGATACCGAAAATACAGCGAGTTCGACCAAGATTCCGAGTACGCCTGAACAACTTCCTGTTGCAGAGCCGCACTTGGACTTGGCTCATCATCCCATGCCCGACTTACTAATGATGCTCGCCACCATCCTGCACAAGATCACGTCGGCGAACGACAGCATGCATTATCCTCATCCGCGAAACATCTCCAATGCGCACCGGAGTTCACCGCTTCTTGCATTCCATGCGCGGAACGTACCCTCCATTTCGATCCACGCGTACCTTACGCGTATCCTCAAGTATTGTCCGACGACGAATGAGGTTTTCTTGAGTTTGTTGGTATATTTCGACAGGATGAGTCGGCGGACGAATCCCCAGTTCTATGCGGGTGGTGAAGGGATTGTTCAGGGGGAACAGCAACCGGTGTTTGCGATTGATTCGTACAACGTACACAGATTGATCATCGCGGGAATCACGGTAGCAAGCAAGTTCTTCAGTGATGTGTTTTATACCAACTCGAGATATGCGAAGGTGAGCCTCCAATGGGCGTCTTGATAGGACTGAATGCTAACAATGTGACAGGTTGGCGGTCTACCTCTATCCGAATTGAACCACCTTGAACTCCAATTTTTGATACTCAATGATTTCCGACTGATGATTCCGCTCGAGGAGTTGCAAAGATACGGCGATCAGCTCTTGCGCTTCTGGGCGAGCCGAGATGACGGAACAGTACAATCACCAGCACCACCTACACCACAGCCGGGAATACCGGCTGGATATATGAACGCAATGCCACGGCAGGTTGCTTCATACAACGGACAAGAGAACATGCATGAGCGAGATTGAGCGAGCGGATAACATCGCGTATCAGAACTAGTTTTGGAGGTTTGGGTTTTACTCGTATGAGATTGATTACAAAAAAGAACGGGCTCCAAGTGTGCTTGCTTCATTGGGATGCGAACGGTCGGGTTCAGGATTCAGGTTGTTTTCTTCTAGATTCTCCTTTGGCGTCATTCGGTTATCGTTTTATTGGGTTTAGTTGGGGATCAAGTCAGAATGTCGAGTATGATGAGAGTATCGTATCGACGTTACAGGTCCCGGTTTTATTTGTCTTGTCTGTTTAGGGTTTGAACCTCATTCGAATTCTCACTTCTCCTCTTTCCCCTCGCGCTTTATGTATGTTCATGCGGCTGTCCCAAATAGGAGCACTAAGAAATTTGTGTGGTGCTGGGCGGTCTCGAGGCCGTTCGTTGGCGAAGATCTCCACCCGACACCTCTCCAAAAGACAACAAAATGGACTCTAAGGTTCCCGTCAAGCTCGCTAAGGTCACTAAGGTTTTGGGCCGTACCGGTTCCCGTGGTGGTGTACGTTCTTTCCCGGTCTTTTTACGACTCTCTGAGGGGGTGATGCTGATGATCTATCCAGGTCACCCAGGTCCGTGTTGAGTTCATGGACGACCAGTCCCGTTCCATCATCCGTAACGTCAAGGTTAGTTGAATTGAGCTTTTTGCAAGAGAAGAGCGTGCGTGTGTCTGGAGAACGAGTGATTGGGATGAATGCTACGCGACTGCATTGGGCGGAGAATTGCGACGAGGAGATCAACAAGATGGACAAAAAGCGGCTGTATGTTCATTCAACTGATGGAAGGAATCTTAACAACGACTCGATTCACAACTGGAAAGCTCTGCGGTCCAATTCACAGTCTGGGGTGGACTTGAGGCGGAACACGTTCTGAAGACACACGCGCACCAATCTTGCAAAAACGGAGCACACGTTTGTAAGAGCAGTTTACTGATACAGTCGTCACAGGGTCCCGTTCGTGAGAACGACATCCTTTGCCTTCTCGAGTCTGAGCGTGAGGCCCGTCGTCTCCGTTAAGTCGGCGTTTCTCCGCACGTCAACCTATACACCTTCGCAACCATATTTGTTTCTTTTTTTCCGGGCGTCAATGGGTCAAAACTTTTGTTGAGGTCGTTGGGTAGGCGCATGGGTGGAAGGGCGTCTGCGGGCATGATGGAAGCAATTCCACCGCATGCTTGAGAGGTGTGGGTGTGGGGGTAATATTTTGTGCAGTTTGTGATCATGAGATTTACGTGTGTGGAATTTACCTCTTGCGTCTCGCCTCTGACTGTCTTCTCTGGGTTCTGCGATGTGCATGTGACGAACTTTGACGTGTTTGCCTTAATGTTGGTGACTGGTCGAAACGGAAGAATGAGGAAGAATGGCCTTTGGGCAGGGAAACTGGCAACGTGTGGTACGCGACAGTGTTGAACGACTCACGACAACGTATCCCCTCACTTTCCCCCTTCAACTACGCTATTGCTCTCATACGCCGGATGAGCTCCAATGCGACCGACTATCCAGTCATACACTCCGTGCACTTTTCGCAATCGCAACTTATAGACGTTCGGCCATCGGTAAGGAATATCATTTGGTATCAAACCCTATTCGTACACTATCGTCATAAATCCTACAAGAGATGAAAACTCCTCCCCATCCGCTTAAGCCTTGTGGTACTTCTGAATGAATTCCAAAACAAGACTGTCGACATCCTGGGGGTTCGACGCACTCAAGAAGTGCTGTCCACCCTCAATAACCTTCAACTGCGCATCTGGGCTGTTGACGAACATTTTGATCTCCTCCTTCGCATTGGCGACGGAGTAGACTGCGTCATTAGTACCGTGGATCCACAAAACCTGTAAGATTCGATCAGTCTACTATTCGTATGGAGGATTAGGCATGGTCTAAGGCTTACCGGGCAACGGACGTCGGGGAGACGAGGGTGGAGACCGTCACGGTCTGAGAGGTTGATGGAGCACATGCGAGCGCGCTGACGGCCGTCGGTTCCACTGTAGTTGCGCTTCATCTCCTTGTTCCAAAACTCGCGGAAGTCGGGCCAAGCCTTGGGGTTGGTCTTTCCCACGCCAACGGTCTGCAGACCATGTCAGTAAAGGCGGTCGACGGGTATAGCAGGGAAAACGTACGATCAACCAGTCGGAGAACCAGTTGGGGAGGACCCAGTCAGGTGTCTCCTCGTCACCGAGGAATTCGCGGATAGCGCGGCTGTACGAGTTCTCGTTAGCAAGCTGACCACACGTTACAACTTCGGGGATTCCCATACGAATTAGCTTCCTTGCCATCCCAGCATCCGAGGTCCATGGTACGCTGAGACTCAAAGTCCATACTGGACCCAAGAGGAATAATGCCCTCAATGACCTTCGGCCCAAGAAGCGCCATACGAGTACAAATCCACCCACCCTGACTCGTTCCCAACACAAACGCCTTCTTAATACCCAACGCCTCAAGAACCTGAAGGTTCATCCAAGCAGTATCCCAATACGTCCACTCCAACGCCTCAGTACGGGTCGCTCCATGCCCGAGAAGCTCGATGGCGAGAAGGTTGACATTGGAGGTGAGTTCCTCGTTTTGGTATTGGAGTTTGTAGAGATCGGAGGAGGTCGTGAAGGAGTTCACGAGGACGAGGGTGGGTTTGGATGAGTCGTAGGGTTTGGGCATTTGGTAGGCCGCGTCGATGCCACCGAGGTGGGAGACGCGGACGGTTTTCTTGTGGGAGTCGGACATTGTTGGTTGGTGATGGGTGACACTGGATAGTTAGGGATCAGATCAATGGATAGGAGGACCCTTGGTCCCTTTTATACCCTCGAGGAGCCAAGTCGGAAGCGTGCAATTGCAAGCGGGGTATGTCCCTCATCTCATCCTTGCTGATTAATTGGTATGTGGGGCACATGTGCAGATCGCCAGGGTTGTCGAACATGGATCCGGACATGTGAGGGGTCTCGGGACCCACCTTGCCGCCCGGGTGACCACGAAGAGTGATTCGGACCGTCAGCTAAAGATCCATGATGGTATTGACCTCCTCCTTCCTGTCTACACCTATCACGTCACGTCACGTCGCAGCTCAGTCAAGTTCGGGAGCGATTTCCGTCCGCGGAAGAATGGATCCGCCGATCCCGCATTTGACAGTTGCATACATGCCTGCGAAACATCGCCTGAACTCAATTGAAAGTTATTATTGATGTAGTATTATCTTAGCAGTATCACAGATGACCGGCATATGTGAACGTAATTCCCCCCTTTCACCGTCCGATGATGAGACCCGTCCCCTTCCATCCTGGCTGTCACGGCGCAACTCACAGGACCCTTTCATACCCCGGGTCAACTATCCCATGCATAAGTCTGCTATGCCACACCCCCTCGTTCCCGGCTTTCCTGACTCAACGCCTCAACCTCTGTCTCACACCTAACCCCACCCCAAACAGCCTCCCACTCCCCCACAAGCACCCCAAAAAGAACCGAGCTAATCCCTAACCCCGGACAAAAAATCAAGCCCAAATTACTGATCGTCATCTTGTTAACCTCACTCGCTGCAACCACCGACGCGAGATGATGCGTCAATGTCCTCAGCAGATAAAAGTTGTAGGGAGGGAGTTTGGAGAGGAAGTGGCCAAGGGCGGTGGGGAGGGTTGTCGAAGGAGGTGGTGGGGGTGGCGGAGAGGATGGTTGGGTTTGGGGGGTTGAGGCTTGGATTGTGAAGGCGGGGATGCCGGTGTAGGAGAGGAGGAGAGTGTTGAGGGCGAGATGGGTTTCGTATGGAAAGAGTGGTGATGGTACTGTATGCGTTTGTTAGTCACTATCAACGTCGACAGAGCGGAAAACACACGTTCTCGTAGGTATGCTTTTAGCAGACTCGCGACGGCATGTGGGTCTTCCATCCCCCTCGTCTCGTCGTCCTCGTCAATTTCATAGTCACCTCCCTCCTCAAATGCTCGCCGTAATCTCTGTACGGTATTCGTCGACCCCGGAACTCGGTAAACCCCCTCCTCGTCCAGACCATGCTTGTTCAAGTACGATATTGACCGCGTAATGATTGCTGGCAACCAATACCTCGCCGCGCTCTCACCTTGTCCTCGTGTTTGTGTCGTTCGCGTCAATATTACAGCCTCCCGCAACTCCATCCCAAAAACATGTATCCGCGGACTCTGCGGCGGCGTCACAGTGGTTGTCGCCAAACCTGTACCCGCATTCACGCCGTCTTCTCGTCCACGCGTAAACTCCTTCATCTTTTCCCTACTCTCCACAATCATCTTCCGCGGTGACCGAAACCTGTGCATAAACCCGTTAAATCCCGTAGCGTGAGCAGGGGGTGATAACAGTCGTGGAGAAGTTGTCTCGCTTCTGGGTGGTGGTGACCGCGGTGGTGGAGCGTACGTGACGTGTACCGGTGAACGCGTTCGTGGTGGCAGAGGAGGGGGTGCAGCGCCGTTGGTGGGGTTTGCGAGGATGGAGACGGGTGAGGACGTCCGTGGCGGAAGTGGAGGTGGGACTGACATTTTGATGGAATGAATGCTGCACCAGTTGGTGTTCGGCGGTCGTTCTGGTGCGTTTCAGGACACGTGCACCGTGGACACGGTTAAAGGCTCAGCAGAGCTTTAGGAAAGGTGAAAGATGACAGGATACGGTCGCTATGCCTCTGCCAATATGCCAAGATGGATCTGGATGCGAACCGGTCGACTCCTATTCGTCCAAGAGGCTGTGTTCTCCGGGAGGTTGGGTGTTGACTGTTGTTGTCTAGGCTGTGCGCGTGCGCTCAAGGGCCAGCGAGTGTGGGGTCAAGCGCAAAACTTGGCCGGCGCAGCTGCAGATCGATGATGGATGGATCTGGGAGGGTTGATTTGTCCAGCTTCGGTTGCTGGTAGAAGGTTGAAATCAGAAGCCTCACTGCACAGACTGTCTAAATATTCGTATAGGCATACCTCCAATTGCGGTCCTGATAGATCAACACAGGCTCTCTAAGGTTTCCCTGGTCCGGGTTCCTGCATTCCCGCCGTCCCGGTCGCGCCTCGAGAAAAACCGACAACCAACAACCAACAACCGACCTCGATCCATCTCCATGGCATCAGCAGACACCTCCTCCCGCCTCACCCACCTCTTCGCCGCATCCCACTCCCTTGCCCTCTCCTCACCCTCCGTTGCAGCACACCTCATGTCTCAATTCCTCTCTCATGCGGAGGAAAAGAATGTTCTGTTGCATGATAGGGTGAGGAGGAAGGTTTGTGGCGGGTGTGGATCGTTGTTTTTGCCGGGGTGGAATGTGAGTGTACAAACGAGGGATGAGAAGAAGAGAAAGAGGGACGCAGTAGGAGAGGAGCGGAAGAAGATGAGTAAGAAGAGACGGAAGGAGGTGAAGAAGAAGGAGATTGAAGAGCGGAGGAATAAGGATGAACCTATCAAGTCAAAACTGGTTTACAACTGCCAAACATGCACGCGACAAACTACTTTCGAAATGGAATATCCAGCGCCGACGTTTGCATCACCACTATCCATCCCAGCACCCGAATCAAAACCCACCTCCGCACCCTCGAAAGCAGCGGCCAAATCATCTCCATCACCAGCACCTGCCTCACTGCCACACTCTGCCCGCTCCTCGCCCGCACCAACATCCAATACTCCCAGCCCCGCCGGAACACCAAAGAAGAGAAAGAAGAGCGCCAAAATGGGACTACAGGCCATGCTCGCCAAATCCAAACAAGACCAAAAGAAGGATGGAGGTGGACCGGGTATTATGGATTTCATGTCGCTAATGTAGCTATTCAACGCCACCCCACTCCCATCCCATTGGGTCATTTGAAGAGTGTTTGGTTATCCTCGTAATGGAACCGCTTCAGACATCCTGACCCCCTGCCGACACAACGGGCATTCAGGCTTCTCCCGCACCCAGTCCTGGATACATTCCCAACAGAAGAGGTGGCCGCAGGGTGTGCTAGTGGGGTCAGTCATGGGGGAGAGGCAAAGGGTGCAGGTGCGGGATTGAGGAGGGATGAAGGCGAGGGAGGTTGGATCATCGAGTGATGTTGTGGTGGTGGGAGTGGGAAGTTGTTTTTCGTCGGACGTGAGGGAGGGAGCTGAGGTACTGATGGAGGAGGACTCCGAGGAGGAAGAGAGGTAGAGGTACCCTCGTGCGGCGAGCTGGACCATGAGGAGGGCTCCCAGCACCTCATAGCCTGCACGCTGTTCATGTGGCTGTAGCTTTCGAGTGAATATCTGCCACCGCGTCAGCATAACTCTTGCAATGAGAGCTCGGATACCTACATATCGCAGATTCCATAGTCGTTTCGAAAGACTGTAGTATGCTCCACTGAAGTAGAAGACGGCTAGGTGTACCGCATACAGGTTCTCAAGGGAGAGAGCGGCGTTTAGCGTGCGCAGGGCAGTATTACGCACTTGCCCCAGGCGTGTCGAAGGTTGCGATTGCTCACGAGGCGTCAATGACCGTGCGATCCATGTCTTCTTTAGTCGTTCCCGGATCTTCGGCCATGACTTGACGAGGATGTACGGAAGTAAAGTGCTGGAAAACACGAATGCCGCTCGTCGCTGTACGCAATATTCGTCAGCCAAAACATACGGACTCAAGAGATACCGCGCACCTTTAAGGTAGGTCTCGACCTGTTCTTACTGTCCGCGTATAGCATATCTGTGTATTCCTCCCCTAGTGTTCGGATACCGGCTAGGGTTGTGAGAGAGAGGTAGAGGATCTCGGAGAAGAGTTTGAGTTCGCGGGAGTTGTGGTGGAGCCATCTTGCGCCTGATCACCATCAATCAGCCGCTGCGCCAAAAGGGAAGGGCTTAATGCATACCGAGGATGTTCTGGACGAGGGAGGAGAACTGCTCGTGAAGCATACCCTGGAAGTAGGCATCTTTCTGGTTTGCGCGGACTGCAGGTCTTGATCAGTCTCCACTACAAGGGAATGCTGATGCCAACGCACTGATGTCCGGCTGAGCAGCGAATGGGAAATTGTAATCGTCTTGATCAGGCATATGAATTGAATTTCGTCGAGGGATGTTGTTGCGCTCTCGGACACCTTCCCCGAACTCCCCCGCAAATGCACTGGCCGGCGCCCTGGCCAATGCACGTCGTCTATACCGTCCCGCAATGAAGATTGAAGACGTCAAGAAACCATTGAAGGATTTGGTGCAATTTGTGTCCTCTATGGTAAGTTGCTCGCAAAAACGTTCCCAATGGCAGTAATGCTGACTGAACTACAGGATCTCGACGTGAACGAGGGCACATTCGACTCGCGCTTCCCACTCCCATTCCGTGTCGCGTTTATCATTTCGTTGGGGATATGGGCATACGCATCTTCTCTCCACCTCCTACACCTGAGCGGAGTCGATCCAGTACCAATCTTACATCCGCGACGGCGACGTGGGTTGAGTCCACAAGGCTTGTATCGCCCGATATATGATATTGCGATAGCTGTCACGGCTTTCACAGCTTTGTGCTTAGCGGTGTTTTGGGGGTTTACGGGAGGCGATGAGGTTGCGATTATTGAGTGGGAGGTGTTGCCGCTGAGTTGTTTTGCATTCCTGGCAGCGGTGTTGTTCAGTCCGTTTAATGTGTTGCATCAGCACTGGCGGTATCAGTTTTTGAGGTGCCTTCTTCTTCAATACTTTTTGTGCTGTTACTGATGCATGGTGGGTACAGCTCTCTTGGACGAGTTCTTACCGGTGGTATCGGTCGCGACACCAAGTTCGCTGATGTGATGCTCGCCGATATCCTCACCTCCTACGCAAAAGTTCTTGGCGATTTGTGGGTGACGGGATGCATGTTCCTCACCGGTGTCTCCACTACCTCCAAACCAGACAGAGCTTGTGGTGGAAAATACGTGATTCCTCTAGTATTGAGGTATGACTTCTCTCTGTATTATTCAGATCATGACTGACGACTGGCAAACAGTATCCCGTACTTCATCCGTCTACGACAATGTATCACGGAGTATCGACGAGCCCGCGATTCGGGGATTTGGCACATCCTGAACGCAGTGAAATACAGTACTGCATTTCCCGTTATCATCCTATCAGCCATGCAGCGATCCTACATTTCTCCATTGGAGGAGATGAACCCTGAGAAAGTTTGGTTTGGGGAGGTCCAGATTTGGAGATTATGGTGAACCAAAACCAATCGTAAAATTCCGATTCAGTACTGATGGATGGCTCACAGGATCCTTGCCGTTCTGATCAATTCCATTTACTCCTTCTGGTGGGACGTCGTGAAAGATTGGGATTTGACGATTCTCACGGTTGATCCGGCGGCACCAGGAGAGAGACTTTGGGGGTTGCGATCACGATTACATTTCCCTTCGAAGATGACTTACTACGTTGCCGTGGTCCTCGATTTATGTTTGAGGTAGGTAGAATTCCTCCAGGATCTATTCTTCTGAATACTAACAGGAGGGCTATCTACAGGATGACCTGGTCCCTCAAACTCTCCACACACCTCCACCATCTCAACGACTTAGAAGGCGGAATTTTCATGCTCGAAACAGTAGAGGTTATTAGAAGATGGATGTGGATCGTGTTTAGGGTGGAGACGGAATGGGTCAGGAAGGGGGGTACGCACAGTGGGTATTTGCCGCTCGAGGCTATTAAGGGAGATTTGGAGGATGGGGAGATGGAGATGGGGGAGATGAGTGGGCCGGGGAAGTATGTTGCGTGAAAAAAGATGATTTATTGCATACTTTAGTGGCATATTTGGTAGCACGGCTTTTAGTAAACTTGAGAGGGATTATAGATGGATAGATGGATACAGACAGATTATGACCTGATGCATACCCCTTCGTGAATGTTTCAAGGAGTTAAATGGCAGCTTGTACGTCTTGTTTTCACCGCCGGGTGTCCTCACGAACACGCAACTACGAAAACGAGAGATACAATCACAAACGAAGCAAAATGCACCAGTTCTCGCCCAGATGCGAGACTTTGCCGCTCATCCCAAGGAGTCAGGTCTTGAAAGTTCACAAAGTCCCTGCCGTCCACGCATTGAAACCTGTGAGAAGGGTCGGACCGGCACACTTACTGAGAGGACAGGGCATAATTCTGGAAAGCGACCGCCAAAGGGGCGAGTCCCGCCGCGACACGTACTCTGTTGCATGGGTAGTTGGCTAGAGGGACAATTCGAGCGGGCGGATTCTAGTGAGTAAGAATTCTCTTGGCGCTAAATCTTTAGCGTGCAGGTCCGGATCCGGCGAGTCTGATTGACCATGGTACTAGCAGGGCTTTGGCAGAAGCAGCTGAGAGGAAGGAGTATAGGGTGATACGTTCATTGAAGGTACGATTCTGATGCGATGTTATCGATAATTCCAGAAGCTATGACGATGCAACTCTAGCGCCCCAACAATACCATGATCGTAACCACCCGCAAAACATACATACTTCAAAATTCTACTGATTTAGCTTACAAGCCGTGCCTAAACAACACCTGCTTCTGCTTCTTCTTCTTCTTACCACCGCTCTGGTCATGATCTTGCTCTTGCTCGTCATCATTAAAGTACTCTCCTCCACCTGTAGACCACATGTTCACTGGATCAGCTGTCTTCTTGTCAACACCGTAGTAGATACGGCTAGGCTTGGCACTTGGTTGGAGTGCAGGGAAGGACGCTGCACTATTGACTCCGCCCGGTGGCGGCCGGTTCGAGACCATAGAGGCGATCGTGTTGCGAGATACAGATGGCTTTGACGATCCACTCGAGGAAGCTGACCACGCCGTTGATGGAGTTCCGTTTCCACGGACGTTTAGGGAAGCGACGCCCGAAGTAACCTTAGCAACACCACCCGATGACCGCGATGCCTGCTCGACCTTGTTCCACACGGACGCGGTACGGCTGGCGGTGCGTGCGCCGGGTGCGGACATACTCTTGATCTTGAGGATTCGAGAGCCGCCGGCGACGCCAGGGGATCCGGTGGATGAGCCAGAGGAGAGAGTAGGGAACATCGATGCTTCATGTTCAGCCTGGTTCTTAACCTTCCAGTCTCGCCATGCGGAGAGGAGCTGTGCCTTCCTGTCCTCCTTGTCCAACAAATCCGCGACCTGTCCAAGGATCTTGCCGAGGTCAGCGAGTTCGACACCGGTGAATAAACGACCCATCGTCACGACGAACTCCGTAGCCGAGGTTGTTCCACTACGGAATAATCCGACATTTTGCGTGAACAGCGCCAACTTCTCCGAATTGTGACCGAGGAGAGCAGAGGCGCGATCACGTACAGCCGCATGACGAGCAGCAACATCACCACTGACGGGACTCCCAGTTCTCGGCGTAGATGCAACACTGGCCTGCCTAGAACTGCTTCCACTTCCCAAAGCCGGGAAAGCCTCTCCTCTCCCCTGTGGCTGTCTCGGCTTTGGCGTGGGTGCATTCGATGGCGCAGCACCCAATGGTGGGAAAGACTCCATCTGGAGCTGTGTCGCACCGGGTCGGATAGCGTTCGAACGATCCGTGGGTGCGGCCTCCACGACGGGTTGACGTGGAACCGGAGCTGCGGGTTCACTGAGCTGGGAGCCGAAACCGGCAGGGGCGCGGGAACGGAGGGAGTTGACTTGGGTTTGGCGAATGAGCGCTTGTTCTTCGCGGCTAAGGTGTTCTGGTGCACCCGCTGCTGGTGCAGCGGGTGCAGGAGCTGCTTGAGGACCGCGACGACCACCGCGACCTGGTGGTGCGCCGACCTGGAAGTTGGCGTTGATCTTCCTTGCATCACGCAACTCGGTCGCGGATAATCTGTTCGGGTGCTCCTCCAGCTTGTGTGCCTTCAAGTCCAGCTCTGTTGCAAACACCACGAACTTTCGCTCCTGACACTCGCGCTCTGGACACACATAGTGATCACGCTTGAAATGCTGCTCAAGGGAGTCGTAATTCACATAATACTGGTGTTTGGGAGCGTGTGCAATCTGATCGCATACGTGACATTTCTCGTGCTTTTCACGACAGTGGCGGAAGAGTTCGTCGTCGTCGTAAAGCGAGATAACACAGAAACCACATGACGGGTGACCCTTGAAACCTGTTGGCCCTTCGCCGGAACCTTGGACGTCTCCCTTGCGGTAGTGGAGGTCGAGTTCGCGGGTGGTGAAGAGAGTGTGTTCGTGTGTAAAAACCTTCTTGTTTGCCAAACAGAGCTTGCAGAGGAACTTGTTGTGCGCTTGCTTGACGTGAAGACCGAGGTCGTCCCATCCGGAACATGCGACATCACAGGTTGGGTCTGGACAATTGAAGCGCAAAAGGACAATGGTGTCTTCCTGTACTTGTTGTGAATCGAACGATATACCGAGTTTCGTGTCTTTGAACGGCAGGTCCTCTGGCTTGAAATCATCGTATTCCTTCTCTTCGTCCTTGGTGAAGATGACATTTGGTTGATCAGCTTTGCAATATGCGCAGGTGTTATTCTTGTAGAGAGCTCGTAGACGAAGTGCACAGATGTGACATGTTCGGTGATTGCAAGATGGCACACAGCTGTAAATGACCGGCTCGGCGCAAATGAAACAGACCTCTGCTGTGGTATCGTCCTCGCCAGCTTCCGCAGCCTCAACAGCGACCGCTACAGACGTTTTGGGCTTCTCAGCCTCCCCGTCAGTCTTGCCCGTCGCCGCCTTTGCGTTGCCCTTCTCGCCATCCTTCTTTCCCTTCGGCCCACGATTCCGCTGTTTCGGTTTCGCCTTATCCGTGCCGCCTCCCTGCTCCTGCTGCTCACGCTCCTCGCCCTGCGCTCTCTCCGATCTCTGGCCCCTTCCACCACGATCACCGCCTCCTCCTCCTCCTCGCCGCCTTCCACCTCTTGACCTCTGTGCAGGAGCTGTGTGATCAGCAGCGAATGCCGGAGCGTCTGAGATGAGTGCTGAGGGTGCTGGAGATGATTGTGCTGTATCCATCGCCATGAATTGAGTTGACCTTGGTGGTGTTTTTGGGGGAAGAGTGTACGTATGTCGACGCCCGTACAGTATGTACTTCACTCGACATGCCGATCGCCGCCGCGGAGCTCGGCCGGTAATGAGCGCATGACCGATTTGAAATTTAACACAGAACTGTCAATATTAAACTATGCTAGAATAGTGCAGGATATGCTTCGTTTTGAGCCTCATCTTAGGTTCATTTTGATATTTGATTTGCTGCTCTATGACGTCCCTCCAGCTTCCCCACGGCCCCGCCAAAACCTAATTAGAACCTCAAGCTCAAGCATACAATCAGTCTCTTCACCAACCCATCCAACATACCAGCTCATTCCTGTGGCTAACACCCCTTATATCACTACAAACGACTCTCTTCTCCTATTCTCTTTCCCAAATGACTTCCACGGTTACAGCGCTCCCTTCTTTCCCATTCATCTCCTGCATACACCCCCTCCTCCCCAAGACAAAGCGTGTCACGATTTACAAGTACGCGGATGACGAGATTAAGGATGATACCATCAACCTGATCGAGGATTTAGCGGCGGCAGTAAAGATGCGAGAGTTGAGTTTTGCGAAAGGTTTGCAACGACAGATACTCATATGCTCCTCGTGGGTTGAACTGACATGTTGCGGACAGGGTCATATTCTACGCTGGCTTCGTCGTCCGCGAATTCCTCTAGTATCTGCCTTCCGGGGATCCTTGACTGTCCGTCTACCTACGTCTCTCGGACGCATACACTGCTAACCTCCCCCACAGTCACCAAAAACGTGACCTTCCCCCGCTCCTGGCCTCCCCGCCCCGGTCCGAACGGTAAGCCACCATACCTCGGTTATTACCGTCCCAGACCGAATCAGAAGTATAATGCTGCATATATGCGGAGGATTGAGGAAGAGTCGAAGAGGTACGCTATTTTGAAGGGTGACCGGCGAACGCGACGATTGCGAAGGCTGATAGCAATGGCGTACAGGATTATGAAGAATAATGAGAGAAAGAGGGAGGAGGAGGGAAAGAAGCAGAGGTTGAGGAGGACGAGAATGGGTGTCATGGGATTGGGGTTCAAGGGTGTGCATTTGGGGATGGAATGAATGCTCCATCGGGGTTTCATGCTGACCCTCCAGCCATGCTCTCTCCCCGAGGTTGAATTGAATGATGGGAATTATTGCTGTTATTCTTCGAATGCAATGTCTATATTCGTACACATGCTCCTCTTGCTGTCGTCATTGATCGTCATACACCCGTCCAACCCTCCCTTACTCATCACCACTTCCTCTCCTCCAACTTTAACCTTGGCAGATCACTCACCCCACTAACCCTCTCAACCTCATCCTCTAACCTCACAATCACCGCCTGCTTCTCTTTCCGTACCTCGTCGAGGTCGAGGTTCCACCATAGATATTGAAGGCCTTGGTACGTTCCGTAAGTCATTAGGAGAACCTTTCCGAGGGCACGGCCGTAGGTTTTGCGGAAGCCCTATGTCAACAGATTAGCAAGGGAGCGGAAGGAGTGGGAGGACAAGGAGGGAGGGATAGTACCAGTTTTTGTGGTGGTGGCCATGTAGATGGTTGGCCTGTGGAGTTCAGGCGTCTGCATACATTTGGGGAGCCTCTCCTGACTGCTCTCGCTGCGATCATTGCCGCGGGTGTGGTTCGAGGGAGGGTGTACGGTGGTGCTGTACCTGGCGCCGACGCGGGACCTGCGATTCGTGCAGCGGACGTCGCTAAAAATAGAACAGCTAGAATCGACGTGCTTCACGATGGAGTATATCGTGCCTGTTCTCCCTGTTGTGCGGGCGACGGCGAAGTGGGCTCTGGCTATTGGTGCCACGAGTATGTCTCTTCTGTCGTTCAAGGAGTGCAGTGCAGCGGGTGCTAATGCTTCTCGGTAGCTCTGGCCATTACGGGAGCCTTGTTGTACACCTTCCAGAACTCCATCATCTACCCTGCGTCTATGCCCGCTGGCTCTCGCACTAACGTTCCTAACCCTTCGGACTTTGACTTCCCCTCCTCCTGCTGGGAGGAGATCGTCCTTGACACACCCGACAAGGAGAAGATTAGGGCGTACGTGATTTTGCAGGAAAAGGCACCGGAGAAGAGAAATACTGTCTTGCTTTTCCACGCAAATGCGGGGAACGTCGGACATCGCTTACCCATCGCGAAAGTGTTCTGGGGTCGCATGGGATGTAATGTCGTTATGCTGTCCTATCGTGGCTATGGCCTAAGCACAGGAACCCCCTCGGAGAAAGGAATCAAGATTGATGCACAGGTAATGCTGGACTACGTACTCCAGCACCCGGTGTTGAGTAAGACGCCGTTGATTGCGTATGGACAGAGTATCGGTGGGGCGGTGGCGATTCACACCGTTGCGACGTATGAGAAGAAGTTCAGGGGTTTGGTTATTGAGAACACTTTCAAGGTACCACCACATCGCCACCTTTTTTTGGGGTACAAGATGCTAACGTGGGTATACAGAGCATTCCCAGTTTGATTCCGAGCGTCATGCCCATCGCAGCCCCCTTCAGCCTCCTCTGCCACCAAATCTGGGACTCGGAAAAGTGCATCGCAAAGATCGAAAACGTACCAATGCTCTTCCTCGCCGGCGCCCGCGACGAACTCATCCCGCCTGAGAACTTCCGAGGTCTGTACGACGCAGCAACTAAATGCCCAAAGAGAACATGGAAGGTGTTTGGAGGTGGTACGCATAATGATACGTGTTTGCAGGCGGGATACTTCCAGGCGATTGTGGATTGGCTGGATTGCGAGCGGGAGAAGGAGGAGATGTAATAGTTCAAGTCATCCTGGTGATCGCGTGTTCCTGCAGACGCGGGTTGCAGTCGAGTGTGTATTTTGGCGAACTTGCCACCAAGAGGCAAAAACACCAAGAGGCAATCTTTGGTCAAGGAGTAGCATTCATTCCAGTGATACCATTGCATCAACAGCATTCAATCAGTGCAATGGACTCTTCTGTTGCCACTCAGTCACTACCCAATGGTCCACCTCCATCGCAGACACCAGCTCCCAGAAATAAGAGACGAGGCCCACGTCGCAACAAGCCCGCCAATGAGCAAAACGGCGATGCGCAAGAGCAGCAACCAGCCGGTGGCGAGCAGCCTCAACAGCAGCGAAGACCGCCTCGGCAGCGCCAGCCGAAGGAGAATGCTGGCGAGAATGCGATCGAGGATGTGGAGGTAAATGGAGAAGCAGCATCTACGAAGCCGAAGAGGCCGAGAAATAGGAACAGGAGGGCGAAGGGTGTGCAGGCGGCGGCTGCGGAGGGTGAGGCACCAGCGGAGGGATCTGCGGCGCCTCCTGTTCAGCAACAAGCGCAACAACCACGACCGAGACAGCCTATGCCAGGACGACGCCAACATGTCTTTTCTGGTCAGCTGTCGGGCGAAGCAGGTGCACCAACCAATGGTCCCAGGAGTCTTCAGCCCATGGCACCGGCATTTGTTCCCTCTCAGGTCGAGTTCGGGCAACGGGCGAGACCGCATACGCATAACCGCTCAGTACCGGCGATGTCAAACGAAGCAAAGGTTGAATTAACCGAGTCTACCGATTTGATGACACGTCTACACGAAGGTCTGAAGAGAGAATGCCACGAATGTATGTTCTGCCTTGACAATATCAGGTTGAGTCAGCAAACCTGGTCATGTACGGGCTCGTGCTGGGCTGTATTCCATCTCAAGTGTATCACGAAATGGGCGAAGAGTTCGTTGGAGATGAAGGAGGGAACTACGGAGGCGAAGGAGAATTGGAGGTGTCCGGGGTGTCAGCAAACGTACGGCCGCGCAGAAGTACCAAAACAGTACAAGTGTTGGTGTGGGAAGGTTGAGAACCCGGTTGTGGATAGGTTTTTGACACCGCATTCATGTGGAGAGATTTGTGGCCGGGGGAGGAGTGATGGGTGTCCACACGCGTGTACGCTCCCATGTCATGCGGGTCCATGTCCGCCGTGTACGGCTATGGGACCCGTACAGACTTGTTTCTGTGGAAAACATACGAAGCAGGTTAGGTGTGTTGATACGGATTATGAGAAGGGGTATGGCTGTGGTGAGAGGTGTGGGGAGTTGATGGCGTGTGGGGAACATGAGTGTGAGAGGGACTGTCATGAGGGGCTGTGTGGAAGCTGTACGGCGGTTAGTGAGGAGATGTGTTATTGTGGGAAAGAAGTGAAGGGGGTTGCTTGTGGTGAGCGCTTGGATGATCGGACAAGTAGGAAGGATGGGGAGGAGTGGTGTGGGAAGTGGGAGTGTCAAAATGCGTGTGAGAGGGCTTTTGATTGTGGGGTTCACAAGTGTCAGAAGGCGTGTCATCCGTTGGATGAGGAGGTGGCAAAGTGTCCGCAGTCTCCGGAAGTGGTTGATTCGTGTCCATGTGGCCAAACCAAGCTCGAGGACCTGGAGGATGCCCCGAGGACCAGGTGCACAGACCCGATCCCGACGTGTCGCAAGCAGTGCAATGCGTTGCTCGAGTGTGGCCATACCTGCGAAGCCCGCTGTCACCACGGTGAACACCCCGTCTGCAAGAAATCCATCGAGCTGCCTTGTCGCTGTGGCTCCTCCATGACCGAGACGAATTGTCAGGAGATCGCCGAAGGCTTCGAGCCCCGTTGCGAGCGTACCTGTCACGCACTCCGCTCCTGCGGCAAACACGAATGTTCCCAGAAGTGCTGTGCAGGCGCACCCAAGGCCGAGAAGCGTATCGCAGCCCGTAAAGGCATGGGTCGCGCTGCCGCACGTCTGGCTCGTGATTACGAGGATGTCGAGGCCGAACATGTTTGTACACTGACGTGTGGTAAGCAGCTCCAGTGTGGAAACCACACGTGCCAGTTGTTGTGTCATCCTTCGTATTGTCCTTCGTGTCTTGAGGCAAGTTTCGAGGAGTTAGTGTGTCATTGTGGACGGACGAGAATTATGCCGCCATTGCCTTGTGGATACAAGTTACCACCGTGTCCGCATCCGTGTAAGAGACGGAAGGCGTGTGGGCATCCATCCGTTCCGCATAATTGTCATCCTGATGAGGAGAAGTGTCCTAGGTGTCCATACCTGACTGAGAAGCGATGTCTCTGCCAGAAGAAGATGGTGAAGAACGTACCTTGCTGGAAGGAGGAAGCAAGTTGTGGTGAGATTTGTGGTAAGCTCCTGAAGTGTGGTGGTCACCGGTGCAGAAAGCTTTGTCATGCTGGTGAGTGCGAGACGGAGTGCACGCAGGTTTGTGGAAAGCCCAGGAAGACTTGTGGGCACCCGTGTGGCGAGCAGTGTCATAGTCCGTTTGCATGCCCGGAGGATGAGAAGCATAGATGTAAGGCGAGGGTTGTTACTACGTGTGCTTGTGGTACTGTGAGACAGGAGGTTGTCTGTGGGGCCAGTACTAAGACGGAGACGACCGGCAAGAAGGAGCTGCCGTGTACCGAAAAATGCGACAAACTGCAACGCAATAAGCGAATGGCCGAAGCGCTCGGTGTTGACGGCGACAAGACTTCTGAAGTCGCGCTTTCCGTTTACACGGATGACATCCTGGAATACTATAGGACCAACAAGCTGTGGGCGACTTCCATCGAGAATTCTCTCAAGACATTCGTGGCTGGAGACAAAAAGATGTTATCCTTCAAGCCAATGAAGCGTGCTCAGCGAGGCTTTGTACATGCCATGGCCGAAGCGTATGGAATGACTTCACAAAGTCAGGATCCAGATCCATTCCGCAACGTTGTCGTTACGAGGACGTCCAACACCATCGTTCCTCTGACCACTCTTGCTCAGGCTGCGACATCTCGTACGAACTCTGGTGCGGCGACGCCTTCTGGCTTGCAGCAGATGCAGACGAAGACGACATCGAAGGCTTACAATGCCTTCTATCTGGAAGCTGTCCGCATTGGTACAGAACAGGCAGAGCTTGCGAGGGTTCTTGAACCCGCTTTGGGACCGAGCCCACTGAAGTTCTCGATCAAGTGGGTGACTGATGAGGATGTGCTGCTCGAGCCTCTCCCCTCTTCGCTGTCGGTGATCGAGGTGGAGGTTGCTCTCGCGTCTATCAAACCGTCACTGAAGCGAGTCGTTGCTTCTACTGGTATTGCGATGTTTGCTGAACTTTGTTGGATTGGCAGGGATGGTAAGGTGTCCTACCGCGAGTCCACCAAGGTTGCTGGCGCTTCGGGAGCGGGTGCCTGGGGGAAGAAGCTTACTCCTGCGACGACATCCATAGCAAATGCCTTCAGTATGCTGAACCTGGCCGGTCCGCCTGAGCAAAGAGCTTCTGCTAGTTCATGGAGGAAGCCCGTGGAGGTACCCGAAGTGAAGCCTGTTGCGAACGAGCCAGTTCTAGATGATTGGCAAGCGATGATTGACCCTGAGGAACTAATCAGCCCAGAAGAGGAGCGTGAGTTTTTGGATAGATTAGATTAATTAGCATAGGTTACACCTCTGGGTGGCAATAAAGTCAAGAATCACTGGATGATCTGACATAGTCTGGTTCTTTAGCAAAAGTCCAAGATGACTTCAGGTCTATTGCTCAATCTTCCTGCTTGTGGTATATGGAAACTCAAAAGAACGCCCGCAAATCCAAGATGATCGTCCAGTTTCCTCACTTTTGTAATGCTGGCATCCTCACTGCACGCAGCAATCATTCATCGCTCCAAACAAGATCTTGTCCACATCACGCTTCACCTTCAGCCAGTCCGCCCGACACTGGACAAACTCATAAACTTCCTCGGCACGGAATACGCCTCCATACCTTGCCACATCGGAACAAAGCGCGCCTATGGCTTTCGCATCCGAAATCCCGATGATGAAGACGTGTCCCAACTCCTTCAGTGCTGTAAAATAGGGCATGATCACCTTTTGTCGTAGTGATGTTGCAAATGCATGGTAATGGTTTAGGTCGCTGATTAGCTTAATGCCTCCTTCGACATTTACGGTTTGCTTCTTCAAATGCTTGCAAAGCGAACCGAACAAGCGGACACCGACCTCTTGGAAGAACACATCAAGCACGCTTTTATCTGTTGAACCGACCAGCAGCTTGGTATGGGTTGTGAGACACTCAACTGCTTCTGTAGCCGCACGTGTTGGTCCAAGACCCGGGTCTCGTTCGCCCGTCACGGAGGCTGGCAAGGGGTTGTAGTCTCTCCGCGACTGACGCTCATGCAGGATATATTCCACTTGATTCATCAAGACGTCGATACCCTTGTTCAACCCAGCTGCCACACGTTCATCGATAAGCTGCTCGAACCTCTTCTTCTCCTTTACGGCCGGATTCAGGAAGTCATTGCGATCCACCAAGCGGGCCATCTCCTGCTCGAAGAAGACATCCACCATCTGTTGGATAAGATCACCGACGTGAACCAGTTCCAAGAAGATAACTAGAGGTTCGACGGACGTCCCGACGTCAGATCCTTGACTAGGCTGGTATCGAGACAAATGCTCAACAGCCTGGTCAAATCCGTTCTTAATGTGTCTCTTGCCAAGGTGTTGAATAAGGGTGACAAAGATTGCCTCACACTGTTCCCTCACTTCTTCTGACAATTGACCACCCATGCTCAGGAAGGGCTCGGCTCGTTCGAGACTTGATTTACAGAGATGAAGGAGCTGCAATGCTACTTCCAAACTGAAGAGTCCACGGATACCTTCCAAACGAGCACTTAGAATAGCAGATTGGGCAGCAAGCTCTGTCGTAGGCAATGTTGCTGGGGTTGGTGTGCCCGTCCGCGAAATAGCAGCACTAGCCTGAGCCGTCTGGGCTGCTGGCGACAACTCATCAGACGGTCGAGCAGTAGTCGTAGGCGTTACCTTGGCTGTTGTACTCGGAAACGGAATCACTGACACAGGCATCAGGAGAACCTTCTTGAAAGACGTCAAGAAGTTCTTCTTGTCTTCTGCTCTGCTGACACCACTCAGTAGCATAGACTCATGTGCTTCTGCATCCTCCGCCACCTTCCTCTCCCACGATTCCACTTCAGCTTCGCATTTGCTCCGTACAAAGTTCAACTCCTCGACGAGATACAAATCAACGTGCACTTCAAACATTGTCTTGATTGCTTTTTCAGTATCCTCCTTCAGCGTGCCTTTTGAGCCCTTGGTTTCCGTAAGAGATGCAGGAATCCGTAAACACTGTTGGAAACTGCCACACACAGCCTTCAAGAATGTTTCTGTATCCTTCTGGTGCGCTTCTTCAATCAACCTTGCAGTATAGTCAGCGACCACATCTTGGATTACCCGCTCAGCAAACGTAAGCATGACATTAAGAGACTCTGGGAATGTTCTGTTCACGACGTCTGATTGGACGTTGAGCTCGTTGATGAGCCGCGTGATAAACAATGACATTGGTTCCAGGTTGAGTAATTCCCCCATAAAGCAGTCTGCTGGGGTCTCAGGTATCTCGTACATTAGTGGATTCTTCTGAATGAACAACTGCACACAAGATGCGCCTCCGTTCAGCTCTGTTAACACGTTTGCGTATCGTTGCATTCGTCCGTCGACATCCCGAGCGTCATAACCTCCCTCGAATTCTTGAAGTGCTGCACTCTCGAACAAGTCGATCATAGCTGCGATCTTTGTCTCCTTCTTACTCCAATCACGGACAGATCTCGACCTTCCGAATTTCTGAAGAATGTTTATCATCATAGCCTGTTCTTCTGGTGTCCGAAACATGCGAAACACCAGAGGCTCGGTATGATCACTCGCGTTCGCGAGGTCATTGTACAAAGGTGCCAACGCTTCGTAGATCCTAGCAAACTCCACTCGGGCATAGCCTCGCACAGATCTAACGCCCTCAAATACCCTAAGGTAGGAAGACGGGTCGATCATTGTTGGCTTTGGTGCAGCAGGACCTGCAACATCGAGTTCACGTTCTTTGTCGTCTGTCACGGCAATCGTCGCATCAAATAAGGTAACACTGCCTGTCTTCCTTCCCAGCTGTCTTTCTGCCTCAATTCGTTTCCTAGCGATCTCCGTCTGCTCCAGCGCATCCAAGGTTTTCCGCTTTGCTTCCTTCTCATCCCAAACCTCCATTTGTCGCAGTCTGGCCCCCCACCGAGTATCATCATAGACCATTTCCCGCAGTTGCTTGTTCACTTGAGCAACAGCTGCCAGATCCGGAACAGGAAGGTAATCGACGATGCCGCTCAGGATCTCGGCTGGCAGTACTGTGGGTCGTAGGGTCATGTTGGAGCTAGTGCCCTGCAACGCGACGACCTCCCACTTGCTCGCCATGATGCACTGTCCTTTCGCTGATCGTGTCGTTCACTGGATGTCCTGGCTGGGCGACGGGCTCCTGTTACGGCTGGATAAGGTTTTGTTTACAATGGGCCGAAATTGAGGTGACGCTCAACATCATGCATGCATCTTCGCGCATGTGAACGAACGGTTGGACCCTGAGAAACCTGTAGCTGTGAGGCGCCGTACATTGGATCAAGCGTAGATAACTTTTGCGGGGGCTCATGAAAGGTGATGGAAAAGGTATATGATTTTGCTCATGCATCACAGATGCCACGCTCCCCATCTATCTCATACAAGATGCTAGATTTACGAATCCAAAACCTCAACGGTCTCCTCAACGACCTCCTCAATCTCTACCTCAACGACCTGGTCACCAGTACCATCCTCCTTACCCTCAACGATATCGTCCTCGGGCAACCCACGCTCAGTCCTCTCCCTGTGGAGCTGCTCCACAACCTTCTCGCGCCATGCAGTCCATTCCTCGACGAGACGGCGACGCTGGGCAACGAGCTCCTTGTTGGCAAGCGTCTGCTCCTGCAAGTCCTCCTCGTCGAAGATGCGAGAGTACTCACGGAGGTTCTTGCGGATCTTCTTCTGCTGCTCCTTGGAGAGGAGGGTAGCAGGGCGAGGACGCCACAAGAGCTGCTTGAAGCGGTCCAAAGGCTCCTCACGGAGGAGGGTACCCTTGAAGTCCCAGAGCTTGTAGCCGTTCTCAATGGTGTGGCGCCATGCGGAGGCGGAGGTGGTAACGTACCGACCAGTAGGGTCCCACTCAATGTCAGTGACACCGTAGTGCTCGATGTTGCCGATGACGGTAGGGTTGGAAGTAGATCCCTCCTCCTTGTTGGTGTTCTCACCCTCGAAGTCCATGTCCCAGAACTCAAGGTCGAAGGTAGAGGACTGACCCATGGTAGCAGCGATCAAGAAGCGACCCTTAGGCGACCAGAAGATAGCGTTCAAGGTCTTCTTGTCAGCAGTCTTGACGCAACGGAACTGCTCCTTAGCCTTAGTCTTCTCGAAGGCGTAGAAAGAAAGGGTGGTGCGAAGAGGGGGAGTACCGGGCTGACCGAGGTTAACAAGGTTAGGGTCGGAGGTGGAGATGATGGCGAAACGGCTGCCCTTGGGCTCCCAGGCGAAGTTAAGGATGGTGTCCTTAACCTCAACTTCCTCGACGGGGATGTTCTTCTCCTTGACACGGAAGATCTCGAGGTTGGAGAATGTAGACTTCTTAGTCTTGGTGTGGCGGTCGACCTTCACACACATGTAGTCACCGTTAGACTGCCAGTGAATCTTACAGTCGGAAACGTTGAACAAGTTCTTGGTACGGATGGTCTGCTTGGAAGGAACGGACATGAGCGCGACACGAGCGGGCTGGTTACCGACTTCCGGAGTCCAGTAACCGAGGTACTCCTCGTCGTTCTTCTGGTTAGCTTCGGACATGGCAGGCGCCCAGTCGAAGTCGACGATACCATCGACCTTGACGGACTTCTTGTCCAAAAGACCCATTCCGGGGGCCTCATAGATAGAGATTTGACCAGGGCTCAAACGAGCAAAGTACTTCTCACTGGAAGACCACTTGAACATGGGCCAGGTGATCTTCTTGGGTCCAGCGTCGCTCTCTTGGGCGGGGGCGGCGAAGGAACGGAGGAGAGCACCAGTCTTGAGATCCCAGACAATGACCTGCTTACCCTCGTCCTCAGGGCCGAAGGGCATGGCGGCACGACCGGGGTGACCGATGGGGAGGAGGGTGATGGGCTCGTTGGACCAGGTGACGAGGTATTGCTCGTTGGGGGAGAAGTCGATAAGGTTGACACCGGGGTGAGCGAAACGCATCATACGCTTCCATGACGGTCCACCCCACAATTGAATACCTTGTCTGTGGAAAGACGTGAGGTAAGTACCCTGCGGCGACCACTGCACGTAGGTCTCGGTCCAGTTCATACGCTGAACATCGACATCTGGTTGCTCTCCCTTGCGGTTCCAGTTGACGGAAACCTCGTCACCACGGTACATAACCCACTGATCGCGCGCCTGGGCGTCGGCCAACCAGGAACGAAGGTGCTCCTGCTCGACGAATGGCTCCTCCTCGGGCTCGACGTACTCCTCGCTGACGTTGGCGTACTTCTCGACGTCGGTGAAACGGTTGGCGGACAAAGTGTGCTGTTTGTCCATGCGCCTTCCGTTCAACGCCTTGACAGCGGCATCGGCCTGCTCTGGGGTCTCGTACTCGACAAACATGAATCCCTTGGACATGAGCTTGCCCTTAGAGTTCTCCTCCATAGGCATGAAAATGCCATCGTCCTTGACCTTACCGGCCGAGGAGAAAAGCTTCTTCATAACCTTCAGCAAAACCTCGCGCTTCTCATCGGGGACGACGGGTGCGCCATCAACGAGGACAAGGGTGTCGAAGCCCTCCTCGAAGGGGACCTGGAACTTCTCCTCGAGGTCGGAGAAGTCAATCTCCTCGTCGTCGTATCGATCCTGGGTGCCGTTGGACATCTCTGAAGCCATCTCTGGTGCAATGGATCTTTCTTCGTACTCGACGTTCTAAGTTGCCTTGCAGTAAAAGTTCCAATACGCGCTAGCTCCAACAACGAGACGATGAGAGAGGGTCCATTGGGAATATAACAAGTAATAGGAGATTCTAAAAGACAATCCATAAATATCGGCTGAAGGATTGAAGTCCAAAACGAAGAACTCGGTGGTGTACGGCAGTGCCTGCTGAAGATTGGCGCATCTGTTCCCCACGCTTTGGCCGGCGTCGCTGACACACCGCAATTGAACAAAACACCAAAAAGACAAATTGAAATGGCCACCCCTCAAGCATCGTGAGTTCTTCAACCTTGAATTACTATTTCTTGTCTAATGGACTGTAGCCCCTCTTTCGATTGGAAATCCCTCGGCTTCGGCATCACTCCCGTTAACGGCCATGCCGCCATTACCTGGAAGGACGGTCAATGGTCCGCACCAGCGTTCATTACTGATCCCTACATGAAGCTCCACGTCGGTGGTACTGCTCTCAACTATGGACAATCCTGTTTCGAGGGTCTCAAGGCTTTCAGGATGAGAGACGGCAACATCCGCGTCTTCCGTCCTCAGGAAAACGCTGCAAGAATGCAGATCAGCGCCGACACTATCATGGCTCCTCGGGTCCCAGAGGACTTGTTCTTGGAGTGTGTCAGATTGTGTGTTGCTGAGAACGCTGAGTTCGTTCCTCCGTACGGTATGGGTGCCTCCATGTACCTCCGCCCGTTATTGTTCGGATCCGGTGAGGAATTGGCTCTTCACCCACCCATGGAGTTCACTTTCCTTATTTGGGCTACTCCTGTCGCTGCACTTTACACTAGCTTGAGGCCCGTCGACGCGCTCGTTATCGAGGACTTTGACCGTGCTGCTCCTAGAGGATCCGGCTCGTCTAAACTTGCAGGAAACTACGCCCCTGTGTTCCGCCATGCCGCGGCTGCTAAGAAGGAAGGATATGAAATTACCCTTCACCTGGACTCTCAGACCCGGACTAGAATTGACGAGTTCTCCACCTCCAACTTCGTCGCAATCCAGTACAGTGGAGACAAAACTACGTTCGTTGTCCCAGACTCCCCATCCATTCTCAAGTCCGTCACCACCAAGTCACTCGTTGACCTTGCGTCTTCCTTCGGATGGGAAGTCGTCCGCAGACCAGTTTTGTGGACTGAGGTGGTCTCTGGTGCATTTGACGAAGTCGCTGCTTGCGGTACCGCTGCCGTCTGTACCCAAGTTGGGTCAATCACCAGGAAGTCTACGAACGAGAAGGTGCAGATCGGAAACGGAGAGGCAGGAAAGGGATTCACGAAATTGGTGATGGCTTACAGAGCATTGCAGAATGGCGACGTGGAGCCTGCTGAGATTCCCGCGCAATGCACGGAGTGGTTGTGGCCCGCAAGCGGTGTCATGGGTGCCAATTAGGCCCGAAAAATGGATAAACATTTCGTCTCACACTCTAATGTCTCCAAATCCTGGTCATCTTATCTTTTCCTCCACTAGCAACCATCTGTCCATCCGGTGCCCAATCAACAGCGTAAACCTCATCTTGGTGTCCCGGCAAGTCCTCCTTTATCTTTCTCTTTGCAACATCCCAAACCTTCAGCGTGGTATCCTTACTCGAACTGACCAATAATCTCGAGTCGGAGGACCATGAACACTGATAGACAGCACCGACGTGGGCGCGAAGAGTGGCAATGAAAGTACCGGTACGGCCATCCCACAGCTTAACACTGTTATCGAAGGAAGCAGAAGAGATGTAACGACCATCAGGGGAGAAGGCGACGCAATTGACCAGCTTCTGGTGACCGTGCAGCTTGGCCACAGGCTTGGTAGACTTTACTGGGTCCCAGAGGTACATGGTGAAGTCATCAGATCCAGTCACTAACTTCTCGCCTCCTGCCAAACGCGCAGCAGCCTCGTACCTTTCCTTCGCCTTCTGCTTCGCCTCCGCTGGATCGGATGGCGCGGGACCGGTATGATCCGTAGCTCCAGTGCGGAGAACGTGGTCTGTTGACAAGGCCATAGTGTTGACCCAGTGTGCGTGAGCCTTGAGCGTGTGGAAACACTTTCCGTCCTTTGCGTCCCAAATCTTGATGGTCTTGTCCCGAGAACCAGAGTAGATCCATCCCGTACCGCCCCACTTTACGCAACTGACCGAACCTGAGTGACCAGACATGGTGTATTGCACCCGACGAAGCGCAGTGTCCCAAACCTTGACGGTACCATCGTTCGATGCAGAGACGAGACGAGGAGACTGGCCAGCGGGAACGAGGTGTAGCGGCTCCCATGCAAGAGCGGCGATCCACTTGGTATGTGACTGCATAGGTCCACCAATCTCCTTTCCTGTCTTGGGATCCCAGAGACGGATCGTGGAGTCCATGGATCCAGTAGCGATCACCTTACCATCAGGAGACCATGCGACGGCCAAAACCCAGTTCTTGTGGCCTCTGAGGGTGTGCATGGGGGTACCTGTGTCGCAATCCCAGATACGGGCAGTGTTGTCTCCGGCACCTGTACACATTCTTGACGAGGAGATTGGCGAGAACTGTGCAACCAGGATGGGAGATCCGTGTCCAGCGATGGAGGCGGAACAGCGGGTAACGGATCGAACGCGGAAGACGGCTTGTGGTGTGTAGACCAGGGTCAACAGATCTTCGGTCGACTTGTGTCCTGGCGCAAGGACGGATGTATACAGGTTCGCGTCAATATCGAGAGTAGGCGAATCATTTTTTGAAGCGTCAGAAACGAGGGCGAACGTATATGGGATGGGGTCCTCGGTGTTGCCCAGCAATTGGTTGACAAGGAGCTCCATCTGCTTGACCGTAACATTCGCGGGAATAGAGATAGTTGGGCCTGCGAGCTCTCCGGTATCTGAGGCACGGAACTGGACCAAGACGCTGCCAGCATCCTCAGGGATCTCCTCAATGTCTCTCGGCTTCTGCGCCTCGAGACGTTGCCTCTTAGACTTGGGGGGTACAACGCTGGACAGAGGTCAGTAAATAAAATCTTTCTGTGGGATTCGAAGCACTCACGTAGCCATCCTCGTTCAGATCAAGCAAAATGGATTCTCTGTGAGTTCTTGCGTGTATCGAAAAACTCTGCAATCGATATCGATAAGACCTGTGCCCGCGCATCAAGTAGGTGGTTGCAGCCTAGGAGATACGCAGCGCACCCAAACGTCAACATTCTACACGAACCAACTCTTCTGTTTCCTTTATCTACCTCCATAATATGCCTCAGTTAGCTCGTGCTGCCAGCATACATACTAGCCGTCCTCCGACAACGTTCTCACAGTCTTCCCGCCCTACTACCGATACTCGTGGTTCCCGTCCATTCACTGGCCGACCAGCTACCGGAAGGCCAACCACGGGTGGCTCTCGTCCACGTACTGGTCGTCCGAGGACAGGCGCAACGCATGTAGATTCGCAAGTTGTCGCGGCTATATGCGAAGGGAGGGGGGTTGCGGCGAGTGTAGGCTTAGCATTCATCCACCTTGCTACGGCTGAATGCGTCCTAAGTGAGGTAGTATCATGTTTTGGACGCGGTGTGTGATGCTAACGTTGCGAAATGATCAGATAGTCGATTCCCAGACTTACGTGAGAACGATGCACAAGCTGGGCGTGTTTGACCCTGTTGAGGTGAAAGAGACTTGTTGGTCCGTAATCTCGTAGCCTGACTTTGAAACGACAGATTCTTATCCCGATGACATCTATGACGCCCACCAAATCCAAGCTCTGCCGTATTGTGGAGGAAAACCTACCTGGAGCGACTCTTGTACCCATCGCTCGCAAGTACTTCAACGAACCCGAAGGTCGGGAGTACGTCCAGCAATACACACTCGCCGAAGATCTGGAGAGTGTTAAGGTTGCTGTATCGGCAAAGTTCTACGCACTATCTGCTTTGGCGGCGTGCTTGAAGTACGTCGAATTATCGCATCACACGCTGTTTGCTCCGCGTTCTCTGCGTCTATCATACCAGCCGTCGGAAGGGTCCATGTTGATTGACTTCTCTACTGTTCGGATTCTCGAGTTAGTCCAAAATCTGCAAAATCCAAAGAGTACAGCGAGTTTGTTTGGTGTTCTCAACAATACATGCACGCCTATGGGAGCGAGGTTACTCAGGTTGAATGTCCTACAGCCTCTGACAGACCTCAATGTACTGGAAGGCCGGCTGGACGTAGTTGAGGAGCTTGTGGGAAGGGAGGAATGCTTCTTTGCAGTGAGGGCAGCTCTGAAACCATTTCAGGATTTCGATAAGCTCTTGACAGCTGTGAGTGATGTTGGATTGCCAAGAAACAACATCCACTAACCTGCAATAGCTCGTTGCTGTTACGACTAAATCGACATTGAAGCACTCGGAAAATCGGATCAACGATGTGATCCTTCTGAAGCATGGCATTCGCTGTATCCCGCCGGTACATGAGGCTCTGGCCGGGGTCCGCTCGAATCTGCTAGTCGCCATCCGCAACCTCTGTCTCGACGACCGCATCAATCATATTTCTGAGATGATTGATAATGTGATCAACGAGGATGCAGTTTGGCAGAAGGGTGCTTTAGCTTTGCAGCATCAGAGGTGTTATGCTGTGAGGAATGGAGTGAACGGGCTCCTAGACGTTGCCAGACAGACTTATAAGGAAGCCACGAGTGATGCGATCGAGCTAGTAGCACATTACAGCGGTGAGTGGTGTTCTGGTCATGTTATCACGAACGGACTAATGAACGTGTAGAGGAACACGGTATCCCGTTTCGGGTTCACTTCGAAGCATCCCGTGGCTTTTATATTCAATTGAGCCCGACTGACCTTGAGGCGTGCGAAGTTCCCGAGCTACCCTTGTGTTTCATCAATGTAGTCAAGAAGAAGAAGATGATTCAGTGCACCACTCTGGACCTTGTTAAGAAAAATGCCAAGATCAAGGACTCGCTGACGGAGGTGTTGTTGATGAGCGACAAGACCATTGAGACATTGGTGGACGAGATTAGGTCGGAGATTGGAGCATTGTATAAGGTTTGCGAAGGGGTTGCAATGTTGGACATGTTGGCCAGCTTTGCATATGTTTGCACCGTGCGGGATTATAGTGAGTAGCTCCGGGCAGGTAGTCTCGTCGCAATTAACAGTGTGAATAGTACGGCCTGAATTCACCGACACCCTGGGGATCAAGTCTGGTCGTCACCCGATTCGTGAAGCAATTCATGGGGATAGATATATCCCTAATGATACATATGCTTCCAACACTACAAGATTTCAGATCATTACCGGAGCCAATATGTCTGGTAAATCGACGTACCTTCGTCAGGTCGCTCTGCTCTCTGTCATAGCACAAATTGGGGCCTTCGTGCCGGCCGAGTACGCTTCTTTTCCGATTACGAAACAGCTATTCAGCCGTATTTCAATGGACGACAGCGTGGAGTCGAACTCGAGTACTTTCGCCATAGAAATGAGAGAGACCGCTTTCATCCTCCAAAGCGCAAATGAGGACAGCTTGATCATTGTGGATGAGTTGGGTCGAGGAACGAGTACTCGTGACGGGTTTGCTATCACTCTGGCTGTTTGCGAAGCGCTTGTGGATACTGGGGTTTGTTCACATCCTGTCACATTCCTTTTACGCGTGCTGATCTGAGCCCAGGCGGTAGTGCTCTTCGCAACTCACTTCAAGGAGCTCACCACCGCATTGGCGGATCGTCCCGGTGTCGTCAGTCTTCATACGGAAGTCCAATCCGAGGGTGAGAACATGAAGATGCTGTACAAAGTTGCAGACGGTGGGAACGAGGAGAAGCATTATGGTTTGAAGTTAGCTCAGGCGGTTGCGCTGCCTGAATCTGTCTTGTCAAAAGGTATGTCACTCGATACTTGACGAAAGCCCTCTGACTAGTTTGACATAGCTGTCGGGATATCTTTCGCGCTTGCTAGCCGTACACGGGCTCAGAAGGAGAACTCCGAAGCCGCTAAGCGCGCGAAGTCTAGAAAGCTCCTCTTGAACCTAAGGGAGACTTTGACGCAAGCGTACAACGGCAGCATGGAACCGGATGTCTTGAGACGCTGGCTGGTAAACGTCCAAGAACGGTTCGTGCTTCAGATGGAGGCTCTAAGTGGAGCACATGACGAAGACGTGGGTGAGGGGGTAAGGGAGGCTTCGACGCTCCACAATGGCTCTGAGGTATCATCCCACAGACAAGATCTAGACGCTGTCGTTGAGATTGAAGAGTAGTGAAGCTAATCCAATAAAGATATCTCATAGCTTATGTTGTGCAGATAAATATCATGAGTTCATTATTTCGCCTCTCTGAGCTCTCTTTTTCTGCATCCTCCGACGTCTGACTCGACCTTGAGCCCCTATCCATCAAAATCTGCAAACTCTCCTTCCTGACAGGCAGCCGTATGCCCTGTTCGGCAAAATGTGCGCCTAATTTTCCTGATTCCATGACACCTGGAAACCTCCTCGCAGACCAACACGTGAAGTCGTTCGAGAAGGTCACGGCTGTGACTGGTGTTGAGTTCTGTCCCCTGCACACAAAGTCAGTATTTATTGAAACAAACCAAGATGAGGACTCACATGTTGAGATTCGCGAAACTAAACTTCAGCCGATATTTCCCCTCTGTACGAACTGACAGATCATTAAAGATGAACCAGCTTGTGAGACTATAAGCGTGGGATTTAAGGCACCAGAACAGGAAGCACTTACATGCCCAGCTCGCCTTCAAGATCAGTTAGCTTGAATCCACTGACAACCTATGTACGCAAGCAGGCATGAGTCAATTTCTACTATTCGTGTGAGAGGCACGCACCACTGAGCCAAGCAAGTTCCGTGTGACAGCGCTGGTGATCTGTTTGGTAGGTAAAGAGGAAGTTGACGGATCTGACGTGGATGTGCTCAACACTGCTATTGTTGGAGGATGCTTTCCGCGTTCAGTCTTTGTATGACTATTCGGTGTGGAGAGTGAGGTTTGTAAGAGTAGGTTCATCTCGGCGGCAGGTTCGTCGGCAGAGAAGAGCTCGGCAGTGACAACGAAGCGGTCAATGTCGATGTCGTCCACTGGCATTTCTCGACCGTATAAGTCTCGTATGATAAGCTTGACAAAGGGTGGTGGACCTGTCGCGTGTCAGCATCGAGTACGTTGTGCTTGTTGGTTGCAAGAGAGTTAACTCAGTGCTCGTCTGTCCTTGTCGCCAAAACCTGCCATTCTACACAAAGAGTTAGTATCGCAATAAGGATAACGAGGCATATCACCACCTACCTGCACCGTTCTGGGTGTTGAACTACCACTAAAGAATAGCTGTACTCGGTGCTTCGTATCGGCCATTGCGGCCGCCCAGAGGCACCCGCCGCCTCCATGAACATCGGTTTAGCTTTGAGGTTGTCGCAGCAGACTTTACACTCTCTTGTCCTGATAAATAGCTCCAGATCCTGACAGCAGGAGCGACGGCATCATTATCAGCGGGCGCCGGTTTCGGGCTTCCTTCCGCAGGAAGATATTGTGGCGGCAACGTGCTGAGTACAACTCCTCGCGTAATGAGCACTATCGGCAATCATGAAACGCAGCTGTCTGTTTGAGTTGGCTGCTGACATAACGGGCTCGGCCGCGGTGGAAAATTGCACGGGTTGGACATGATTTACTGTATAGAATTACACGAATAGACCTCGAGGGTCGTACGACACACGTGGCACAATTCCCCCATACGCTAGTCAAACTCAATTCTAACAGCACAACCTCGATCGTAAGAAACCCTGAGCAATCGAAAGGATTGGATATTTTTGAACCGGAGTTCAAGAACAATGGCCGCCTCGACGAGCTGCGTCTACCGTCTGCTCCGTTTTGAATTAGGAACACCCACCGGCACCAGCTTTTTCCGCGGGTGAAAGGATATGACCCCCATATTAAACGGTGGAGCGATTTAGATACAAAGCCCATTCACAGTCCCAGATCGTTGGGCGTTCTAGACCTGAAGATCGCATTGAAGGTTTGGTAGTATATGAACTTCCACCCAGGAAAATCTACCATCGGCCCGGCAGCTGGAACCTGTCACCCAGGCGCGACAGAGCAGATGGGTGCTGCCTGGGACACCGTACTCTTCGACCAACCGTTAAACGGCACGGAAAGATCAACTGCTCCCGTCTTACCTAAGCAAGCCTTTAAAGTTCTGGCGTTCACACCTTTGTAAAAGGCGTTTTGGGTTGCCTGACCTTTGAGCAAGGGGAGTTCGGAGCAACCTTTGAAGGAACGAACGGCCATGGAGTGCCAAGAGCAGTTCGGACCTGTCCAACACGGCCTGTTCTATTAGACAAGACGGACTATGACAGGTGTCTCTCGAGATTGCATCATTCCTGTCCGCTTGGATCGCGAACCAACCTGACACGTCAAAATTGGCTGCACGTATTGTTACCTAAGCGCGCCCCGGCTACAGACAGCCGTCACTTAAAGACCACGGAAAGCAGATCGACGGCAGAGAAAAGCGTGTTTTTGTTGTGACGTGTTCGTGTTCGATGAAGGCTTACTCGTTGAGACAGGAGCGGCCTTTCTCAGGAGTAACGCAAGTGGTAAAGGATGTTGATTGGTAACACCTACTGCTGATAAAGTCCCAGAATAATTGGCAAGGATTTCCCATGAAGTTCGCCTCAGAACACCATTATCTCCCCTCAAGCTCCTCACAATAGGAACGCTTATTGTGGCTTCATGTGAGCTCCTTGGGGTGCTTGCATGTTCGCTGTCATCTCCGCTGCAATCCTCTCGCTTTCACGTTGTTGCTGAAAGTCCCACGTTAGTATCTTGCAATGCAATCACCTTACGGGGAAAAGATATACCTTAAACTCGTCTTCTTGCAGCTTCACTGCCAACTCCCAATCTGCAGCCTCCTCCCTCCGCGCACGTTGGGCGATGATATTTCCCACACCGCGGCCTCCCCGCAGCTCCTGGTCCTGCTTGGCCGTTCTTTCCTCATTCGTAGACCTCTTCAAGAAGCTAGGTATTGAAGAAAGTTTCCCAAACATAGACTTCTCCGTGACATTCCCTGCGCCACCTCTTCCCGTCCGAACGTACTTGGATGGCGTATCGGCTTTGTCGTCATTGATAGTCATCGAATCGCCTTCTGATGGGTCGTATGCTGATCCAGAAAGTGTCCGCGAAATTGCTGGGGACTTTCCCTTGGTCAAGATGCGATTCAGGTCACCGCCGAGGTAGTCGTCTGCGTCGATATTCACCGTCTTCCCTCCTTGAGCTTGCTCGAGCGTGCTGAGCCATGATGCTGTACAACATTTTTCAGCACCAATTCAAAAGCCGAATACATCGACGGATCAAGACTCACCATGGTTGCCGATACCCCCTCGTCCCATGAACTGAAGCTGCGACGCCGGCTTCTCCTCGATTCGGTGATTTGACATACTCCGACGCCCCTTCTGCAATGGAGTCTCCAAATCGTCCGTGCTTCTCTCGTATCCGGGATCCTTGTCCATGATCTGTAATGTTAGTGTTCGGTTGCTGTCTATACGCGCCTCTTAAGTACGGTGCAGTTCGGGGCACCAGTTCAGCAGCAGCCTGGGACGCTATTCGACATCTACCGCAGACTCCCGCAGATGCGATTTGCACAGCCTCAAGATAAGATAGATAAGTGATTAGGTTGTAGGATAGGGTATCAATACGGTACGGAGTTTATCTACTGCGGCTGCTGCTTCCTCTTACGCCTTCTCCTCCTTCTTGCCGTCCGCGAGCTTCCTGTGGAAAAAGTTCTTTGCCTTGTCCGCAAATCCTTCGTGCACCTTTGCTTCCTCGGTTTGATGATGCACCTCCGTCCTCTCAACCGGTACAGGAGACTTGGAGTGAACGCGCTCGTCGTGGAGAGCGCGCTGGATGTTACCAAAGCCGCCTAATGAGCATTGTCAGTAATAGTGCAAAGCCGAAATGAGTGAGCACGCGTACCGCGACCAGCAGGCAACTCGGTGTTTCCACCGTCAGTAGATCTGCGAGGTTCCTCGAGGTCCTGAGCGAGGCGGGCCTTCTCCAGATCTCCACTGGTCTCGATGTTTCCTCCTCCACCACGTCTGCGTACTTTGTCAATCGGACGTATTCGGGCATCCCCCGCTGCACTTACCCTGTAGAGTAGGCTCCCTATGATATGCACTGTTAGTACAATTGCGCCGCAGCAACATAGGAGCAATACGGGCGTACCCTGATGACAGGCGGGCGGTCGAGAGTGCCGTCAACGTACTCCCTCCACTCCTCGGGACCAATGTTGCCGGCACCGCCGCGACCGTGCGTAACAGGCCTTGGCGAGACTGTCCTGTGTGGAATTCCGGAAAGATCTTCAGGGTTCAATGCCATCGTGTAGGTAGGTTTACTGGGGTGCGATTCGCGGTGTTATTGCAGTTGCGCGACTGACGTCTTTAAGGGATGGAGTTATATGGATGGATGAGCAGCTGCGATATGAAAGCAAGCCAGCCGAGTCGGTCGATTGTATTGGTGTTTACCTTCTACTTTCGTAATTAACGCCCGGACGCTCCCGATGTATGCGACGCTTAGAACAATGCACCACCGCTGATAAGCTTCACATGGACACAGCGATGCGCGGGAAGACGTAGACCCTCTATAACACTTCGACTGGTTGTACGAAGCTGTCCGCCTAAATATATGCGAAGACTTGATGCAATTCAAATCCAAATTACTGCCGTTTTGCCTAGATTATTGGTTCTTCTTCAACCCGCTCGCCTTATCGGTGTCAAAGGCACGGTATGACACCTTCATGCCAGCCATGGTGGAGATAGCGACGCTCAAAATTGCCAACAGAATGAAACTTACGAGAAGGCTCTGTACGAATTTGTGTGAGCATTGCGTCTGTCAAACGTATGAGGTGAAAGAGCATACCATGAAAATTGCTGGCGTCACGAACTGGTATGTAGCAAACAAACCGGTCTTCTTCAAGTTTGAGGTAGCATCGAGAGAAGCCAACCTGCGTTGGGTGATCACGTTCGATCGCTTAACATGCATTGGCGAGTCTGCCGGGGGAGTAGAGGTATAGACGAGGGTGTAATCGGCGGACGAGCCGAGCGACGAAAGCAGAGCGTAGAGGAAGCCATCTGGAAGACAACGCCGTCAGGATCACCTTGTAATAAAGCTTCTCAAAACGTACCGTTCTGCGCAACAGCATCTGCGCGAGCCTCAGCCTCGCGAGGTAGCGGCGCAAACTCCACCTTGATAACCTGCTTCTTGTCCTCCTCAAGCACTGGGAATGTACCCGCTGCATACAACCATCAGTAAGTGGATCAATGCCACCAGTTTGGTCCGTAAACATACCCTGCGCATCCACGGTCAAGACCTCCGCACCACACTGAACTGCAGCCTGCTCCAAACGCTCTGCATCAACAGCACCACGTCCATATGGCACCTGCAAAACACTCTCCGCAGTTTCCAAAGCCCTCTTCAGATGTGGTGAGTTGCGAGCACCGAAATCTGCAGCATGTACTCCAGGCTGGGAGACGAGTATATATGTGTCCGATGAGCAGGTGGAGATGGCGTCGTAGGCAACTGACTCAAAGTGAGACGCCGTAAGGATAGAGCTAGACTTGACATCTGATACGGAAGGATATCTGTAAAGTCCCTATTAGCGGTGTGTATCAGTAGCATATACCGCCAATACCCACCTTTGAGATGAGAGGAGGAGGAAAGGCGACGAGTCCTCAAACGCAGAGACAACAGCAGCTGATCCAGCCAGCAGCAGAGACGTAAGGGCCGTTGTTGAGAGACGCATTGTTGATTGCGTGTGTACACTGGTATCCTACGCTTGCAATTGAATACCGCTCGAGATGGCCGCACTGTCGGTACAGCCGTACTCAGGGGCCTTGCAGGTCTGTGACGCACTTGGCTTCAGACTGGACGAGGTGTGGGAAAACTGAAGTAAAATGCATACATACGATAGATATCGATAATAATCGTCCATTTCCAGCTTTCCTCATTCAAAGACTTGATGGCAATCAGGCACTCAAAGCGTGCTTGACGAGCTTTTTGTAGCCCTTCACTGTCCTCTCCAGATCCTTCTTCTCAACGTACTCATCAGGCCCATGTGCTACCAAGATGCTCCCCGGCCCATACAAGTACTTACGCTTGTACAGTTTATGTGACATATTCGGGATGTCTGTACCATATGAAACGGTGATGGTGTCGAAGCCGGCCACGTCGTAATCACAGGTTTGCTCTCCGTAAGATCCGGTAATCTCTAACTCCACATCGTCCACCTCTGCAACGGCGTCCTGCAACTTCTTCATGACAGTGTCCAACTCTGTAGCGACGCGAATAGCAAGAGTTGCGATTGCCTCGGCGGGAAGCACGTTGGCTATACAGGTTATGTTAGCATTCAAATGCGTACACTCCAGTGAACCGAGGTATCTCACCAGCCACTCCACCTCGGATGGTTCCAATGTTCAGGGTAGTAGGTCCAAGGAGCTCTGATCGCGGGAACTCAAGGTTCTGCAATTTGTATAGTGCGGTGACCAATTTTTCCGTTGCGGAGGACCCGAGCTCAGGATATCTGAAGCACTTTCATTAGTGACATACAACAAACTCCACCAGCGTAAAAACTACCCGGAGTGACTTGCTTTGCCGCTCGCTTTGACATTAGCAAGGATCAGGCCCTGTATGACGTCTGTGTCAGCGCGTCGAAAGCGTCTCGAGCTCCGAGATGCGCACCTTGTGTCCGACAGCAAGCTTCAGCTCAGTAGGTTCTCCGAAAATTACAGTTTCCCACTTGACTCCCATCTTGTGTGCTTGCTTCATCCCAATGCCGTCCGTCTGCGGAGAATAAGTCAGCACCTGATCCCTCGCAGCTCACTATGGGATACGGCACTTCTTCGCCAACAACAAAGAGTAGAGACACATCGTCACTCTCGAGCTCCTTAGCAGCTGTGATCTGTGCAGCTACAGATGCTTTTGCCTTCACAAGTCAATCAGCATACTGCCTGACAACAGCATGAACTTCACATACATCACTTGAACCCCGACCGCTGACCCAGTCACCATGGTCCTCGTATGGCAGAAATGGAGGTACAGTGTCAATGTGAGAAGTCAGCAAGACCTTCGTATCACGCTTCTCCCCACGGTAGGCGTAGATGTTCTCACGAGGTCCGTCGTCGATCGGAAGTTTTTCAACCGTGAAGTTGCTCTTCTCGAGGTATTTGTACAAGTATTCTTTATCGCAAGTTTAGTAGGGTGCATACACAGCTAAAAGTGGAACAAACCAGCAACGTCGTGCTCCTGTCCCGTAACGCTAGGGATCTTTACAAGATCGGCATGAAGCGAGAAAAGATCGGATTCAGCTGCCGCACTCTGCTCCATGAGCGGAGTTTGCTTGGCAGCAGCAACAGTCATTGCCAAGGCGGCTGCAAGGGTGAAGATTGACAGCCGCATGTTTGTGGGGGAACAAGGTTATGGGGCCGTTTGGTCGAAGTTTGTACCGGTAAGTCGACCGTGGGGGTGCCTCGGCTGAAGGTACCCGAGACGCGCGCGACGAACATACCCATGTGAATCTACTGTATGCCGGGACTTCAGCCATGGTGTTACGAAATAGATGGATGGTTGAGTGCAATGATGATCAATATTATATTTTTGACACCGCCTAGCAATCTAACCTGCTATAACACCATCTTACAAAATTCCAGCGCGCAGCGCTTAGAAGTTGTGCTGGGATGCGTTGCGGAAGTTCTCACCAGCGTAGACAGCCTCGGAGCCGAGCTCCTCCTCAATGCGCAAAAGCTGGTTGTACTTGGCCAAACGCTCGGAACGGCAAGGAGCACCAGTCTTGATCTGACCAGCCCTCAAACCGACAACGAGGTCAGCAATGAAAGTGTCCTCGGTCTCACCGGAACGGTGGGAAACCATGACACCCCAGCCAGCGTTGAAGGAGTCGTTGGCAGCGTTGATGGACTCGGTGATGGTACCGATCTGGTTGATCTTCAACAAGAGGGCGTTGCAAGCCTTCTTCTCGATGGCGGTCTGGATACGCTCAACGTTGGTGACAGTCAAGTCATCACCGACCAACTGGAACTCAGAGTTGGCGCAGAGGTTAACCCAGGCCTCCCAGTCATCCTGCTCGAAAGCGTCCTCGATGGAGACAATGGGGTACTTCTCAGCGAGGGCAGCGTACTGCTTACCAAGGTCCTCACCGGAGACGAACTTGGAGGGGTCGGACTCAGGGTTCTTGAAGTCAAGGTCGTACTTGTTGTCCTTGTAGAACTCGGAGGAAGCGACGTCCATGGCGATCTTGATCTTACCCTCGTAACCGGCCTTGGAGATGGCGTCCATGATGAGGTCAAGAGCCTCCTCGGGGGTCTGAATGTCAGGAGCGACACCACCCTCGTCACCGACGTTACCGGCGGACATACCGTACTTCTTCTTGGTCAAGGACTTCAAGACAGCGTAGATCTCGGCACCAGCGCGCATGGCCTCAGAGAAGGAGGCGACACCAGTGGGCATGATCATGAACTCCTGGAAGGCAAGACGGCCACCAGCGTGGGAACCACCGTTGATGACGTTGAAAGCGGGAACGGGGAGGACGAAGGGCTTCTTGGCGCCGGAGACGTCAGCCAAGTGACGGTAGAGGGGAACACCCTTCTCGGCAGCAGCGGCCTTAGCGACGGCCATGGAGACACCGAGGATGGCGTTGGCACCGAGCTTGGCCTTGTTCTTGGTACCGTCAAGCTCGATGAGGAACTTGTCGACGGCGGCCTGGTCCTTCAAGTCAAGGTCGGCCTTGATGAGGGCAGGAGCAATGACGTCGTTGACGTTAGAGACAGCCTTGAGAACACCCTTACCACCCCACTGGGACTCTTTGTCACGGAGCTCGAGGGCCTCGTGGATACCGGTGGAGGCACCAGAGGGGACAGCGCAACGGTGGAGAGCACCGTCAGCGGTATAGAGGTCGACCTCGACGGTGGGGTTACCACGGGAGTCGTAGATGGTGCGAGCGTGGATCTTGGAGATGGCCATTGCTAAACGAAGAGGTCAATTGATTTGATCGCGGAGAACTGAGCAGGGATCGAGGGCTATTTACCTTCTGTTATGGTATGGGGATTGTTGAGGTTATTTCTTCGTGCTGCTGTTCGATGGGATAACCGGAATTAGCGTTGGTGTGAGAAAACTCAGAACCAATGATGATAAGATAGCAGATCGATCTGATGATGGTGATGCGATTGACAGTCTGCTGTCTTCTATTTACTATTACAAATAAAACAGGCTCCATCTGTTGGCCTGCTGTGTATATGGGTGGTGTTCGATGCAGTTGGCCAGGAGAGCTGACGTACTTGCGTCTCAATGTCGACCGCGTAACCGCTCCTCTCCACAGAAAAGGAAGGAGACAACTAACAAGATCGAAACAGCAGCAATGGCAGATACGCATGACGAGAGAAGAGAACAAGTCCTCGGTGACTTCAAGAAGAAGCTTCTCGACCATAGGGAGTGGGATGCGAAGCTCAAAGAGCGTACGTTGTCGCTGTCTTCAACCAGGTCTCGATGCTAACGTGTGCAATGCAGTCCGTATGAGCATCAAGGACCTCGACAAGGACTATGAGAAGACAGAAGATGATATCAAGGCGCTTCAGAGTGTTGGTCAGATCATCGGTGAGGTGTTGAAGCAATTGGACGAGGAGAGATGTATGTATTTGTCGGGCTTCGTGAATGTGGTCATGTATGCTAACCAATTGCACAGTCATTGTCAAGGCATCATCAGGACCTCGTTACGTGGTCGGCTGCCGTGCCAAAGTACCAAAAGACAAGCTCAAGCAAGGTGTTCGTGTCTCCCTAGACATGACCACTCTCACCATTATGCGCATCCTTCCGAGAGAAGTCGACCCCATGGTGTACAACATGTCGCTGGAAGACCCCGGAGCTGTTTCGTTCGCTGGTATTGGAGGATTGGGCGATCAGATCCGTGATCTGAGAGAAGTTATTGAGCTGCCGTTGAAGAACCCCGAGTTGTTCTTGAGAGTAGGGATCAAGCCGCCGAAGGGAGTGTTGTTGTATGGACCGCCGGGAACTGGAAAGACTTTGTTGGCGAGGGCTGTGGCATCAACACTTCAGACCAACTTCTTGAAGGTTGTTGCTTCAGCTATTGTGGACAAGTACATTGGAGAGTCGGCGCGTCTTGTTCGTGAGATGTTCGCATATGCCAAGGAGCATGAGCCTTGTATCATCTTCATGGATGAGATTGATGCTATTGGTGGACGACGTTTCTCGGAAGGTACATCCGCTGATCGTGAGATTCAGCGTACGCTCATGGAGTTGCTGAATCAGATGGATGGTTTCGATTACCTTGGACAGACGAAGGTTATCATGGCAACAAACCGTCCCGATGTTTTGGATCCTGCACTTCTTCGTCCAGGTCGTTTGGACAGGAAGATTGAAATTGGTTTGCCAAACGAGGTTGGAAGGATGGAGATCTTGAAGATTCACATGTCGAGCATTGCGCAGGAGGGTGAGATCGATTACGAGGCCGTGGTCAAGCTTAGTGACGGGTTCAACGGTGCTGATTTGAGAAACGTTACGACGGAAGCTGGTATGTTTGCTATCAGGGAAGAGCGAGACTACCTTGTCCAGGATGACTTGATGAAGGCAGTGAGGAAGATTGCGGATGTGAAGAAGCTGGAAAGCAAATCAGAGTACGACTCTTCCAAGATCTAAGGGACGAATGTATGCTGGACGTACGATAGCAGGTGGACAGGATACTTATACCAAAGAGAAGCGGTTGCATTCGCTATTATGTGGAAACCCAAACAAAAAATACACCAATAACGCCGATGATCCTATGACTTTTTGTATACCCCTCAAATGCGTGCATGATTTTAAGCCGAGGTAGGGATTTCGTGCTCGTTCAAGAGCATGTTCGGAATGCCGTCGCGCACCTCGTAAACATGACCGCAGTTTCCACACACCAACTTGCCAGACATGACCTGAGTCTCCAGGAGGACCTCGTGCAATGCCTTGAGCATCTCCTCGTCACGCTCCGGGTCAACGTCCTCAGGCTTCTGCTGTGGGACGTTGGCAGAGTTTCCGAGCTCCGTTGTGGTAGTAAGCAGTGCCGGCCACTCTACCCGAGGAAGGATATTTGCGATGAAGACGGGGTTAAAGTCCATCTCCTGCAGGATCAGCTCGGCATCCTGGAAGTGCAGAGGGTATGCCTTGGGACTGGAGGTGCACCCCTTGGCAGCGCAAGTAAGGAAGTTGACTGCAGGGAGGTCAGCGGTGAAGGAGGGCAATGTGTGAGGGCAGGCAGATCTACCAGTAAGGACCTTGACCATCTCGAGTTGGTGCTCGCGTTTGCAGACGGTTTTGCCGGGAGAGGGAAGAAATACAGGACCTGCATCGCCTGACATGTGAAAGCACCTACTGCTCGGGGACCCACCAAACCCTGTCAACCATGGACAATCCAAACGTCGTTCGGTGAGTTCATTGCCGGATGTATGCTGGATAAATGCTAATAGTCTTGCAGTCCAAAGCCTTCTTACCCCAAAAACTACGTGGATCACCTCGATACAGATGTGAGCGCTGCCTCCCCCGCCGCTCGATTGCAGCGCAGCATGTCCCGCAATCAGTCGTTCGTCTCTCTTACCAAATCTGCGCTGTTCGGTATCTACGAACCTGTCGATGATCAGGTCGAGCCGCCTACGCCCGTTCCATACCAGGGCGACAACAAGTCTTACCCCGTTGAAGCCCGGAAGGTCGAGGATGCTCTGACTCAGAGTCAGGAGGCAAAGTTCTCGTGGTGGATATTCAGCACCCGAATCACATTGATCTTCGGGCTCGGTTATGGGTTTAGCGCGTTGTTTGCAAGCTTGCATTCGCACACACACGACTTGCCGGCGTATCTTTCTGACTTTGCAACATCGCCATATCGAAGCTTAGCATGTGGGCTAGCGGCTGTTAACTTTGGATGTTTGTTTGCAGCGATGGACTACTATAGGAGTATGGACGGGGAGTCGAGAAGCAGTAGCGAAGCGAGCACGCCAGGCAGAAGGGGTAGTCTTACCCTGGATCGTTTCCGGCCAAAGGCGATCGCAGGCGGAAAGGTGCACTGGACGTCGATCATGAGGTGCATCGGTGCTCTGATGGGTATGGGATATGCTGCATCCAAGATTCAGGGATCCGTGGTACAGATTTCTTCCCTTCTCGCGTTATTTTGCAGCATCGTTTGGTTCGTGTTTGACAGGACCCAGGATGGACTGTTGCTCTCCTCTGTCGTGGCGGTCGCGGGAGCTGTCTACGTGAACACCGTCGCCCCAGATGCATTTTATGCTACGGGCACGGGATTGTTCGCAAGCCCAGGCTGGGTTCCAGCAAGCTTGTTTTCCTTCGCTTGCACGTTCGGGATTGTTGGAAGGAGTCTTCTGAACACTTTACCAGCGCCCAAGCGAGAGAAGAGCGCTTGATCGCTTTATTGCACAATTAAATTTTTGCCATAATCTCTTTTCATCCTTTTTGGCGGTCTATGATACGAATACCACATCAGTAGGCCAGACTTTCTGTCCTTGCATCCGCAATTGCGGCCAACATCATTTTCTTCTGAGCGAGTGCATTTCCTTGTTCCACTGTGTCCCGCATTTCCTTCAACCACCTTAATAATTCTCGATACCGTGACTGCTTTGGCAGGAGAACTGCGTGAAATGCTTGTACTCCGAGCCTAATATCCGGTTAGATACGCTCCGGTTGACATTGGCCAGAACTGCGACTTACCATTTGACTTGCTTTTCCGACACCGCAAATTGATAACCTCGAACAGTCTTCTCTTTCCCCGACATGAGGTTATAGAAGACTCCAAGTAACTGCTCTATCGCTTCTGTGACTTTGTCAGTAAGTGACTTAACCCACACGTTGCCACGCGAATACCTTTGACTTTTTTAATTCTAATATCTGTCACTTTGTGCAAAGTACTCAAGTACGCATGTAGCTTCATGGCACATGTCGCGAAAACTTGGTGAGTGTTCGTCATCACCGTGCGAAGAGAGTTGAGTTTAGTGTCGAAGAGCATCGGTTGGCATTGGATACGGAGAGAACTGGCAGCGGAAGTCAGCATGGGCTCCGGGTGACAGGTCGGTATCAACGGCTTACGCGAATATTTTGTTGACAAATGTGTCTCCCGGTCGGCAGTTCATCTCTACTGTCACTGTGTCTGCTTGATCTGCAAAATGATGGTCAGCAACATTCGGCCAACAGCGAATGATTTCCATACGTATGTTTGACTGTCTTTCATCATCCTTCTTGAGATCCAAGGTTGAGGTGTGAATCGTTATGCCGCAGTATGGAAAGCACTGAGTGCCCACTAGCCGTTGAACTTTCTTCCCGGCAACGGTGGACTCGAAATTGACCAGAGTCTTCTCGACATTGATCAAGCAACCATACTCTGGGAAACCTATTCCGCGCATCAGCCAAGACTCGTTGAGAAGGTTGGGCGTCAAACCTCTGTGCATTACTTCGACGAAACGCTGAGCATCATCTCGATCAAGAGTGATGAACAGGAAGTCATCAATGAGGCGGAAGAGAACCTGTAAACTGAAATTAACGGGAATCTGGTACAAGGGCGGCCGGACATACCGATGTCTCGGGATTAATGAACCCGAGATGCTTCTTTTCCAGGTCACCGTAGAAGAAATTGCACAATATCGTCGACAATACCGATCCTTGGGGAATTCCCGTGCGCTGTCGATAGTACTTCCTCCCTATCTTAACCAGATTGTTCTGGATATGCTCCTCGACCATTGCTAATACGTCAAGTCTCTCTTTGTATTTATGAGACACTTGGTCGACGTACACGGTATTCCGCGACTTTTGAGCCATGTTGGCTGCCATTGTAGAGAACGCGCTGATGTCGTCAGCTGGATCCGCTTTCATCGTGTACTTGGTGCCTATACGCGACGAATCCTTCGGCTGAACAGTGACATACTTCTGGAGCATGTATTCGTCCTCTGACAACAGGTTATCAAGCAAATCGATAATCTTTGTTTGGTCGATGGTATCGAAACAGCTCTGTACGTCCGCCTTCACCAAGTATAGGCGACGCCCTTGCCAACCTTTATTCACCAATGTCTGCTTGAACTGTTTCAGCCGAGGGTAGAGTTCACTCACAGAGAAAAGAGACGAGCCCAGGGCAGCAGGGTCGCGTTGCTGCCAAACTTTAGTATGTGATACGCCTGATGCAATGAACGACGTACCTTCTCATAGTTGAGAACATGTAAGACTTGCGTCAACAAAGAATTGATGCTCGCTCCGAGGAACTTTTGCCTGACAATCTCACCCGTTTTCTTATTGATCTCCAAACCGAAGCCTCTCCTTTTAAGGTTCATGATTGGTCTGACTCCTGTCTCCTTCGGCAAGAGCCTGATAAGGGTGTATCCAAGCTGTCGGCGAGCCAAGATACGCAAAGCCTTCGTCTTCTCAACTTCAGCGAACATAGTGGACTTGAGTCTGAGTAATTCCCGATCGCAAATCGCCTGCCATACATCCTGCCGAAAGTATAAGACTTGGTTTCTTTTCCCATTGGCTTCCGTAACGTAGAAGGTGGACCGCAGTAATGGGATCGCAAATGAATCGAAAATCCAGTACAGAAGTTCGGATAAGATTTCGAGCCGTTTCATTGTCTCTGATCGACATAATTTCATGTGCGTGTGCGTTGGTCCAAGCCAGGATAAATCCGTCAACCTGAACCCTTGCAAAACAGTATGCAGTGACAACGTCTCGAATCGGTGAAGCCTAACGAAACCGTCAAGTGCTCGCATAATGAGCAGTCTGTTATGGTGACTTCCCCAGACTTCACGTGGTACGACTGCGGCAACCGCAGCTCGAAGGAATGCAGATACATGGATATGACTGGAATGGAAGGAAGTGACATCTATCTTCCTTCCAGCGAGCTGCTTTGGCACTAACGACACCAGGGGAGAGGAGGTAATTGCGCTCGAATTACCATCAACTTGTGTTGTAAACAAGGCGGAGACAGAAATATCTGGGTCCATAATCTCATCAACGGTGCTTGTGACTCCCGTACTGGTAACAGGACAATAGTGAGAGACCATGGTGGCGTAAGAACAGCTCCTGTGAGACCCCAAAAGCTTGGCTACAAGCGATTGCATATTCCGTAATCGTTCAGGTATTCTCAATTCACCCCGGATTTCAATCTCTTTCTCGCGCAAAGTATAGTCTTGAAATGGTTGGGTTGTCTCCCTGCGATCGACGGTCGACGTGAAGACATTGTGCAGACCGTGCTGTCGGGGAAACACGTATTTTAGGAGATGTGACGACGATGTCGCACGATTCAATATGTGCATGTTGCGGAACCCTAAACTGATATTGCCTCGGGTACTGAAAGAAGGCCGAGCATAGAAAAGTCTCGACCTTACAAAAGTGATCTGGTTGGCTTTATGACTATGGTTGGGTGTCAGCTGCAACGAACGATAATGAACATAGCTGATCTTACATTTGCGGCTGCTTCAGCACTCTTCGACGCCCAACTGGTTGCCGTGGTTCGTGTACTGTAGTGGGTTCCTCCAAGGTAAGGGCACTTCGTGCTCGCCGTATGGACGCCAGCATGAGACGCTTGGAAGGCTCAAGCCCAAACGACTCTGACGCCGAACGTTTCAGGGTAGGCACATGTGCTGGACCTAGAACCTCAACTGAGGCGAAGGTTGTGGAGCTTTTTGCCAAAGGTTTCAAAGAGTAAAGGGGGGTGCCCGTGAGCTGGTAGAAACAGTCATGTGGCAATGCAACGAAGACGCTGCTGTGCATCAACAGATCGTACACAACCGTCCCTCCAGCTCTCCGCGTCACCATCGACCATAGTGGTGACTTGAGCGTATCCACGTGTGTGTTTGGGCACACACTGACAATGTCGGAGCCTAGCGCTCCCATGCCGGTAACGACTATTGTATCGTTTGCATACTGATACCCCTGCGTGATAACATTATGAGGCTTTCCGCGTGCACAAGCAAAATGTTCTTGGATAGCTCGGGATACTAGCTTAATGAGAAGTCAGCACAAGAGAACTTTGCTCGGGGTGACGAAACGACGTACTTCTGTCTGAGTGATGCCTTGATCGAATCTAGGCGATTCTGTCTTTGAATTGAGCAGCAGAACGTCCTGATCCCTCAGGCATACGAATGTCGTCTCCAGAAGCGCTTTGAAAGCATCTGGATCCGAGGGTAAGAGGAGGTTAGTGGACGCGAGTCGTCGGTTGAGGTACTCGTGCAGTGTAAGGATGTTCGGGTAGTAGAGCCCCAGAACGCGTGAGTTATGTGTTGCCATGATCCTTGGCAATCATTCTTATGCCATCGGCTGAACGTTTAGGTGCGGTCGCGGAGGCAAAACGGTTCTCGCAGTGTTTTCGCCATGTAAACGCGTCGGTCAACGCGTCGTACGCCTGGCCTGCATGAGACGCAAACTGGCGCGAGGTTGCTGCAACCAGAAACCTTAATTTTTTTGGGAAAAGGCTGTCTTCCTTGAGAAGATTGCAGATTTGAGCCTGTACCGGGAAGCCCTGATACTTCCTTGGTTGTCTCACTACCAGTACCGAGAATGCAACGGACTAACCCTCTTGACAACCATTATGTCCTCGCGGTCTCTGAAGGTGTTTGGGCTCCTTGGATTGCTCTTTATCAAAGTTGACAGGATCGCCGATAAAGAGCGTGTCATAGGCACTGAATGGACCTTATCTTTTACTCCCGTCCCCAACTAGGGACTCACACTTTTTTCGCTCTGCCCTGGACATCTAGCATCCTTAATAGCTTGCTATTGAAGTGCCGTGTTATACCTCATAGCTTAGCTTAGCCAGTCGATTAGGTAGGCTACCTTCACTGACATACGTACACATACATTCCGTGTTTTAGAAGTCGGAGAATTCTTTCTGGCATTTCTTAAAGACAGGTGTGTTTCGAACTTTCTGATTCAGGTGTCTCTATGCTTCTTGGATATTGTCATTGCCTTTCAATCGCAACCCCATCATCCAACTCCTATTCTCCATGAGATCTGATCTATCCACGAAACCCCCACGTATGTGCGGATCATGGATTACCTCGTCGGGTTTAGTTTAGGATAATTTCTTTGTTGTAAATTAACCCAATTTTATTGCATAGGAAACATGTACACGTACCGTTTGCCGGCCAAAACACTCCATGATCTACGATGAATTCTGCATAATCCATTCTCTGCAATCTGATCCCGGATAATGCTTGATAAAATCTGCACAATCCCATACTTTTCCATGCAAAACCCTAGAGAATTTCACGACACCTCGAAAATGCCAGATTTTATTGGGGAAACACGCAGCGATAATGAGCCGAAAGAGCGAGCGTACCAGATCAATTAATCGTATCATGAGTGGTTCATTAGAGCCCTGGTAGCAATAATGATGTCATATAACCCAGACCTTTAGCACAACGTTACGGTCGTGAGAATCGCGGATTACAAAATCTCGTTTAATCGTGACTTTCAGGACCCAAACCACAGCTGTATCCCGCAAAATCCGCAATATAATCGAGCTTGGCCCCAGAAAAATTGCGGGAGACCAAGTATTATTAGAAGAAAAAAGCGAGAGGTCAACGGGTAAAAATATCGTATGATGAGTATCCTAATAGAGCTACAGTAGCAAGAACCATGGTCCTATAACTCAAGAAGGTGTTAGAACAAACTCAATGATGTAGAAGCAATCTCATATAATTGGCCTTGGTCTTTGCTGCTGATGCATATCGTGGCCTGAGGATTAAGCAATTTTGGAGATTGTTCAAGAAGGTGGATATTCACTAGTTTATATGACCACTTTCCTGCACAGCCCAGCCATGTGCTAAACCATAACAGTCAGTGATAATGAAATAATGATCCCCACATGACCCCTATATGACACCTTCATGATTTAATATGACATCATTAATGATATCATGTGTGCCAATCATGTGTATGTATAGCCGGAGCTCCCTCTGGGTAAATACATGAAGACAGCTGGGTATAACCCGGCTTTCAATATCTCATGATTTCAAGGATCGTAATGAACGATTTTGTCTGGGATATTGGATATGGATTACCTGCTTCGCTAACAGGAACTGTGTTTGATCCATGATTTTCACTTTGTATGGCCTGGCTTGACGTTGGTGTTGATGGACATATGTAGGGACTTAGCTTCTCAGAAAGGGGTGTGCTCTTCTGGCTTATGCGTAGGCTTTTCTGCACAACTAAAGCACGGCGAAGCTTCACTAAATTGGATACGAAAACGATGCAGATACATAACTCATAGAGGCATAGTTATGTATAACACTTAAAACCTGTGGCCCAACCTACGGTCGCGGGAATCAGGGATAATAGAATCAGGTGTAATAGGGGTAGTCGAACCTTAGTAGATTTTAAGTAGGATCGAATGAAATCGCAATTATAACTCCTCAAATTTGACCACCCCTACATGTACTTTGCTTGGTTATTCCTCAATCGTCGCTTTTTGTTACCCAACTTACTTGATCTGCTTATAATCTGATAGATTATATCTCATACACCCACCTTTGAGGTTACAATAATAATCCATGTTTGGATCTGATTCAGCACGGTTACTATGACAAGAAGCAATTGAAAAGAAAGCGGGTCATATCTTACCAGGGATTCACTAAGCCTAATAATACATGACTTGACTTCGTAGGGCTGGGTACAACCCAGGACATGGTTGTTGGGCTTATCCATGATCCCCACGAACGTAGGGGGGACGGTAAATGTCAAATTCAAAATTGTATACGCACATGTGTACGAGGTGTTACAAAGCCGGTTTTCTCCATTTTGGATCCCTGAGCCCGAAGATCACAGTTCATAAATACCCGGGCCGTAGGAATCTCGTGAACACAACCTTACGACCCAGAATATCCGACATTGAGCCAGCTGCGAGTTTTGGTCAGGGCCATCAATTTCCTGGCGATAGCGGCGATAATTCCCAGTCCGGGATTCTGCCCTGCCTGCCTTTATTACTGCATTATGTTGATGACGCTCCCGAAATTTGAGCTTGCACGGCAGCAGCGGAATTCCCGAAATTCCTGAGTCTATACAGGCATCCATTAGCTGCAGAAGCTTAAGGTAGGACCGAGGTTTCCTTGGTGGTGACTTCTTTGCAGATAAGCCCTAAGTTCGCGGGAATCTTGTCACTAGGTCAGGATTAATCCACGGTTTTTTGGTCGTGTAACGAGCCCAATCATATTCTGGATAATCCATGATGAGACTGGGCTTGCTCCCAAATTGTCTCGAGCATTACTAGAAAAGATCATGCGAAAAATGGGAAAAGGTGTGGGTAGAAATTCGTAGTAGTAGTAGTAGTCCAAGAATAGCGAGATTTACCATGTAAAACAGTTTTATTCTGCGTACTCTAAGAGCTATAATAGCAGTAAACATGGCCTATGGCTCAGGATGTACACATATTATTCGCAATTTCCTCGGGTAAGTTGCTGAAGACTTTTTCTTTGGCAGTGATCCAGGATTTTATCTGGGATCGTCATCCATGAGACATGGAAATTAGGCTTTATCCATGATAATAACAAGGATTGTAATTCATGATTATGTCTAGGACTTCCGCCAGGATAGTAATCCACGGTAAAGTGCATAATCCAATTTGAAATTCCTGATAAATTCGCGATTTTGACGTGAATTAGGCACTTGTCTAACAAAATTCGGGTATAATTCACGATTTTATTTTTGCAGGGAAGCTCCTCATCCACCGTTCCGTGTTTCTAGCAAGCTGCTGCAGCGGGGACTGATTACCAATACCCTACAAGACCCCCAAATCCTCCCAAACACGATTATAAAACACGAATAAAATTATCCAGTATCACGAATAGAGTTATTCGAGTTAGTGGGATATTCTGGGCACAATCTGGATTGTTAATTCGTCTTGAAAGTAGAATTTTTTATACGACTTACCAACACTACACTGTTATACTATTCTACCTCATGACTGCACATTCATTTGTCCCATCTATCACAGGTCATCAATCTAGGCCCGTTGATATTATTGAAACTTAGATAAGACCCGAAAATTTCATATGCCCAACATTGCCTCAATTCCCACTGTCAACGCACATATGCATACCATGACGCTTCCTCTCATCTCTCCTTTGTCCACTCAGTCGAGACAAGTTCATTGTCTTCATCATTGTCATCATCATTGTCATCATCATCGTCTTCATCATCATTGTCAACGTCAAACTCCGCATCATCTTGGAAACCGCAATTGGACGTATATCGATTTGATTCTCCTGAAGTGCGCAAGGTCTTCTTTCCGGGCTGTTTCCTACCACGAACCTTCATTGCCATTGGGTCAGGGCGGGTTGGTAAAACCCGATGAGTAGTCGTTTTACTGTTGCTGTCAACAAAGTGCGTGACTCACCCGAATAGGAGGAGACATTAAGCAAGAGTGTCGAGATTAAACAACCATCATGTTAACCTTTCAGCAACAGCGATCATGTGCCCAGTTTGGGTTGAGACAATACAAGCCATAGCATCAGGAGAACAGATGGGAGAGGACCAGGGAGGTGTAGGATTCGATGCTTTCGCCAGTCAGTCGTGAGACACCCAGGGAGATTGAGACGTTGATGGTGGTGGGTTCCTGGTTGGTGCTGAGGACTTGGTGAAATTTGCCAGCGCATCAGCAGTGCTCACATGTCACTCTCGAGAGGCGCAGGCCGAAGAACCGCCACCAAAGACCATTGATCCTCGTCGATCCATCAAAGACCCTCGACCCTTGATCCTCGAAGACCCTCGACGCTCGAAGAACCTCGAAGACCCATGAAACCTAGCCAACCTCACGATCCAAAAAACCGTCAAATAAGGTATTCGTGTACCATGAATTGGAATTCCACTCTACTTGAATACTTTCCCACTTTATTCGTGTTTTTCGTACAGTTGAATGACTTATTCGAGTGCCTTTGCTGGAAGTGGAACATGTTATTCCATATTTGTGCAATCACGAATCAGGTATTCGTGACAGTCGAATTTGAGGGGCTCATAGGGGCAATTCTCATATGCCCGCAGCTGCAGCCGGTGTAGTTCATGAATCATCAGCCAAACGCAGGTTAAACTACTGCGTGATATGGTTTGCAGTCTGCAGTAAACAGAATCGATTTCAATGGGGTGTCAAGTGGGGGCGAGCCGCGGGGATCTCGTCGATCTAAGATAACAAAACCTCAAAGTAATGTTATTAGGCTAGCAGAATAAACCCACGTGGCAGGTCTTGTTCCAATACAACTGTACTGTCCTCTGCAGTCATGGATTGAAACAGTCTTTATCACTCGAGGCAATCCTCGAAACTCCCGGGATCTCTCCATTCCCACGGTTTGCAGTTCTTGCAGTGTGTATGGCGAGCTTATAAAGGAAGCTGGTGCCCTTTTGATAACAATGCAAAGACTTTATGTGACAGGGAAAGATTAGAATTGTCCATAATTTGGTATTCGATCGCAATCAAAGGCACCGGCAAACTCTGCTTCTAAGTTCGTGAACTGCACGTCAATGAATGAAAGAGGTACGTGCGCGCCGTACACATACGCGCCCTGGTCAAACACCAACACCGGCCGGCAGTAACCCGCATACGTGCTCAAGTACGTTGGGCAGATCGGTCGACAATCCTGTCTGGTTTGTGTCCGGAGTTTTTGGTTTCGAGGCGATTCTTTGGCGTCTGATGACGTCCAGATCGCGGTCAAGCGACCCCTCTAGTCTTCCATCCCTATTCGAAACACTCTCAACAGCAACGGGCACCACCACTGAAGACATCGATCTTCAAAACCCGCTGGATTTTGAAGAGATTGACCTTAATGCACCGGTGGTTATAAACAATGTGGGGCCTCCACGAGCCTCCGCACATCTGCACACTGCGTTAACGCCCGGTACATTCTTTCCTGCGTCTAAATCTCTTTCAAATCTCTCGCTTCCACCAGAGCCACCCGTAACAAACACTGGCCGGCGTGCTTCTGCAACAGCACTGCAGTCACAGGGGAAATCACCACAGTCGCTCAAAGCTCGGCAAGATAAGGCTACGTACCTTCAAACGTCAAACGTACAATCGCCGACACTCAACCCACGGAGGAGGTCGTGGCTTGGAGGATCCGCCCACCAACGCACGTCGTCTGAGATTGATCGCGAATACGATTCGGATGATAGTGTACCATCGGAAACCGTCTTACACAATGGTGAGTCTGTTGAAGTCCCGTAAGGCGCATACCTACTGACAATCTTTTAGTGCCGTGCTCCGCCTCGTCTGCAGTCGAGCAGGTCTCTCCCGACAGGTCGTCAATGCAATCACCGGTGTCATTGAGAAATAACAGCTACGCGGACGAGATGGGCAAGGATGCCCGGCATATCGCTCGTGCTTTGGATCGTAACAGGGAGAATGCGGAACGAGAGTCGAGCACAAGACCTCAGGCTGTAAGGAGCATTTCTTTCGTCAAAGAACTCCAGCAGCGGAAAACCACCATGACGGCCCCCGTACCTGATCCTGTACCCGTGTCAAGGGAGAAGCAAAAGGTGTTATCGCTGACCCGCCCCTCATGGTTGCCGCCAAAAAGCAAAGACGAAGAAAAACGGCATCTTGCAGAATACGAGAGGATGATGCAAAAATCGAGAGATTCCGAGCGGAAAGCCCAAGTTCGTCAGGAACGAGATGAGGCGGAACGAGAGAGAATGCGTGCAGATATATCTTATGTGTGGGAGACACGAGTACTGCCCAATTGGCGGACAGCTGTGCGAGATCCACGGATCAGGGAGTTATGGTGGCAAGGTATACCTTCACAACTACGTGGTAAGGTCTGGGGTCGATGTTTCGGCAATGCTTTGTCAGTCGTTCCAGATTCATTTCGGTTGGCATCAATGCGAGCAAATGAAGCCAAGGCAGCGCTGGTGGGCGACAACGACGAAATCTTGACGACCAGTGAAGTCACCGTGAGGGAACGCGTTCGTACTACGTTGTTACTAATTGTTGGAGAAGTTGAAATGACACTTCCGGAACTGAAGATGTTTCAAAAGGGTGGGGTTCTGCACGAAGACTTGTGCACCTTGTTGGAGGCTTATGTGCAGTATCGCTCTGATCTTGGCTACGTTCCAGGAATGTCTCATCTTGCCGCCTTGATGCTACTGAACATGACACCTCAGGAAGCGTTCATCGCGCTGGCAAATCTTCTCAACCGGACTCTCCCGTTGGCCCTTTATACGAACGATGAGGCTGTTGCCAGTAAATACAGAGCTGTGCTCGAGAAGATGCTATTGGAGCGACTTCCTCAGCTGCATTTCCATCTGCACAAGAAATTGGGATTGGTTGTTGCAGATTACTTTGATCCCGTTGCCATGCCTTTGTTTTCAGCACACTTGCCTGTCGATACTGCTTCAAGGCTTGTTGACATATATTGCTTCGAGGGTGATGGCTTTTTGCTGCGGTCATTCATCGCTTGTCTTGTTGCGCTGGAGGATAGGCTATACGGAGACAGGGACGAAGTTGCTAATGTGCTTGGATGGCAGGCAGCACAGTGGAATTTGCGGAAGACGGACAATCAGTTTTTGAGTATCATCCGTGGGGTTGGAACGGGATCCTGATCGGAATGCGGTAATTTTGGAAATATCGGCGTATTGGCTTCTTATCATATCTGGCCCCGCTTAGGGAGCTGCAAATTAGTATACCATTTTTTCCCATCTACTAGCTTGATCCATTCGTATGCAATTCACGCTCAATTCGATTCGTCTTTGATTTCTGATTTCACTTCACCAGCGTTCTCCACCGGAGACAGGTGATCACTGAGGACCTTATTCTAAGGATGACGTTAACACCGAGCAATAAGGGTATATGCGTTGAGCTCTTACCATGGAGAACATGTGTACTCTCGCTGTTTTGAAAACCGCTTTCATCTTGTCGTCACAATTGATATATCTCCCGTCAGCAGGATCTTGTAAGCTATTGCCTTTGACGTATTCCCATATTTTCTTCACAGTCTGTGGTCGAGAGCACTATGCACGATGTCAGCTATATGATGGTAAAGGGACTGCCAGGCTGCTTGTGCGTACTTCTTTCTCACCCACAAGTTCGGCGAGAGTAGGGGATAATGCCATCGGTGCGTTGAATGCCGAATTTGGATTGACCTTCCGCTTCTTCTTAGGAGCTGCATCTTCATCCTCATCACCGCTCACTTCAGCCTTTGATTTTCTCTTGACTTTGGCCTTCTTCTTCGCTGGTTTTGCTTTTCCGTCCGCAGCTCTTGTTGATCTTCTGGAGTTGAAGCTAGCCTGAAGCTGAGCGGCGTAGGCAGCGTCCGCGTCCATATCTCCATGAGGCTCGTCTTTGACCCCTCGTGAAGTTCTCCGCTGTCCCTCGCTGCCCGACTCGTTCGCGCTTTCTCCTGCTTCCTCCATTTTGACGTCATGTTCCTCTTCTTTCACCTCCGGGTCCTGGTTAACAAGCTCGTTGTAGCACTCCATGATCATTGCATCAACTGAAGAGAGCGGTCAGAAGGTATTAAAACTTGTGTCTGCAGGCTGAGCTCACCTGCTTCCTTGTATTCGGACAGATCGACACGGAACTCCTTCTGCAACGTCTTGCGAACCTTCTTTGCCGAGATAGAAGACAGGTCGGCATCCTTCAAGATGTCCTTTACGCGCGGGGTGTATGTGCGTGTGTCGAATCCGGCCATTGCGATGTTGCAGGCGCTGTCCGCAGAGCCGTCGAATGGTTGCAGTTGCAGTTGCAGTTGCAGTTGGTGTAGCAGCCAGCACACCCGATACAGTATAGTCGAGTTCTAAAGTCACAAAGTCCATACGTGTTGGAAGAAGAAGAATAGTATCGTTAATCGCTACTCGCTAAAGTAAAGAAAAAAGTCTCATTCGTATTGCTAAGGAGGTTCAAGGACAAACGAATCACCGACACTGGGAGATGCCGAGCGTCGTATAACTGATGTTGAAGTTAGATACCGATGAGCTTGTTCAATCGCTCTGACGGTGTTTGGGCATGTTCATAATGGAAGGTGTTTGCGGTGTCCATGGGTGCGGCATACATTTGTCGGAAATCCTCAACGCAAAGTCGTTTGCCGGCTGGAACGCTGAAACTGAGTGATATGGTATGACCGGATACAGCTGCTCTTTTGTGCATGGAAGACACGCGACCATCCAACATGGCAGGCGCGGTACGCGTAGAGCCGTACAGTCGCTGCTCTGTGCAGGGGTCTAAGGTCCGCCACATAGTCTCTCCCTGCTTGAGACCTTCAGATCCATAGAGTCCGTCATACAATCCCGAGGGGTCGAGTTCCTCATCATCACTGTCACTGTCACGCGCACGGCAAAGGTCGACCAGTCTGTCAACTGCAAGTTCGTCCGTACGCTCATTCCCGTGTTTGAGATAGTCGTTAATATAAAGCAACGAGTTCAAGGGTGGCCCGGTATAGTCGCAGACTCCGTAAAACTTGCAAATTGCTTCCGAGGAACTTAATGGTGGTGGACTGTAGAGAGCCACTTCCTCCGCCGAGGCCTTGCGTAAGCCGAGGTCAAGCTCTTTGGCAGAGGTCACCAAGTTACACAAGGCCTTAGCCCGGCTCGGCTTCACAGGATGAGAAGGGGTGCATTCATGAGGCATTGCTCCTGGATGAGGGAAGCGAAACTGCGTCATCAAGTCAGGCGGACCACGAAACGGCTCCTTGCCCGTGTACTCGGTCATGAAAATGTCAAGGTGCATCTTTGAAGTGTCATTTTTGGCGTTTTTCGGACAAGCATCGGTATTGAATGCGGATTGTTGAGTAGCAGCTGCTGGAGTGATAGCTACCACAGACGACTTCGAGCGGAAGGGAAGGAAGCAGAACATTAATAGAGGTTGATAAAGCGATTGAATGCGAGCAATTGAGCTAATGAATGCTGTTTTGATGACAGTTTGAGGAAGCAAGAAGAGTGTTGTTTGTGCAATGTGGGAAAGGAGGGCCGACCTTATATGCGCCCGATCAATCTTAACCCTGGACCGTTAACGTTCACATGTCACATACGAGGCTGTCGCTCATCACTTGAAACGATGATGAGGTCTGTATACCGCGGAGAACACGTCCTATTTGAAAAAGTAATAGTAATCCTTCAGGTCTGATAACGCAAGTTGCAGTTGAGCTCCTGCTTCACTTCCTCGTGTGATTCTCTGCTCCCGTTCTCCTTTGAGTCATCTCGTTAGGTTGTCTCAATAATTCTCAGCTCATTCTCTCACCTCCTCCGCGCAGACCCCCCCTCATCTCGTAATTTAGAGCCAAGGTGACGGCTTGCGTCTCAAGATGCGGCAAACACGCTGAAACTTCGTCTCAGCAAACTCTGAGGGCCTCTGCATTTGTAACTTCAGCTTCGTCATGTCACACGGCTTCTTCCAAAACTCCGCCCACTCGTACTTGATACGCGCCTCCTTGGCAGCCTTAAACTCCGCCTTGCGCTCTTTCTTGATTTTCCTTGATGCAGGAGCAATCCAGGAGTTCCGGCGACAATCGGAGATTTCGATGCTTCCCGGACGGATGTATTTGGGGGCGGCTTCAAGGGACTTGCGAGGACCACAGTTCAGCTCGATCTCGTCGCGAACGTAGACAGTTCTAGGGAGGCTGTCGAGATCGACCTTCTTGTAAAAGGTACCTTGGTACGGCTGGTAGTACTTCGTAGAGAACACCTGCTGAAGATCGGCGGAGGACGCGTGGGAGCGTTTAACAGGAGACCTCAGGTTCGATTTGCGACGGGAGCAAAAAGAAATACCAGAGTCCGTAGATGAACGACTGAGTTCCAGCTCACTGTCCTCATCAAGGACCTCTGTGATTCCGCAGAGTCTTGTCTTCTTCTCGAGAACCTTGGCGAGGAACATGCGTCGTCGTTTACTCAGGGCGAACTTAGCGGCGTTGTCGAGGTCGCCTTTGGCGGTCTGATAGATTTTCGCGAAGTTACCGAGGGACCATTTCATCTCATTGAACCTTTCGTTCGTCTGCCTTTTTTGGATCTCCTCGAACGCGTGCTCGCGAGCAGCAAAGGTACTCATCCTAAGCTTCTCCTTCTGAGCTTTGGCTTGAGCACGAATGAAAGACATGACTGGGAAATAGTTTTCGAGGATAAGTTGTTTGTAGTAGTGATGATAGACTTTGGTGAAAGAGTATATTTTCAGAGAATGTTCAGAGTTGTGGTTTGTGGGTAAGTTGGTTAGAGGAGGAGGAAGTGTAGAGGCTTGGAAAATTGCAGGTCAAAAAGACGGACGGCATCCTTTGAGCCAAGCTGCAGCTGCCCAAAGAGGCATTCGGACAGTCGGTGACGTTTTTTGGTGACAGTCGCGCGTAGTCCTTTCGTCTGCCGCAATAGGCAATCCTCATACGCACATCGGCGCTAGCGGGTAACGACGATTACACCTAAAGCGCATTTGCCGAGTAGCACGTGCATACAGATGTTGGCCTAGATCGTACGCGATCACGAGCCCCAGGCCATCCAGCTCCTCTCTGAACTGGCCAATAACATATGTATCCTTGTATTGTGTAGCAGAATGTCACGAGTTTCTGGTTGTCATTGAATGTCTATCTAAGTGATCAGCTCACTCAAACGACGTCTCTACCCAATATCCTGATAGCAATATAATGAAATGATATGACGATTGCCGATTTAACAGTCACACGATCCACGCTCGTTCAATATATCGTACAAGTTGTAACGTCGCATCACAAATTTAGTTCTTCTTGATGTCGATCTCCTCTGCACCAATGTCCTCCAGGCTACCATCCTCTTGCCCCGTGCTTGCCTTCATAAGTTCATAAAGCTGAAGAAATCATCATGAGCAATCAACAAACAACGAACAGAGCAGATTGTAGACGTACCTGTCCGTATTGTTCATTCGAGAGCTTGGCTACTTTGTGCTGATCAATCTTTGCAGTCAGCCATCTGTCGCCTTCAATGTCCTGGCAGTAAGCCTGGTGGTAAGAGTTAGAAGGGTCATGGGAAGAAGGGTTAAGAGCTAACGCACCTGCCAGGACGACAAGAAACCGATAACGTAGGCAGGATTATCTACGTCTCTTTGCTTTGGTCAGCAACTTCCGAGGAAGCCACGCGTAACCACTCACTTGTGCAACCTGAACTCCTGTTTCACATAAGAATCTCCAAGTAATCTTTGCTCAACTGGAAGGCGACGATGCGCCCGCAGAATCTTGCGGTACAGAGGGATTGCTGTAAGAAGAGCGGGCGGCGGAGGGCGGATACTGCGAGCTTTGGCAAGGGCAACGAGTGAGGAGCGCATGTCTGAAGAACTTTGAGAATCGCGGTGCTGGAACAGGCCGGTGATGGTGTAACAAATGTCGAGGACCTTTCTGACTTCTCTTCCGTTTCGCCGCCGAGCCTGACAGCGTACGTATGGCATGCGCCACACTGTGCCACGAAGCACCGCCGGCACATGCCGTATACAGCAGCACCTGGGCAGTTCACCACCACAACCATCAGCAATCAAGATGAACCAGCCAGACCGCTTCGAGACTTTCTACACAGAGCCGGGTGAGATCAAGTGCGTACAACGCCTCAGTTACCTAGGTGAAAGCTTACATGGGCTCCTTGCAGACTCAAGATCGAGCCAGACTCGAAGCTACCAAATACAGTCACCGTAACTTTTGACAAGGAAGATCATACACTGGGGAACATGCTTAGAGCGTAAGCTGCATATGTTACTATACCTGACATGTATCACTAATATGGATTGCAGACAACTACTCCAGAACGAGCACGTAATCTTTGCTGGATACAAGGTTAACCACCCGCAATTGTATAACAGCTTCTTTCTTCGCGTGCAAACAGCCGAAGGCCACGAGCCAAAAGACGCCATTATGAGCGCGTGTCAGTCGTTGATCGTTCATCTCAACGATCTCAAGTCAAGGTTTCAGGAATCTTGGGCGCTCAGGGGTGCGGTAGCGGACGCGATGGAGGAGTGAACGAAGACATGATGTTAAAATACCCCATCTGAAGGATCACAAGGGAAGCCAGCCGATCGTGATTGTCAAGGTGTTCCGCGCGTCCCGTTATGCAAGTGCTGCCAAGGGAATACATTTGAATTAGTGAACTAGCAGAACAACGAGTTTTTGAAATGAAAACCTTTACCCTACATCATCTGCCTAAAGACACCTAGTTGAGAACACGGCCTGCTACGGCAGCTCCGCTCGCGTCCTTAGTCTGAACCTTCCGCAAAGCTCTACCAGTCTGAATCTGACCAAGCAAAGCATTGCGATCTCCAATGGGAGCAGGAGGAGGTGGTGCGCTACCAGGCGGAGGAGGAGGTGGACCCGGCGGTCCACCCATAGGTGGAGGTGGCGGCGGCGGAGGAGGAGGTGAGCCCGTCATGCCCAGAGCACCAGAGATTGAATCGGTCACGCTGTGAATGCCCTCGGAGATAGTAGCAATGATACCATGCGGCTCCTCCGCCTGTGGCAGCGGCGACTTGGAAGATGGAGCAGGCGAAGCAACGGCTCGCTGAGGAATGCCCATGGAACCAAATAGGAGGGAAGCCAAATGCGCCGGATTGCGCCCAGCAGGGACATCATCGTCATCAGAACTCGAGTCACCCTCGTCGTTTTGAACGACATCCCAGTCATCAGAGCTGTCACGCGAGTGGCCACGCTTCATCTCAGGTACGGTAAGGTTGCTCGCGGTACTCTGGGAAGTCAAAGACGAGGTATTTGCCTGTCCAGCAAGGCGGAAGAATGGGTTGGTGGAACCACTGTCATTGGTGGGCGACACGACAGAGGCAGTGCTTTGACTCGCAGCACCTGCACGATGGAACGGGTTCGTAGAGACTGGAGCCTGGGCTACAGCCGGTGCCGCGGGTGCGGGAGGAGGAACATCTTGAGGAGCGGGAGGAGCGGGAGGAGCCGCAGGCGGTGGAGGAGCCGAGGTAGAAGGCGAAGAAAGCTCTGCAGGAGTATGCTCATAACCACCATCGTCCGATGATGACTCGACCTCTAAAGCTTCCATCTCCCTTTGGAGTCTCTCTTCTTCAGCCTTCCTGGCTTCCACCTCAGCACGCATAGCAGCCAAACGCTGCTCACGCTCGTTAATCTCCTGCCTGGCAGCCTCACGCCTCTTAGCTTCCTCTGCTTTCCTCATCTTTCCGGCCTCGACTTGCTCTTTCAACTTCTGCATACGCTCCTCTTGAGCTTGCTTCTCGCGCATGAGTTCTTCCTCTTCGCGGCGTTCCTGCTCTTCCAAAGCATGCCTGTGCGCCTCCTGATCGTCCTGGGCGGCCTTCAAGGCAACCTCTTCTGCGTGCTTGTCTGCCTGAGGCTCGGATTGAGCAACCTCACGAGGAACCTCAGGGGTAGCTACTGGCCCCCCTCGTTCGTGAGTGATGCGCTGCTGGCGGGCCTCCTCTCGTTTCTTGTCCTCGGCTTCTGCACGTCGAGCACGCTCCTCAGCCTCCTTTCGCTCACGCTCAATGCGCTCAGAGGTAGGGTCAGCTGCGGGTCGGGTAGTCGCGGTGGAGACGGGACGAATGCCGAGAGCGGCCAAGCGTTCAGCCATACGGCGCTCGGCCTCTGCCTTGAGCCATGCAGCGCGATCCTCAGTACCTTGGGGAGCAGCGGGCTTCGCCGATGTAGGAGCCGCCGCTGGGACAGTGGCAGGCTCGGAGCTACCGTAGGTCTTCTGTGGAGCGTCATATCTGCTAGCATCAGACGAGGGCTCTCTCGCAGCTGACCTGGACACACCGGACCTACTCTGCCTCTGCAAGTCGAGAATGAAGTCACGAACTTCGTCCTCGACTCCGAGACCTTCTTCCCATCTGCGACGCTCGTGCTCGCCTTGAGTACCATCGGTGTTGCTGGACAACAATGCACGTTCAAGGTCAGATTTAAGCTGATCAGCACTCTCGACAATGCCCTGAATCATTCTCTCATTGCTTTCGCGCTGCCTCTCAAGGGTTTCTTGCTCGGCACTCAGCCTTTGTGCAGCAGCCTCGCCGCCATCATCTGTAGGAGGAGCCGGACCGCCCGTCAGGGCTGCCATACGAGCCTTCAGCATGGCCGCTGCTTTTGCCTTACGCCTATCAGCTTCCGTGACCTGACCATTAGGCCCAGTTCCGGTGATGGGTGGACTTGAGTTCGGGTTAGCCTTCGCATCCTTCAACTTGAACAACTCAAGCTTCGCGTCAGCAATTTTCTTCTCCACGCTGCGGATCTTGCTCGCAAGTTCGGGCAAACGGTCAGAGAAGTTCTGCAACTGCCTGGCGAGAGCACGCTTCTCAGCGCTAGAATCGAGATTACGAGTAGCAGAGTTAGGGTGACGCTCAATATCCTCTTGAATCCTGCGGAGACGGCGATAGAGCTCATCAGCCTCATCACGGTCCCTGCGGTCAAGGACTGAATCAGCCTCATGAGAGTCCTCGTCACGGATATCAATGGCATCCAACAAGATCTCCTTCTCCCTGATGCGCTTCCGCAACTGGTCCAAGCGATCAAGTCTGCTAGTTGACTCAGTGGGCGTTGGACTAGGACTCCTTTCACGAGAAGCAGGGCTGTCAGTACCGCGACCAGTGCGGCGACGAGCGCTAGAGACGTAGGCACTGTCATCGTCGTCGTGCTTGTAGACAGTAGCATCCTTCTTCAAAGGCTGATCGTCACTACCGCGGAGCGAGCGGCTCTTCATGTAGCTCACACCAGTAGCCTGGGGTTGCAACCCACCGACGGCCCTACGAGAAGAAGCGTCATTACGAAGGTAACCCTTCATCTGGGAAATAGAATCCGTAATATTGCGGTGGGACGGCGGAAGGAGTTCAGCAGGAAGACGTGCCGGGATGTCGTAACCGTTGAGCTTGCGGTAAATCAGATGAAGTGCGACCGCAAACTCATCCTTGTTCAACTTTCCTCTGTCTCCAGCATCAGCCAAAGTCCAGATACGCTCGAGGTCCTCCCTCGGCAGTCCAGACTGTCCAAACACCTCGATAGCAGTTTCACCGCTAATAAAGCCACGGTTCATGCCATCCCAGGCATTGAAAATGTTATCGTAAATCTTCTTCTCGTCCTTAGTCACGGACCAGGGGATAGTCGCGTTACCCTGCAAACCTGCTGTAGTAAAAGAACCGGCGTCAAGACCTTGCTGCGGCATAAGTCGTGACGAGAGCATGTCCATACCAGCAAGGCCACCAGCTGGGCCGTTAATGTAACCCCACTGTCCAGGACGACCTGTAGGCTGGGACTGCAAGGGCGCCATGCCCGTCGTCTGAGACTGGAAGCCGGTGGGTTGAGGAGCAAGGTTAGAGCCAAGGAACCCAATAGGCTGCGAACCGAGCTGAGGTTGCGCGATAGGCTGAGCAAAACCAGTGGGTTGTGAGAGCAAACTCGATGACTGTAGCTGGAAACCAGTCGGCTGAGGGTTCAGGTTTGACAATTGAGACAGCGTACTGCCACCGGTGGGCTGAATGTTGATTTGAGGCGTGCCCGTTGCCGCTGGGCTGACTGAAGGGCTGGAAGAGAAGAAGTCGGGAGCGTTAGGGTGCCTATCAAACGAAGCACTCGGTCGCTTAGGTAACGGAGGAGGCTGCTCCATCTGCAAATCAGGAATCATCTCGACAATGCGGTCGATCATACTGGTAACTTCGTTGCGGACGCGCTCAGGCAATGCATCTGGGACAGGTCTGTTGGTCAACCCAAGGTTGCAGAGATACATCGCAACTGCAAACTCAGGGAACATAAGCTGTCCAGACTTTGTAGTATCAGAGATAGCCCAGATCTTTTGAAGAGTGGTGGGCGGCAACTTCGACCTCAGCAAGATCTCCTTGCATTTATCCCCTGAAAGTGCAGCTTCAGATCCCGCAGCGGACTTGAAGAGCTGCTCAAACTTGGCCTGATCGGCCGCAGTGATAAAGGACAAGCGCAAGTTGGGAATCTTGGCAGCGGCGGGCTGGGACGCCGGTGCCGGAGTCGGCTTCTGCTGAGGAACAAAGCCGGTAGGCTGAGGTGCAAAGGGTTGTGCATTCGGAGTCTGCTGCTGGAAGGTCGACATGTTCCCACCCGCAAAGAAACCCGTAGGTTGGGGCTGCATCATACCACCACCGAGGCCGGTACCTTGTGGAGAAAAGCTGGTAGACTGACTTTGGAGGGACTGAAACCCGGTGGGCTGCGCCCCAAGTTGAGCTTGGAAGCTTGTAGGCTGAGGTCCGAGCTGCGACTGAAAGCCAGATGACGGCTGCGGGGCCATTAACCCTGTATGTTGAACTTGCATCGGTTGCTGCATCTGCTGCTGCCCGGGATAACCCTGGGGTTGTTGCTGTTGTTGCTGATAACCATAGCTTTGCTGTTGCCCATATTGGCCAGAGGGGCCTCTAAGGGCATTAGGGTTGTACATTGTAGATGTTGATCGTGGTGTAGCGTTCCGACGGTTGGACGGGCTGCGGAGGGGAAAGCCAGTTAATATTTAACCCAGGGGGTGCGAATTAACTCAGCGGAACAGAAACCGACGACGCACTGCAGAACCCGACGCTTACGTTCCCCGGTGGTACGCTCAGACACCCCGCACAACTCCAGACGACGAGCAGGAGAGATCAATGGAGGACAGACAACAGCAGCAACGACCGCAGTTACAGGAGCGGCAATATACCTATTCGGTCCTATCGCATGCATCGCCCTTCGAATCGCAGGTCGCTGGGCACGAAGGTCTGCTCGAGGATGATACCGGATTGTTGCTGATCAAGCCCTGCACGAAGACCGAGGTGCGATTCTACGACGAGTCCGTCAATCACCCCGAATTACGCGAATGGATGCCCGCATACATGGGGTCATTACAGCTCGGTCTACCCGAAAACGTATCAAGAGAAATGATCCCCGAGGAGGCATCAATACCGGCGATAGAGGACGATAAAGGCGGCGGAGGCCGGCCGAACAAGAAGCTAGAGCAAGCTGTCGTACTGGAGAACTTGACCAACGGCTTCAAGCGCCCTTGTGTCATGGACATCAAGTTGGGATCACGGCTGTGGGCGGACGATGCAACGCCAGAGAAACAGGCAAGGATGGAGCAGGTATCGCGAAATACCACAAGCGGTGTCATGGGAATGCGGATCACCGGAATGCGCGTGGGTTTATAAACACCCCTACTTTCGCGGAACTCCCCAGTTAATTTGGACGTATAGGTCTGGCGCGCCGAACAGTGTTCTTTTGAGGTCTTTCCGAAATCCTACGGCAAGTCTCTGACTGCATTGACCCTTCCCGCTGCCCTCCGACAATTCTTTTCTGCGAGACTGCTGCCAACGCAAACACCCCTTATCCTTAGCCGTTTTGTGGAGGACGTCGAACTCATCATCGCTGCCCTCAACGAAGAGGAGCTGCGTATGTTCTCCTGTTCGTTACTTTTCATTTACGAAGGTGATGCAGGTGCATTAAGCGAAGCCATTGCCGAAGAAGCAAAGAAGGTCATCAATGAGGAACTATACCCTCCGAGTGACAGCGAAGGAACACATTCTGAGGAAGAAATAGAAGAGGACGAGGAAGAAGAAATCAAGAAAGTCATAGAGCTGAGATTGATTGATTTTGCTCACGCCAAATGGTTGCCTGGGGCAGGCCGAGATGACAATATCTTCCGGGGCGCGAAGAATGTTCTATATCTACTCCGTGACGTTCTCGCAGAAGTCGAAGCCGAGGATTTGGCCGAAGAAATAGAGGGATTTGCATAAAGCGGGTATGATTGTATGATTACTAAAAATACGAGGAGCTGGATTCTTCGGTTGCATGTGTGAGATAGAGAGAGTGATGAAGAATGCTTAGACTGCATTACTAATCAAGTAAACCTTTATCGAGTACTGTCGTCCAGTCGTCTATCCTATAAAATACATGCCTGTCCTTTGCCCGCTCCAGATTGCACCCGTCTAACCCCTCATGGATCTCAATGCCCAAATTCTGGCAGGTCTTCGCCAAACTTCCGCTTCGACCAAGGACAACTCCAATGTCCGCCTCAAGCAGGCATGGCAGATCCGTGTTACTATCTCCAGCATAGATCACCTTCTTGCCCTCCCTACCTCCTTCCCTCTCCATAATCTCCTTCATCACTCTCAGCTTATCCATCCCAGTCCTAATGCCCTTATCCAACTTCTTGCTCAACGCACCCGTCCCCTTCCCATTCTCGTCCATCATCACTTCATTAGCGTACACCTCGAACAACATATCGTGTACCCTACCCTTCGCAAGAAACGTCTCAATGAACGTCTTGGACCAGTTCACAGACACAATGATGACTTTTACATCACCGACATCCGAGTCTCGCTGTAACCTCTGCGCAAACTCCCACCAACCCGTTCTTGCCCTCGCGTTCTTCGATTGCTCTCTGACTGCCTCAACAGGAACACCCTTAAAGAGGCCGGAGTTCTCGACTCGGGTGACTGAGGCAATCTCGATTGGCCCCATCTTACTCAGGTAGTCGAACTGCTTCTCGATCGTGTCCCGTGGCCCGTACGCCTTCTCATGCTTATCGAGGTCAGCAAGGTATGTCTCGCCAAAATATGACCACGGTGGCATCTCCGGAGAGATGTCTGGTTGAGTGTATGCGGCATCGGCGATCAGCCCCAGTGTATCACCTATTGGTTCATACGATCAGATCAGGTCCGTCGGTACCGGCGGGCTGGTAGGCTTACTCTTGGTGATTGTCTCATCCCAATCACAGAAGAAAAGCGTTTTCGTCATGGACTGTGTGCTGAAGGGGCGGATATGTGTGAAAGTTCGAAGGGCCCTCCGAAGCATGAAGGTTGGGGTTGTCACCGTGACGCAGATCAACGCAACAACGGCGATGGTACAAAGCTTAAGCTGCCACCGAGGCATATGTATGTACATGTATGGGTTTCACCGGTACTTGCACTGAAGGCATGACGTGCAATCACTGTACAGACAAGCATAAGGAGAAGGATTTTTGCGTTGACGATCCAATTCTCCATAATTCTTAAAAATGCGATGATAATGCCCAAAATGCGCCGAAACAACTACGAAGATACTATCCATCTACTCAGTTCTCATCGTCAACAGAGGTGGCACCTCCCTTCTTGATGGTGAACACCACAACTCCGTTCTTCGCCTTCTTGACCTTCTTCCAACGACCCAACCTATGCTCCTGACCGACACCAGCAACAATGGTAATGGTTTCAGACCCTCTTGGACCAGTCTCATCAATCTCCAGCGAGTTGACTACTCCAGGGCCGACTGGCAGAGCGGTGATGGGCTCGATTGTCTTCATACCAGGAGTAATTCTCCATACACGGACAAATCCATCCCATGATCCAGACACGAAGACATCAGAGTACGGCAAAGACGCAAGAGCCGTAATCCATCTAGGCTGCCTCGGTGCGGGAGCTTCCGCAGATGGCTCCACCTCGGCGGAGTGCTCCTCTGGCTTCAATTGCTCATCGAGGCCGTGTGCAGTGGGCCAGGTAAACTGCGCCTTCTTCTTCTGCAGCGTCCACAGCGAAATAGACCCGTTGTCGGATCCGGTAAGGAAATGCTCCTCATCCACTTGCGCAACGGTGTCCATGCTACCCTCAGTATGCGAGTAATCCAAAATCTCTCCGTTCGGACCCTCACGCTGCTTTCGCTTCTTGCCCTCTCCCGGACCATCACCACGGAGCACAAGCTGAGTCTCCTCTACGATTTTCCACACACGAGCAGTCCTATCCCGAGCTCCCACAGAGATACAACGCTCCTGAGCAAGCGCAGCAATGTCCACAATGCCGTCCTGGTGACCGAAGAGTGTCTCGACATAAGTCATTCCAGACAAATCCCAGTGCTTCACCGTTCTGTCGGCACTGGCACTGTACATGGTGTTCGTACCTCTGCGGAAGGCGAGAGAATAAACAGTGTCGCGGTGATGGCGGAAGATCTTGGCGAAGGACAGGTCATCCGTTGAACGGACGACGATGCACTTGTCGCAACCAGCCGACGCAACCCATCTGCCATCTCCACTGACCGCCACAGACAACACATCCTGAGTATGCCCCTCAAACGTCTCATCACCTTTGCGACCCTTGCGAACAGTCCTCACCCTCTTCGGCTCCGTCGGGCTCGAAAGATCCCACTTCGCTACCGATCCGTCCTTGGCCGAGGTGTACATATAAGGCAGCTTCATTGCAACCGAGGTGATCGTCGACATAGGGTTCCGTGCGTGTCCCACTTGGGTTGGTGTCGAGAAATCGTAGGCGGAGCTGACATGTCTGTAAACCCGTCCCTTGCTCTCCGCAACATCCTCCTGAAGACGCTCAGCCAGGTAATCCCGATCCACGTCCTCTGCGTTGAAACCGCCCTCATCCACCTCATCCTGAACCTGTTCCAAGTACCGCTGCGCCAACCTTAACCGCTTCTCCGCCGCCGTCTCATCCTTATCATCCTCACTCTCCTCCATGTCATCGTCTCCCCGTCTGTGCTCCAAATCCATATCATCAATATCCTCGGCGCCCATATCCGCATCATCGTCAACCTGTTCCTCTTCCTGCCCACGGCCGCCTCGACGGCCAGCCGGTGCCGGTGCATTGTCTCGAGGCACACGAGAGGTGACCTTTGCCGGCCTCTTGCGCTTGCGAGTGGAGGCGAAGAATGGATCAGACATGACTGTTGGTTCCAGCTACGTGAATTTGCCGAAGATGCGTTTTACTGCTTCTTGCGACTTTTCTGTCTTGCCCCTGGAACCTCGAACTTTTACTGCGCCACGCACTCGCCACACCTTACATGAACGAGACCAAGTATACGATGCAAAGCAGTGGTATATTGGAACACTATAAGACAATATCCGCCTTGTTCTCGAAGCCTTGTATCTCACATCATTCTCATGCCTCCCGTCATCCCTTCCCTTGGCTTCCGCTCAGTCCCTCGTGACATATCCTTCAACCCCAAACTTGTCTATCTCCTCCTTTAAGCCTCAAGCTCACGGACGCCATCTTTGTCAACAACCTTCAACAAGAAACCTTTCAAATCCATAGGCATCCTCTTCTCCACCTCAGCCACCGCCTTTCCCATGATGTCGAGTGCCTCCTCCAGAGAGATATCCGAGCGGTGGTATCTGTCGAAGATAGACAGACAGTAGTAAGCACCGTAACCGTGAGCCGCATAAGGTACTGTCGCTTGAGCTGCAAGGTAGTCTAGCCAGTAGAGGTGGGGTTCGCTCGTGCGGGTGTCGAATCCGGCGAGAAGAAGGTTGACTTGGTATGGTTTCTATACGAACCACGTCAGTAACCCATCCATACCATTTCGCAATATTCATCCCAGGGTAATAGAGGATGGAAGGGTATGTCGACGTACCCTACTTCTCAGACTATCCGCCAACTCTCGTCTCACGAAGCTCGCCGTCGCCTTAGGATCCAGCTCGCAGTTGTTCTGCATACCATAAAGTTGCATATTCGCCTGAATAAACTCCGCAAAGTTGACCTGTACCCCGCTCTTAGTAAAACGCTCGGTTGTCAAAGACGGTAAACGTACAGTATCACCAGCTTCACCGGAGAAAAGCATCAAGTTGTGAGGACTCAAAGTGCGCGACTTGTCATCTGTAGTTTTCAGAACGGAGATACCGCGGACGAATGCCTTGTTGGATGCAGTGAGGACAAAGTCCTTTCCTGTTTGCTGCCGTTAGCGATTCATTCGAACAGCATCGACGCAGGTGGTTAACCAACCGGTCAATGCGAGCAAAACTTCCATGCTGATTCAGGATCTGTAGGCGTCTGACTGGTGGTTTGTTTGTCTTCCCTCACCGTCTCTCTCGAGCTTCGGCGTACGGCCTGCGAGGACCGCGCGTCGCCAGGGACGACGAACGTCATCACCACTTAAATGCAATGTCAATTTGAATTAACCTCACATGAATCCTCATGCTTCTTTTCTAAAGGCATATTCTTTCGTTTACTTGTCCGTCGCATGTCCCGTCCTTAGGGTGGCCAAAAACTCCCTCGCCCCCTCCGCAACACACAATGCCCCATCCAATCCCTGTAACCTCTCCTCTCCCTGAACCGCTAAGCTCGCCAACCCCAAACAACTGTGTAACACATCCGGCGGATCCCCCGCATTCTTTCCGAACCCGCCGATCTTGTGTTGAGTGTGTTGTAGGAGATATTTTCTGTTTGCTTCTTTGTCGATGAGGTCCATTGGGGGTGGATTTGATGTTGAGGGAAGGAGGGATAGAGAGCCACTGACCCAGAAGGAGTAGCATGTGTCTGTCATCTTGTTGTGGCGGCCACAGAAGCCACCTCCAGGGTCGTATTCGTCTTCGTCGTCTGAAGCGGCATCGGCGTCTTCGGTTGGAGGCGCATTCACCTGATTCTGGAGGCTGGTCAGGAAGCGTATCGTTTGTCGTAGATTTGACAGTGCATCAACTCTTCCCAGAAGGCTCAAGGCTGCCACACCGCAGTAGGTCAAGCCCGCATGTGACTCGCAACCTGGTCCTTGTCCGATACCACCGTCGTAGTTTATACTCGACTTGACGTAATCCACAGCGCTGTCGACTTTGACATCTTCAACCTTGCAGTCATTACCACGGAGGATATATCGCACCGCTGACGCACAATACGTAAACCGCATATCGACCTCACCTCCCAGCTCTTCTCCCTGCCCATCAACCGTCTCCATCACAAACGGAGCGAAACTGCCATCCTTCCTTTGCAGTCTTCGAATCAGATGAAGCGTACCCTCCCAATCAACTCTTGTGAGATCATCTCGTAATGAAACCAATGCAGCCAGTGCAAAGTACGTGCTCGGCAGATGTCCAGGATCGTACCGTCGTCCGAGACCTTCAACCTGTGGACTACCTCTGAACCCACCACCCTCAGCTTGACACCGGTATATCCAATCCTTCCACGCTTCCTTTTTCTCCAAGGGCACATCTTGCAATGCGTGCAGCAGATCCAGGCCGACGATGCAGAAGTATGCTAATGTGATTCGGTTGAGATCATTGGAGGTGTAGATGTAGGGCAGGAGATCAAGGCATCGCAGGAAGTAAGCGACGTGCCTCTCTGTCCCGACTCCGGGTCCACGGTCGGCCATGTCGAAGACCAGATGGCAGCCAATGGCGAAATCCGCGCAGTACGTTGCGGTTCAGTATCGATACAGTACCGAGGATGCGCGTTTGTATGAAAAACCTTAAATAAGACGGCTCTCCTCCAGATTCACAAAACACCAACCATGAACTACGGAAAGGATCTAGGTGAACCAAGGATGGTCCCAACAGACGTGGACTGTCTGGCTGATTGCGAGTGCTACAAGGAGATGACAAAGACCACTGTGCGCCCTGGTGATCCGGACTGCGGCGATGACTGCGAGTGCTGGAAGGACTCCTCGGCGCATACAGACACCGAAGCACAGCACTTCCATGACAGCCTTCATCCTGATCGCGAGATTGGTGATGCACAGGCATGTCCGAACCCACTGGGATCACCCGTCAAGCGTTTGTCATGGCTCGACAGGTTCCTCACCCTGTGGATCCTGCTCGCCATGGCAGTCGGCATCATCCTTGGCTACTTTGTCCCCTCAACCCACCGCGTCCTCGAAACCGTCCAGTTCGTCAACGTCTCACTGCCAATCGCTCTTGGGTTGTTGGTCATGATGTACCCCATCCTCTGCAAAGTCCGATACGAGCATATGCACGTCGTTCTCCGCTCAAAGGCTTTGTGGAAGCAGATCGCTTTCTCGTTCGTGTTGAACTGGATCGTTGCGCCGCTTATCATGGTTGCGTTGGCGTGGGCCACGTTGCCTGACGAGCGTGGATACCGTGAGGGTCTCATTCTTGTGGGGTTGGCGAGGTGTATCGCCATGGTTCTCATCTGGACTGACCTCGCGAATGGAGACGGCGAGTACTGCGCCATTCTCGTTGCGTTCAACTCCCTGCTCCAGATCGTCCTTTTCTCGCCATTCGCACTCTTCTACCTCAATGTCGTTGCGCCACAGTCCGATTCATACCAGGCTGGTAACCAGGGTACCGTGTCGTACAGTGTCGTTGCCAAGTCCGTTGCTGTCTTCTTGGGCATCCCCCTTGGTGCCGCCGTCATCACCCGCTTCGCCTTCCTCAAGCTCGGCGGCAAGAAGTTCTTCCACGACGTCTTCATCCCGCTCATCTCCCCCCTCTCCCTCATCGGCCTACTCTTTACAAGTCAGTCTACCTCCCTCTTCCCTCCCGAACAATGCTAATGTCAACAGTTTTGATCCTCTTCGCCTCCCAAGGTCGCCAAGTAGTCCAATCAATCACCGGCGTCCTCCGCGTCTGCGCCCCCCTAATCCTCTACTTCCTCCTCCTCTTCTTCGGAACCCTCTACCTGGCCCGCTACCTCGGTTACACCTACCGCATCTGCGTCGTCCAAGCCTTCACCGGTGCCTCCAACAATTTCGAGTTAGCTATCGCTGTTGCTATTGCGAGTTATGGGATTGATTCGAAGCAGGCGTTGGCGAGTGTTGTGGGGCCGTTGGTAGAGGTGCCGGTGTTGTTAGGGTTGACGCATTTCGTTACTTGGAGGCATCAGAAGGGCGATTGGAGGAGGAATGGAGAATGAGACGCTTCCAGTCAAATATAGATTTTATTCTCTTCATATGGGTATCCCAGAGCGACCAGCGCTCCTTAATGCATTCTCTATATCGTACATCTTCCTCCTCCTTCTACTCTCCGTCGTTATGGCTCGATGATAGAACCAGAGGTAGCCAAAATCCCCGCCCGCCCCCTCTTAATCACCTCCATCTCCGCCTTCTTGATCGTCCCACTCACCCTAACAACCTTAATCACACACCCCCTCCCCAAAATCTCCGTCAAGAACGTCAACGCAGCCCACGCCAGTCTAAAATGCTGTCTCGTTACCCTCAAGATCCCCGTACTCGTTGCATGGGAGAAATATTTCACTGTGCATTCTGTTAGTTCTTCATATCCAGACTTGGAAAAAGACAACGGAACGCACCGTTTAAAGTCGCGGCGACGACTCCGGAGCCCCAGTCCCCGAAATTTGCTTGTATTTGTTCGCGGATGAGGTGGGCGAGGGCTTGGGGTGTGAGTTTTGCGTCTGTTGGGTGGGAGAAGGTGAGAGATGAGGATGAGGATGAGGATGAGCCGGAGCTTGAGAGGGAGGGCGAGTCAGGGTAGATGATGTTGAAGAGAATGTAGCGTTGCTTTAGACGGACCATGCTGAACACGGCGAGGAGGACGATCGTCTACTCAAGCTCAAGGTTCAGAAGTCGAACGGGAGCTGCGGTCACGCCGACCACCCACAAAAATGTGCTTCGGGCCGTGACTGTTTTACATCGACTGGAGAAGGGAAGCGTTCATATTCGTTTTACAACTTTTGTTCCAGATAAAACATCAATGAAATTACCATCCTCTGCCGGTTAACGAGATGCACCCCATGTTCCGCTTCGTTCGCTTGAGTACTCCCCCGCCGTCATAACGCACAACCCTCCCCCATACCCTCCACCCATTCAATGGCCTCGACAGCGGCAGCAGCAGCGGCATCAACAGCCAAGGCAATACACACTCTCTCCAAGCCCTGGCGAGGCCTCCTCATCGGCGCTCCAGGAGCAGGCAAAGGCACCCACTCAACCGCTCTAAGCAATCGCTATCCCTCCCTCCTCACGATCTCTTCCGGTGATCTCCTCAGACAAAACATTGCTGCAAAGACTTCGCTGGGACTTACTGCGCAGACCGCCGTCGCGAAGGGCGAGTTTGTGCCCGATGAAGTCATGATCGATTTGGTGCTCGGAGAGTTGAGGGCTAGGGGTGGAGTGTATCCGGAGGGGTATGATGTTAGGGCGAGCGAGGAGTTGGAGCAGAGTTGGGTGTTGGATGGGTTTCCTAGGACGGGAGTTCAGGCGCAGAGGCTGGATCAGGTGCTGGAGCGGAGCAATGCTGCGTTGAATATGGTGGTGCATTTGGAGGTGCCATTTGATGTGATCTTGGAAAGAATTGCGGGTGAGCTTCCTGAAGGAGAGTCGCATTGACCCGACACTGATGGGAACTTACAGGTCGGTGGATCCATGCGCCCTCTGGACGTGTCTACAACACCGGCTATAATCCACCTGCTGTCGCAGGAAAGGACGACGTGACTGGTGAACCCCTCACCAAGCGTCCAGATGACAATCCGGTAAGCATGGAATACAAATCGTGCAAGCTACGTACTGACACCCGACTTACAGGAAACTTTTAAGAAGCGATTGACTGTGTTCAAGGAAATGACCGAGCCGTTGTTGGAATACTACGAGAAGAAGGGTGTTTTGTTTACCGCACGGGGACCTACCAGCAAGATCGTTTGGCCGCAGATAGAGGCAGAGATGAAGAGGCGTTTTGAGTAAGGCTATCGGCGTTCGGCGCGTATTCCTTACTTTGGTGGTTTAGAGCGGGATTCTTTTTGGGAACCATAGCAATATTACACTCACAGGGACTGAGACAGGACGATGGACATGAAAATATCACACTTTCGCATTTCGTGTACTATTTGTCCAATCCAACATCTTATCATCTTCCTCCACTTGTATCGACGGCGATGTTTTACCTGCACGCACTCGTCAAGATCTTCGCTTAAAGTTCCTTGTGAAAGGGCTCGTCCAAAGAAAGTTCACCGGACTTGACAATCTTAACATCCTCAACGGGCCTGTCACCACGAGCCTTCTGAACCTTCTCGATGGCCTGAATGATGTCGTAGCCGTTGAGAATCTCTCCGAAAACGACGTGCTTGCCATCCAACCAGGAGGTGACGACGGTGGTGATGAAGAACTGGGAACCGTTGGTGTCGCGTCCGGCATTGGCCATGGAGAGGAGTCCGGGGCGGGTGTGCTTCAACTTGAAGTCTGTATGTCCATGTTAGCTAGCGCTATGCAGCAGAAGTAAGATCACTGGCGTACTCTCATCAGGGAACTTGTCTCCGTAGATGGACTTTCCGCCGGTACCGTCACCCTTGGTAAAATCACCACCCTGGATCATGAAACGTTCAATAACGCGGTGGCTGCACATATTCAAATTAGCCAACCGACACCTACAAACTGCGACCTCGCAACACGTACAAGCTAGAGCCCTCGTATCCATAACCCTTCTCTCCGGTACAGAGCGCACGGAAGTTGTCGACAGTCTTAGGGACAGTCTTTCCGTAAAGACCCATCTCGACACGGCCGAGAGGACGGCCTCCATGCTCGATGTCGAAGTAGACCTTGTTGGTGATCAGAGGACCCTTGGTAGCCTGAGCAAGTGCTGCAAGAGCAAGGACGACCAGCGTCAAAAGGGAGATGATGTTCAGATGAGCCATGTTGATATGTGACTTTGTCAATTGCAATGGCGGGTGTTGTCGAGCCGGTGGTCTGGGGTTGGTGCACGAGTCCCGGCGCGTCATGTCCCGTACGGAGGTGCCCAAACTCCCTCGGGCCTCAAAAGAGATGGGGAAGTGAGTTGAATTCGGGCAATGGATCGTGAAATATTTCTTTAAGAGAACCAAATAGTACTCCCTTGTCGGCTAATTCTGCCCAACTGCAAACGGTCGAGGGGTCCTGCACCCGCCATCGGAAGTACAGATCCGCCGGTTATACCGACCTGGTAGGTAAGCACAACACCAACACTTACAAAATGGCACCTCAATTGGGATGGATCGGACTTGGTAACATGGTACATTCACATATCACCGCTGTCCTTAACGGATCATTGCTGACGTTCACCTCCTTCAGGGCATCGGCATGTCCAAGAACCTCCATGAACACGTTAAGAAGACCACTCCCGAGAAGCCCCTTCTCGTCTTCAACCGCACTGCCTCGAAGGCCGATGACCTCAAAACCTCCGGCGCAGCAATTGTCACCTCAGTCGATGAGCTCCGATCCAAGAGCGATATCATCTTCACCTGTGTCTCCAACGATGCCGCAATCAACGACATCTTTGAGAATTTCCTCGCAGGCGACATCAAGGGTAAGGTCTTCTGCGAGATGTCTACCGTTCATCCGGAGACAACTTCGACGCTGTACGAGAAGGCTTCGGCCGCCGGTGCTGAGTTCGTTTCTGCGCCCGTATTCGGAGCCCCGCCCGTCGCTGCCTCAGGTCAGCTCTTGATCATTCTCGCCGGTGATGCCCAGGCAATCGAGAAGGTCAAGCCGTACTGCACTGGTGTCATGGGCCGTGCTACCCTTGACCTCGGCGAAGACGTGGCGCGTGGAAGTCTCATGAAGGTCATCGGGAACACCTTCGTCCTGGCCATTGTCGAATCCCTTGCCGAAGCTCATGTCCTCGCCGAGAAATCTGGTTTGGGAAGCGACACGCTTGATAAGTTCCTGAACTCCATGTTCCCCGGCTCAGCTTTTGTCGGCTACTCCCAGCGCATGATCTCTGGCAATTACGTTCCCGACGAAGGCAAGGGTCCTCTCTTCGGTGCTGATTTGGCTCAGAAGGATGCTAAGCATGCGTTGGATTTGGCCAAGAAGGCCGGCGCAAAAATGAGCATCACTGAAGTTGCGGAGAAGCACCTCCAAAGCGCCCAGGACTCTGCACCTGAGAGAAACGTGGATTTGGCAGCTATTTACGGAGCCGTGCGTATGGAGGCAGGCCTCGGCTTTAGTGACAAGATTGGTAAGTAGCGTGTAAGTAGGTATGCTTTCTATTGATGCTGTATGAACTAGGTAGTGGTATGATAATACCCTTTGCTGAATGTCGTGTATCGGAGGTTCCATGCATGATTAAGCAGACTTGCCCGTGCCCCACCACTTTGCAGTCAAACCTGCAATCCACTTCCTTCCTACCGCCGCGAGCCCCGGTCCATAAGAACTGACGACCCTCAACTCAACTTCCCGAACACCATACTCCCGCAACACCTCATTCGCTGCCAATCGTCCGGTACTGACAGCTCTCTCCATGATGAACGACGGAAACGACGTCTGCAACCAATCGCCAGCCATAACCAATTTCTTGATCCCAATGGACGAAGGTGCAGAGTACTGAGGACGGAACTTGTGCTGCCCCTTCGAGAAGTCGGGAAAGTTCTCGTACTGGTTCATATGGTACCCACGAACCTCGAAGTCTGCCATCTCTGGCACGATCTCATGAACGATGGGCGCAAGCTTCTTCCATACGTCCTTCGCTTCGGTAAAGCTACTCCACTCCTTATCCTCGAGGGCATACAAATGAAACTCCCAACATCCGATACCCTTCTCTGCCGCGAACTCCTTGTACTCATCCTGGAGCATGTGGTACTGCACGATTTCGTTCAGTGGTGAATGCTCCGGTGTTTCGATGATTGCTGGATACTTGTCCGCTGGCAGCAGGCCCTTCAGCCATACCTTCAGAATCTTGTATGGCGGTGCGATCTTGCACTTGGACACCGGCTCACGGAGCTTCGTTGCAAGTGTCCCGGATTTCTTGTCCATACAGGCATCAACGGTACCCTCCAGGATAGACTTTGCTCCGGGAAGGTCCGCCGCCATGATAGTATAATCATAAGTCTCCGGTTCGCCGTCAATGCCTTCACAGACGCCATCCTGCATCCGCAATGCTTTCACCGGTTTAGATCTCTCGATACGAACACCGTTTTGCAACAACCGGTTCCTCCAGGGCTCCAATAAGGACTTGTAGAATGACTGTTTGGTGGTAAACCTAACGTCCGCCTATCCACAGCTGTCAGTCAATGAATTTCACCAATCGAATCTGCCATGGACATACCCCTGGTCCTGCTAGAAAGAAGATCTGCATCATGTTCTGCATTTCAGCAGCACTGAACCCTTGCACTTTACTAAGTGTTACGGCCCCAACAGGCTTAACCACAATGTCATAGTAAGCCTTATCGATGCCTCTTTTCTCAGCCCACTCTTCGACTGAGTACTCATCCCAATCTTCATAGATCTTCGAGTAGTCGTAGAAGGCTGAGTCGGTAGCAATACCCATGATGCGGAGGGAGGTGAGGTAGTTCATATTCGTAGATGTACGGAGGACATTGATGAGATTCAACGGATAGGGTCTGTAAGGTTACCAGGTTAACAAAGGTTGCACTGCAAGTCCTGTCTACCCTTACCCTTGACTGACGATTGCTTCAGCATTGTAGTTCCGAAAGACGATATCCGTCTTCTCCCATGCCTGCAATTGGTCGTTCAGACCCAAACGATTGATGATATCACCGAATTGGTGATACGAGTTGACGAACCAGGCGTGGAAGCCGTGATCCGCGTAGAACTCCGTTGGATCGAGAGGAAGAAGTGGCTGAGTCTTCTTGGAGTCCAGTCGTCCACCCAGAATTGGATTTGCTGTATCGAGTGTTAAGTATGCTTCCTCTGAAACTCATAAGACAAGGTTTACCTTCTCTGATGACCACTTCGAAACCTCGTTCAGAAAGCTCCAGCGCAGCACTCATTCCGGCTAAGCCTGTACACCCAATGGATCAGCCTAAGACTAACGAAGGGTTTCTCGCTGGGATGCACCTCCGCCGATGATCAACACCCTGGGCGCTTTCTCTCCATCCTTCAAGATCAACCGAGGAGGGCAATCGGGATTGACCGGCGGAATTCGCTCGACAGCATCGGCATCCTGAATGGCTGCGACTCGATTAAAGAGAGCGTATATGCTATTGGCAATGTATGACATAGTGCAATTGCAATGGGGCTCGTTCACATAGTCGATGAGGCGAATGCTGTCCTTTTGAATTGTGGGGAATCAAACTTCGCGATATCGACGTCAGCACTTTAAGCTGCTACGCGAATCGGGATCGCAAGTGTGATGGTAACTTATACATGACTTGATTTTCCATCCTTCCTTAACGTATTCCAATAGTCCTACAATCGACTTCATGGCCATGCTAGAATCGTACACCTAATCCCGGGCCCATCCTGTCCTTACAAGTTCAAAGTGCCCATCATCTGCTCAGGGTAGCGCTGGCCGTGAACGGTACACTTCTTAATAACCGCCCTGATCTCCTTGTCCTCCTCATCAGTGACCTCCACACCGGCGGCACCGACGTTCTCAATGAGGTACTTCTCCTTCTTGGTTCCAGGAATGACGAAGAATTCCTTACCCTGCTTGAGAACCCAGGCGAGACAGAGCTGCGAAGGAGCACATCCCTTCTTCTCGGCAAGAGACTGGAACTCGTCGACGAGGGCGAGGTTGTTCTTCATGTTCTCCTCGGAGAAACGAGGGCTGTAGCGACGGAAGTCGTCGGCCTCGAAGTCCTCGGGGGAGCGGTACTTGCCAGTAAGCATACCGCGTCCCAAAGGAGAGTAAGCAACGATGGAAACACCGAGCTCACGGGCAGCAGCAAGAAGACCGTTAGTCTCGATGTCAGTAGTCCAGGGAGAGTACTCGATCTGGACAGCGGCGATAGGGTGAACCTTGTGAGCCTTCTTCAAGGTCTCGCCGGAACACTCGGACAAACCAAGGAACCTAACCTTACCCTCCTCAACCAACTTCTTCATCTCACCCACGGTCTCCTCAATGGGAGTCTCTGGGTCGACACGGTGCTGGTAGTAAAGGTCGATCTGCTTGATGCCGAGGCGCTTGAGGGACAACTCGCACTGCTGACGGACGTACTCAGGCTTTCCGGAGACACCCAAGAATTCGCCGTTGGCACCACGGACGTTACCGAACTTGGTCGCGATGAAGACCTTCTCACGGAGACCGGGCTCAGCGAGGACCTTGCCAATGAGCTCCTCGTTGTGGCCGGTGCCGTACATATCACTGTTAACCAGTCAGCTATCGTCCCACAAATCTAGCCAGCCAACTAACATACGCAGTGTCAATGTGAGAAGCGCCAAGCTCAATGGTCTTCTTTAAGACGGCAATGTTGGTATCCTCATCAGAAGAACCGTAGAACTCAGAGAGACCCATGGCACCAAAGCCGATAGCAGGGATCTTGACGCCAGTAGAGCCGAGCTCGCGTTGAGGAATTTGAACCATTGTGAAGATGTGATCTGTGGATTGATTGTTTGCAAGACTTGAGATGAATATATTTGAGAGAGCACATGCGCTGGTACGCCTCTGCAACACCTTTGCTGGAGGGTCGGGCGCGGCATCAGGGTTGGCCCGGCCGATCATGTAAGCGCGCGGGCTCCCCGTAGGAAGCGACTTCTCGACGGAGAGTAAGCTGCTTAAGATGTTCTCAGCTGGAATTCAATCTTCTCATGTAGAACTTGCCGACGAAGAGTATTGATGTCACCTGGTCGCGATCCAGCTTCGACCTTGCCCGTGCATTTTATTTAGGTGACGTGCGCGCACCTGGCGCTCGGCATCGGGAATCGAGACGATTTAACGGCACCAGTACAACATTTGCCAGGCCGCGTATAAAAAATAAAAAATATAACACCCAACACTTCGTTGTGATCCAATCCTGTTGTTTGAGCAGGTTACTCACATCCCTGTATACCGCCGGTACCACCGTCACTTTCTTTGAAGTCGAACGAAATCCACAATGTCTCCCATCGTCAAAGAAGCCAATGCGCCCGACGCGCTCGAAACACTCCCTATGCTCTCGACTTCCCCGGAGAACCATCCACCTGTCCCTCAACCCGTCTGGTACTTCGCATATGGGTCTAACATGGCCTCATCCACATTCATGGGCATGCGCAAGATCAAGCCCCTCTCGCACCACCGTGCAATCGTCCCGACACATAAATTGACTTTCGACATCCCTGGAATCCCCTACAAGGAGCCGTCATTTGCGTCGATTGACGAGAAGGGTGAAGGTGGTATGGCGTGTATCGGTGTCGTGTACGAGATCACCCGCGAAGACTACGAGCGGGTACTCGCCACCGAGGGAGCTGGGAGCTCATATGCGGAGATCGAGGTGGAGGCCTACAAGCTGGTTGGAAACGAGGAGAAAGCTCCAGCTGACATCGTAAAGGACGAGAAGAACTTCGTCAAGGCCATGACACTGAAAGCAATCCGCATCCGAAAGCCGAACCCAAGACCAAGTGTCAGATACCTCAACATCCTCCGCGACGGCGCCGCCGAACACAAGCTCCCCGAAGCATATGCCTCCTGGCTCGCCTCACTACCAGCCTACCACCCACCAACTCGTCCCCTTCGAGCTGTCGTCGGAAAGTACATCTTTCTCACAGTCTGGATGCCAGTAGTGATGGTCATCTTCACCCTTCTGCGGACGACTACGGGGAAGAGCGGAAAAGCACCGGGATGGCTGAGATGGTTGGCGGAGAGGACATTCAGGACTATGTGGAGGTGGCATGATTCGCACTTCTGGAGGACTGTCTTTGGGAGGGGGGATGGGCTGGAGGAGAAGCAGTTTGATGACGAGAAGGTTGTTCTGGTCATATAGATCGCTGCGGAAACAGACGGCGGCGCCGCAGGTGAAGGAAGCATTTGACATGCGTAGTAGCTGCAGCTGAATCTCTATACCTCTCCATCTACCCGATTCCCAAGATCCCATTGACATGACATCACGTTCGGCCCGACTATTTCTCCGCACGGTTGCGCGATCAACCGCGACTACACCACCAAGCTCACAGACCGCAGAACTCGCAATTGCTATATAAGCCGTTGATCCAGCTTGCTATATCGCCTCAGTGTTAGCTTTTGTTATAAACTCCTGCTCTGATACTAACTATGCCCGTCCCCGACGAACACATTCATCCTGTCGCGACCGGCCCTGCCGCTGCCATTGTGAAAGCCCACTCTGAGCCTGTTGATGGCGGCGTCACTTTCTGTACGCTTTTCAACTGTTTTCACTTTGCACGAAACTGACATTGGCGCAGACAGTGGCTGGTTCTGCCCCTTCGTTGCGAGGGTTTGGATCACTTTGGAGGAGCGCAAGATCCCGTACCATTACGTCGAGGTTAGTCGACGGAGTATCCCGGCTTGGTGCCAGCTGCTAACAAGGGTATGAATCAGATCAACCCATACAAGAAGGATCCCGAGTTTCTGAAGCTCAACCCGAAGGGTCTCGTGCCCGCCCTTGAGCACCACGGCAAGGCCTTGTACGAGTCGCTTGTCTTGATTGACTACATCGAGGATGGTACGTACCGTTTACCATTCAGCATCTTTCACTCCAATGACTGATCACTTCCAAAGCTTTCCCGGACCACCCCAACTCCCTCCTCCCTCCCTTGAGCGACCCCTACGGCCGCGCCTTCGCTCGTCTTTGGACAGACTTCATCAGCAAATCCGTCATCCCCACCTTCTTCCGCCTCGTGCAAGCTCAGGAAGACTCTGCCCGTAACACCGCCCGCGAGGACTTCGTCAAAGCCCTCAAGCAGCTGACAGAGAAGCGCACCGGCCCGTTCTTCTTGGGCGAGAAACTCGGATTGGTAGATGTTGCGATTGCGCCGTGGCTCGAGCGCTTGTACATTCTCGAGAAGCATCGTGGGTTTAAAGAGGACGATGTTGGGCAGGACTTTGTTGAGTGGAAGAAGGCTATTACTTCGAAGGAGAGCGTGAAGAACGTCCTGAGTGACAGGGAGCACTACGAGGAGATCTATGGGAGGTATCTCAGGGACGAAGCTCAGAGTGAGGCTGCGAAGGCGACCAGGAGTGGCAAGGCTATTCCCTGAGGTGATGTCACAAGTTTTCTGTTGAGATGTATGATTATGAGTATGCAATGCAGTATGTTGTACTGACCGACGTCGCCTCGGCCTTCTCTACCCCAGCTACACCCCGCACCTTCTTTCGTTATCATGAGCTAGCAGTTCCAGGGGCAGGAATTGGACATCACTGCATGGCGAATGCCTGTAGCAATCTCCTTTGACTTTCATGAGCCTAGGTCAGGTTTTGCTTGAGTTGAGGCTGAGTAATCACGGGTTCACACGTTGACAAGTTTTAAGAGCACGTCACCTCTCAAACTTGTAACCGGCTTCAAGGGCTCTCTACCTTTAAGACATGGTATGGTCCGTGACGAACGCCTTTGCATGATCGCTAAAAAGCTTATTCAGCCAAGCTTTCCGGGCGTGGAGGCTACTGAGATGAGCAATCTCCCTACATAGCCTGTTGATCCAAAAATCCAGTTACGCAGCTCCGAGATGTGCTATTTATGGTAACTTGAGCGGAGCATTGGTCAGCACTCCTAAATTTCGGCGAAAGAACACATGGCCGCGGTTCTGCACCGTGGGGCGCGGCTGGCCCGAACCTTATTTCTTAGCGTTTCGGGAATGTGGGGCGAGACATGAGAGGGAACTCTACGATCATGTAATAATTCATTCGTTAAGCTTCCGAATGCTTGGTCTTAAACATTCGGCAATTTCGCGTACGTCCCGCCGGCAGAGCGCTGAGATGGCCATCCCGGCGGTGACGTCGGGGAGGAAGAAGGACGAGCTCGAGGAAGGCGATCGCGAGAAAAGGTGAAGAAGACAACAGTCATCGTTTCCCCGAGAAGGTTCCTCACGTTCCAAAGGCCGTTGGAAGCCCGAGGTGTCCATAATGCTTTCAAGAGCTTGATTGTCCGGGTCTGTCTTTCTTGACGTCGACGTTCATAGGCGGGTCGCACGAGGGATTCTTGCAGGTCCGGCCTGCAGCAGACATTTTAAGAGTTGAAGGACTCCACCGGTTAAGGCCACTGCCAGGGTTGAACTCCGTTAATGTGAGCATCACATGCCCATTGACCTCTTAAAATGTGTACTGGTGCTTTCATTGCACAGGGAGGGATGAACATGTCACGCAATCCACGACAACCGAGGGATACACAGGATGCCCTGCCCTCGGGGCTTTGACCGCAATTTCTTTTGGCTTTTGCTCGGGGCGATGTTGAGGGAGAAGTCCCAATTGCGTGACCGCACGATCCTTTACGAGGTATTCCCCTCATCACTTTTGAAGGATAACACTCGTTGGAGCACATGGTCGTCTAGCGCCTCGAAAAGTATAAATACAGGTCCTCCCACCGCCTTTCTCAGTCCTCATCACCAACCACCATTACAATCATCGTCACCCATTACAACACTCAATCGCTATAATGAAGGCCGTCGCATACGCTGTCGTTCTTGGTGCTGCCTTGGCCACCTTCGCTGCTGCTGCTCCGGCCCCTGTTGCTCTTCCTGGAGGTACGAGTCAAATTCCTCATATCCGTCGAGGTATTGACATGAAGATATAGGCAAAGACGTTGGGAACTACGGCAACCACCAGTCCACCGATAACTACAATGACTACGGCAAGAAGGGCGACGACAACGACAACAGCCACGAGAAGGACGACAAGTACAAGGACAAAAACGGCAACAAGAAGAAGGGCGGCAACAGAAACGATGACAAGCATGGGAACAACAACGACCACAAGTCCGACTATGACCACGGTGACAAGTACGGCGGAGGCAAGGACAAGGACCAAGGCAAGAAGGAGAGTAAGGACCGCTCTCCCAGCAAGCCCGACGGCAAACACACCAATGGCAAGGACGGCAAGGACGGTAAGGGCGGCAGCGACCAAAACCACGACAAAAACGGCAAGGGCAAGGGCAAGGGCAATGGCAACTACGACGATGGCAAGAAGGATCAGCACCACGATGGGAAGAAGAACGGCAAGGACGGGAAGGACCAGGATCAGAAGAAGGGCGGCAAGCAGGGTTGGTGATCATTTTCGCCTCATGATCGTGGGCGCCGTGCCAAGTATCTCTACTTTGGGCATCACGTTCTCTATTAAAGTCAAAGAAGGATTCGAGGAGTGCAATAACATATTTCTTTACCTCACCTTCTCCCCATTTCTCATGTGTCCATAAACAGTTAGCTTGGTCTGCCGCGTTCGGGCAAGCCCCTGGCGACGTTACATCGCGTATCCCCAAGCCCGGAGAGCGATGCACGTGCCCACCACTCCCCAACCATGGACCTTCTCAACCACCTCCAAGATCTCTCTCTCCCTCCCCTTAAACCCTTCCTCACCGTCGGTTTACCCGTCATCTTCGGCACCCTCCTCATCCGCTCCCGCTTCCCCCTCGATCCAGCGTATCACACAGAACCTGCCGTCTCACCGCGTGTGACGCTGACTAAGGAGGAACGGGATGCGTCGCCGTACCCGGAGAACTTCTTTGAGGGGGGCAGGTATGTTGAGACACCGTATGGGACGATTAGGACGTATGAGTTTGGTAACGCGGAAGGTTTGCAATGGTTGGCTTCCCAGTTGTCGAGTTAAGCTCATGGTTTTGGGTACAGGTCCAAGGATTCTGTTGATCCATGGTATCACTTCACCATCACCCTGTTTCCATGCCTTAGCAATGGAACTCGCTCCCACCCACCGAATCCTTACCCTCGACCTCCCCGGCCGCGGGTACTCCGACGCACCCATAGACCTCCCCTACGACGATCGTTTCTACACTTCAATCATCCTCAATGTCCTTACATCCGTCGGGTGGGTCTCATCCACAAACAACGATGCGAAGGATCCAATCTCGGTGCTGGGATACTCGATGGGCGGACCCATCGCCACTGCGCTGGTCCGGTTCATGCCACAACTGTTCACCAACCCCTCCACCGGCACCACCGGAAAACTCATCCTCGTCGCCCCCGCCGGACTCTTACACCGAAAATCCCTCTCCCTCTTTTCCCGACTCGCGATCAGCTCTTTATTGCCTGTTGCGGCCGTCACCGCAATCCAACGATTCTTCCGTCTTCGCTATCCCCAGAAAGTCGAGGAATCCCGCTTGTTGCACCCACGGACCCTCAAAGAAAAGCAAGATGCGGCTGATGCGTATAGAGAGGATGAGGATAAGTGGTGGGACATCGACGCAATCTCATACTTCCAATCACTCACCCATAGCGGGTTCGCACGCGCGTTCACGTCCTCCTACCGCCATGCTCCGCTCTTTAACCAACACGACCGTCTTTTCCGACATCCCAATATCCAGAACCCTAAGCTCAAGGTATTGTCGATCTGGGGAGCAGAGGATGCGATTGTGCCACTAAAGAGTGCGGAGGAGATGAGGGAATGTGTGCCCAAGGCCGGGGTGTTGGTATTTGAGGGGGCGGGGCATGATGTTGTTAGGAGTCGGGCGAGAGAGATGACGCCGGTTGTGAAGAGATTCCTTGATGGGGAGGAGGTTGCGGGAGGTGAGGTGGAGGGTGCGAGGTGGATGGAGTAGATCTATTACAGGCTATATGAGATATATAAGGGGAGATTAGAGGAAGATGATCAAGGGTGTCATGACATCGGTTCCGCGGCTAAGGCTCTACTTGCTAGATCTGCTCTCCGTATCGGTTCCGGTATTCTATACAGACATACATCCTTTACCAGATGCACTGCCGTTTGCAAGCTTATTTTGTGCCCCTGTGATATGAAAATCGGGCTCTTCCCTTCGACACTCAACGCTGTTCCCAACTCTTTGCATGACTCATCCTCAAGCGGCAGCTCCCGGTAACGTGCGGGATTGGAACGAGTCCAGGCGAACGCTGTCTGGATGGAGCGGTTCGTGTCGGTAGCGGGAGGACCCAGGCTCTTAGCGACACCGATTGTCGGCAAATCCAACAACACGCCCAGATGGGAGGCTAATCCGAAACCCCTTGGGTGTAGGATACCATTCCCGTCCACGAACAGGACATGCGGCCAGCAGGCGGGTGCTTCTCTCTTCAAACGATCAAAGAGTGGAAGTATGCATGGCACTTCTCGGAACGCGAGGAAGCCATTAATGTAGGGCTCGGTCAACTTCACGCGTTCGCAATGTTTGTAGACAACCTCCAGCATTGGATATGAAAGAACAACGAGTGCTGCGACTGCATCTACTTCGCTATTCCTGACGAAGCTGAGGTCGACGCCTCCAACACGGTGAAAATAAGCATCGCTGATCGTTCCCATTGGAGAGACGGAGAATGTGAGATCATGATCTTCAAGAATCAACCGATCACGAAGACGGATCTGCTCATTAATCCACTCGGCTTTCTTTGCCTCATCCATGTTATTCCCCCGCCATTCATGAGTGCAGGGTCCGAGACAGCACATTTCGCCTGCTGCGCTCGGGCTCGAGGCGCTTGGTCCGAGCGTCGCAGGTGGCCCACCCTAAGCAATTGGAGGGAGGCGACGCTGCAAATATAAAGCTCGAGATGGCCCTCCTCGGCTTCTGTTCCTTTGTTCCATTCGTCGGCTGTCATTACTGTTCGGATACCCGCGATCTTTACGGGTGATTGAGTGGAGTAAGGATGCGATTCGCCATTGACGCTCTTTTTGTCGCAGCCATCGCGGCCTCGTCCGTCGTTTCAGGAGAGCGAATTCGTCGTCGTGAGGATGTTACGGCGGTTGGTGTGAGCGAATTGGGAGCTGGTGTTGTGCCTACTCCTCTCGTTCTTCATGGTGGACTAGAGAGGAGGGCTGTTACGTCCTCGACGAAGACGACTACTACGTCGGCTAAATCTACCTCGAAGACGACTACCAAGGCTCCGATTTCTTCTACCAAGACGACCTCCAAGACTACCACTAAGCCTCCTACAACCTTCTCGAAGGCTACCACGACTACCAAACCCGTCACTACTACTTCAAAGACTACTACAAAGTCTACTGCCACTACAAAGGCTACTTCTTCCACAAAGACTACTGCGAAGTCTACCAGCACCACTAAAGCAGCGACTACCACGTCAAAGATTACTTCTTCCGTAAAGCCTTCGTCCACTACGACAAAGTCTTCTTCTGCCGTCAAGACGACCTCGAGCACTAAGCCAGCTTCCTCGACGACCAAGACTACTACTAAGGCCTCGACCACGACGGCGAAGATTACCACCACGTCGAGCAAGCCTGCTTCTTCGTCTACGAAGTCGTCCACGACAACAACCAAACCTACGACTTCGTCTGTGAAGACGACGTTTAGTGCTTCCTCCGTGAAGGTTTCGTCTTCGACGACAAAGGCTTCTTCTGTGTCGTCGACCTCAAAGGCTGCGAGCACGACTTCGAAGACTACGACGTCCAGTTCCAAGCCTGTGTCGTCAAGCACTACTACTTCGAAGAGTACGACTACTACGTCCAAGGCGGCATCGTCTGTGGCTTCCACGTCTAAGTCTACTTCTGTTGCTTCACCGGCTTCTACTTCGAAGACCTCGTCTTCCACATCGAAGGCGGCATCATTTGCTGTTAGCACCTCCAAGGCTGCTTCCATCCCGTCGCGTGCCTCCTCTGCAGCAGCATCATCCGCATCTTCGGCTTCATCGTTGGCATCATCTTCCTCAACCCGTCAACAATACCCCGCCTACACCGGCGTAACCTACCCCGACTCCCCAACCTCATTTGCTGCAACCGACTACTCCACCCCTGGCGGCTACTTCCAACCTGCAACCTACCCCTACGGCCCCATCTTAAACGGCTCCTGTACCTGGTACACCGGCTGCTCCTCCCAAAACGGTTGCGGTAAACAACCTCTCTCGGGCTACACCGCCGCTTTGTCGTCCTTCCTGTTTGGTAGCGCGCAGGGCGCGGGGAGTGCTTGTGGACGGTGTTTTCAGTTGCAGGGGTATGAGGATCCTTACCAGCCGGGTGTAGAGTTGGGGACGCCTGCGGTGATTGTGAAGGTTACGGATAAGTGTCCTGCAGGGTCTTCGGATCCGCTGTGTTCGCAGACACCGGAGGAACCATTGAACCAATATGGGGCACTCGCAAACTTTGATCTTTGTCGTGATACAGGCGCTTATGAGGCTTTCTTCACACCTGCGCACGATATGGTACTTTGTTCCTGGTTCGAGGTCGATTGTTCTCTTTGGGAGGGTGTGAGTGGTGGATATGGCAGTCGTAATTCGACGGATTTCTGGGATGGGTACGGGTGTTTGATGGAGGAGGAGGGAGCGGAAAGGTGGCCGGGGCAAGACGGGGGCTGCGCGGATAACGGCTATGCGCAGCATTATAGTGATTTGCATCCCAGTGTGGTTGCGAGTTCGAGTGCGGCGAGTGGAACTGTGAGTGCGACTGGGTCGGCGTCTGCGGTTCCGGCGACGACAACGTCCACGTAGGTGATGTCTGGCGAGATGCATATGGGAGAAAGTCAGGACTGGACTTATATGGCGGACGAGCGAGGATTATTCTTGATAAATGATACCCTTGAATAATGTAGACCTTAATTACGTTATATATCATTTGCTCGCTTCAATTTGACGATAGCCGCGACTAGATTCACCGGCTGCCATGATCATGAGTGTGTGACCGCGCACCGCTTTGGACGTCACCAAGTCCCTCACCGCTCTCCCCCAACGAACTCCGTCCGACTGGCTTGAACGGGCTCAGTAGAACAATGACGCGGTAATGAATCCAAGCAGACTTGCGTTGGTAACGTCATTATGAGTTTGGATAGCCCCAGGGCCCTGCAAACCGTGTTCATTGGCGTGGGAGAGAGAAACCCCGCGTGGGTTTGCTCCTGTTCCAAAAACTGACAGAGGTTACAGATGGTTCCCTGCCTCGGCGTGCAAGTTAAGACGGGATGTTTTTCTGGCTGGAGATATTCCCCTCGAATGGCAAAGGCGTTTGAGTAAGCTTCACTTGAGTGGACCAGGGCGCTAGGCGGGAGGGACGTTACTGCCCATGCAAATCCAGACTAAGGTGAATGATATGATTAAGGAGTGAGTTGCCCTCCACATTCTTCCACAAGACTGGTGCTTACAATCATGGACTAGTTCCGTGAGGGCCCTCCGTCAGGGAAAGGGCGACGAGCTTGTTTTTGTCCCGCAGAAGCTGGTTCCCCGGAATCAGATGATCCACAACCCATCCCAAATGAGTCCGGTGGCATATGCAGAGTCTGGCGCGAATCCAGTGGGTGCCCAAACAAGGACATTGGATGCCCATTTGGACACCCTCCTGCTCTTCGCGGGCTTCACATTTTGGAAGACGAATGATTATATGAACCATCCAGGTGAGCTTACTGGGTGCAATGATTCGAGCGAACGCTTATCAAGGTTTGAGCAGTCATTGGTCCACAATTGCGGGAGCTTGATTGAGCACAAAGCCCGAGAAGGTGTGTGCGATGTGACAAGGTTACTCGTGCTAGATGTAAGCTATGTATGTTCAATGAAGGATCACGCAGAAGCAGCAAAAGAGTCCAGGAGAAGACGCCTTAACACCAGCGGGACGTAGACATGCGTCTCCGTGCTTTTCACAACGACCCAGGCAAGTCCACTCGACATGCATGACATTCCTCGGTTGCTGAGCTCCGCTAAACTTCGGAGCTGGCTTTCCGCAGTGTAGGGACATCCCGTACGTGCATGTAAAAACACTGATCGCATTTCAATCGGTACGCAATCTAAAAACATCGGGAATTCTCCTGATAGTTTGACAGGGCTTCTGTTTCCTAAGCAATTTCGACATGCGTCGTCGCGCACAAACTGTCTGCAAGGGATCCCCCCATCAAACCCCCGGGCGCACCACATGGACCATCCCACAGACCTCCCCAATTTCCACCGAGGCTTCAACGGACGGGAAAGGCTTCGAGGAAGGCTTTACTGTTTTGTGATGAGGTGGAAGTGCGGCTCAGGAGGCCCGGCCGAATAAAACCGCGATCTGACCCGCGTTCGTGGAAGAGACTCCCACCAAGTCACAAAGACCTTCGAGTCAAGTCATTCTTTAAACAAGCCGTCGTTCTTTACAACACCTACACTCTTTCTTTACCAACCCAACATTTACTAAGATGCGCTTCTCCTTGACCGCCGTCCTTGCTGCTGCCGCTGCCACTTTGGCCGCCGCGTACACCACCCCCGTCACCCTCGGCGCCGACAACGCGATCTACACCCCTGGTCTCAACCAGCAGGTCGAGGCTGGCTCTCCCTTCACCATCACCTGGGACCCTACCACCGAGGGCACTGTGACCATCGTCCTCCTCCGTGGTCCTTCCGAGAACATCCTCCCCCTGTACGCCATCGTCGAGAACCTCGCCAACACCGGTCGCTACGACTGGACTCCCTCCACCGCCCTCGAGCCCGACACCACCCACTACGGTCTCCAGCTTATTGTCGACTCCGACGGTAACTACCAGTACTCTACCCAGTTCGGTGTTGTCAACCCCTACTACCGCTCTACCTCCTCCTCCTCCGCCGCCTCCTCCTCCTCCTCCTCCGCCGCTTCCTCTTCCGTCGCTACCACTTCCGGCCAGCGCACCTCCACTACCACCGTCACCGTCTTCGGTTCCGCCCCTACCACCTTCTCCACAATCTCTACCTCCGCCACTTCCGCTTTGAACACCACCGCTACTGTTGTTCCTACCGCTTACATTGCCGCTGTCAACACCACCCTCTCTCTCCCCATCGCCGCCGCTGCTCCCGCCGCTGCTCCTTACCAGAACACCACTGGTGCTGCTGTCGCTGCTGTCGCTGCTGCCCAGGCTGCCGCTCCTTGGACTAACACTACCTCCTCTGGTGCTGCCGTCGCCGCTGTCAGTACCTTCTCCAACTCCACCACCAACTCTACCGGTGGTGCCGTTACTCTTCCCGCTTTCACCGGTGCTGGTTTGAAGACTGGCATCTCCGCCGTCGTCATTGCCGCTGGATTCTTGGCTGTTGCTATCTAAACGAGCTAAAGAGCAGGTTGTGAGAGCAGAGAGCAGAGAGCTGTGCTTGACGCTTTGGTCAATTTTGTGGACGGTTTTTTTCTTTTGGTCGTCGTTCTTCACCGGAGTTCTAGGGAAGGATGGCGAATAGGTTAGGATACTACTTAATCGAGTAATTGATACTACTTCTACAAATTCTTCAATATCCATCGCAGCGTAGGGTCTTGATCATTCCACACCCCATTTTCTTCATTTCACACCCCAGCGCCAACAAAAAACTCAGGATATCTCGCCAACCGCAAATCGGATCTCGGAGGGTAGAGAGTGTATAGACTGATAAAAGTCCCCTGAATCCGTTCCCACCTTCAAATTCGGATTTGAAGGTTCCTGGGAGAAGATACCAACTGTTTCTCACCTCTCAGCCCGGCGCTGCGGCTGGTGTGGCACAGCGCATATATGCATAAATCTGCACATCACATCTCAGCAGTATTTGGCAGAGTACAGCAGCTGGTGGAGTGAAATCTGCGAGTTAAAGGTATCAGGATATTCACAAAGTTACTCTCTATCTCTCTACACTCTTACCGTATTCCCAAGTTCAATGGCTGTTGAGATATCTTTGAAATTGTGAGTGCGCCGGGGTGTGAAATGAAGATTTAGGGGTGTGGAATGATCAGGACCCCGCAGCGTAACGTTGACGTACAAACTGTCGTTTACGTGCAATACGTACTCGTGCCGGCAATTCTCGACGGACCGTGTCCTTGTGTTCCACGTTGTTTCCAGTTCCACATATATCACTCAATATTACACAAAGAAACTGCACCCAAAAAATCGTCTTCACGCATTTTCCATTTCACACCATCTCCCACGTACTCAAGGGTGCCTTTCTCGCCCTCAACACCCCCTCCAAAGCACCCGCAATCCCAAACACCTTCCCATCCGCAAACTGCGTACCCATAACTTCTAATCCGACCGGAATGCCCCTCGGCGCGCTCTCCGTCGCATTTGAGAACCCCATCGGAATATCAATTACGGGAGCACCAATAAGTGCGGCAAGAAGCCCATTCCGTCCCGTTTGCCCGTTATTGTTGGCGATGGGTACCACGAGGCGTTGCTGTTGAGGGTAAATCATGACGTCGAGGTTCTGGTCTGCGAAGTAAGTGGCGACTCTGATCTTCAATTGCTCGATTGCGGCGAGTTTTTGGACATAGGCGGGGGTGGACATGTTATTCGTTGCCGCCTGCCCGAAGAACGAGCCAAGTACGACTTGGTCCCATTCGCCTGATTGGTACAACGCCTCGAAGGAGTGGTACCGGGCGGTGTAGTTCGGTCGAGAGAGGTATTCGTCCATCAAGGCAGCGTACTCGTAGATCTGTACGTCATAGTTGGACGCAAGTGTGGTAATGTTGAACACAGGGTCCTGAATATGAACAATCTCCGCACCCGCAGCCTCGAATTGCGCAATCGTCGCATTCATAATCACATTCACAGGCATCGTCTCATTATCCGAAGCCCTCGAAAGAAGCCCGTCAACAACACCAATCCTCAATGACGACAACGCCGGAAGCAGACTGAGATACTTGACATAATCACTCTCGAAATGCCCATACCCGAGCGCGGTAACGTTGTCGAGCGGATCATACCCATTCATCACAGCACCCGCAATCGCCGCATCACGGACTGTCCTCGCAATTGGTCCGATCGCGTCCTGCGTAGTCGATACAGGCACGATACCCGCACGCGTCGACAACCCCCGACTCGGACGATACCCCACAAGCGAGTTCGCGGATGCTGGAGACCGGATGGAGTTTACCGTATCCGTCCCCGTTCCGAAGACCGAGAAAGAAGCAGCAACGGCGGCACCCGTTCCACCTGAGGAACCACCCGGCGTGCGTGTGAGATCGTATGGGTTCTTGACTTGGCCGGCGAGAGAGGAGTTGGAGACACCGGAGGCGGCAGCATACTCCTGCAAATTCGTCTTACCGAGGATGATCGCCCCAGCAGCACGGAGTCGAGCGACAGAGGGTGCATCCTCAGCCGGCTGCGCATCCCGAAGAGCGAGGGAGGATGCAGTGGTATGCATGTCGAACGTATCATAATTATCCTTCAACAACACCGGAACACAATACAACGGCCCAAGCATGAATCCATTTCGCTGCATAATCGCCTCATCCATCTCGTCAGCGTAGTCAAGCGCATACGGATTCACCGTCCACACAGCATTCAACGCCGGACCTTGATCATCGTATGCCTGGATACGATCAATATACGACTGAACGATCTCACGGCACGTCACGCCCTTGAGCTCAATGGCCCGGTGCACATCATCGATCGTAGCCTCCCTCGGATCGAAATCCACAGACCTCGTACAGTTACCATCAGCAATGGCAGTAGCAGGCGCAAAGAGATGTGTCGCGGACAAGAGCGTCAACGCGACAGTCGTAAGTGAGAGGAATCCCATTGTGGCAGCAGAAGCGAGGAGAAGTGGTGTGAGTCCTACATGATGCATCGAGATGTCTCCTTTTATATCATCGGTGGGCGCAATTGCGGTCCGGGTTGGATCTGTTCGCGTAAGACGGTGGGGTGCGTCGCTAAGCCTTGGAAGCGAAAGATAGGCTGATCCGCTCGTCACGAGAGATTCCTGACCCGAGATGATACGGATTCCTTAAAGAGCAGTCAACTTCATGCAGAGCAGGTCGAGACGATTTGGTTACGTTGGTGGAGGCGGGGTCCGGATTAACGTGCAGTGCGGTGCAGCATCTGTCGGAAATGTCGGGAAATGATTCCCATGCTTTCGAAACTCGACGTCATATACTCGGGAAACAGTTAGGGAGTCTGGGGTTATCATGGAAGGAAGCGAAAGAACAAGGAGATACAAAATGGATAGTCCCGTGCATCAACCGGGAGTCGAACCCGGAGCTAAGCCTTGGGAAGGCTCAATGTTACCGCTACACCATTGATGCTTGCTTAGTGACTGTTATCAACTATATGACAAATGTCATTCCAGTGGACAACAAATCGAGGCTCATGGGTTGCCGCGGCCGGGTCTGGTGTGATAGTGGAGAGTCAAGTGTACCAGTGCCATAGGTATGTCGACAGTTGCTAAAGTTCTCCAAGAACCCCCAAACACAATCCAATAGTTTCGCCGGTACACGTAGCGTGGATTCGAGCAGGATAAAGTCGAGGATCAAGACAAGGAAGACTTTTTGGGGGTTATCGTCCATTACCTGCATGAAGTTTCGTGTGTCTAACCCTAACTCGGCAGTGGAGATCCATAGGTAACGTTGATAGCAATTGCAAGTAAATGTTGAACGCCTAGCCCAAAAACCCATGTCTAACCGATGCTGTTGCAATGCAAACTCGTGCTCAATGTGCCTCAACGTGATTCTGACTCCATCACGTGTAGCGTATCAATCAACCCAATCTCACCATCCCCTGCCAACTTCCGTGCCATCCACACCTCCTCATTCAGCTTCCTGTGTACCTCAAACAGTTCATCTTCGTCGAATGAGAGGAATGGGATGCCATGCTCGCGCCGGCCTTCTGCTCGGTATGGACGTAGAGCCCGACACTGTGCTCGTCCGGGGAGGGCTGCCGGTGCGTGCCTTTGGCGTAACGTAGCCCCCGACACAATCGAAGATGAATCATCGTCAAACTCCGCTTGTAAAGACGGATACGTGGTATGCGATGTAAGAGCAGATGTCCTTGCAGGCGCCGACCTCGAAGACGCATGACGACCCGGCACATCCAAATGCGAAGCAGATATCGACCTTGTACTGGGCTTTGGGTGCGCGATGAACGAATTCGAACTCTCCCTCTCCGTATCCATATATGAATGAGGACGCTGATACCCAGCTCCAGGCCGGGACAGCGATGCGCGGCGCCGTGGGATGTCGGGATCGCTAATATTGGGATAATCGGAGAACTCCAAGTACGGTGTTTCCGGTGCTGATATCGTCGACTCGGAAGGACCAGACCATACATCATCCGGTAATGCAAGTTCCGAAAATGTCGGAATCTCCGGTAACGTAGGCGAACTCGGTAACGTCGGGATCGTCGGCAACAACTCCGGCGTTCTCTGTTCCTTCGGCTCCTTCGACTCTGTAAGCAGATCGTCAGTTCCCTTCCAACTTCCGTCGAAGAAATTGAAGATACACTGACCTTGAAATATACTGAACGCTTTCATATCCGCATCCACAACCATTTGCCTCACCAAATAATCCCCAACGATATCAATGAACTGAAACCGATCCTCATTCCCATACTCTGGCAACAACCCGATCAACTTATCCTTCCAACTCGCATACCAATCTTTCTGTGCCGCAGCAAAAGCTTGTAGACATACGTCAACAGCAGACCGGCTCAGTTCAAGAAACTTGGGGAGCTCGTGCTGGAGTGTTTTGTCGAGTAACACGAACGTCTCCGAAGATTTCGCAAGGTGCGGATCAGGCATGTCCCCTCTTACCCTCAACGCCTTCACCCTCGCGAAATCTAACGCCTTCTTCTCTCGTTTCAATACGAACTTGGCCGGGTTGGCGTACATCCCGCCCACACTCTCCAACGGCTCAACAACCGTTTTCCGTACCACATGCTCCAACTCATCGAAGGCACGCCCTTCCATCTGCGCAACGACCAGCTCAAACATCCTCCACCTCGCTCCGGCAATCTTACTCATTCCTCCGACAAGCGGTACACACTCGACCCACTCCCTCATCGCATATGCCCATCTCAAGAACACACCCAAATGCACTTTCATTTCACATAACCACCTATCCACATCTTTGGCGAGCTGCTGGATTTGCGATTCCTGACGTCGAAATTTTTCGTGAAGAGCGTGGTAGAGTTCTTGTTGGCCGATCGGTTCACTTATCCCAATAGACTGCTTAAGCTATCACCCTCAAGTTAGTGAACGATCATGAACGAGGGTAGAGATGGGTTACCGTACACGCTCGCGTCTCCTCGACAACCCCTTCGTGAAGCCACGGCGTACATCCCCCTCACCCTTCCCCTTCCCAACGATCCTATGAACCAGATCCTTCCTTCTCTTGACATCATTGATCCGCTCTGCCATCGCCATGACATCGTTTACCGCCTGTTTCAACGCTGGGAAATCCTCATGCGTGGTCGGTGTGCTTTCCAGGATTTGGTGTAGCAGAAGCGGATATTTGAGCACACGCTGAACGGGTTTAATCAGCAAACTCCCCAAATCCCACGCGTTGGTATGGTTTTTCGAAAGCGCAGTGCACTCATCCAACCACTTCTTCACAGCAGGGTCTTGCTCAAGCTTGACAAGTCTCGTAGCAACAGCGTCGTGATTCGCACAATAATCCGTATACACAATCTCCATGTTGCCAATCATTTCAATAAATGCATTACCGACCCAACTCTTATGTTCCTCAACCGTATCCTCGTCCACCGTCTCAGTAAGCTTCATCTCAAACACAGGCTCCGCGGCACTTCTCATGATTTCCATAAAGTCCTGCGCGAAATCAATCAACTGCGGAACTTGCCCAAAGAACAAATGCGCATCCTCGATCGACAGCTGCGGACAATATGCCGTCCGTTGTCGATAGTATTCATCCACGACCATCAAATCCCGGCAGAACGACTCCTCGGTTTCGACTAGCTCCATGATGACATTCCTTCTCTTCCGCTTCCTCTTTTCGTCGGCCCTGCGTACAGGATCTTGAATCTCATCGACGCTGAACCCGCCCTCCTCAACACTAAACGTCGGTGACGCAGGCATAGAGGGTGATGCGGTCGGTGGAGCAAGTAATGTCTGCATGTGCCCCGAGAGCTGCCGTACATGCCCATGTCCACCCGGCCTACCCATCCCAGGGACAGCCAACGGCGATAACGCAGATCCTTCAGCAGATGACGGACTCTCAACCCGTACCCCCACCTCATCACCATCAAAGTACGCCCCCGTCCCAGCCCCCGACGGCGTTCTTGGCCCACCAGGAGTACCAGCCGGCGATACCGCAGGTCCTAGTGAGAGACTCTGCAACGCAGCCGCAATCGTAGCCCTCCTAGCCGAAAACTCATCCCCCAAATTCAACTCGGGTCTCAGACTGGTCGACCTCGGGCGTCCTGATTTCATCATTTCTCCCGGTAATTTCGGCAGTTCCAACTTTCCAGGCTCATCTTTCGGGGGTACGGGTGGTGTGGAAGGTGTGGGAGGGACGAGTGGTGGTGCGTTGGGCACTGGAGGCGGTGCGGAGCGTGCTGGACTCTGCGGCGGCGTGGTGGTTGATGTACCGGGTACAGGTGGTGGGGGAGCCGAGTGCGGCGGTGGTGGGGGAAGTATAGATACACTCGCAGTCGAACCAGTCCCTTGTGCTGATAGCGAAACACTCGACTCCGTGGTCGTGGAGGCATTTGCAATAACACTCGCATTTTCAATCGTGCTACCACTCGCCAAATGCCTCGGTTTTCGTGGTCGTACCGGCGGAGGCGGCGGTTTCTTTCGTGGACTCGGTGGATTGTCGTCCGGTGCTTCATTGAAGCGGGCGATGATGGCTGCTATTGAGGGCGTTACTGAAACAGGTTCGTCGGAGAGGGTTGAGGAGGAGTTTGCGGTCAGCACGGAAGCGGTAGACGCCGCGCGTTGTCTCCCATGATGATATTTCGGTGGTGGTGGAGGAGGAGGTATAGATGGTCTTTCTACGGATGATTGATTCGAGGAACTCCCTCCATATGTTGCTGCATCCGTCGCAGTCTCTGTACCCTCCTCTCCCGTAGCATGACTCTCGCCGGCCGAAGCCGAGTAGTACGTGCTACTATCTTGCGCGGTAATCGAGCTATCGGTATCCTCCACATCCAACGCATATCGCGGCGCAAGATGTGGTTCCGTCGCTGGAGCAACGGGTAATGACGGTCGTTCCTCGACGGCGGACGAGTGTTCGGGAAGTGGGCGTCCTTTGCGATGGGGAGGGATTGGTGGAGGTTTGGCTAATGGGTAACGTGTCGGCGGCTGCGAAGACATCGTCTGCCTCCTTCCCCCTTACAATTCGTGGTTAAGCTGTCCTGTGGTGTTGTTGGGAATACGTACACGTTGGCGGTTGTACTTCGGTTGCGCAGGATACGGGCCCGATCAATGCACTTGAGCAGCCTCACGCAGAAGTTCCGTTCTGAGTACGATTGTTCTATGATAGCTGTAGGAAGTGTAAGAAGGGAATGTTTCTTGTTCCATCATACGCAATTCGCACTTTCCTCCCCGGGAGACATCTCCTACCGGTTCCGCTGTCTATCATAGCACACATCAGGCCTATAGCTACCTACAGTATAGCCTTGAAATCCATTAGCTCTCTGAAAGACCTTATATCCTACTCGTCTCGATCCGCTCCATTTTGTGCCTTCCCAGCCTTAATTTGCCAATCCATTCGCCCACGCAATTAGCATCCTCGTTGGCCTTCCAGTCATACCCTTGTTATTGTACCCCTCCGCCGCCTTACTATCCATCACACCCGCAATGTCCAAATGACACCAATCAACATCCTTCACCTCATGCTTCCTCACAAACTCGTACAAGAACATCGCAGCACTGTTTGCTCCACCCTCGCGCGAACCGACGTTGATGAGATCCGCGGTAGCAGACTTCTTCATGGCCTTCAAGTAGGCATCGTGAAGTGGCATTCTCCACACCGGGTCGGTAGCTTCCATGCCAGCAACCCTAAGACCGTTGGCCATTTTATCTGAGGGGGTGTACATGGCGGTATACACATCACCCAACGCGACGACAGTCGCACCAGTCAACGTAGCCACATCCACCAATCTCTTCGGCGCAAAAGTATCCAAAGTATACGTGATCGCATCCGCCAAGATCAACCTCCCCTCCGCATCCGTATTATCGACCTCGACAGTCATTCCACTCCTCGTCCTCACAACATCTCCCGGCTTAACTGAATTTCCAGAAGGCAAATTCTCAACTAAGGGGATCGTCAACGTCACATGCAGCGGCAACTCCAAAGCAGCAATAGCATAGAACGCCGCAAGCGTTACTGCGGCACCGCCCATATCACCCCTCATCATTGCCATACCAGCACTCGGCTTGATCGAGATACCTCCTGCATCAAATGTGACACCCTTCCCGACCAATGCAAAGTCCGGTTTAGTGGACTCAACCTTCTTCGGGCCCCGGTATTCCGCGACCAGAAACTGCGGCTCCTCCACAGATCCCCTCCCAACAGCCAGAACGGCCCCCATATTCTCCTTCGCCAGCCAATCCCTCCCATACGCATTCAACGTCACCATCCCCATCTCCCCGACAAGGGCCTGCGCCTCCTCGACAAACATCTTGGGCGTCATCATATTCGCTGGCGTCTCCATCAGCCTCCGTGCAATATTCTGCGCAGTAGCTTGCACCTTCCCGTTCCTCATGCACTTCAACCCGTCCTCGGTAGGTGGGAAGACTCCATATTTTGGTGGCTCCTTCCAGTCGGCGGATTTTGTTTTGGTAGTGGTGTACTCGTACAGCCCCAACTCTGCACCCTCCACTATCGCCTGAGCCGAGCCCAGCGAGTTCTCCAACGCAACGATCTTTGCGCCCTGCGCCCTCGCTTTCTTCATTCCGAGCGCGGCGGCCATGCGCGCGTTATGAATCTTCACATGTTTCTCTTCCGCATCCGGGAATGGCTTCGCGTCCGCAATCCCGACGGCGATGATGCGACTGACCCCTTCACCGGTATTAACATTGGTGTTGAAAAATGTCTCCACAGACCCTGCCTTCGCATCCGCCAATTCCAGCGTTTTCAATACCACGTCAGTGTTGAAGACCTCATTCGTCAACGTAAACTTCGGATTTCCGTTTTTCACCTGCTCATCTGAAGCCCGCCTGAAACCAGTGATGACAGTGTCGAAACTAGCCTCTTCTTCGCCCTGGGAGGCATAAGTCCGACGGAGTGTCGTTCGTAGAGGTGCCCGAGCTAGAACGCGGGCGGATCGGAGGAGGAGGGCCATTGTGCGGGCTGAGGATCTTGGTGGTGAGTTCCGGGTTATGGCGGAGTCTACGTTACGGTGGCTGGTGTGGCTGGTGCGTCGTTTCGTGCTTGCCCGCACCTTGCTCAGAAAATACGTCAATAGGGAATTCAGGCTCATGGTGGCCGGAGCAAGCATATTCGGCTCCTTCTATGTTCCCTTATCCCGAGATGGAAGACATGGTTGCAACCAAGCATTGAACATGCCGGCATCGTTGCCATATAGCATTGTGTGACAAGAGAACAGGAATATATCGACCATCACCTAACCCTCATCTCGTAGCAAGTAGAGTAAGTAAATCGTACCGCAACACATGCAAATTCGAATGCATCATTCCTGCGACACCCTCCTAAACGATCAAGCGCCATATCATCGCAGTGCATCTTCATGTCCCTCTCAACTCATTAGTCATAGCAAAAGCAAAAAGCAAGGCAAAACGCCGCGCACGCCGGAATGGTATCCCCATCATCAAGCAAAGCAAGTGGAGCATATCCCGAATGAAAGCGCCAGAATGCTCCACGTATATCAGATGCACCCCCAAATCCGCCCAAATTCCAAGCCAGAAAGTCAGATAAATCAACACAAATTCAAATCAATCCCCATCTCCTGTACGACTTGATCCCAATCAAGAGCCGTCTCGCCCTCATCCCGTTTCTGCTGGACTCTCTCGACAACAGCTTTCGCAAGCGGGATATTGTCCACTCCCAGCTTCTCCATACCCCTGATTCGTTCCAACACAAACTCTCGATTATGCCTATCCAACGCCTCACACCCCGCTGTAAAGCACGGCAATAACAATGCAGCCTCAGCACTGCAACCCGGAGGTACCCTCGCAATCGACGAAACGACGTTACACACCGCACCCTGAACAGCGGGAGAATTCGTCGGAATCCCCTCCACCCGTCGGAAAAGATGGATCAACCCAGAAAAGTAGAAAGCGTCATTACACGCTCCCAACTCCTGCTTCAACTTGACATCCATCTTCAGCCCCGGCAAGTGCGGCATCAAAGCCGGTCCTTTCGTCTTCATCCCCCTCAAATCAGCCTTGATAGCCTCGACCTCAAACCCCAACTCGTGCGAAATAACACCCCCACACTCCTTCTTCTTCCTGGCCGCCTCCGAGATCCTCACCATAATCGGCATAACACCCCCCAAAAAGCCCATATACGGGTCCAAAAAGTATTCGCCAACAGGATCTTTTTCGTGTGCTTCATATACCCAATACTTCCCTTCCCACATCATCCGATTCATAGGGTTCGCAAGCGAAGCCTGGATATCGAAATACGCAAGCCACTTAACCAGGAACCGCCAGAGCTCACCATGATCCTCCCTCGGTCCTCCCCGCAACATAATCAAATCTCTCGCGCCCCGCAAATGCCGTCTCCACCCCGCCCCAGCAGCATCGTGCAAGACCTCATGCGAACTCAAAGCAATCGTAGCAGCCAAGACACCATCATCCCTCGCCGTCCTCGGATCAGCAAGTGCTTGGATGATCTGTTGAATGGAATGATTAACCAAACCCGTCACCTGCGTCGTCGGCTCCGGCAACCCTAACATCCTCGCCCGATGAACGGCACCCGTTGCCAGAATAACACTCAACAACGGCGGAGAACTAAGCGACAATGGTCCCAACAACCTGAAAAACGGGTTTCGCTCCGAGTGGTGCGGAACGAGACGCGTAGAGGTTTCCCACATGTAATGTTCGAAGTATGTCCGGAGCTGCGGGTTATCGTTCAACACAGCTGGCAGCGGAGGGAACGGAACCCGGATAAGAGGTGTAGAGCCCGATTCAGACGTCGCGATGAGTTGAGTCCCGGCATGATCCGGATACGCAGGTGGTGTATCAAAACGATACAACGGATCATACCCATGCGATTCAAACCCCAACTCCCTCATCCCATTTGCTCCCGATGACTCCGTCGATGTAAGATCCGCATGTATCTCAGCCTGCGCCTCTTCCTGGTCATCATCCGGCAATTCCACAATCCGGCTCTCCGCAACCCCTTCCAGATTCCCATACGTGAACGTAACCCCAGCTCCAGCCCCACCTCCGTTGACATTCCCCTCAGCACTCCGTGGCGCATGGAGCGGACTACTCTGACCCTGTCTCAGCCCACCCATCTCCCCAGCAGCAAAATCAAATCCCAAACCCCGTGCAACACCAAACCTCTCATCCTCCTCCCTCGTCTCTCTTTCTCGCTCGAGTTCGTGAGAAACTCTCTCCACCTCCCTCTCGAATTCTCGGAACTGAGCAGCCGAGATGCCTTGACCTTGGTCCTGAGTTTGCATTTGCTGAGCCTGAGAGTCACGGTCGGAGTTGGATTGAGCCTGACAACCATCCTGACCCATGAACGCACTAACACTCTCCCGACCACTCCCCGGCGCACTCGCGAGATATCCACTATCCCGTACCGGTGTCGGCGGACGGGTGAATGCGATAATATCAATCCCGGGTGGTGGTGTCAGAAATGCCGCAATGGGTTCTCCAGTCATAGTGTTGGTGTTGGAATGGGTGTGGGTAGTGGGAGGAGCTGCCCATGTCCCATTCGTAGTGCGTTCTTGCATTGTGTGTCCGTGTGCGTGTAGCGGCGACAGTCTGATCCCAACCTCTCCAGTACTCTGTCCCCTTCCCCGTCCGAAATTAGGGGATTGTGAGGTCAGAGAGATATCGGGTGTCAAAAGGCCGCCCTGGGAATACACGTACGGCTCATGCTCCCTCTCATCCAACTCAATGGGTGCCGTCAAGCCTGGTGGCATAGGCGCCCGATCGAAGCCCCTTTCATAGCCCATTTCCATATGTGTGTTTAAGTTCGTATTCATCTGCGAATGCACATTCATCATTGAATCAGACCTCGATCTCTCATGTCCGTGTCCGTATCTGAACGCCGATGGTGGCGGCGGGAAATGAGAGAAAGGGAGTGTGTTAATATGTTGTGGCACGTCACCGTCCATATCGACATCCATATCAACATCCATAGCCAGATTTGTGTTGGAGTTAAGGGCGGGTTCGAGGCCTTGGTGGGGTTGTGGGGTGAGAGAGGGGTGGGGCGGACGGGGAATGCGGAAGCCGAGGTCGGTGTTTGACATGGACTTGTTGTGGGTCAGTCTTTGCCCGTGTAAATGCATCGACATCTGCTGTTGGTGATGATTTTGGGGGGCGTATGCTGGTGCAGCCTGGCTCTTGGCGTTCGTAACGGAAGCATCGTCACCATCCGACGCAGCCTCAATCTTGATAACAGGCTCCCCCTTCCTCTTTCCATTTCCTTGTCCCCGTTGTCGTTGTCTTTGTCTTGTAGGAGAACCATCATCGACCTTAACCGCACTCATTCTCCTTCTCTCTCCACCAAAGCCTACCTTCGGCTCAGTATGATATGTGCTCGAGCCAGACCCTTCCGCCGAATTGGCAGCAGCGAAGACAGGTAAATGCGAGAAGTCAAGTACAGATTCACTTCCATAAATCGCGCATGGCATTCCCGTCGGTACCGGGATCCGGTGGCCCGAGGCCCATGGGTCAGGTTCTTCGTCGCCATCAGCACCATGGCCAGGCGAGGAGGATTTTTTGATTTTCACAGGCCGGCCACCCCAGTAGAGAGGTAAAGAATAATCGCAACTCAGTGAATTCTCGGTACAGCGTGTACACTGCGGTTTGGCTTCATCGCACTATTGTTATGGTCACTTCGGTTAGACATGCCCAATGCGACCACAGAAAAAGAGCGCACCTTGACTTTCTTGGCCTTACACTGTCGACAGCCGAATTTGCTTCGTCGTCTGATGGTAGTATCCCTGATATCCGTCATGGTATCATACAGGTCAAATGAATGCTGAACGCTGGATGCTGAATGCTGGGGTGCTCGGTGGTCTTGTACGGGTTGGAGGCTCAGTCGACTTTCTTAGCTGGACCGCTACCAATACCTGTCTCGCTTAGTGAACCGATCTGCAGGCGGCAATTGGAGTGCGGGGCCGGCTGTAACCTGGGATGAGACGCGCACTCTAGAGGCTGGGAAATGCAAAGCCCTGTACATTCCCGCAAACTTTATTTGAATCGACAAACATGAAGCAGGCCAGTTTGTCGTCGTTCTTCGTCCCGCAGTCTTCTGGAGGGCCGTCGTCGAAGAGGACTGATCCGCCGGGCGAGGTGGAGGATGACGAGCCGGTGTCTAAGAAGCTCCGGTTTGAGGAGCATTCATCCCAGGATGTGACGCATACATCCGTGGACGTGCCCTCTGAGGATACTTCCAAGTTCTTCAGCACGCCTAGTCGTCCTGCTAAGTCTACTCCTGCTCCTACTCCCGCTCGTACGTCCATCTCGACGCGTACTGAACGGTTCAGGTATGATCCTACGTCGTCAGCACCCACAGAGACGTCATCGGACGGTCCAAGTTTATCACAAGAACAGCAAAGAGCAAAGGATGCACGGCGTGAACAGTTCCAAGCGCGATTCATGGACCCAAACTCCATTGCGGACATCAAGCGTCGACGAGAAAACTCGGTCGTAACGCCCGTCAACGACGCGTCTGCAGTTGCCGGTGACGACGAAGAACCCTCTACAGAACCACAAAGCGACCTCGCCAAACGCTTCTCCGCCCCCTCGTCCACCCCAACCGCCGCCCTCGCCTCCGGCGTCCCAAAAGCACCTCCAGGTGCGAAACTAACCCCGCTCGAACGCCAATTCCTCGCACTCAAAACCACCCACCCAACGACCCTCCTCGCAATCCAAGTTGGCTACAAATACCGCTTCTTCCACACCGATGCCCTTCTCGCCTCCCAACACCTCCACATCGCATCCTTCCCCGACCACAATTTCATCACTGCCTCCATTCCCGTTCATCGAATCAATATCCATGTTAAGAAATTAGTGGAGGCGGGGTTGAGGGTGGGTGTTGTGGAGCAGGTTGAGACGGCGGCGTTGAAGGCTGCGAGTGGGAAGAGTGGGGTATTTGAGAGAAAGTTGACGGGGATCCACACGAAGGGGACGTATGTTGGCGATATATCCAATGATGTTCCTAGCCCTTCTGGGGCGGGAGCTGGGACGGGGTATATTATGGGACTGGTCGAAGATGTTGTGAGAGAGGGAACGGATGATGTGAAGATCGGCATCATCGCGGTACAACCCTCAACCGGGGACATCATCTACGACGAATTTGAGGATGGTGTCTTGCGGAGTGAATTCGAAACGCGTCTCTTGCATTTAAGCCCATGCGAGGTCATTATCGTTGGACAAGTCAGCCGTGTTACCGAAAGAGTGTTGTCCCATCTTTCCACAGGAATAGGGGAAGGCGTCAGGATGGAAAGAGTTGAGAAGAAGCAAGAGTTCGACGACGCATTCACCGCCGTCTCCAAGTTCTACGCCGATAAAGTCCAAAAAGGCGGTGACAACACCCTTCTCGATGAAGTTCTGAAGTTTCCAAAGGGTGTGGTGGTATGCCTCAGCGCAATGATCACCTACCTCACCGAATTCGGCATCGAGCACGTCTTTGACCTAACAAAATACTTCTCCCCCTTCTCCTCGCGCTCGAAGATGTTACTCACGGGCAACACGCTTACATCACTCGAAATCTTCCGGAACGCGACGGACGGCGGTGAGCGAGGAAGTTTATTCTGGGTGCTAGATCGAACGCGGACCAAGTTCGGACGTAGAATGTTGAGGAAGTGGGTTGGACGCCCTCTCGTTCGGCATGAAGAACTTGAGGGGCGGATTGAGGCTGTGGAAGAGATCTTGAATGCGGACAGTGACACGAAACGCAAGGTTGAAGCGCTGGAAAAGGTGTTGGACCGACTTCCAGACCTGGAGAAGGGACTGTGTCGAATTCACTACGGAAAATGTACGAGACCCGAATTGGTTCTCATCCTCAACGCACTCTACAAGATCTCCATCGCCTTCGAATCCGTGGCCGATCCCGCCTCCATCGGGTTCAAGAGCGCGCTTCTCAATAACTCTATCGCAGCCCTCCCGACCATTGCTGAAGATGTCGGTAAGTTTTTAGGGATGTTCAACCAAGCCGAGGCTGCGAAGGATAACAAGTATGATATGTTTGGTGATGATGTCGCTGAGGAAATTGGGGAACATAAGATGGGGATCGCGATGGTTGAGTCAGAGTTGGGGGAGCATTTGAAGGAGATCCAGACGATGTTGAGGAGGAAGGTTGAGTATGTTACTGTTGCTGGCGTCGAGTACCTCATCGAGCTACGAAACTCCGAAGCGAACAAGGTACCGAAGAATTGGGTCAAGATCTCGGGTACGAAGGCAATGAGTAGGTTCCACTCTCCACGCATTCTGGCTCTTTTGAAGGAGCGCGAGCAGAGGAAGGAGAGTCTTGCGATCGAGTGCGATAAAGCCTACGCCGACTTTCTGGGAAAGATCGCGGAGAAATTCGAGGTGTTCCGCGATGTGGTCACTAAACTCGCCGTCGTGGATTGCTTGTTGAGTTTGAGTATCGTGGCATCACAGCCTGGATATTGCAGGCCCACATTCGTCGAAGGTACGAAGATCGAGATCAACGGCGGGAGACATCCCATGGTGGAGCAGATCTTGGCTGATCCGTTCGTGCCGAATGATGTGGAGTTGGACAAGGACGGGTTACGCACCGTTGTGTTGACGGGTCCAAATATGGGTGGTAAGAGTTCGTATATTCGGATGGTCGCGCTCGTTTCCATCATGGGTCAAATCGGGTCCTACGTCCCTGCCGAATCGGCAACACTGGGTATTTTGGACGCGGTATTCACGAGGATGGGTGCATTCGACAACATCATGTCGGGCGAATCTACATTCATGGTCGAGTTGTCCGAAACGTCTGATATCATGCGTCAATCCACACCCCGTTCCCTCGTCATCCTCGACGAACTAGGACGTGGTACGAGTTCAATGGATGGAATGGCAATCGCCTGGGCCGTCCTCGAATGGTTCCTCGAACGAGGTGGCCTTGTCCTCTTCGTAACACACTACCCAATCCTCGCCGAACTCGCCCAAAAATACCCCCAACTCTGCAAAAACGCACACATGGGCTTCATGGAACACACCTCCTCCGACGGCTCCCCCGAAATCACATTCCTCTACAAATTGACGGAGGGGGTGGCGAATCGGTCTTACGGGCTTAATGTTGCCAGGTTGGCGAATTTGCCGGGGAGGGTGTTGGAGGTTGCAGAGGTTAAGGCGAGGGAGGTCGAGGAGGAGTTGAGGGGGAGGAGGGAGAGGGGGTGGGCGGAGATGGCGAGGAGGGCGATTGGTGATCCGGGGAGTGTTAGTATTGAGGATTTGGAGGCACTTGCGGGCAATATTGATTGGGCATAGTTGTGGGCATCTATAGATTGGGATTAATGGAGTTCTGGGGAGGTTTAGCGGGGAGAGTTTAGGCAGACGGGAAATCATGCCTCCGTCTCGCCCGTTATTTCGGTCACACTTCGGTCTCGCCTACACGCGCTCATACGCTGCCACCTGCCCAACCGGCGCCATCTCCGGCCCAAGACAAGTGTTTCTGCGCTACAAGTAAGTGGCAACCTTAATTACTCCGCAACCAGATCAGATCAGACGACAGCTCAAACACCCGGTCGCCTGTTCAATAGGGCAATTACGTTAGTTTAGAGGATGTGGAGACCCCACGGGGAGGTCTCTGTGTGACTCGGGGACGCGGGGACGTGGGCCATTTGTTGAGTTCCGTGTGTGCGGCTCGATCCACTTCTATATAAACCCACCTATCCTCCCGCCTTCCTCTTCCTCCCATCAATCTCCTAACCAACAACTACAACCCCAACTACAATGGCAGGAGGCGCACCAGCAGCACACATCCGCGCAAGCAACATTCCCACCGGTGGCAGAGCCCTCTGGGTCCCCATCGCCCTCGTCACATCCCTCTTCTTTCTCTGGGGTTTCGCATACGGTCTCCTCGACGTCCTCAACAAACACTTCCAAAACGTCCTGGGCCTCACCAAGCTCGAATCAACAGGTCTCCAGATCGCGTACTTTGGTGCCTACATCGTATACCCTCCAACCCTCGGTGGCTGGATCATCCGTCGTTTCGGTTACAAGCTTGGCATTATTTCTGGTTTGGTGTTGTACGTTGTCGGTGCTTGTTTCTTCTGGCCCAGTGCGCACTTTTTGTCGTTTGGTGGGTTCTGTGGGAGTACGTTCGTGTTGGCGTGTGGGTTGTCTATGCTCGAAATCGCTGCGAACGCCTACATCACTGTTCTTGGCCCTGCGGAGACTGCTACTTTCCGTTTGAACCTGTCTCAGTCTTTCAACGGTGTCGGATCCTTCACTGGTCCTCTCATCGCTTCCAAGGCTTTCTTCTCCGGCGAGGGCTCAAAGAACTTGACCAGCGTTCAGTACGTTTACATTGGCATTGCCGCTGCTGTCGCCGCCGTTGCCGTTGGATTCTACTTTGTCAACCTTCCCGAAATCTCCGACGAGGAGATGCAAGAACGTGCCGCCGCCGAGGGTTCCGCCATCGCTAAGCGTCCCTTGTGGAAGCAGTACCACACCATCGCCGGTTTCGTCGCTCAGTTCTTCTACGTCGGTGGTCAAGTCACCCTCGCCTCTTTTTTCATCAACTACGTCGTCGAAGTCGACCCTTCTGTGTCTGATGCCAAGGCTTCCACTTACCTCTCCTACTCCCTCATCCTCTTCACCGTCGGTCGTTTCTTCGCTACCGCTCTTCTCAAGTTCCTCAAGCCTCAACACATCTTGTCTGTTTACGCCGCGATCTGTACTATCTTTGCTGCCGTCTCAATGTTCTTGAAGGGAACGGGTGGTGTTGCTCTCTACATGGCCATCTTCTTCTTCGAGTCCTGCATGTACCCTACCATCTTCACCATGGCCATCGCGAACCTCGGTATCAACACCAAGAAGGGTACCTCCCTTCTCATCATGGGTGTCGGTGGTGGTGCCATCATGCCCCCCATCCAGGGTGCGATCGCCGACCACCTCGACACGCAAAAGTCTACTCTTGTCCCTCTTATCTGCTACGTGGTCGTCCTCGTCTACGGATTGTTCTTCACTCAGCCTTTCGGGTTGAAGCCCGAGGAGAGGGATTTGGAGATGGTTGAGGAGTCTGCGACCGATGTTGAGTATTTGGATCAGAAGGGTCAGGATGTCTTCGTGGAGAATGTCGAGTCCGGTTCTTCTCCTTCTCACAGCCCTACCAGGGCTAGGCTAGCAGGTGTTTAGTGGTGAAAATTAGTCTTAGTTTTGGGATTCGGAGTTGCGGGTTCGACATCTTCTTGGTTATATGTTAGTGTGAGTTGCTTGGGTTAGCTATCATTGAAATGCATATTGTGATTACCTTTGGACGACATATCCCAAACCACTTCTCCGAAATGTTACGGTGTGAAACCTATGTGTTCCTCGAACAGTCCCTCTCTTTACTAGGTCAAGCGTGCGAAGGAAGTAATTACAAAGTGAGGGACGGCATCAACCTCAGACCAACAGCGCGTATAGATCAGAAGAACACTATAAAAGATATTTTTTGGAAGGGTGTAAACTAAACCAAGCAAAAAGCTCCTTCAACATCTTCACCGTGCCCTACTTATACACTCTGAAACTCCACACATACATCCCGACGCATCACCTCCTAATCAATTGGTTCCCTATCCCCAATCTCCTTCACATTCCTCTCATACTCCTCCGGCGTCTCAACCGCGAAACCCACCGGCTTCGTAATCGGCTCAAACTCCTCTCCGTGCTCCTTCAACAACCTCAACCTCTCCGCCGTCTCCGGATACGTCTTATTCACCGAATAAATCTTAACCCGATGACTCGAGCTCGTAACATGCAAATCCCAATTCCACGCAGACCTCACGAACGTAGGCTCAGTGTTGTTCGCGTTATCCCAGCATCGGACGCAGAGTTCGATCCAGCCTTCTGCGTAGGTTGGTACTTCGAGTTTCCAGAGACGCCAGGCGTGGTAGTGTTTCGTCGTCATGTTCTGCACCGCAGCCGGGAACCAGGTATGTCCACCATCCGGACTAACCTCGACTCTTTCGACCCAGCGGCCACCACCGGAGTAAGCCCAGCCTTGACACTCGATTTTCCCGTCGTGGATGATGACTTGTTTTTCCTTTGGGAACATCATTGCCGAGGAGACGGGCATGTCCTGGATACTGAACCCGTTGGAGAATTTGACGTTGTGTTTTCCGAGTTGGTGATTGTAGTAGAGATATTCTTGCCTCTGGACGGGACCCATGGAAGAGTGGGCTAAGGCGTTGATCTTGTAGAGCCATTTGCATGAACGGGCACCAATGTAACCAGTTACGACCGCGCGGACGGGGGCACCGTGGATGAGAGGGAGAGGTTCTCCATTCATTTCCCAAACGAGCAGAACCTCGTTCGACTTGACTTTACGCCAAGGAACGGAAACTGCGTAGTTGTAGACCCGCCTGTACGACAATTGTTAGTCGCATTCCTGAAAGAACGCTTTGACAGATCAACACACCCTTTTTTGAAATAAGTATCCGCTCCAATGAATTCCAAGTGCTGAGCCCCGTCCTTCAAGCCGCCGCAATACTTCAGGACCTTCTTCAAGCTGACACCCTTATACTTGGCCGTACCAATGGCGCCTTCAGCCCAAGGTGCGTTGATGAGTTCGTCACCTTCACCGGGGTATTCGTGGATTTGCTCGATACGGCGTGTACCGGAGCATTGAAGCGTAACGGTCATCTCGACGATCCTGCCACCTTGTTGTTAGTAACCTGCACACGGTGCAAGACATGTTGCAACATACGGAAACTTCGTCTTCAAGTCATGCAACGTCAACCTCTTCGGCTCGTTTACCATCCCACCAATTTCAACAGACCACTCCTCAGGTTCAATAACTGGAATATTCCCATGATTACGAACGAAATGATACTTGTTGTCCGTAATCTTCCCCTTCATCAACTCATCCGCCGGGGGCTCCCCATTGTACGGGAAATCAAGGACATGGATCATCTTCTCCCCCTTCTCCTTCTTGACGATCTCCCAGCTTTCATCGGGCCAGTTAGCCATGGTGGGTCCGAGGACTTGGTAGTACTCCTTCCACCTGTGTCCAATGAGGATGGGGTTGGTCTCGGGAAGGGGCTTGAGCTGGAATTCTGGGATGGGGGTAAACTTGAACTTGGCCAAGACTGCGGCAGCGAGCTTCTTCTTTTCAGGGTAGTCTTCCCACTCGACGTAGCCGTGCCAGCCTTTACGCTCCTCGGCGAAATCTGCGTTGCCGGATGTCTCTGCGTATGGTCGTTAGCCATTGACTCATGTCTGGTACCTATCGTACATTACACATACCTGAGATCTCTACAGAGCTCATCTTGGCCACGGTCTCCTCATAGGCCCTTGTGGCAGTCTCCTTCAATTGCTTGATAGTCTCCATGATCTCTCACGGCACAATGATTTGTCTGTTGATTCACCTTATATCTCGAATGTACTCGGCGTAACTGTCACCGGCGGACCGTCCATACTTATAAATGTCTCTTCCCGTCAACCTCCCAAAACACCGCGGCCCGAGATATCCACGCTCGATATCACACCACATTACGTCACCCTTACATTTTCCAGCCAAAATTGGCGAATTATGCGACTGATTAGCTGTCAAATGAAGCTTCTGCCGGCTAAGGTCACTTGAGGTTCCGTTGCTGCACGATCCCGGGGGAATGGAAGTCGCTACCCGTTGGTCCGGTCGGGCATAGTGATATAGGAAGATAAAGGCGAGAGAAGGAAGAGATAGACGAGGATTCAATTGCATATTGTTTGTTCAGACCGAGTCCCGAGACCTTCTGGATCATGTCTTGCGGGTACCGGTCAATTGACGTCAACCTGTCAACAAGCTGTCATGCTGTAGCGCTTTGTCCCTTCACCGGGTACTGCGCTGTCAATGGAGGTACCGCACCAGATACTCGGGTATATTCTGCCTTTTATTCATACTCTATATCAAAGGTATTCATCCCTACTCAACACAAGACAAGACCACCTTTCTATAAGCAGCACCCTCCACTCATCCCCCAATTGCAATAAGCTATCGTACGAACACCGAATACATCAGCAGTCATCAAGACGCTTAGATGTTCTCAGCCAACTGATCCGGCGGCAATCCCTGGTACACAATGTTGTACACAGCCGTAAACAACTTGAAATCATCCGTCTTCCCCTTCTTATCCAAAAAGTGGAACAGCTCCTCCGCCGTACCCGCACCCTGCAACTTCTGCCCATTCAACATATCCTGCTCCAACTCGTCCATGGATTTTCCTGTCTTCACAAACGCCTCCGCACAGCGACGGTTACGGCCTCCGAGGCATGATGTGATAAGGTCTGCGATTCCGCAGGACTCTTCCGTGAAGGTCGCGGAACGGACGTCAGGGAAGAAAGTCTTGGCGAACTTCTTCATTTCCATGAGGCCGACACGCATGACAGCAGCCTTAGAGTTATCTCCCCACCCCAATCCATCGGCGAATCCAGCAGCGACAGCGACGACGTTCTTCAATGCACCCGCAAGGGAGACACCCGCAACATCCTCACACATCCCAACCCTGAAATAATCCCTATGGAATAACTTCTTGATCGTATCCGAGGAAACGCCCTTATCGTCCTTCGGCGCATACGCAATCGTTGTCTCGCAAAACTTCTCTTCGGCAACTTCGTTCGCAATATTGGCCCCCGAAAGCGCACCGACGTAAATCCCGAGTTCTTCTCCAATGGTATACGGGAAAAGCGAGATATCATCCTTCGAGATCTCCACACCCTTAATGCACGAGATACCCACCGCATCCTTCGACACCTTCCCAGAGTCTCTCAGCTGCTTACAAACCTTGCCAACAAACTGATGCGGCAAGTTGAAAATCAGAATATTCGCACCCTCGACCGCCTTGACAACATCCGGCTCCGCAACAATACCTTCTGGTAGCGCGATGTTGGGGAGGTATTTCACGTTCTCGTGTTTCTCGTTAATCACCTCCGTCAACGGCCTCTTCTTTCCCTCGTGCTCGACTTCCTCCTCAAAGACCCACATCTTGACATCTTTGTTGAAGACGTCGCTATGCTGAGCGGTGTTTTCACCAACGATCTTCGCAATGGCGGTTCCCCAGTTTCCGGATCCGACAACGGCAACGGTGTGCTTTCCTGCCATGATATGCGTATTAGAGAATAGTCTGGTGCTGTTGTTGATTGTGCGTAGAGACGGTATGAATGTAGGTGCAGATGATCTGATAGCTGATCGAATTGCTTGTAGTGTAGCCAGTTTGTTGGTGTTCGAGGGAGGCCTTTATGTATTTCCTGCGCTTTCTGTGTTGTTCAACCAAACTGTCCGTTTATCGCGCCAACGCCGGGATTGGACATTTCGTGTAACGTCACATCCGTTGGGGGTGCGATTCACGTGTTCCAGGTCGAAATGGAGGATCTGTTTCATGGCAGGGAAAATCATGGATTTATTTCGTTGCATGAATAATTTACCTACCTCTCGGCTGATCGGTTGTCCGTTGATCGTGCTGCCAAGCTCACCCCCGAAGATCATAAAGCAAGATATCCCCACTCGTATCCGCGATAACAACTCTCCCCTTTCCACTTCGTTCAGTCGTAGTCAACCAATTGACCTTCTTCCCCTCTCCCAATTCCAGTGTCTCGACCAACGCCGTCGCACCCTCCTCCTCCTGTTCTCCCTGTTCGAATGCCCGGGACGCATCCCATATCCGTACAGATCCATCGTTCCCTCCACTAACAAGTCGCGTAGGATCGAATTTTGCCCATTCACTGTACGGTTCTCAGTTGGCAAGTATCTCGATAAGTAAGTTGAGGAAACGTACACCACGCTCGCGCCCGCTCTGTGCGGTTCTCCGCCCAGAGCCGTGATCTCCCATGCCTCCTCATTCCACTTCCTTTTCTTCCCGCCTCTCGCTCCATCATCCTGCCCTTGCCTCCCAACAAATACACTCCCATCCCCCACGGCAGCAGCCCACACCTTCCCCTCCTCATTCAAACTCAGCGAGTTAACGAACGGGGGGTTAAACATCTGTCCGGATGCATCCCCCTCCGCTGCCTCCACAATGAGATCCCGGATGTTTAGATTTGATTTTGGGAGTTTCCGGGTGAGGTCCCAGTGCATGATTTGTGAATCAAGACCACCGGAGAGAATTGTTGGTGTTGGTTTGTGAGGGATGAAGAGGAGGGTTGAGGCGATCTGCTAGGCATGTTAGTAAATGTACATGGAAGGGGAAGGAAGGGTCCCGAGGCATACGGAGGTGTGATTTGTTTTCATTGAGGACACTGTGTCAGCTTTCGTATCCCAGACGTAGATATCGCCGAGGTCATCTGCCGCAGCGATCAAATCACCATGTAGCGCGATCTGTGAACTTGTCAGCCATGACCTTAGACAGGCTTCGCAGGAAACAACTTCACCTGATTAATCTCATCCCCTGCAACCTCCTTCTCTACAACTGGCTTCCCGCCCAACATCCCACTGCCTCCCCTAACATCCAACCCTAATACCCTAGTCCCACAGCCCACCCAAATACTTCCCTCATCCCTCTCCGACCATACGATACTCGTAACGGTATCGGCGCCAAATGTATTAGGCAACCACGCCTTAACAGGTTTCTCTGTTCGTAGATCCCATAAGCGGAGAGTGCAGTCTTCTGATGAAGATGCGACAGTGTCAGAGGACGACGGGGCAAACGCGAGAGAGAGGACTGGTGCTTTATGGGCTTTTAGGCGGTTAAGAGCGGGTGATGCCATGTTTGCGTGGAATGAGGTTGTAGCCGTGATGCGAAGTTCATTCGGTTCGGGGCCGCAGACGGGGCATGCACGTGCAAGTGGGTACGCTGGCGAGGCAGAAGGGAGGAGGGAGGAGATGGAGCCTCTCTAGCTATTCGCAGCAAGGGCGTATCTTTAGGTATTAGCAATAATTAGACTATGCTCTCTCTTAACGCAGCATTCACGCCTTCTCCTCTCTTCTTTCTTTTTCTTCACTGTATACGCACACACTCTCCTCTACTTCGCAGCAATCGAAGACTCCTCCACCAACTCCCTCACATCCGCAAACAAATCCAAGAGCGTACCCGAAGACCAAGCCTGGGTGTGACAACTGGAAGCACAGTAAGACCCATCAGCCTGCTCCAACTCCTCGATACCTGCCCACGGACTCTTCTCGATCTGCTCGCGGTGGGGGTGCAAGCGGTAGAAGATGTGCTGAATGGTATCCTTCTCGTCGACCAAGGAGAACTTGAGCAAAGCGCGCAAGAAGAATCCGGTAGGGTAACCCCAGGCGGGACCCTGGTGGTACGAGAAACCCTTGGCGGTGTGCCAGTCGTCAGAGTCCTCAGACTGGTCGTAGTAAGGACGGAAGTTGTAGTCGGAAGGATCAAGCGTCCTCATACCGACGGAGCCCTCGGGACGAAGGACCTTGTCCGCCAACAACAAGCAGCGAGCGGCGTGCTCAGGGACGAAGAGCTCAGGGGCAACGTTCATCGCGATAGCGAAGTTAGGACGAAGTTGGTAATCCTCGTACTCCTTGCTAGAACGGTACAAGTCCTTGTAGATTCCACGACGGTTGACAACCTGGGGGTTGATGTCGTAGTTCTTGTCATCCTCAGGGTTCTCAGGAACGTAGTAGCAGCGCTCGAAAGACTTCTGCACCTTGCCCTCCCACTCCTCGAAGGAGACCTTGACGCCCTTTCCATCGATCTTGGCATCGACGCCATCCCACTTGAATTGGCCCTTCTTTCTCAAGTCGTTGATCCACCTCAAAGCAGACTTCAACATACCGCTGATCTCGATAGCAGCACCATCACGAGGAGTAGCGGGAGTTCCCTTAGTACCAGACTTGGTAGACTCACCCATCTTGTCCATCCAAGTACCGCAGTTGAAGGGGCTACCACCGAAGATGAGACCAGTCTCCCAGTCAACCTCGACATCAATGTTGAATCCCTCGGGCTTCATCTGAGAGTCCAGGGTCCCCGTATCAGCATTCGCTTCGCGGAAGTGAAGGCCAGAAGCGTGACGCTGCATGACCTCCTGGATGATCTCCTCGACGCTGGACTCGTAAGAGTACGCGTCAGGGCTATCCCACTCGCACCAGGTATCATCAAGCGGGAACCTACGCTTGACCTTCTCTTTAAGGATATCCGTCCCGTTAGGTGCCATTCTGGTGTAATCTTGAATAGCCTGCAAGAAGAACCAAACAGAATCACGAGAGTTGTACCTTGGCTTGCGAATGGAGTCCAGCAAGTTAGGAATCATACCATGCTTCAACGTGGTCGCGAAGGCAAGAATGTGCTCCCTAGCATCATCGAAACGTCCCGTAGCCGTGAACAGGCCACGAATGGAGATGAAGACATCACGGCCCCAACACCTAGCCCACTCATTCGTGAAGTGAGGAAGACCCGCAGCCATCGAAGGCATAGGCTCAGAAGGATGAAGCGAGGTAGTCTTGACCCTACCCTGCATCTGAACAGAACACAACGCAAGACTCTGCACAAAGTGACTTCCCTCCTGAATGTACGGCGCAAACAACGAGATAGCCTTCGTCCTGCACGCGACATACGCCGTGTGGATAACGATAGCGAAGTATCTCGGCAACAGGAAACTCGGCAACTTCCTCACCGCATCAAACTTGCTCCTGAGCCAGTCGGCCAAGGACTGGAGACGAGGGAACATCTCGTGGTACTTCTCCAATCGACCAACAACGTAGTCGAGAGGCCACTGTCCCTCACGAAGGTGCTGACAGAGCGCATGCGCAAGATCATTATGACGAATAATCTGCTTCAAAGGCGCCATCCAGCCCTCGAGGCCACAGTACACAAGCTGACCATGTCCAGGAACATCGTATGTGCCATCACTGATGCAATCCCTCTCCTCCCCATCAGCACGGTAAAGCGCAACATTCAGGTCAATCAAGTCAAGACCCTTAACGGCATCCTTCATACCATCCTGCAAGAACTCATCCAGATCAGCCGGAATGCCAGGAATCTGGGTCTTCAACAACGCAATCGACCCAGGCGGGAAGTGTCCAGGGACAGTGATCTTCGTAGCACCATCAACCTCCTCAAAATACGGCATCTCCAACTCCTCCACGTGAGCCTTCAATCCCTTCAAGTATTGGTCATCACTCTGGTCCTCCGTTCCCTCCACGACGAGTTTAGCACTCAACACGCCCTCAACCTTCGTCCCGGTCAAAGTAATTGTGCTGAATTCCCCGCGCTCCTGATGGTCCTGGAACGCGGTATGCGCAATAAGCATATACCCTTTCCCGGTCGCAGGCTGGAACCGGTGAATGGTGATATACTCCCCCTCATGATGCACATGCGTCTCATCGTATCCCTCCCTGCCCATCTCCACATGCAAGCGATTCAACACGCCTTTGATCTTCGCAATCCCAATCTCGGGGACAGCCTCCTCATACAACCTCTCCTCACCAACCAGGTCCAACAACTTGGGGAAGACCTCGTCGAAGCCGTAGACAGACCCAACACTCGACGCACTCATCGCAACGAGCGCGCCAGTGGAGAGGGTGTCAGCCGCCGTACGCTTCTGCGCAGGCGTTTCGTTGTCATGCGTACAATCCATAAACAACGCTCCAACACCCGAGCTTTGCAACGGGATAACAACCGCATCCTTCCCATCACTCGTCTTTCCCTCCTTCTTCAAACACCCCTGATCCAAACTCCCAATCGGGCGTCCTCCGTGGCGATGAACAAGGCGACTGAGTTCGCCGGCACCCCAGGCAACCATCCCCTCACGAATGAGTCCGGAAATCCCCAAGTTCTGGACGAAAACAACATCCATATCCTCACTTCCCGTAAACAGCTCCGCAACAACATACAAATCAGGCCTTACGCGGCGTGCAGCATCAAGCATATACGCACCAACCCACAACGGAGTCGAATGACAATTATCGATACGGAAACCATGGAAGTAACGAGCCATCAACTGAGTGTACTCTGCCATGTGGTCCCACAACCAGGGGTTATCTTCCTTCCCCTTTCCGTACCTCAACTTTACACAGTCACCCCAGACAATCACCTCGCGACGAAGATACGCCGAACTCTGCGGACCAGCAAAGTCCTCCAAGGCATTCGCGGCCCAGATCCATCCATTGTTGGCAAGCGCCAGACTTCCCTCATCGTGCTTGCTCGTCACTTTATTCTTCGGAAGTCGGGTGAAGTACGACTCAATCAACGGATTGACCTCATTGATCTCGCCCAACTTCGGTCCATGCTCATCGAGTCTGACATACTTGACGCGGTTGTAGATCTGGTCCAGGATAACTTCCTTATCCGCGTCGTAGGCCTTGTAGAAGTTGAGGTTAACCTCATCCAATGCGGACGAGATCTCCTTCCTCGCGGCATCCTCACCGGCACCTTCACCAATAACGGCACGGAGGAACGCAGCACCAACGCCTCCATCGAGCGTTTTTCTAAACCGCTCTCCGAAATGGTCGGTTCTGCTCAACTTTGCGCGCACGGCCTCTCTCTTCTCCACCAACGAGCTGCCCCCGTTAATCTCGAACTTTTCATCCGCGAACTTGCCAGCGGTGTAAGCCTTGACAGCCTCCTCAGCAGTCGCCTTAACGTCCACAACGTAAAACTCCCACAGCTTGATCTGCCCAAGCACATGTGTCTTAACCCCCTCCATCACCCTCAACAAATCACCCGTGTTCTCCAAGTTCGTCGGGAGTCCATACTTCTTCAACCCAGCGCCAAACTCCAACAACGCCGTGTCGAGTTCATACGCCGGGCGCAACCAGGGCGCAGTAACGAGATTGTATCCAGCCTCAGGATGCTCCTGCAACCAAGCCGAGTTATTAGCGGTATGGTTCCACACGACATCAGTAAGACCCATCAACCCATCCCTCTCCATCTTCGCCAACATATCCCCCAACTCATTCTCCTTCTCCTCTTTCGACAGCTTCTTGCCACCAAAGAGATCGTCGGCGAACTCGAGTTGTTGGTAGATAGAGTATGGAGAATTCGACTCTCCTCGCATCTGCAACGGCGTAAAGTGAATCATGTTATACCCCTTCTCCTTCATCGCCTTCAACCTCGCATCCCACTCATCGACCGGGCCCATCCATTTCGCAATCACACTTTGCAACGCAACTGCTTCAAGGGGAAGAGGCTCGCCGGACATCTTGAGGGCAGGGTCGACGATGAAGTAGAATGTTTCCGTCTCGGTACGGGTGGAGCCATTGGTCTGTTTGGAGGAGGAGATGGGGTCCCATTCGGGGAGAGGGGTGTATGCGATTTTGTAGGAGAAGGTTCCGGCGAGGCGGATTGGAATGTCGATGGTGATGGTGTGGTTGAAGTCGGGGGCGATGCTGCACGAATAGTTAGCAAATTGCTCTTCCGGCGCTCTCAGAAGGACACAATAAAGGATGTATGCGTCTGATCCCGGCGTAAATGCACCCAATGAACTCAATGACGCTGCATACATCCCCTCCCTCGAATGGTAACTTACGGAAACTCCCTGAATTGCCCTCTCACAAACCCTTTCTTCTCATCCTCCGGGTACGAACACATGAAAACACCATCCCTCGTAACCTGGCTCCCACCCTCAATCTCAAATCGCAGGGTATAAGGCTCATACGGAGCCGGCAAGCGAAGAAACCTTCCCTCGATACGGGGTGAACCGTCATCGTTGAGGGAGAGGGTGTAAACAAGCGGCTTTGCTAGTGCCATCTTGCAAAAGAGTGATGGCAATTGGTAGGGAGTGGATGGGATGGGATGGAGTCGGGGTACCGGGGGGGTATGGAGTTTTGTGTGGGGGATCGAACGGGAGTGGGTGACGTGGGTGGTGTGGCTTGACTTGACTGCATTTGGGATGGCGAGTGCGAAAAGCAACTCGATGGGGAAAGACGGGTTTCTTAGTCGGAACCTTGCTGAACACGGTCGTTGACCAATGAAGAAACATTGGAACACCATGGTCAATATGAATTGCAATCCCACGAAAAGAAGATTAAACCAACTCACGGGTACACCGTAAAAGAAAGAAGAGATAAAACAGAAATATTGAAAACGAATGTATGACCTTAGCACGACCTGAGCTTCACCTCACGCTTCTCAGCTAGACCCAGCGGCCGCGGCAATGTGAGAGCGTGTAGGGTTGAAGGAGCTCACTGCTCCTTCTTGGCGTCCTTCCTGCCGAAGAGGTGGGAGAGGTCGCCGACGGGGAAGGGAATGTTGAATCCGTTCATGCCGAGAAGCTGTGAATTCATTCGTCAGTACAGGACGTATTTCACAAAGTATGGTACACACCTCAACAACGAACAAGTACCATCCGCCAAAGGTACAGATAAACCCACAGGCACCACCGGCCTTGAGGATCGTACCGACGGCAGCGTCAGTGATGTGACCCATCTGGAGGTATCCGGCGGCGATGAGGATGAGAGCCAACTCGAGGAACGTGAACTAACCCCCAACCATTAATCTTCTGGCGAGAAAAGGAGAGGAAGGAGAAAACATGGCTCACCATGAAAACAAACGGAACATTCGTCTTCAACGACGCAACCCAAAAGAAAAAGTTCAACACAGCATAGCTCATAACAAAGAACCCAATCAAATGATTCAACCCCAACGGATCACTCGCATAACTCGCCGCAAGCCCAGTCCACGGCAAATTCAAATACCCAAACGCCAACCAAAAGGCCGAGAAACTCCCAAAGACAGTGTAGGCAAAGGAGTTACCAATGACGAGTTCCCATTGGGCAGAGATGAGGAGCATGGTACCGGGGAAGAAGATGAATTCAGGAGCGAGGGCTTGGAGGGCGGCACCGGATGTTCCGGCGAAACCCATGATGGCCCAGGAGGCTGCGCCGAGGGTAGCGCAGTGAGCGGCGAGACCGAGCGGGGTGGGGTTTCCGATGCGGGAGAGGTGGGGGGAGGGGGTGGGCTTGATGTCGAGGTATTGGGCTTCGTAGTCGGCGCCACGGGGGAGGGGTTGGTGGGTGGAGGAGTCAGAGGTGTGTTGACGAAGGGGGTCTTGCTGTTTGACGAAGAAGTTAGCGAATTGCACGCTGGGCCATACAAACGCCCAGGGGGAAGAGTGCGAGTGAAGCTCACAGTCATATAGAACGAGTGAGTATCTGTCATCATCGTATTCGAACGTTCATCTTGGTTGCGTTGAGTCTTTTCAGCACGAAGTTGACCTCCGTTCCTCAAAGACGTAAAAGCATAGAACAAGAGAAGCTCAAAGTGACGACCGCATGACAAGAACTCTCGACTCCCAGAAAAAGGACGACGAAGGCACACTCACACTCTCGCTCCGTTCATGGAAGATACTCACCCCGGTCTGCATCGGCATCGGGTAATCCTGGACGCCGTACTTGTCGTCCTGAGGGGGAGAAGGGGGCATGAACTGCTGGGCGGTGGACATGATAAAGGTTAGGTTGTTCAACTGTCGGCGAGAAAGGTCGAGTATACTTGTGGTCTAGATGAACGAGAAGGGAGCGGAGGGAGGGTGACGGGCGAGGTACTTATGGACGGAGGGGCCAGACTGGGGTTCGATAAATTGGGAAAAGGGATGCGAAGGTTGGGAGTAATTGTGATTGACAACTCTTTTGCTGGATTGGAGCTACTGAAACGAGGCAGTGTATTCGAAGTAAATTGACACGACCCTTACGAGACCGGTCGACGAGCTTATCAATCATTTCAGTCTCCTGTTTCGACGAGGTCGGAGGGTGTTGCATGTGAAGAGCACGGTCCTGTTTGCTTCTTGGAACCCCCCCTTGAAGATTTCATTCCGGTATGACCCAAATCGCAGACTTCACTTGGCATAATTTTGGCGGTCTGAGGGTGCGTGCGGGAGCGTTGCAGTTCATTTTAGCCCAAACTCTATTTCGGCACATACAATACCGCTCGGAGTAACAGCCGCAGCAGTACCCTACTTGAAACTCCTTCGCCATGACCTCTACCTGACCTCTCGATGTTCTCCTGAGTTCGATGTCAGGATGATGCTTCACACTCCTTTGCTCCTTTCTCGCCGTATAAGACTGACGTGCTCCCACTCCCTGTCTGTTCTCCATCAAACACTTGAACTTTCTTTTACACTTGCTTCGCACAACCTCCTCAAAGACCATCTCTCTTTGCTAATACACAACCTTCGCTTATACAACCCTACGAAAGTCTTACTACCACTACAACTATTACAACAATGATGCTCTCCTCCGCTCTCGTCCTTCTCGCGTCCGCCACTCTCGGCTTGTCTCAATTGACCTCTCCCTCCAACACTACGGTGTACAACAATGCTTCCTCGGTTCCTGCAACTGGTGGTCCGACTTTCGATGCTGGTAACTCGACTGCTGCCTTTGCCAACTCCACCCAACCCGCAAACGGTACCGTCATCACCATCATCCCGATGGGCCCATACGGCTCGAACGTCACCGTTGCCATCACCAACTCGACGACATCGTCTTCGACCTCGTTTAACGAGTCTTTGCCTATTGGTGGTGGTGACGAGATCACCATCCAACCTGAGGAGATTAACGGTGTGGATGGAGCCGAGGTATCTGTGGTCGATGTTCAGGTACAATACAGAAGTTCAGACCTGTGTTTGAACTTCCGGCTAACCTGTGGTGTACAGATGAACGTTACTCATCACTACAACCTCACCAACAACGTCTCCGTCTCGCTCCATTACCCCTCCAACTTCACCAACCCAATGACGCAAGTCAACCTCACCCAACCCATGTTCCCCGGCTCCGCCTCCATGAACACCTCCATGACCTTCAACTCCTCCGACCCCACTTTCAATGTGACCTACCCTAGTCCTCCCGGTCACGGCGGTTTCGTCGCGTTGAACTTTACAACGAGTCGAGATGAGGGAAAGGCGTTGTGCGAGTCCATGGGTTTGTCTTTGGCGAATATCAAGATTGTGAGGAATCAGGTGGAAGTTCTTAGCATTGAATATCACTGACCTTCTTACAGGACAATATCTTGGCCACGGCGGATAAGCCTGGAGTTTTCTGGATTAACTCCTGGAACACCGATTCTTATGGCTCCGCCTGTCTCGCATTGTTCACGCCCGGGTTTGCCATCGTGATCCCTCGTGGAGGTTTGGTCTACCTCTAGCGTCTCCTTTTAACAGAATGTCATGCTGATGTGCCAAACAGGATGCAACGCAACGGGCGTCAAGACCCTCTGTGGCCCCAAGGAGGCCGGTATTCGCTAAACCCCTCCCTCCTTCCTCCCTTCCTTCAGTTGAATTTGATGAGCGGCGCTTGATTGTGATGGCATGTACATATACTGTAGGCATGGATTGAGTATCATTAGTGGGCTTTCTTTTCCCTGGGCGTTGAAGGTTGCATTTTTACCCTTGCTTTTATGTTGTTGGTGGAGGACTGGTACTTCCGCCTACGTTTCTTACGTCTCTGACTTCTGTCGTGATGAACTTGACTTTGAGAGTTGAGGGAGGACGGTGGAGGGATGATGGGAGTGTAGATAGGATATTCTTATCGAGTGTCTTTGAGGAACTTCATGACCACGGGTGCTTTCATGTTGTAGAATGACGTTTGAATTCGTATCATGAACGCCATTATCGTAAGGTCATTATTTCCTCTTTCACAAATCCGCCGTCAATGCAAGAAGTCCACGACTCCCACTCTTCCTCTTCTTCCTCTTCTCAGCCTCCGCAGCCTTACGCTTCTTCGTCGCCTCTTCCTCATCAGAATCACTTCCGCTCTCATCGCTGGAATCATCATCACTGCTCTCTGACTCCGATTCAGATTCACTCTCGTTCTCGCTCTCGTCCTTCTTGGCGACCTTTTGGTCCTTGACGAGGAGGGACATCGAGTTATTTCTCGATGGGCCGCTGTTTGGTTCTCGAACGTTGGGGTTGAACGATGCAGCCAATTGACTTAATGTACGGAAGGAGCCGCTCGAAGGACTGGGACGAGCTTCGGGTCTGCGGAGGGCGGCGGCAGCGGGCGTCAAACCCAAAGCGGGTGTCCCACCAAGAGAGAAGTAATCCTCGCCTTTGCCAGCAACGCGACGGGGCATAGGAGTAGCAACTGTGGGGACCTTGGGCTTTTCGGTCTGTGCTGATGCTGGCTCTTCGTCAGAAGACTCCTCATCCGTACTGGACTCCTCACTTGAACTTGAAGAAGGCGTAGGAGACGCTTTCTTTGGTGGTGCAACCTTGGCAGGAGCGTCCACCTTTGCGGAGGTGGCAGGAGAGGCCTTTTCGTCCTTCTCCTCGGACTCACCGTCAGGTTCGGATTCGGACTGAGAGTCAGACTTGGAACCAGAATCCGATTCAGATCCGGACTCGGCAGACTCGTATTCTGACTGCGAGCTAGTTACCGCGGGAGTAAGGGTCTGGGAAGCTGCTGGCTTGACAGCTGCTGGCTTCTCCTCGACCGCAGGCTCCTTTGCAATTTCGGTCTTCTTCTCCTCCTCCTCTTCGGATTCAGATTCAGATCCAGTTTCAGATCCGCTGTCCGATTCGCTTTCTGAGTCTGATTCAGACGACTCCCCCGAATTCGCAGGAGAAGCCGGACCATTAGCTGATGGCGTCTTCTGAACTGCCTTCGGCGTTGCCTTAACCTCAGGAACGATATGTTTCTCCGGCGTAGCATTCGCTGTTTCAACTACAGGCTCAGCAGGTGGCTCCATACCCCCGTTCTGCACAAAGAACTGCTGCGCAGCCTCAGCGGATTGAGACTGACTGTCATCTTCGTCATCGCTTGAGGACATGGCAGACGATCCGCTCTCCGAGATATTGTCAACAACAGCTGGCTGGGTGTCGACATCCATTGGCTTCAAGGACTCGTCCTCGGCAACAGCCTCGTCTTGGGGTGCGCCCTTGGGCTTCTGTGACTCCTCAACCTGAGCCTGGGTAGGAGCGTCAGTCATCTCAACATCCTCTTGTGGTTGACTGGAGGTACTCGCCCGAGAAGTTCCATGTTCCGCAACCTGCTTCGACCTCGCACGGGTGAGCCTAGCCGGCGTAGTGACCGGAGCCTCTTTCACCAGATACTTCGCCCTTGCGCGAGTCGCACGTCTTGCGGAAGCCGCAGGAGTCTGAGGCACTTCAGCAGGAGCAGACTCGGCAGGAGGAGTAGAGCCGGACTTCTGTGAACGACTTCTCGTGATCCGTCTCTGTGCCAGCTGCGCGATGAGCTCAGCAGACTTCCCCTTACCGGGCGAGTTGGGCTCCTCCTCCTGAACAGGAGCCGGGGTTAAGGTAGGTTCAGCTACGGCTTCGCGAGCCGACTTCTCCTTCGAAGGGGTAATCGTAACACTGGGACGACGCAAGATTTGCGAGAGAGTAGGCAGTTGCGATGATTGAGGTTCCGTCTGAGTAGGGGCAGGCTCGGCTTTAGACGCGGCCGGTGCCGCTTCGGGTTCAGGAAGAACAGGTTCATCATCGGCGTCGTTCGCGGCGACCGGCGCGGTCTCCAAAGTCTGTTTTGGCCGTGGCACAAGCTGCCTCGCGCGACGTCCTTTGGTCTCCGCAGCAGGGGTTTCGGCATCTTTGGAAGCCTGAGCAGGGGCAGCCTTAGCAACCGGAGTCTCCGTCTTCTTCACGGCAGCTTGAGCTGGCTTGGCAGCCTCCTTCTTGTTCGCCGCAGGCGCAGCAGGCGTATCAGTCTTCTTGGCAGCAGCCTCCTTCTTCGCCTGGGCCGGAGTCTGCTTTCCCTTAACCACGGGCGTCTCAGCCTTCTTCACGACATCCTGCACCTTCTTAGGCTCAATGGGCTTCGACAAATCCGCAACCACGTCATTTCCCTTTCCCTTCGCGCCCTCCTTCTCTGCCGCCTTCGCCTTCTCGGCAGAAGGGAGTTCTGCGGGCAATGCAGGCTTGGGTGTGTTCACCTTGACGCCGACATGGGGAGTCTTGTGGGGTGTGCGAGGAGCTTTAGTAGGGGAGCTCGCAAGTACAAGTTTGGATGGTGTTTGGAATTCGGTGGGGTTGGCGGCAGGCGCATCGTCCATGGTAATGTCACCATCGCCATTGACGGACTCAGGCACCTCTACGGGCTTCTTCGCACTTGCCCTCTTGGATGAGGGAGCTGGTGCATGAGTTGCAGCGGGTGTAGGAGTCGCTTGAGCTTGAGCTTGCTGAACCTGGGGCTGTGCAGGAGGAGTGAGACTGGGTGAGTTCTGGTCTCGGGACTGAACAGTCCTGGAGGGGGTCTTGGAGACGGTGACACCCGGAGCGGGAGTTGAGGCGGCAAGCGGCTTGAGAGGGAGTAGAGACTTAGGTGGCTTTTGTTGCTTAGGGTTACTCTGGAACTGGCCGGGTGTAGACTGTCGGTTTCCTTTCCGTAACCTCTTCACTTGTTGGCGAGACAATCCCAAGCCCATATCACCATCCATAGTAATACTGGAATCGAACCCAGCACTCATTGGCGGCTTCGCCAGATCCAAACCTTCCCTCTTCCTCTTCGTTCCAATTATAGCGGCAGCGGCATTAGGTTGAGTAAAGATGAAGCTGGCCTCTGAGGGCGATTCGGTACCGCCGGTGGGGGCAAGCGAAGATGGAAGAGTTTTAACCACCACGCGGACAGCATTTGATGTGTCGAAAACATCCGAGACGATGTATGAGGTATCCAGATCACATCCGTCGCTGTCCTGGAGTCGCGTAATTTCGATGGACCTGTTCGCAACCTGATTAGTCTGCGTCCAAAAACACTGTGGATCCTCACTTACTCATCATCAGGATATAGTTTAGCATGCCTCTGCACAATCTCCTTGGCAAGCTCCTCAATCGTAGTGTCCTTGTTCGTCAAGTGAAGGAATTTCCGCAGAATAACAGCCCTACGCTGCGGATGAACGAAACAAATCTGCAACTTCGAACGCGCAGCTGGTGGATTCATGGCCGGCGGAGTCATTGATCCCTATCCAAGCAGCGCCTTTCGAGCAGCTGGCGTTTACTGGATGGTGGTCGTTGGGGTATGACGTTCGGCTGGTGTACCATGACTTTCCGTGCGGCTCAGGAATTTTAGGTGGAGATGAAGGGCGCGTGCATGCCTATGAGACAAAGTTCGCTGAAGGAGATGTAGAAGTTCGGTGACGGTGATATGGGTTTGGGTACTCGGAGAAGTGCTTTATTACGGCTAGCTACGTCCGCTGGGGGCCTCTTTCACGCTGGCGTACAAAAGGATAGTGGTATGGTGGACTCACGCGTCCACAGCCATGTCCTGTGTCTACAGGTCCATATGTCGTCCTCCCAATTCCTTCACGTAATCGTACAAACGGATATCCTTCACCGCTTAAAGGAATCTCTGACTCTTGTTCCTGAACGCCTTCTGATCTCTCAACCACTGGCGGTAACCCTATACTTTGAGTTAGCAAACGATTCCATGTCCATCTCCCAAGAATTGTGGATTACCTTCAAGCTTGCAATCTTCTCTCCATAGTAATCCGGAACAGGGTTTGCGAAACTCTGTCTGGAAGCATCCACTCTGTGCTTCTTGATTCTGTCGTAAAACTCCTTCTGCCTTGCCTGCATTTGGGCCTTGACATGTCGTCCCTTGGTCATCCACCAAAGGCCCTCACCGATAGCTGGACCCAACAAGGCTCCAACACCACCAATACAGACAGTAGCGGCACCGTACGCAATGAAAGGATCGAAGCCATAGATAGTTTGTGACGGATCAATGTCCTGGGAGCCGAGAACCACGAAGGATGCGAACATAGAAGCAAGCCCCGTAATGGGAGCAAACGCAAGGCCAACATGACGGCATTGTTGTCTCAGCGAAAGAAAAGTCGGCCAGTCAAGCTTCTGGGCGGGAGTAGTAGAGGATGCAGGTGCTTCAGAGCCAGAGGGAGTCGTCGCGACACTCCGACGGATGATGGAGGCTCCTAGAGGGGTAGGCAGGGCTGTGCGAACCGCTGGTCTTAGTGTAGTCGTTCGCAACATAGCTGTGGTATATGGTTTCGTTCGTTATGGACGTTACTTGAACGTTCGATTTCGCAGCGTGATGAGCGCACCGGGACCTGAATTGGGGAGCAAAGTCGGATTGAACGTTAAGTATATCCGTGAACTGATTTGATAATCCTCAATAAACTTCTCCTCGATTCCTCCTGTGTCGTTCCCTCGCCATGTACAGCGGTCACCGCAAACGGCAATTCAATAACATCGATATCCATATCGCGGTTTGCGTAATACAGTAGGTACGTACACCCGGTACGTCGAGGCATACACGCCTGTTCTCGGCGACGTTCGCCCGTACCGCTCACTAGAGGCGCTGGAGAGCAGCAGTATGTCCGTTGGAGTAGAGACTGCAGTCATCCACAAGTTCGATCGACATCTTCGCTACCCAACATGACGCCCTTCTCGTCCACTTCGTCCCTCTTCGCTTTCCCGACTGAGCTGGTGCAAGTCATTACTTCATATGTCAGTTTCTTGGATATTGAGCGCTCCATTGATGCCTCCCCTTTACTCTTTTCTTTCTGGGCCATCGGTGGCACCGATCTTTGGGAGGCACGATGTCGGCATCTTGAAGATGTCAAGCGAAAATATTTTGAGCATGCGCGACGGCCCTTGTTGTGTAAATGGGTTGGATGTGACGTGTATGGTGTGGAAAACTTCAAGGTGCCGAGGAGGTTTTGTGAACTGAGCCTGGCGGCTCTCGTGGATCAAGTGGAGGCGAGCTTGGGATACACATGGGCGGAGAGTACCATGGCCCATGTGGAAGCTGTATTGACAGCGGTGAAGGCAATGGCCGGAGTAAAAGCACCAGGGTCATTTCGATTACCGCCAATACCTACAGATGTGACGACAACGATCCTTCCAGTTTTGAGGACCAAATCTCGGCAAATCACCTCCAACCTCGCCGTTATCCTTCAGTCAAACGAAGCCGCGCTTTACACCCTCATCGCTGCAACACTCCTCTTACTTCCTGGCAGTGAAGTCCAAGACTACATTGAGTGGGTTCATGCCCAGACGGCTTCAGTTCTGCCAGTGGATGTCCTTCGATATCTAGTTTCAGCTATGGTATACCTCCTTGATCTACACAACTTGAGTTCAGTCGTACGGCATAAGAGCGCAAGTCCCATGTCGCGTATGACGCATGCCGCGTTGCAAAATGTTGACTGGAGAAGTAAGCAAAGCTCGTCTCAGCCAAATGGTCATGGGCAGTGGACAGAAGAACAGCTGGCGGTGATCAACCCCGAGCGGCCGTTAGGTAATCTGACAAAGGTATTCGCATATGCTGGGTCGGGAAAGACGACGACGTTGGTGGAATTCGCAAAGGCGAGAAGCGCGGATGAACGTATTCTCTTCGTCGCTTTCAACAGAACGGTTGCAGAGCATATTCTCACTAAACTCAGTCGAGGGACTCAAGATTCACGAACAGTCAACTCACTCGCACATGCGGCCATTGTGGCTCAAGATCCTCGAGCTCGTGCTAAGGCATACGCTGCGACACGTTCCTCTTCGCAAAGCTCGCAAAGGCAATCTTCAAGCAAGGAGCGACCGCGCGAGCTCACTCAGTCAGAGGTAATCAGACTTCTTCAGATACCCGATAGGGCCGGTGGAAGCGGTCAAATGACAGGATACGGCAAAGCTGGTCGTATACTGAAGTGTTTGAACAAATTCCTGGCATCCGCTGATCCCACTTTGACGGAGGAACACCTTCCATACCAGGATCCGGAAAAGACGAAGAGCATGGACCCTGGGGAGCTCTTCAGCTATGCTACAAAATTGTGGAGACTCGTATCTGACATGAATGAGCCGGATGCACCTCTTAACTATGCAGCGCAAGTCAAACTGTGGCAATTGTCTGGTAAGGGAATATGGGCACGGAATGGTGAGCTTGACTTCGACTATATCTTGTGGGACGAGGCTCAGGATGCTACGGAATGTGAGCTGGACGTGCTGCGGAGGCTGAAGAGCAAAGTTGTCTTGGTGGGCGACGTTCATCAATTGATTTACGTCTGGCGCGGAGCCAAGAGTACGTGGGAGTCACTGCAAGCGAGCAACATATTCCGTCTCAGTCAGAGTTTCCGATTTGGAAGGAATATTGCGAACGCATCGAATTTACTCTTGCAGCTGAAGGGGGAAACTATACCCGTGAAGGGCACTGATATTGCGGATCATGTATACCGAAAGTTCCCTGGGTGGGCTACCGATGCGGAACAGCTAGATTACGTGATCCACCACACGGTCATCTTCCGGAGTAACAAGGAGTTGGTGGAGAAGGTGCTTCGACTCGCCACGCTCCCCGCCATGCCCAGAGTACATATCAACGTTGAAGAGTATCAATCGAGAAATTACTTATCGATCTACCGGGATGCCTACCATCTCTACCACAAGAGACCCCATATGGTCACACACTGGAAGCTCAAGAAGTTTGCGACATGGGATCAGCTGGAATCTTATGTCGAAGAGCAGGATGATGAAGTTGATATGGCTCTCCTCTCTCTCGTTGCGATGGTCCCTACTTTTGAGCAACCCGGATTCTTGGAGGCTGTCGACCGAGCGCAGGAGAACTGCGTTACATCGCCGGAAGAGTCGGATGTTATCCTGACTACTACCCACCGTGCAAAGGGACTTGAATGGCCACGTGTTGTCGTTGGAGATGATTACTGGGATGCATTCGATAAGCGATATCAAATTGGCACGGGCTTGTGGCAAGCTGAGAACCTGAATTTGTTGAATGTTGCATGTACGCGAGCTCAGAGAGAGTTGATATTGAATGATACGATGTTGGGATTGTTGGTACGACGGCAGGGTTTACACAGGTTTTTCTTCAGGGCGCTACTGATGGCTTTGCCTTGCCCAAGGTGCAACATGCCCAGCAGCCGTACAATATCGTACATTCCGTCTGCGTCAGCGATGTCCTTCGAGTTGTGTTTGCCTGCGCCAACGCCGTACACTATTCCACTTGGCGTCACGGAGTACCTCTGTTGCCTTGACTGCGCGTCGCAGGCAGAGTACCTTCCGTTGAAGGAGTATGCAACATGGTGTCGGCAAGTCTTAGAGAAACGAACCGGTGCAACATTAAGAAAGAGTGTGACAGACTTGGATGAGCAGTCACCATTTTTGAATATTGATCTTAAGACTTTGGAGATCGCCGAGAAAGAGAATGTTGAGAAGGAAATATGTATTCAGTACTTCTGGTATGGACCGAAGGAAGACAATGATGAGCAGAAGAAACCTGAGGAGGATAGTGACGATGAACTCATGGTTTTGGAGGGCGGTAGTTGGCGAAGACTGTAGACGATCTGAGACTAGGTGTCAGAATTGAGTATGTTTGACCGTGCAATACATGTTATGATTCCTGTCCCACGGTCGTAACTAATATTGCTCAACCTGTTGCGGAAAGCTTGTGCCATATATCAATATCAGACAGAGTGATTCTTGCCGTACCTGTAACGCTCAACGTCACCCGACTGGCAGCCCATTACAGGTACATTGCTTACCTACTGACAGGGTACTCTAGTGGTAGGTATACATCCCGAGTGCTGAAGTCGCACGGAATTTACGCACGGAGTGCCATTCCTGATAACAGAATCATCACCAAGGGCCGTACCGTAGACGAATGGCATTGAAAGAGCGGGGCAGGATTCCCGTGAAGTGAAGCTGGGTTTTGGAAACGTCCAATCACGCACTACGGTGACCTTCATTCGGTTCACGTACACGTAAGTTTGCTATTCCTGTAGACGTACGCACACAAAACAGACCTCATTAATACTTCACCCAAGGATATGAAACACAAACACAAACAACTTTGGCTATTCTCTGACCTGGATTTACGGCATCGGCCAGACACACTTCGATTACATCGAGTTTCCCACGGGTGAACTGGATGCACCGACAACCGCCGGCACCCGGAAACTGACGTTCGGCGACGGGTTCGTGCATAGTACAAGGATTGCGGTTGAATATCAATGGAATACACGTTATTTGGATATAAACAGAGATTAGAGTCCTAATCTGATGTTGACGAGCTCTCTCGCTCGCCTCTCCCCACTACTTACACAAATGTGATATCATTACTTCACCCTCACCTTCCCTCCCATTTTTCGTACAGTTCTCACTCAAGTGTAAACGCCTTCTTCCACCTCCACAAAGCAACCAAACTGTTTCAGTCTCGCGTTTACTCTTTCATCTTCATCCTCTGGTCAACCTCCTTGAACTCCGCCCTGACCTCCTTCGGAGGAATGTACGCAATCTTCCTAGTCTTGAGAGTAGACCAGACGAATCTCTTCTTCCACACTGACAAGGCCCACAAACCGGTCAAGATAACCAACACCTGCATACCCATCTTCTTGCGCTGGTCGAGCTCAGGCTCAGCGGCCCAGTTCAAGAAAGTAACAACATCCTTGGCCATCTGGGAGGTGGTGGCGGGGGTACCATCATCGTACTCGACGAGACCGTCGTAAAGGACACGGGCCATAGCAATCTGACCACCAGGGAAGTAAGGGTTGTAGTTCATGCCCTCAGGAACCTGGACACCAGCGGGAGGGTCGCAGTAACCGGTCAAAAGAGCGAAGATGTAGTCAGCACCACCGTGACGGGCCTTGACCATGAGGGAAAGATCAGGGGGAAGAGCTCCCTGGTTACCGGCACGGGCGGCCTCGTCGTTGGGGTAGGGTCTGGGCATGTAGTCGGCGAGCTTACCAGGGCGCTCGAACATGTCACCGTTGTCATCGGGACCGTCGGTGTATTCGTGCTCCTCAGCCATGGCCTTAGCCTCGGTGGTGGTGTGGGAGACACCGACAAGGTTACGCCAGGCAATGCGGTCGAGGGAGTGACAGGCAGCACAAACCTCACGGTAAACCTGGTAACCACGACGAATGCTATATACACTGTTAGTTTCAATCCTCGGGACAATACAGATATGCGATTGGTTTGCATAGATCCAAAGCGGGTTGAGTAAGGGGCAAAATGGATGTCGTTGATTTCGTTTAAAGATGTCGGGAGTTGAGATTTATGGGTGGCGACAAAATAATATCGCCGAACGTTCGATGTCTTTGTGCCGATAATTACCATCCCTTGCGATTCATTTCGGTCCATGTCGGAAATCCGCTCAACCAACCCGCAATTCGGAATCCACTGCAAACAGTCACATCTCATCGAAACTCACCTAGAGTGGTCGAAACCCTGAAGCATTCCATTGTGACTCCATGGGTAGGCGGCAGGGTGCAATCCGTTCTCTGCGGGGGAGTTGGCGCTCAAACCTCCGTAGGTAGCGGTGTACGCCAAAGCTGATCCAAGGGCGACGGTGGTGGCCAAGATGGGGGTGACGAGGGATGGCTTAGCACCAGCGGTGGTAGAGGAGGAAGCGAAACGCTGGGGAAACCTCATGTCAGTACAAGATCGCCTTTACGAGGTCGCGGCGTTGCCCGGGTGAATGGAGATGACCAGACACCAGGGACGCGAGAAGGGCGATGTACCTTGAAGGACTGACCCTTCTGAGCGGTCTGACGGGCGAATCGCGAGAACATGGTGAAGCTGACAGACGTTCGGCCCTTTCGTGGGGTGATGGAGTCTGGGTGGAGTACTCTGAGCGGTGATGTTAGTTAGGGCGATTTTTGGTCGTGCGTACAGGTCGAAGTTGATTGGCCGGATACGTTTTGGAGAGAGAATATGATAGCATATAGTCGTCGAAGACATGAGAATCAAGCTTTGTAAGTCTAGTTAATGGCAAGCAATTGATCTTTTTGTACAGCTTCTGAGGCAGGGTAAGCAGCTGACCGACCTACCTCGACCTCCCCGAACTCTCCTGCTCGATCACCTCTCCCCCATTCATTACTGTTCATGCTAATTGTGTTCTTCAGTCTACCTATTATCTGCGCACGACACCGGGACCCGGATTGTGGTCGCTGTTGCGTCGTCCCTGTCGTTGTCGTCGTTAGGGCTACCGTCCACACGCTCACCGCTCTCTACCGCTTACGCTGACGCTGTCCGTCCGCTTTCGTTGTTACACCTACGCTGACGCTGTCCGGACCTTCCCAGGCCTTGGTTCCAGTGAATTGGTTGAGTTTTACGGTGGAGTTTACGCCGTCGTTGATTCAGCGTACAGCCTACTCTCTCGTTGTCTTACATTCTCGTTGTCCTACATTCTCGTCGTCTGATCTGCACCTACGTCGTTGTGCTCTCTCGGACCTCGGTCTAGACCTACGCCGTTGCCCTACTCCCGTCGTCGTACTCCATCGTCGTCGTTGTTGCAGCCTACTCCTCCGTCCTCGTACCCCTACGTCGTACTTCAACCTTCTCTCCGTCGTTGTTCGGTTTACTCTCCGTCATCCAGATCCAGTCTCCTCACGGTCATCGTCGTTAACTTCTGGCCAAGTCACTCACTGTCTCTCCCTTGTTCATGTTCGTTGCATCGCATCCTACTCCGTCGTCGTCCGCTTCCGCAGCAGGCTCTTACGTTGTCCGTGTCGCCTACGCTGACACTGTCCTTCTGTGCTTACGCTCTTACGCTCTTACGTTCACAGTCGCTGTCCGTACTCTCTCCTCGGCTCTCACCGTCAATCTCTGAATTTGTTAGTCTGCAAGTTTAGGATGGAGGTTATTGTTCAGGATAGCGAACAAGCTATGGCTATGGTTATCAATACAATCATTCGCCTATCTTCCATTTTTAGCGAAGTCGTCCTACGTCTTCCTCAACTTCCTCACCATCTCGGTCTTGTTCATCCTCTTGTGATTCCTAGCATAAGTAACTCCAGGTGCCGGTGCCCCTGACCATCCAATGGGGGGGTCAAACAAAACACGAACGGCGGCGCGCAACACCAGAACGCAATTGCACCGACAGGCAACGAGAAGGACGCCGTGATCCGCATTCATCCCCGGCTGGCAGTCTCCAGATCATCAAGCGCATTTATCCTCTCGTTCGGCCGAGTCTTTTTTTCTCCATCTATATCCCCGGCGAGACGCGTCTGTCTGTTACTGAGGAACCGCGACAATGGCATCCGGACCTCCCACTATCGGTATCAACGTCAACTATGACGACTACCTCAGTGAGTTTCTCTTCATGATGCTCGAGTTGGGCCTCACTGACACGCGTAATAGCTCGCATCACTTCCTTTCTCCAGGACTTCAAGACTAAGCAAGTTATGACAACTGCCGACGGAGCAGAGGAGGACCTCCCCGACGATTTCGACGACGACATGGATCTCGACGGTGAGGACGCACCGGCGCAGCCCCGCGGCACTCACCAGAAGTACATGTCCATGTTGCAAGAGATCTCGAACCGCGCTCGCGACACCGTCACCATCGACCTCGATGACCTACAAGCCTACGAACACCCGCAACGCGACTTGCTGAACTCTATCCTCAACAACACGAAGCGCTACAATGAGCTCATCTCCCGCGCGATCGACGGCATCCTTCCTCGACCATCGGAGGACATCTCATCCCGTGAAAACGTTTTGGACGTGATCCAGTCTCAACGAGAGTCACGAAACCAAGTCAATGCGGAAGCGGCGCAGAGCGATACAGTGGGCTCGGGTAACGAGGGTCAGTTCCCTCCAGAGTTGTTGCGAAGATATACTCTCTACATCAACCCACCAACACGTACAAAGTCTCTTGCGGTCCGCGAAGTTCGTGGTGAGCACCTCGGTCACCTCATTACTGTCCGTGGTATCGTCACCCGTGTTTCGGACGTCAAGCCCAGTCTCCAAGTTAACGCATACACCTGTGACTCCTGTGGTTCTGAAGTCTTCCAGCAAGTTAAGGGAAAGCAAGTGACACCTCTTACTACCTGTCCTTCAGACGACTGTAAGCGAAACGACGCCAAGGGCCAGCTGTACATGTCTACTCGCGCGTCCAAGTTCTCGGCATTCCAGGAGGTCAAGGTGCAAGAGATGACTGACCAGGTCCCTGTCGGTCACATCCCCCGTCAGCTTACGGTGTCTCTCTACGGCCCTCTGACGCGCTCCTGCTCACCTGGAGACGTCGTCGAAATTGCCGGTGTCTTCCTTCCTACACCCTACACCGGCTTCAAGGCTATCCGCGCCGGTCTCCTTACCGACACTTACCTCGAGGCACAACATGTCAAGCAACTCAAGAAGCAGTACACCAGTCTCATCAACAACGCCGAGACCACCGCACGCATCATGGAGATGCAGCGTTCTGGTGGAGTCTACGAGCGTATGGCCGCGTCCATCGCTCCTGAAATCTGGGGTCACGAGGATGTTAAGAAGGCGTTGCTCTTGTTGTTGATTGGTGGTGTAACTAAGGAGATGGGTGATGGTATGAAGATCAGGGGTGATATCAATGTGTGTTTAATGGGTGACCCCGGTGTGGCCAAATCCCAGCTTCTCAAGTTTATCTCCAAGGTCGCTCCCCGATCAGTTTACACCACCGGTCGTGGTTCTTCCGGTGTTGGTCTTACTGCAGCCGTCATGAGAGATCCTGTCACGGATGAGATGGTCTTGGAGGGTGGTGCCTTGGTCTTGGCTGATCAGGGTATCTGCTGTATCGATGAATTCGACAAGATGGACGACGGAGACAGAACAGCAATTCACGAAGTCATGGAACAACAAACCATCTCGATCTCCAAGGCCGGTATCACAACCACACTCAACGCACGTACCTCCATCCTCGCCGCCGCTAACCCTGCCTACGGTCGTTACAACCCCCGAGTTTCGCCATTGGAGAATATCAACCTGCCCGCTGCGCTCTTGTCTCGTTTCGATGTTTTGTTCTTGATTCTCGATACTCCGGCTCGCGACGATGATGAGAGGTTGGCACAGCACGTTGCGTACGTTCACATGCATAACAAGCACCCTACCACCAACGAGGAGGCCCTCGACCCCGCCACCATCAGACAATTCGTCGCGATGGCGAGAACGTACAGGCCTGTCGTCTCGAAGGAGGTTGGAGAGTATGTCGTTGGTACCTACACCCGTCTGAGGCAGGACAGGAAGAGGGACGAAATTGGTCGCGGTAGTTCCGGGCATTTCGCGCATACATCCCCGCGTACATTGCTCGGTATCGTCCGTCTTTCCCAAGCTTTGGCGCGTCTGAGGTTCTCCGACGTTGTCATCCAGGAAGACGTCGATGAAGCCCTCCGTCTCCTCGAGTCGTCCAAGTCTACCCTCATGGCTGGCCGCGGCGACGATGACCGTGTCGATACCACCGTCAATTCCAAGATCTACAAGATTATCCGTGATTTGGCGAATGCAGGTGAGGTGTTCAAGCATGATTGGGAGTTGGCTACGTTGAAGAGGAGGGTGATTAGTAAGGGATTCACGGAGGACCAGTTCAAGGAGTGTGTTAAAGAGTACGAGGAGTTGGGTGTTTGGCAAGCCGTGGAAGAGGGTGAGGGATTGGTGTTCTTGGATGGTATGGAGTAAGCCCGGCGTACAACAGAAGTAATGCGTCGCATGAATTTGATTTGAGGAGAAGAGGAACGGAACTGGGAATGTGGAATGGTACAGTAGATAGTTAGTTATACCCGTCTTATCGTTTGGCATAGTCCAGTAATCTTGATTTGTGCCAAAGAAATGATGTGAAATGACCAATTACCCTGAGCTACAAAGTGCTGGTGCCCGTGTTGGCGCCACAGCAGAGCAGGCCCGTGGGAAAGTCTGACAAACCCCCAACGTCATGAGCAAACATTTGAAATTGAATCGACATCGTACAAGCTATCTTAGCAATCTTCTCTTATATAATCTTCTCTTGTAGGTAAATGCAACCCTCACAAACTACAACTTCGCCTTCGGCCCCTCCTTGTCCAAATCCCTAACCTCCGTCTTCCTCTCCGCTCCCTCAACCCAAACACTCTTATCCCCGCTATCCATGCCCCTCTTAACCACATTCCCGCCCTCCTCCCTCTGTACCCCCAACTCGATCAACTTCCCAAACACTCCCGCAAAATCCTTGAAGAACCTCTCCTTATCCTCCGCGTAGATCTTGACCCATTTCACGAATTTAGGATCATCGAGGAGTGCCATGTCGGTGGGGAGCATCATGATCTCGTCGTCGTCGTCACGGAACTGGAGGTTTCCTGCTACATTGATTTTCGGGGTCCAAGTTTCCGCGAGGAGGAGTTTGAAGTATGTATTCGAAAAACGAATCGGATTGCGAACCCAGGGCCCATCGAAACCGGAGCGGTCGGGGTGGCATTGGCCGAGTGTGTGCGCGCCGGATAAAGCGACGATTTCTTGGTCGGAAAAGTTCATGCGGTAGAAGACGTCGCGGAGGTGGGGGCACCCCTGTGAGGCATCGGGGAGACGGCCATTAGGCGGGACGTTCGAGTCATCCGTGTGATCCAACCTCCCACCCCTCCACTCAACCCTCGGCCCACCCATCTCCTCCAACGCGACAACACCGGCGAGCGTCCAAAGGTCTCCATACGAAATCCATGGAAACTTGGACTTGACGGGTTCGAGGAATTCACGCGCGTGTTCGAGACCGGCGTTTGCGGGGTCGTTGGCTTCGATGGCGTAGCGCATTGTTGCGCCGTTTGAGCCGCCTGTGTTGGTTGTTTTGTCGTAAGTCCCTGAGCAGTGCCAGGCGAGGCGGACGAGGACTGGGCCGGACGAACCGGCGTCGTAGCCGGGCTGGGGGAGGATCTTCTTGATTTCGGCTCTGACCGCGTCGTAGTCGTGTTCTTTGGTCATCCTGGTTGTCTTGTTCGTCTTTCTGTTGTGGGTGGTGTTGCGTTGCTCGCAGGCGAATTTGGCGGGGGAGGTTCTCGGAGGTGCGGTTCTTCCCCGCTTCTTTTACTGTAGGCTGGATTTCACATGGAAACACTACGCCAGATTACCGACAGCATACACCCCCGTCTTGACGATGGCTGTTTTGTCAAAGGACGTTTCGACGAGGTTGGGGAGGTTGTCCGAGGTGTATTTGAGGTATCGCCCGAAGATTGGCCGGGCATTCATCTTTGCGTTGGTTTGTATGCTTGTTGCACGGGTGAGGAGGACCGTCCTGTTGTTACGTAAGACGAGCACCACTGCTGAACCCGACCCCGACACCACGAAGAAGAAAGGAAAACAACGCGTCGAGGTGTGTACGGTGTACTTGATGCCGGCCTGGAAGGTTTATACCCGCTAACCCGCTGGCAAACACACAGCTAAACGCAACCTTCCTCCACCAATTCCGCTCCCTCCTCCGCATCTGCATCCCAACCCCAACATCGCCCCCCTCCCTCCTCCTCCTAACTAATTCCATTTTCCTCCTCCTCCGTACCCTCCTCTCCCTCCGCGTCGCATCCCTCGATGGCCAACTCGTCTCCTCCCTCGTCCGGGCGCGCCCACGCACGTTTTTGTGGCGGCTGGGAGAGTGGATGCTCATTGCTGTCCCGGCGACGTATGTTAATGCCATGTTGGGGTATTTGCAGGGGAGGTTGGGGATGGAGTATCGGGGGCGGTTGACGAGGGTGGTGGTGGGCGAGTATCTGAGGGATAATATGTTTTATCGGATTGGGAATTTGGATGAGAGGATACAGAATCCGGATCAGCTCCTAACAGGTACTGCGCTCTTCACACCTCTCCAACCTTCGCTGTATATTATGTGCTGACATTGACTTTCACAGTCGACATCGCTAAATTCTCCTCCTCCCTCGCCGCGCTCTGGGGTAACCTAGCCAAACCCATGGTCGACATCATCATCTACTCCATCCAACTCGGAAACGCGGTCGGCGGTGAAGCACTCCTCACCATGGCCCTCTTCGTCATCGGGTCTAGTCGTCTTCTCCGCGGACTTACGCCACCGTTTGGGAGGTTTGCGGCCGAGGAGGCGAGGTTGGAGGGGGAGTTTAGGGGGGTTCATGCGAATGTTATCGAGTGTGCGGAGGAGATTGCGTTGTATCGGTATGTTATGAAGCCCCTTTTTCGCGTTTGATGGAAGGGCAAGGACTGATTGGTGGTGTAGAGGACATGATCCGGAAAAGACGACGTTGGATACGAGTTATTTCTCGCTCATTAAACATATTAACCGCACGCTCCGACGGAGACTCTGGTTCAATACAGCCGAGGACTTTATTTTGAAGTATGTTTTTGGGGCGGCTGGGTTGTTGCTTTGTGCTGTGCCGGTGTTTGCGGGTGGTGCGGATTTGGGGAAGGCGACGGAGGAGTTTATTAGGAATCGGAGGTTGTTGCTCGCCGGATCAGGTTCGTTGTATCACAGTTCCGTTTTCGATTGGGAAGTTGCTGACATAGTTGACTAGACTCGTTCGGGAGGATCATGTACTCCTACAAAGAAATCTCGGAACTTGCTGGGTACACGAGTCGCGTTTCTTCCCTGTTCGACACCATGCGCGATATCGAGGCAGGAAAGCTCCAAAAAACACTCATCGCCACAAACCGCTCCGAAGCCGAAAAAGTCCTCGCATCACGCGGAACAATCATCGAATCCCCCAACAGTGAAATCCAATTCGAAAACGTGCCCATCGTCTCCCCCAACGGCGACGTCCTCGTCAAATCCCTAAGTTTCTGGGTCAAGAAGGGCGGGCATTTACTCGTTGTTGGACCCAATGGGAGCGGGAAAAGCTCGTTGTTTAGGATTTTGGGGAGTTTGTGGCCGGTTTATGGGGGGGTTGTGAGGAAGCCGCCTGCGAAGGATATTTTTTATATTCCGCAGAGGCCGTATTTGAGTATTGGGACTTTGAGGGATCAGGTTATTTACGTGGGTTGCCAATGTTCCCTTGACTTGGAGGAAAAGCTAATGGGTGCAATTGTAGCCGCATACGAAGAAGGATATGCTGGAGAAGGGGGTTACGGATGAGATGTTGTTTGATATTTTGAAGGTGATGAAGATTAGTGGTATTGTGGCGCGGGAGGGTGGATGGGATGAGGAGAGGGAGTGGAGGGATGCGTTGAGTGGGGGCGATAAACAAAGAGTTCGCAAGAGCTTCCCATCCTTAAAGTAATTGGCACTAACTATATCGAACAGATCGCCGCGGCCAGGTTATTCTACCACGCCCCCCAATACGCCATCCTCGACGAATGCACATCCGCCCTCAGCCTCGATATGGAAGAAATCATGTACACCCACGCCACATCCCTTGGTATCACACTCATGACCGTCTCCCATCGTCCGAGCTTATGGAAGTATCATCAGTATATATTGCAGTATGATGGACAGGGTGGGTACATTTTTACTGAATTGGATGCGGAGGAGAGGTTGAGGTTGGAGGAGGAGAAGGGGAGGTTGGATGTGCTTTTGGCGAGGGTGCCGGAGATGGAGGAGAGGTTGAGGGAGTTGAAGGAGGCGAAAGGGCATGGTGGTGTTGCTAGTCACAGCAGTGATGAGGAGGAGGGAAAGGATAATGCGTTACCGGTGGGAGAGGAGGCGAAAGTTAAGACGCAGGATGGGGTCGTTTTGGTTGATACCTGAGATACACAGATGGCTATGGGTTCGGCGTTGGGTTTGCTTGTTACGAATTATCAATTATACACCTTTCGATACCGGTACGGTCGTCGCGCGGGGCTGCGCCACCTCCACACGCCGTACCCCCGAAGTACCGTACCGCTCCCTCGGTGCTGCTCGATGTAACGAAGGCCGTAGGTAGACCTTCAACGACTGATCACAACGATGGCACCTTCAACGCCGACAGCAACTGTCTCTCTCGCTCCTCTTAAATCATGTCTGGTTCATCTGCCACCACCATTGACAAATGCACTTCGGCAAGCGGATGTGGTATTGTAGCCTCTCACAACCTCAGAGCATGTGCTGACTGGATACAATACAGCCGCCACAATCTCTCGCAGTTGAAATATCATGGAAGTCTGGAAAGGACACGAAACGCGCCTTTACAGGGTGGTCTGGGACGCCGTCTCCGTCTGCTTCCTCCATCGTCCTCGATCCCTCGTTTGCACAGGCGTTACATCTTTCGACCGGTACTACGGTCAGCATTACGCTGCATTCTACTCCACCACGAGCGACGATGGTACATGTCGCGCCGCTTACCGCGAATGACTGGGAGGTGATGGAGTTACACGCGGGATACCTCGAGGATCACCTATTATCCCAAGTCCGCGCCCTCAGCATCGGCCAGAAAATCTGCGTATGGCTCGGAGGAGGAGGTACGACTGCTACTGTGGTTGTCAACGCGATTGATGGTGTTCGTGACGCCGGGTGGGGATTGGTTGGTCGTGATGCGGAGGTTGTGGTTGAGCCCAAACCGAGGAGGAGGAGAAATTCGAATGCGAGTAAGTCTTCGAAGAAGACGGTTTCGAGTCGGGTGGGGAGGACGGAGGTTGGGAAGGTGCAGGTGTATCGGGTACAAAGCGTGAAGGGGATTGCGGAGGATGGGAAGCTGTGTGTATATGTCCCGCCGTCGAGTGCGAGCTTTCCGCAGTGTACGCATGCGACTGTCAGTGTTATCAGCCCGCCGGCGCTTAATCCTACAATCGAAGCAAGTCCGGACGCAGAAAACCATCATCCCATGGCTGTGGTTCCTGTGTTGGTTCGCGTAAAGGACGACTTGCCGTCCAATGCGATCGTTCTGACAGGTGCAACGTCCACCGCTCTCCTCCGTCCACCTACAGGATCCAGGGTCAAGGTTACCCCGGTATCAGCGCCACGAAGGGGCAAGACCGCCAAAATCACATTCACCCCAGCAAGAGCAATAGAGGGTGATGCGCAGAAGCAGGAGATCATCGAAGCTATCAAGGCTATGGGGCTGGTCGGGGATGATATCAGGGTAAGGTTGTGTGGACGAGATGGTATACTACATGTGGAAAAGGGCGCCGTGGTTGACCCGGCTGCTTGCAAGATCGAGATTAGTCCTATATCCGAAGACGACCTCTCCACCCTTCCATCGCCAGCTATGCCGCCTACGAAGGTGCTTCTGGGATTGAACCCACCTACGATTCTACCGAAAGCAAAAGCCTCCTTGACTCGGTCTCAATCGGTGTACATCTCTGCACCTGACCTCAGCGGTAAATCTCTCATTTTGTCACACCTCAAGCACGCTCTATCATCAGCACCGCGCAACGCTCACATCATGGAACCCGTCACCTCTCACCTAACCCAAGCATCTCCAAAACAGCTTCGAGAAACATTCACAGCATGGTGGCGAGAAGCAATGTGGTACGCGCCCACGGTCCTTGTGCTGGACGACTTCGATCGGCTGGTGGCTGCGGAGAACGAGCAGAGTGGCGATGGAGGTCGGGCGAGGATCGTTGCTGAGTGTTGGCATTCTGCTATTGGGGCGAAGCTGAAGGTCGGGGAGACGATGGGTGTTTGTGTACTCGCTACTGGTGTTGGACGGGATTCTCTGCATCCGGTCGCGTTGAAGGGGTTTACGGAGTCGCTTGGTATCAAGGCGCCTGATAAGAAGGGAAGAGAGGAGATCTTGCGTGGTTCTTTGGATGTGCAGAAGATTGGTAGTGATATCGATTTTCTGGAGGTAGCAACGCGGACGGAGGGTTTCTTGCCGGGTGATCTGGGTGTTTTGGTTGAGCGAGCTCAGCATGAATCCCTCATTCGCATTATTGAAGCAGATATCAACAGTTCGGGAGATGCGCTCGAGAGTGAAGAGAAGCTTGAAATGCAGGATTTTGAGAAAGCTTTGGACGGCTTCGTTCCAGCTGGTCTTCGAGGCGTTAATTTGACTACGGAGGGCGCGAAGTGGAGCGATATCGGTGGCTTGAGTACAACCAAAGACACGTTGTTGGAGACATTCGAGTTTCCAACCCGGTATGCTCCCATCTTCGCGTCCTGTCCTCTACGTCTCCGGAGTGGTATCCTCCTCTACGGTTATCCAGGGTGCGGAAAGACACTTCTCGCCTCTGCTGTTGCAAAAGAATGCGGACTGAACTTCATTAGCGTGAAAGGACCTGAGTTGCTTAACAAGTACATCGGTGCTTCGGAGAAGAGTGTCCGTGATTTATTCGAGCGAGCACAAGCTGCACGGCCGTGTGTGTTGTTCTTCGATGAATTTGACAGCATCGCGCCGAAGAGGGGACATGATTCTACTGGAGTGACGGACCGTGTGGTTAACCAAATGTTGACTCAGATGGATGGAGCTGAGGGACTTGAGGGAGTGTATGTTCTTGCAGCAACTAGTAGACCTGATCTGATTGATCCTGCACTGCTTCGTCCTGGACGTCTCGATAAATCTTTGCTTTGCGACATGCCATCGCTCGAGGATCGAGTATCTATTCTGGAAGCATTGCTCAAGATTTTATACCTCGATCCGAGTATACCACTCGAAGAGCTAGCAGAAAGGATGGAAGGCTACTCAGGCGCTGATATCCAGGCTGTTCTTTACAATGCCCACCTTGAGGCTATCCACGAGGTCCTGGAAAACAAACAGGAGCAGTTACAGGAGGAGACAGCGAACGGCGAGCAACAACAAAGCAACCAGCTTGTGCAATTCGTGAAGTTCAAGCTCAACCAAAAAGAGAACCGGAAAGAGTCGTTGGCTGAGCGGTCCGCTTGGATGGCACGGGTGAGCGATATCTTGAAGCCTAAATCCGGTGATTCGGAGTCTTTGGCAGAGGAGGATGGAGAGGCGCATACAGATGCGGCGCATGTGATGATACAGAGGAAGCATATCGACAGTTCACTATCTACTACTCGGCCAAGTATCTCGAAGGACGAACGACAACGACTAGCAAGAGTCTACCACGAGTTCGTGGTAGGGAGATCAGGAGAAATGCCAAATGGCATGGCCAGTAACGAAATCGGAGGACGAGAGACCTTGATGTAGAAGTCGCATTCATTTAGGAATGCCCATCAAAAGTCTATATCTTGGTAGCTATCTAATCAGAGACATGTCCTATTTGACAGTGATGTTCAAAATCTTCGGAGGTTCCTCAGGTTTATCATACTTATCCGTCCTCAAATTCTCAATTGCATTAACCACATCCACCCCCACAACCGCTCTTCCAAAAATCGTATGCTTGTCATCCAACCAAGGCGTCTTGGCCGTCGTGATGAAGAATTGCGAGCCATTCGTGTTCGGGCCGGCGTTCGCCATACTCACGGTGAATGGTCTATCGTGCTTGAGATCAGGGGAAAATTCATCCTCGAACTCGCGGCCCCAGATGGAGGCTCCGCCTGTGCCGTCGCCGAGGGGGTCTCCGCATTGGATCATGAATTTCTTGATGATGCGGTGGAAGATGGTGTTGTCGTAATACCCGTTCCTCGCGTGCGTGATGAAGTTCTCGACGGCTTTTGGTGCAGCCTCCGGAAAGAGTCGGATTTGGATGTCGCCGAGGGTGGTGTGCAATGTCGCTACTGTACCCTTCACAGTGCTGGTCTCCGTTCCCGTCGATACGGACAAATCTTCCCGCGTCGGTTTCTCGTTAAACACGTCACGGTCTCCGCTGCTTTCCTCATCCTGCGTAAACATATAAAACCGTCCCTTCTTGAACCCCGTACAAAACAGCGTCGGATCCCGCTCGCTCTTCTCCGCGAGCAGAGGATTATCGGAAGCTGCCATCGCGAGGGTGACGGTTCCCTTCTTCTGCGGAGCGCCTTGGTAAAGCGAGAGATTCGTAAAGCGGATTGGTTCGTCTTTACCCAGGAGTCGGACGCAGCGGTTGGTGTAGGTGTTGACGACTTTGATACCCAGAATACTCCCATACGCGATAAAATGGCCCGATTCGTCCCAAACGACATTTAACCCTGACGAGATCTCCGGCGATCTTTCGATCTCCTTCTCGACCGCCACCCTCCGTCCAAACTCCGTGTCTTCGTGCTTGTATAGTGCGGTTCCAGCTTGCTGCATCTCCGTCGCCGCTTGTAGTGATTCGTCGTACTTTTTGACCATCTTGCCGGTCTTGAAGTCGAAGACGCGGACTTGTCGGTCGGGGAGGGAGATAGTCGCGAAGTGTGTGCCGTCGGGGGAAAATGTGATACACGTCGGCACACTCTTGGCTTTCTTGAACTCATACAGATCCGTTGATGATTTAAGCTCAAACACCGATCCATCCGCAGGTTTCGACCAAGCGCCTTGTGGCCTCCAGTATTCGATCATCCCGCCGATATCTGAGCTCACGACACAGTCATGAACGTAATTGTACGAGATGACATTGACGGATTTCTTGTGGAGGGATGAGAGTGTGTGTAGTGGTGTTCCTGGTTCGTCGCTTCGAGGGTCGTAGATGTGAATGGCGGACGAGTCGGCGTCTGACACGGCAAGGAGGGCTTGTGCTTGACCACGAGCATGAACCCAAGACAGCGCGCGTGCTTTGTATGGTAGTTGTAGGATACCGATCATGTCTGACAAATGCTCGTTAGCTAGTATCCTTCATGATTCTGCTCCTGCGCGCCTTACCAAAGTTGATGACATCAAAGATCTTCAAACTCCCGTTCGCACCACAACTAGCGAAGAGCTCTCCTCCAGCAGACACACCCACAGCGACGACAGCATCAACATGCGCCCGATATTGCTTCACGAACTCGGTCCCAACAGCCTGCTTCTTCCAAAACTTGACATAACCATCGACGGAAGTCGTGATGACAAAATTGTAGTACGGGGTAAGCGTAACGAACGAGAGAGTATCGCGGTGCATGAAGGATTTGGTATATTTGTCTGAGGATGGGAGGTTGGAGAGGTAAATGCGCTCGTGGGGAAGAACTGTTCACCACAGCTCGGTTAGCAAGCTAAAACAGCGTTAAGCAACGCAGCGCATACCCTTCCGTTTCTTCTTTGGCACAGCCTCGTTTGCCATCAGTGGCATAGGTCCCATATCATCGTCGCTGTCTGCAAGTGGATTGATCAGCATATGCAACGGTTAAGGAAACACGTCGTGGTTGCGCACCTTCATCCTCGATTGTCTGTGCTCCATTCGCCGGCTTCTCCTCCTCCTCATATGGTCGCTTGCGCGACACGGTCTCTGGCGAATCGGCGTTGATCGAGCTCATCTTCACGTACAATTCGTCGGCCATAACCCGTCGTCTCATCTCGAGGACCCCACCGTCGCGTATGAACTGCGCCCAGTGTGGCGCATGGATATGAGCGGGATGATATACTGTATAAAGTCTACTGAATCTCTCCGCTATCGTACACTCCAAATCATTCGCTGAGTAGAGATTATTGCCATTCCCAGACAGAATCCACATTCCCAACGCCAATAACGCAATCATTCACCTCCCCATAACTTACACCATCGTATCACCACTCCCCTCCCTACTCCTCCACGCTCCAGGATTGTGCTGATCATCTCCCCTCAACGCCCTATCCAACGTACTCTGCGGGCCATGATCATCACTCAACCTCCTCCCTCCCACATTCCTCGGCGTATCATCATAATACCCAGCGCCCTCTCCATTCATACCGCCAGCGTGCTCCAAATGATCAGAATCCGTAACAACCTTCTCCTCGCCCGTAAACACCGCACGATCAGAAGGTCCAGAACGCGGCCGCCACGTCGACGAAGTCCACGGCTTAACCTCCGGATCACAATACATCTCATCAACCTGCTCGAGCGTCAACCCCTTGGTCTCATACAAAAAGAAATAAACAACCGGTATCGCCGCAAAACAACACGCCGCAAACACGAATCCATACCGAAACCCAATACTCCCAATAATGAATGGCGTGAAAAATGAAATGAGGAAGTTCCAGGTCCAGTTTGAGGCTGTGGCGAGTGCGATTGATTTCGCACGGATTCGGGATGGGAACATCTCGGCTACGACGACCCATGCCATACACCCCCACGTCGACGCGAACGCGAGGATGAAGAGGCAGGCGAAAACGATCATCGCGGCACCGGCTTGAGAGTTCTGGGTGCCGTCAGCGTTATCGAGTGCGTAATACCCCACGAACGCAAAAACGAGGAAACACATAAACATCCACGCCGCACCCATCATCAACGGCTTCCGCCTCCCAAACCGTTCAACCAGATACAGTCCCAAAAACGTACACCCGAAGTTCACGGCACCCAGAATAATTGACGTAACGAACGGATTCTGCACACCGGTCGCGGAGAAGATGGAGGTACCGTAATAGAAGAAGAAGTTTGCGCCGGTGAGTTGTTGGAGTGCTTGGATTCCCATGCCGAGGAAGGTGCGGTATGCGGCTTTTGGGCCCTTGAAGCATGATAACCAGTTTTGTGGGCCGAAAGCGCGTTCGGCTTCGATTTTGAGTTCGATTTCTTTGATGTCGACGTTGACTGTTGGATCATCGATCGGACACTTACGGAGCCGGGCGAGTGTTCGACGACACCGCTCTTCTTCTCCATTGTTAAGGAGGAATCGAGGTGATTCGGGGAGGAAGAACATCCCGATACCGAGGATGAGAGCCCAGAGGAACCCGATACCGATCGTGACGCGCCATTGTGCGGTGGAGGTGTTGGAGGCGTGGGAGGTGCCGTAGTTGATAAGATACGCGGTGAAGATTCCGAATGTGATGAAGAGTTGGTATGTCGAAACCAGCGTTCCACGGATACTCTTCGGTGCGGCCTCAGATTGATAAATGGGTACGAGTGTGCTCAGCATACCCACCCCCAACCCAGCGATGTAGCGACCAATCATGACTTGGTACCACGCCCACACAGCAGAAACCTGTACAATCGTACCGACAATAAAAAACAAGCAACCAATCTGGAGTCCAGGCTTGCGACCGAGTCGATCACCGACCGGAGCACCGAGGAGACACCCACATAACGTCCCGATCGATAAAAGCGCGACGATTAATCCCTCTCGAACGTTGGAGAAGGCGTAGGTGCCGTCTGGTTGTAGTTGTCCGAAACGACGCTGGAAATCGGGCATTTGGGTGAGACCGGAGATCTCACCGGTATCGTAACCGAAGATGAAGCCCCCCATGGAGGCGAAGACGCAGAGGAAGATGACGAGGCCGGATATTTTCTCGGCCATTTTGTTGTTGTAGTACCTTACTGGTAGGTGGTGATGGCCGTTCGCGGAGGAGAGGGTACTTCGGTCTAGCTTCCGTCTGGGGAACGGATCTGGTGTTCTTAAAGGAAAAGATCAGGAGAGAAAAGATCAGGAGATGTCATCATTCCGATCGAGCAAAAAGTTCTTTCGTTGCCGGATCTGGAAGGCGTGCCGCGCGTGACGTACCTCATCTCGGCTCAGTTCACCAGGCGCCGGTAGCCGAGCGGAGGAAAGTTGTTCCCTCACGATGAAAGATGGAAGATATATCTAGTGAGTCAAACAATTATTGAGGTAATCAATGACGGAAGCATAGGATCAGAGGGAGAGTAAATGGAGGGGGTGGAATGGGACGGACGCGGACGAAGGGTATGGCTGCGGGAGCGTACGGCACGGCGGCGTCGACCGCGTGAGAGCCGGCGAACACGAACAGTCATTGATATCGATGAAGGAGAAGAGGATGAGAATTAGCAAATAAAACGGATGCGTTTTTGAGGTGTGTAAACGTCTGTGAACTTCTCGATGTTGTTTGGGATTCTTAGTGATATCTATACCGTACGAGATCACGGGCACCCGGCGGTCATCTCAGTGGAGCCCCGCCAAGAAGGCATCGTTGACTCATTGGCTTAACCTCATCCCATATATATTTCCCTCGACATCCCTGACCAACAGCGTAGTAGATCACACAGATCAACAACGGCACCATGCCAGACAACCTCCACAACCACGACCCCATGTTCCCAACCCACGAAGGCCGCTCCGACGACCGCCGCATCAGAGGCTACGACCCCGTCGTTCCACCCGGCCTGATCCAAGCTGAACTTCCTCTCTCTGAAGAGGGGGAACGCAAGATTTTGGGGTATAGGCAGGCGGCGGAGAGGATTTTGGGGTTGGAGGATGATAGGTATGTCGTCCCCACGTACGGGAGGGTCGGGACGGAGACAATGACTGATGGGTGCGGGATATAGGTTGTTGGTTATCGTTGGACCGTGTTCATTGCATGATCCCAAATCAGCAATCGAATACGCCGAACGCCTCGTCAAAATCCGTGAAGAGCTGAAGGAGGATTTGGAGATCGTCATGAGGTGTTACCTCGAGAAACCGCGTACGACGGTCGGTTGGAAAGGGTTAATCAACGACCCTGATATCGATGGGTCATTCAAGATCAACAAAGGGTTAAGGGTGTCGCGTGGGTTGTATTTGCAAATAACTGTACGTCGCCCCTCTCTCCCCCCTCACTTTCCACTCCCGGTGCGGCCACCAGCATCCCAGCGGTCACTAACCTTCCCGCGCACAGTCCATCGGCCTCCCCATAGCCTCCGAAATGCTCGACACAATCTCCCCCCAATACCTCGCAGACCTCGTCTCCTGGGGCGCAATCGGCGCCCGCACAACCGAATCCCAACTCCACCGCGAACTAACCTCCGGCCTCTCCTTCCCCGTTGGCTTCAAGAATGCGACGGATGGGAGTGTGGGGATTGCGGTTGATGCGATTATGGCGGCGGGTGGGAAGCATCGGTTTTTGAGTGTGACGAAACAGGGGGTTGTTGCTATTGTCTGGACGGAGGGGAACGAGTCTACACACGTCATCTTACGTGGTGGACGTGGCGGAACAAACTATGGGGAGGAGGACGTGAGGGGGGTGAAGGAGCAGCTGAGGAAGGCGGGGTTGAGGGAGACGATCATGATCGACTGCTCCCACGGTAACTCCCTCAAGAAGCCTGCCAACCAACCTGCCGTCGCATCCTCAATCGCCACGCAACTCGCATCAGGCGAACGAGCAATCACCGGCGTTATGGTCGAATCGCACCTCGTGAGCGGAAGACAAGATGTTCCTGAACCAAATATCGAAAAAGGAGAGAGGGTTGGAGATGGCAAGGTGTTGGAGAGGATTAGGTATGGGCAGAGTATCACGGATGGATGTTTGGGATGGGAGGAGACGGTTGAGTCACTAAGGGAACTGGCGGAGGGGGTTAGGAGGAGGAGGGCGTGTTTGGGGGGGATTCAGAATGGGGCGTAGATGGGCGTGATGGGATTGTATCGGGTGATTGTGCTGGGATTAAGTTGGAAGCGGGACGAGGAATGGGGAACGGGCTAGGGAATGGTTCTATGAAGGAGAAAAAAAAGCCGTTAGGGTGGTGTGTTATTATGGGATTATTAATGAAGAGTAACAAGTACTGTCGTTGAAGCTAAGCTAAGGAAAATAGAGCGCCTGCGCCGTGCTAAACCGTACCCGTATCGTACCGTACCGTACAGAAGAATCTTCATTCTGTCCTGCAGATCATCCCAGTCCCAGGCTCTCAAGCACACTGCCTTTCTTGTCATATCGTCCCTCCGTTCCATGACCGTTGGCACGCGGCACTACCGCAACGATTCGCCATCATGCCGTCATCTGTCATGCTCCTCTCCCTCGCACCTTCAATCTCAAATCCACCCTACCCTAACTCCACCTCGCCATCAAAATTCATCCTCGGCACACCCCTCCACCTCCCCTCCCTCACCCCTCCGCCGTTCATACTTCTCCCACTCAAACACCAACCAACTAAACTTCAACCCACGCAAACTCGGTTGTTGCATGATACTCCCCCATCCTTCGCCGTGCGCTTTGAGGTCGATAAGGATGCCTTGTTGGTCTTTTGAGAGGCGGCGGGTTATGGGGGGTTTTGGGGAGGTTGGCGGAGACGGAGGACGGGAGATGGATGGGGTGTGTGTGGAGGGGAGGCCAAGGGTAGGGAGGGGGATGTGTGAGTTGAGGGGATGAAGGGAGGGGTTGTGATGGGGGGGTGATTGGGGTGGGGTTTGGGTGGGTGTGTGGATCCCGGACCTGGCTGCGCGGAAGGGGAGGTTGGTGCGGGTACGAGTGCGAGTGTTGATGGTGAGGTGCTCGTCGTCGGTAGAGAAGCCGTCTGTCTCAAAGCTGATCAGTAACATGTCCCCAGCTTCCTCAATATGACATGCACATACCGTCCTCAATCGCACCACTCCCCGCCCATCGCAACCGCGATCTCAACCTCCCCCTCCCTCTCCGCCCACACTCCTCATTCAACACATTAACACTACGCGGCGCGTGATAGAAATGATGTGAATGCTGCAAAGCGTGCGGTGGGTGTGGATGCAACAGATCGAGTTGGTGTTTGGCTTCTTCTTGGAGGAGGGTGGGGAGGGAGGAGCAGGAGTAGGCTTGTCGTATCATAGACATCGTACCGTAACGGTGATCAGCTCAGGTCGGTGAAGGATCAATGATGAGTTCGGGATGGAGGTGGGGATGGGTGCTGCAGCCGCCGTCACTAGTGTGAAGGTTATTTGGGGGGTGCAGTTGGATGGGAGTTTGATAGCGGAGACAGAGAACAATTGATGATATGGTAAGGTAGGTATATTTGAAATTAGACCTGAGGTATTCATGCCATAGCTATCATACACACACCATAATCCAGTAATACAGTAATCACGGAGCTCAAGATCACACCTTCTGCACCTCCTCCATCTCCCCCGGCCTCAAAACCTCCTGCCCCTCAATCGCCTCCAACCTATCCAGCATCATATGCTCAACATTCACCTTGGGCCCCTTAAACCACTTCCTCGCACTCACCGCCCACCACACCACCACAAAAGCCATGGGTGCGCCATACACCAATACCGTCCAATTCATCAGCGACGGACTCAGATTTCGGCCCGTGACGCTGGGAAGACAGAGGATTGGTACCATGAGTGCGACGAAGGCACACGCGATACTCCCGATGTAGATGGAGAAACGGCCGAGGTTCCAGGGGCCAGGACGGAATCTGTCGCCGACGAAAAAGACACGGATGAAGATCGGGATCGTGAATGCGACGAACGCAGCAATGGCCCCGATACTGAACAATGCGCCAATGGTGATCGTCCCGCCGAAGATAAGGAGGACGAGACAAATCCCAATTGTGCAATTATACCATACGGCGTTGACCGGGGTCTTGGTGTGTTTATTCACCCGGGACCAGTATTCGGAGAATGGGAAACACCCATCCCTCGCATATGCAAACGTCACCCTCGACGCAGCGACCATACACCCCTGCCCCATCGCGAACCCAGCGATGATGGTGAGAGACAGTATAGCCATGACGGTTTGTTGCGGGAGACATTGTATGAGATACGCCGCGAATGGTTGACCCAAGTCGGAGGAGAGAACGGCTGGGATGTCGACGACGGTGTATGCGACGACGAGTTGGAGGACCCAGCCGAATGTTCCACCGATTGCGGAGGTGAGGAAGATTGCGCGGGGGGAGGCGATGGAGGCGTTGGAGCATTCTTCGGAGAGGTGGAAGGGGGCGTCGTACCCGGACTGTGGGGGGAGGTAGGTTAGCATGTGGGGTCTGGGGAGGAGCAGGGAGGGAGGGAGGGAAGAAGTTTGACATACCATGGTCCAGATGACTGAGACGAACGACATCAATACGCCGACACCGGCGGGGAATTCGGTTCCCGGATAGATCGTGCCCCAGACCTCCGAGGAAGGTGTGAATCTCGGCAATCCCTGACTCACTCTATTCGTCCCTGCAGGTATGAGGATGATGACAATCACGAGGGCGATCATATTAAACGTACTCCCAGTGCTATTAACCTGCGCAATCCTCTTCGTCGGCAACGACGCCATAGTGGCGTGTACGAGCATCAACAAAACCGTAACGAAAAAGACCTGATAGTTCTGTGGGACATACTCCGGATTCTGGATGCTTGCAGCAGCGAGGATCATTGCGGCTGTACCGTAGTTGACGGAGGGTGCGCCGGTGACTTGGGACATCCAATTCGACCACCCGGTGAGCCACGCAGCCAGGGGTCCCCACCCAGGTGGAGCGAGGACTGCGGAAGCGTAGTACAACCCACCACTCGTGGGCATGGACGAACAGATCTCCGCCATGCTTGCAGCGACAGATTGTATCCCCACCATAGCGATCAACCATCCCCATGTCATCCCCGCCGTACCCGCATACCCCATCCCATAATACAGCGTCGACGCGAAACTGGGCAAAAGACCCAAAACAGCGAAGGATACGGAGAAAGTCGTCCATAATGTGAATTCGCGCTTGAACTCGGGTTTGTACCCGAGTGAGGCGAGGACTTCGTCGTCGGAGGTCCAAGAGGCGGAGGAGGGGGCGAGGGGGATGTCGTTGGGTTTGAGAATGGAGGTTACGGGTTCGTTGAAGATATCCTTTTGGCCGGTTGTTGTTTGTATGATGGGGGGTTTGTGTTCGTCCATGGCGATCTATGGTGATGCTGCGACGCCGACGGGGGTGAGAGACGTTGAAGGGGAGCTCAAGGAGACTGGAAGAGGTTCTTGGGTGTATCTGAAGATTGCCTATAGGACGGGATGATAGATAAGAGAGGGCCTACGGCGAAACTCTAGTTGAGCCCTCCACCCAGCTGCTGTCATGAATCCCATTCTCATGTAATCCGTACTCCGCACCTCATGAACAGCTCGAAAAGATTGCCGACGTGCCCCGCTCTGCTATCGTCATATCCACAATTTCAGAATGCGCCTTATCAGCTGTAACGATCAGCCGGCCGTGGGGGTGGAGCAGGTTGACGGGATCCGACGAAGCTGAAGATTGTGCCTGTAACGTAGATCGCCGGCGTGGGAATACTCATACAAGCGTGGGAACACCAGTCCTACAAAACCGAACAACTTCTACATGCGACGAATACCTAGCATATACTCTGGAAAAAATTAGGCTCCATCCACGAACCTTTCCTCGTAAGCCTAAGATCACAATTCAACGATGAACACCCCAAGCTCCAAACCCACTGACTCCCAATCAATATCATACACACACAGACACAGAACCCATCCAACTCGCCCAAGGTCACCCCTTCCACCATCGCCCCCCTACCCGCAAAACTAACCCTAAGCAGCTACAAAAGAATAGGGGTAAGGGTTACGGTACACTGTGATCATAAGCGCGACTTCGTCACACACACTCAATTCTTTCCCACGCCTTGCCCATATCTGCACGTGAGCTTGATTTCCGCTGTAACTAACGGTCTTAACCCGAGCTACGATTCCTCGCATCTTGGACCGCTGGAGGTGAGAGAGTTGGGTCAACTATCCCTAGCCGGTACCCAATCTGTACAAATACTGCTATCCATGACCTGGCAAAGACGTCTTTAACAATGAAAAGACAATACAGATCATGAACGTCGACGCTCGAGGTACTGAAATCATCGTCAGATCATAACCATCTCTGTCTTGCATCTGCAAGTCTTTTAGTTTGTTCAAACAGTACTTCAGCTCCGACATGTACACCCATCCATATCACATCAACTTGCCGCCGACGCCGCGATGCCGGGCAGGAAGTCCTCGCATGCGAGTATGATGTTAGCTATTATTATATATCTTGAGGTGTCAAAGAATGGGGTTCATGTACGGTGAACGACGATTTGGTTCCGCGGCTGTGACCTCAATCATCTTCTCGTTATGGGTGTTCTCGAAATAAGTGTTATATGCGACGAACTTGCAAGATTCATGAACGATCATTCAATATATTGTAATTCATACACCACAACGTCCCATCAACCGCACATCGCCACCTACGCCTCCACCTTCACCCACTCCCCGTGTCTCACCGGTCCCTTGCCCTTCTCGAAATGCTCCACATGCGGAACCCCAAACCCATTCAACTTGATCTCATCATGCTCTTCCTCATCCCCACCATTGCCGCCACCTAAAATCCTGTGTCGTTCCTTCATCTCCCGCTTCGCCTCCTCGCTCTCCATCCACACCGGATCAACGGGTGGGTAGTTGATGGAATCGAGATACCACGCCGTATCGCCTTCGAGTCGTTCAGCGTGCGTCCAGCCATCACCGAGCCAATCCGCCCATTTATGCGGAACATCCCTACCTTCAACGGGACGATATTCGTAATCGTAATCTTCCCATCGTGGATGCTCGAGGGATTTGACCGCGTGTAAACAACTTCCCGGCCATAACGCAACAACCCTCCCTTCCTCCCTTCCCGCTTTGTACCATGTTCGGCATTTCTCGCCATAGACGGTGGTACGGAAATACTCGTCCACGAACGCACTCCAACCCGCCGCGGCGGAGGGTTTGACAACCATCGACGAAACCCGCTCACGTTGCATCTTCTTGATGCATTCGATAATGTAGTCACCCTGCCTCTCAAGCACGATCGTCAAACTTCCGCTACCAACGGCGGAGTTGGGACCGAGATAAGACCAGTAGTTCGGGATGTTGTCGATGGCGACGGAGAGGTATGCGTTTGCGTGGTTTTCCGGCTCTGACCAGCGATCTTGAAGATTTTGGGTGTCGGAGCCGATGAAGGGGAAGCGGGGTTTGAAGGAGGTGTCGAATCCTGTTGCGCAGATCAGGACGTCGAAGGTCCTCTCGACGCCGTCTGTGGTTAAGATGCCGTGCGAGGTTATTTTCTCGATTTCGTCAGTGACGAAGGAGACGCTGGGCGATGCGAGGGCTTCGAGGTATCCGGGTCCGGGTGTGAGACGGCGACAAGCGACGGCGAATTCGGGAAGGAGCTTATCCGCAATCTCCGGTTTCGCGGCGAGTTTGTTTCGCATGTGTTTCTTGAACAAGGCTCTTGCCTCCATTTGCATCGCAGAGTTGGAGAACGTGACTGCATGCGCCAAGTTCAACTCCCTCTCGAGGTCTTTGCGGAAAGCATGGTAGTATTCGGGGTCTCTGATGAACTTCTCCCTCTCCTCCTCCATGAATTCGTAGTTTTGACCAGTTGGATTACGGCGTACAGCTTCGTCCCCGGCGAACGGGAGTGAGATCCATGTCTTTCCTCGAACGAAGGTGGAGAGCTCTACGCCTGGGAGGGAGGAGAGCGCGGGCACGATTTGGATCGCGGATGAGCCGGAGCCGATTACTGCGATGCGTTTGTGCGAGAAATCGTAGGATTCGTCCCAGAGTGCGGAATGGAGCAGCTTGCCAGCGAAGGAGTCAAGACCGGGGATTGTGGGCCATTTCCAGTTGTTGAGGGAGCCGGTTGCGCCGATGAGGATGTCGCACTCTTCTTCCGTCTTTTCGCCACTTTGGAGGTTTTCCGTACCGACGACCCATTTCGATTTCTCGCTGTTCCAGACAGCAGACGTAACAATCGTGTTGAACCGACAATACTTGTACACCCCATACTTCCTCGCCATCCTCCGATAATATTCCCCGATCTCCTGCGCAGGTGCATAAAACTTACTCCACCCCACATTCGGCTCGAATGTCATTTGATAGGAGTGAGCGGGGATATCGCATTGGCAACCGGCGTAACGATTTTCGTGCCAGGTTCCGCCGACGTCGGAGTTCTTTTCGAGGAGGGTGAGGGAGATGTTGGAGAGGTGTTGGGGGAAGCGGATGGCGGTGATGATGCCGCTGATGCCGGCGCCGATACAGATGATTCGGAGGGGGGCGGGAGGGGCGTCGATGCTGGTCGGGCGGAGGAGGGGGTTGGAGGGAGGTTGACGGGATTGAGGAGGATTCATATTGTTCATGTTGCTAGAGGGATCTGCTGACAGCGCCATGTAGAGCGTAGGCGGTATTGCAAAGCTTGTTCGGTTGTCGATAAGTCTCGGCCGAACAACTTAGGAATTGGATGCAGAGGCAAAGACGTAGCCCCATCCCCTTCCTTATACGACCGATCCCCAATCTCACCGCTTGTCACGCGAGCTTAAGTTCGGTAACAACTGCCGCCGACAAGACAGATGCACGTCCCCACTTTCATCTCGGCCAAGTCTCGCATCGACGAGACAAGTAGCACGAAGGATCAAGTTGTATTGGCGGCCATGGTGTGCGGGGTTTCTGTTTTGTGCGGGGACCAACGTCGACGGCATGCAGCTTCGGCAGTTGGCAAACGAAGTTGTGTGAACCCGTATGGGATAATTTAAAGGCTGAGATCAAGTTTCCTTAGGATTTGAACATGTCAGTCACAGACGTAGCACGTCGGTACTCTGGAAATTTACACACTTCGAACTCATACCCATCTAACGCCCCAAACATCCCACCTCCGCAGTCCTCCCACAGTCCACCTCCTACCTGCGATTCCTATCCAAGACAGTCTGACTAGGCGGCGCCTTCCTATGATCCACATTCTCACCCAACATCTCCAACGCCTCCCCAAGTCTCCTCCCAATCTCCCCATCAACCTTCGCAAACATCTCCACCGTCCCCTTCTGCACCTCCGGCAACGCCTTATTAACATGTCCCGCCAAATTCCTTACAAAGACCTCATCTTCGCCATTCTTCTTAAACAGGGCCCAGAGCGCGCGGGGTTGTTCCCAATCGATGGGTTCGACGTCGGAGGAGTAGGATTGGACCCGCCCGACCCATTCGGAGTGCGCGACGTCGGCGGGACCGCAGCGGATCGTGCGGAAGGAGGAACGGACGTAGTCGGGGTCCGCGCCGTAGTTGCCGTCGAGGCGCATAGGGCCGTCGCGCTGGTAGGGGGAGTAAACGTTTTTGGCGGCGTTGCAGGGGAGTTGTTGGTAGTTTGGTCCGACCCTGTAACGGGCTGCGTCTGGGTATGAGAACATACGTGCATGCAACATCAAGTCCGCCGAGGGTGCGATTCCGGGAATGAGCGTGGAGGGGGAGAACGCGGCTTGCTCGATTTCGGCAAAGTAGTTGTCTGCGTTGCGATTGAGGGTGAGGATTCCGACTTCTTGGAGGGGGTATTCGGAGTGGGGCCAGACTTTTGTGATGTCGAAGATGTTATAGCGGAAGGTTTCGGCTTCTTTGGGGGTCATGACTTGGAGCATCATCTTCCACTGAGGAAAGTCACCGCGCTCGATGGAGTTGTACATGTCCTTGATGTGGTAATCCGGTTCGGTGCCCGCGAGTTTGACGGCCTCCTCTTCGGTCAGGTTCTTGATACCGTCGACGGGCTTGAAGTGGATTTTGACGTATCTGAACGATCCGTCCTCGGGCTTGCCGAACTTGAAAGTGTGGTTGCCAAAGGCGTTTACGTTGCGAAGGGACTTGGGCACACCGCGCGGTCCGAAGAGTTGCATTAAACAATGAACACCCTCCTGATTATGGTTGTGGAAATCCCAAAACATGCTGGCATCCGCAACGCCGCTCTGGGGGTGTCGCTTATGGGAGCGGTTAAGCGAGGGGAATTTTGCCGGGTCGCGGATGAAGAAAACAGGGAGGTCATTACCGACGATGTCGTAGTTGCCTTCCTCGGTCTTGAACTTGACGGCGAAACCGCGGATGTCGCGGAGGGTATCGGAGGACCCGCGTTCGCCGGCAACGGTGGAGATACGAGCGAGGACCTCGGTCTTCTTGCCGACGCTGCTGAAGATGGCGGCGGAGCACCAGTCTGTGATGTCCTTTGTGCACTCGAATTCACCCCATGCGCCGGCAGCCTTTGCGTGGACGACACTATGACATAGGTTAGCATTCATTCAATGGCCATAGGCTGAATAATTAGGTTTAATCTCACCGTTCGGGGATTCGCTCTCGGGGAAAGTGTGCGAGCGCCTCGATCAACTGCGTGTCTGCGAGGAGTGCGAGGCCACCACCCTTGACCTTCCCGGCATCGCCGAGGAGGACCATCGAGGCGGTCGGGTCTTGCACTGGTCGCCCCTCCGCGAGGGTGTACACAGGCGGATCATTGTTCTGGGTAATCAGCGTCAGTCAACGTCCGTCCCAGTTCATGGAAGGTTCATGCACTCACGTCAACTCCAGTTCCAGTCATGATGATATTTCGTTGTGAATCAGAGCCAACAATCCCGGGAAGGAGAGAGCGACTTATCAAACTCCGTCGCTCTCGTCATGATGTCACCATGACCGTGATACCCATACTTTCCGCTTTGCCGTGCCGAATTTGCCGATGACAGCTCGGCAGCGGTGTGGCTGGGCTGACCGCTGCGCCACGCTTGGGACTCTGTGGGAATCCATGTTGATGACACATCTGCGAGGAATGACTCTCCAACATGTTCCCTTGGTATCGCACCCTTGACATGGATTCGTCGTTTCAGCCCACATCCTACGGCTACCAAAAAAACCCATCCTATTACTAGTACATGGAGGTATTATGGCATAATACCTCTGTTTTGGGCAAGACTAGACCATAAGCGGTAGGGATCGCCGGGTCTGGGGAGGGGCCATGGTATCAAGAGGTGCCATGGTATAAGGGTAATCTGACCAGGACTGGTGAGACTTTACCCGGGTGAGTTTCTTTCGCAAACAGAATTTCACGGTCGATCATTTGTGCTACAACAATGTAGTGCGAGGCCCCCGGGGGACTAGTAGGAAAGGGAGCAGCGTAAGGGTAGCAATGTGGGGGGTGGTTGATCCATCCTAAATGTTGCGCACGAC